GAGCAGAACTCGCCACCGCCGTCTGTGCGGGTGAACTCAACCCAGCCGGGGAGCCACTCCCACTGCTCTATAGAGTCGCGGTGCTGATGCTCCATGTCGATGCGCCACTGACGGAGCTTCTTGTAGACCTCCGACTTCTTCTTTGTGAAGAGCGTGTAGACACCCGAGGAGTAGTGGCAGACAATGACGATCCAGTAGAGATAGCCGCCAATGGCAGCGGGGTCGACGGGGCCACCAACGTCGCAGGAGACAAACTGGAGCGGGCGCGAGGCGGGCGTGGTGCTCCGCTTGAAGGGGAGCTTCTTCATCTTGCCCATGACGCAGGGCTCACAGAAGGATGGGATGCCGGTAAGCGTGTCGACCTCCCCGAGCTGCCCATGTCGGACCATGTTGCGCAGGCTCTCGAAGTTCGTATGGCCCATGATCTGGTGCAGCCGGTTGATGTCGATGGCGGTGAAGGCGCGCTCATCCGTGCCGATGGGCTGGCAGTCGACGTGATAGAGACCGTGTTTGCGCATTGCGACACAGGCGATATCGCCGGAGGAGTCGCGGATAGTACAGGCGTTGTCCTTAAAGGACACGCGCAGACCACGCTTGGTGATCTGGGGCACCGAGATGAGCGTCAACGCGAGGTCGGGGACATGCAGTGTCTTCCGAATAGTAAGCGCGCGCACACCGTCCGGTGTCTTAGAGGCGAAGCAGGCAGTGCCAATGCCTACTGCCTTGATGACGGACTCATTCCCGAGGTAGATGTTGCGCGGCGGGTCAAGGACACGGTAAGTGCTGTCGTCGAAGAGGCGCTCATCGGGGGTCATGGTCCTTGACGCACCCGAGTCGACGATGTGCGAACCTTGGTGTCGCTGCGGTCGCTTTGGATCAGACTGGACATAGGCGGAAATCTTCTTGTAGGCACGGCGCGAGACGGTTACATGCGTGTCGTCTACATCCGAGTCCGAATCCGAGTCCGAGTCCTTCACCTTGTTCGCCTTCGCCTTCTCCGCCGCCCGCTCCTTCCGCTTCTTCAGCGCCTTCTCCTTCTGCCCAATGATCGTCTTGCACTCCTCAGTGGAGTGCCCCTCGCCGTGGATGACGCAGGTCGCCTTACCCTTACCCTTCTTCTTGCCCTTGTCCTTGGGCTTGCGCGGTGGGGGCACGCGAGAAGAGGAGGCGGCGTATGCCTGCTCATCGTCCGAGTCCTCCTTGCTGGTCACCTGCGCCATCAGCTTCGCCTCGACGTAGGAGAGGGTGAGGGGCGCGGCCTTGGAGCTGCCCGCCGAGATGCCGGATGAGACGATCTTCCACTTCTCCGAGCTGGGAAGGGAGGCGAGGAGGATGAGGGGGACGAGATTGGCGTTGAGGGGATAGCCGAGGGTGGCGAGCTGGGTGACCGACTGCCGAACGCGGTGGATGTGCGCGCTCATCGCCTCGCGGGAGACGTCTCCATCGTCGCCGTCGGCAAGCTTCGCGCGGAAGATCTTGATCAGTTCGGTGACCGCCATCTCGCTGGTGTTGGTCTGCTCGAACTTCTCGACGAGCTTCTCCCAGAGTTCGCTTGCATGCTGGTACTCGTGGAGCTCGAGGGCGATGTCATTCGAGAGGTGCTCCCGGATGGTGGAGAGGGCGCGGGCGTTCCGCCAGGACCAGGTCTCCCTCCGCGCAACTTGGTGAGTGGTGGAGGAGGAGCCCGATCCTGTGGATGTGGTGGTGGTCGCCGGAGCGCCAGGTGACGTGGACGGGGGAGAGGACGTTGTCGGCGTCGGTGGAGTCACCGCGATCTCAGGGGGAGGGGATTTCTCCGATCCAGTCACCACGGAGGTGAGATCGTCCCTGTTGAGGGCGTCGGTGACCCGGAGGCGCCAGAGCGGCCAGTCCGCCGCGTCGGTGAGCGTCGGGACCTTGCTGTCCTTGGGAGCCATGGCGCAGAGTGGGATAGAGTGAGTCGCAGATCGAAGTCTTGCTCGATTTAGGCCACGGGGCTCATAACCTTTCACGAGCTAAAGAAGCGCAGGACGCGCAAGACCTCAGTCTTCCTGCTAGTGGAATAGCGACTGATATTCATACCTAAAGAAGCGCAGGACGCGCAAGACTAAAGCACAGTCAGTAAATAGTATGAGTATAGTAAGTGAGATAACATACCCTCAGTCTTCCTGCTAGTGGAATAGCGACTGAGGGAAAAGAGATGTACAGTAAGGATAAATACGGACGCCCCCGGAGCGGCGTGGGAAAGTTCTTCCCGAATAGGAAGGCGGACCAAAATCGTGGACGCGAGGCAAACCGTCCGCCCATGGGAGGAGGCAGACTCGCCCTCTATACCCTACTTTTGACAGCGGCAACCGCTCCCCCTCCCCCCTACTTCCGGATGCGCTACAGCGCGCACTTCCAGGTGGAGGTGCACTGCCGTTGCTGAACTATACTGCGCTCAGCCTCACCCCCACATGTGTGCGCAACCAAGCGTGCCGTCAACCACGCAGTGTGGCGGCACAGCCGAGTGCGCAGGTGCAGTGCGTGTAGTGCACGTTCCGCACGCTACCCTCCTTCCCCTCTTCCTTTGACATCATCTTCAAGATCCGTGGCTCCCGGCCGCCCTACCTATGGCGCTTAATGTGCCCTTTTTACAGCCCCCTAACCCACCCGATTAGGTACCTGGCCCCAATACCACCCCTACCACACCCGCCCAGTGCTTGCCCACCCCCCTTCGGTCCTTACTCCCCTTCCCCCTTACCATACCCCTCCCGTACCTCAGCCATACCCTTTGCCTGTGCTATTCCCCCCACATGCCGCTGCGGCGAAATTTTTTGCACGCACTCTTTTCATTTTTTTTCGCTTTATATACACCTATAGCACAATGTATATACATTATATAGTAATATACCCTCTTCTTTACACAGCAAAGGCGAAAGGAGGTGGCAAGGACGCACACGCAGCACCCTGTCAACGTGTCGAGGTCGCACACATGGCTATCCCAATGCCCAATCACGCCATCACGCACCGCCCCCAACATCGGGAAGGGCATGCAACGTGCGCATCACGGCTGTGGCACCGTATCAGGCAGGAATGCGGTGGCGCTCACCTTCAGCTGGGGGCTCAGCTTTTGCTGGGCTCGACAACTGCATCATGTGATTTCAACCCGGAGTATGACAAGCGTCGAGGAGGTTTAAACCCAGCTTACAGCATTAGCTATGCTGGTGGCCTGTGGCTGTGAGAACGGAGCTGTCTCAAGATTTGCAAAAGACCTACCTCCACAGGTAATTATGGTGTTCTGCTGGGTAGACACTGGCTCGCAGTCTACTAGGGCGGATACGGCTGGCTCTGTTTAGGGCCCTCACCTAAGAAGTCATCTACCTACCTACCTACCTTTGTATGTCCCCCATGCGCCCTAATAACCACCTCGATCCTGTCCAGCATCTGATCCACAAAGTGATTTATTTTGTTGATCATGAGTTCATCCCAGAGCTATTGAAAGGTCCTTTTTAGCTTGTTGACGGAGGTTGGGGTCAGTGCAAGCTGGCGTAGGCGATGCTTGAGGAGGCCCCAGACAGGCTCTATGGGAGAGATGTTGGGGGAGGGGGGGAGGGGGTTTACAGCAATTTCAGAAAGGCTGTAAATATGGTTTACAGCAGTTTCAGCAAGGCCGTGAATGTGGGGTCACAATACTTTCAGAAAGGCTGTAAACGTGGTATACAGTAGTTTTAGAAGGACTGTGAATGTGGTTCACAGCAGTTTCAGTAGGGCTGTAAACATGGTATACAGCAGTTTCAGAAGAATTGTGAATGTGGGGTTACAATACTTTCAGAAAGGCTGTAAATCTAGTTTACAGCAGTTTTAGTAGGGCCGTGAATGCGGGGTCACAATCCTTTCAAAAGAGCTGTAAATGTGGCTTACAGCAGTTTTAGTGGGGCTGTAAACTATGGCGTGTATTCCGCCGAAAAAATAATCACAGTCGCGTTTCCGCGTCACGCAATCGTGTTTTGCCTAAGGGGGGCTGCAGTCATTGGAGATGGTGTAGAGGCATCCTACCCACTGCTCTGAACACTTCAATGGCCTTGGAATTGGCGAGGAGGGACAGAAGGACCGCCGCTGCTGTTCGGCCATTGCCGAGAAGGGCGGCAAGTCGGTCCGAGATCGCCGCCCGTCTTTGTTCCTCTTCTAGGCTTCCTATTCGCACTCAGATGGCGCTGATATAGATGGACCACCTCGACGTACTTATAAATCCTAGGAAGTTACATGACCCACCCGTTCATCCTCATTGATCCTGCCTTACTTGAGTTACCATGCTCGCTACCTTCGGGCGGTTTAAGGTTTCCGACACATAAAAAGCAAGCACCAATTCCAGTGCAATGGTAGAATTGTGTCCCTACTGCCTCTACAGTGCCCGGTGCGTGTGCGACGATGAGAGGACTAGAAGAGAGACGGACAGCAAACGAGGTGGCGATCTCGGACCGACTTGCCGCCCTTCTCGGCAATGGCTGAACAGCGGCGGTGGTCCTTCTGTCCCTCCTCGCCAATTCCAAGGCCATTGAAGTGTTCAGAGCGGTGGGTAGGATACCTCTACACCATCTCCGATGACTGCAGCCCCCCTTAGGTGAAACGCGATTGCGTGACGCGGAAACGCGACCGTGATTATTTTTTCGGCGGAATACACGCCATAGTAAACATGGTATACAGCAGTTTCAGAAGAATTGTGAATGTGGGGTTACAATACTTTCAGAAAGGCTGTGAATCTAGTTTACAGCAGTTTTAGTAGGGCCGTGAATGCGGGGTCACAATCCTTTCAAAAGAGCTGTAAATGTGGTTTACAGCAGTTTTAGTGGGGCTGTAAACATGGTATACAGCAGTGTCAGTAGGGCCGTGAATGTGGGGTCACAATACTTTCAGAAGAGCTGTAAATGTGGTATACAGTAGTTTTAGAAGGACTGTGAATGTGGTTCACAGCAGTTGTAGTAGGGCTGTAAACATGGTATACAGCAGTCTCAGAAGAATTGTGAATGTGGGGTTACAATTGTAGGGGTTCCTATCCAGCTGTCCTTGGATCTCGTCACGAGACAACGGCGCGCCAGTATACACGCGTGCTTGCCTCATGTACGTAGGTTAGCTCACACCAGCACAGTGGTACCAACGCAGTCACCATTTCCCCTCATATCCCGCATCCTCACTCAGAGTCCGCAGCCATCTTACATTTGGAGCCCACCGCTCGGTCAAGTTTGAGGTATTGGGGTTGTATTTTGCGGAGTTTACGATGTTTTGCGCGCCCCACGAGATGTATAGCGCGTACCAGCAGCCAATGTTCCCAGCGTATCCAATGAATTACAGTGGGCAGTATCAGAGTCCATATAGTGCACCACCACCGCCGAGTTTTGATGCTGTGCCGCCCGCGCTGCCGCCGCCATTTTTGCAGGAGATGCCAATGATGTACAATCAGTTTGATGATGGAGGACAATCCTGATGGTGAATTCACGAGCAGGAGGAGGGAGGAAGGAGACTGAGAGAAGAGGAGGGAGGAGGATGATGGAGGAGGCAGGATTATCACCAAGGAGGGGGAGGAGAGAAGTTTGGAGGGGGACAGCCCGATCGCACAATCCGCGTTCATCAGCACCACCATGACCGCAACAGCTTCACTACACCACGCAATGTTCCCCAGATGCACATCGAGGCTGCCCCATGCGTGACGCCATCACGGAGGGAGGAGAGGAGGGAGGATCTAGGTGCGAAGACGATCTGCGCGGCGCAGGCCCCCATGCAGTACTTATTGCGCATTATGTTCGCTACCTGCCCCGCACGTCCACTTCAATCATCGCAGATTTGCAGACCTACCAAGACGCAGGCACCCGTCATGCGCAGGGTGCTGGAGATCTTCTACGGACGCTCCATCTACCGCATCTGGTTCACTTGGAAGACTCTGCGCAATATTCAGTCACTCGCTGGTGATGGCGCTCCCCTGTTCATTCTGCAGCACCTACCGCAATCCGCCGTCGACCAATGGATTGAAACCCGCTACTTCGGCTACTGCAAGGCAATGCTGGAGATGATGGCACGAGGCTACACCGTGCACGCTACCGATATCGACAACGCTGTCATGCAGAAGGCCGCTGTCAACGCTGTCACCTGCTTTGAGGCTATCGCCCAGCGGACATACCACAGCATTCCTGCGATCTTCCGAGCCGCCCTTGTCGAGCGCGACCTTCGTCCAATAGCAGCAGGTATGGAGGCGGTCAAGAACATCATGTGTCCCCGTCTTGTCAACGCAGTGCTAGACTACAAGCCAGAGCCCCCTGTGCAGGAAACTGTATCCACTGGCGACGTCTTTTGACACTATAGATGTACTCACTCAGGCCAGTGCCACACGAGGGACGGCAGGAGATGGAGAAGAAGGAGGCCGGACAGGCAGGTGAGGAAGACACGACAACGGTCAGCCAAGCAGACCAAGCACGACACTGTTGATGTCCTTTCGCAGGCACTGCAAGCACAGCCCCCGAACCACTTCCTACCACCAGCCATTCTACAAGTACAACGCCGCCGCATGCCCCGATTTTTTTAGGTGTAGTTCATGAAGTTCTTGCTGAAGGATCTGGGTTGGAAGGTGTACCACGGAGGGTACACATTTGAAAGTGGGGAGGGGATGTAGGGGTTCCTATCCGGCTGTCCTTGGATCTTGACACGAGACCGCGGCGCACCAGTATACATGCGTGCTTGCCTCATGTACGTAGGTTAGCTCACACCAGCACGGTGGTACCAACGCAGTCACCATTTCCCCTTATATCCCGCATCCTCACTCAGAGTCCGCAGCCATCTTACACAATATTTTCAGAAAGGCTGTGAATCTAGTTTACAGCAGTTTTAGTGGGGCTGTGAATGCGAAGTCACAATACTTTCATAAGAGCTGTAAACATGATATACAGTAGTTTCAGAAAAACTGTGAATGTAGTTTACAGCAGTTTCAGTAGGGCCGTGAATGTGAGGTCACAATGGTGGTCCAAGTCCTGCCAAAGCAGTACTCTGTGTGTCTCCCCACAACAGCAAATGGCAGCAAGGTTTGTCCAAGCCCCAACAATATCACTAGGTTCTTAATGCTATAGAGCAAACTCACTAAAGGCTTGAGGTGCATGAAGCACGGCTACTGCACTCTGCTAATGTTACCAACTGTTTGCTACGTATAGCACCATTGCCAGATATGCAGCTGTCCGCAATAATACAGTGCCCATGCCAGGGGTACGTAGCTGTCCACGATGCACAGGGCCCTTGCCAGGGATTTACACCTGACTGCAATATTACAGCACCCTGGCCGGGGATAAGCAGCCATTCATGATGGCACGCCGCCCTGTCTAGATACTGGCCACTTACCTTGTATGGTGCTATAGCCAGAATGGCTCCCAGTACATCTTTCAGCGAGTTGTGTTCATGCAACCCACCTAGCAACCTATTGTTCGCTAGCTATGATTCCTTCCTTCCCAAGCATGAACCCTATTCTCTACTGACATTTTTCAGGATGTGCTCACAGTTTACAGCAGTTTTAGAACAGTTGTAAGTGTAGCTATGAGTAGTGTATTGTTAGAGCTGGTTGGTCACTATAAGTCTAGCAGAATATGAGTGTATCCACTGGTTGTTCTGTATCATAGTACAAGAACAGATAGAGAAGTTACAATAATAGCGATGTGACATAGTCACGCTTTGATATTATTCTGGACCACTCTGATTATATTGTGACCCCTCTCACAATAATATTTTCCAAGAAAATAATGTTGTAAATCACTATTCACAGCATATTTGGGGATGATATTACAGCAGTTTCATATAGAGTTTTGTGTCTTGCATGTAGTGATATAGTAGACAGATTGTACATGAATCAATGGCCATAACTACTATAGCTGAAGAAGGGCGTCATCCGGAGTACCCCAGGCGGTACAGGGAGGATACTCGGCCACAGGGGGGCAGTGTGAAAGACATATGGGAACGTTGAGGGCGGATACATCATCGTGAGCGGTACCATTCTGGCGCGCTCGTCAGAAACGCCCCAGAGCATATAGGCGATCTATGACATGGGTCAGGTGAATACGCCTGGAGACGAAACGAGTTCACGCACATTAGCGTCGGGGGCTGACGACGTGGTTTCTGCGCCACCGCTGGCTGCAGCGCGCCCTCTCTGCCGCCGCCGCCGCCGGCGTCGACCTGCGCTGCGCAACTGGGGGTCAGGCGGGACTGCGGATGGCGAGGATGAAGGGCATGATCGAGGGGGCAGCGGAGGGACGGTTGCGGACGTGTGGCGATTGGGATTCTGGTGAGCGCATAGAGGATTGTGGCAGCCGGCGCACAATGTATCCCCTGAGACGGCTTGAAGCCCAGCCTGTAAGCCTATCAGTCAAGCGTCATTCCGAAGGGACAAAGCACGCACGAAAACCATCCCGCCACAGATGCCGTCAATCCCACATTTGGCGTAAAGGGGATCCAAAAGAGAGTTAACCTCTGCGGGTGTAGAGCTGTGTAGGTAGTATGCGTGTTCGCACAGTTGACACGCCTCGCGGCATTCCTCGGGGCTCTGCCTTCTGCGTCAGGTCATGTACAGCGGCGGGGCGGCAGACGCACAGGGGCACCCATGAAGGCCACGAAGTGGCGGCACGCGCATCCGGCTGAAGTGCATTGCTGCCGTGGATAGAAGGCGGAGAACATGACCGTGGTCTCTGGTGAGTGCGAATTGTTGATGGGCGCGATGATGCCGCCAGTCACGCGCAAAACGCGATCACGTGATAGTAACAACCACTGACCTTGTTAAGTACACGCGTAAGGCACAAACGGCGTGTGGGTTCAAGGGGGCTGCCTGTCGGTGCTGTTTCTTGGCAAGGCAACCTGAAGTCTGCTCTGAGATGTGAATGGTAACAAGCAGACGAGAGAAGTACCGGAATGCACCCTCGGCGTCGTGATGAACGCCCATAACATCAAACAGCGGAAGATGCACGGTTGATGGGCGCGCTAGGTACCATAAAATTGAAGTTATGGGGGAGTGCTATGCCGTGCAGGAAAGGCAGAGCACTGGGCGCGTATAAGCGACACTTGGTAGATTAGCCACAATGGTATGATAAGCGCAACGGAACGACCGCATGGCAGAGATCAAACCGGCCCACCTGCCGCACGATGCGAGGAAGAAAACGCTCGGCCGAGCAAAGCAGATGAAGATGGAGTAGGTCCTATCCATGGACATCGAGCGCGCCCTCAGCGCCAGCACTAGGCAAGGTCCAGAAGGATTGATCACTCATAATTTACACCACCTCGAGCATATGTTTCTATTTTTTATGCAATACGTCGCATACTAGAGCTTGCCTTCAGGCCGCTCAGCAATCGATGATTGACCCCCAAGAGGAGAGACGAACGTACCTCGGCAGTTGCGCGAGCCGCACAGACAGCGTGCACCATCCTCGCCGGTCTCGGCGGCGTCGCCCGCCCCATCCTCGCCGGTCTCGGCGGCGTCGCCCGCCCCATCCTCGCCGGTCTCGGAGGCGTGGCCCGCGCTATCCTGGTCAGGTATGCTCATATATCGAATGCAGAGCTCCTCCCCGGGTGCAATGTCGCGATTAGCAAAAAAAGCGAGCTTGGGGGTGCCGTTGTTTGGCTGGCAATGGGCGTGTTAGAAGACAGGGGCCCTGTGCGTGCTATGTCAAAGTGATAGAAACACGTACCTCGTTGGAGAAAACGCCGATGGAGGATAGATTAGCATCACAGGAATGATTGAGAAACCTGGTAAACTATGGGGAACATGAGTATTTCGCTTGTTGATGGATGGGACACTCACATTCCCGGCTCGTGACGCGTCAATGACCATGGGTGCGCCAGGTGTGCGAGGCTGCCCAAGATACCAGAAATCCACGTTAAATGTATAAGCGTTCCTGCCATCACTGGATGCACATCATGAGCGCTGCTTTGACGAGGGGCGAGCAGACGCTGCACTTGCCCATCGCGTTCTGCCGCCTCTTCGGGGGTCAGTAGTTCCCCCGTGAAGGTACCGATATATTGGCCGTATTGAAGGAGGGTCGGGCCATTGAAAACGCCCCAACCTTTGCGTAATGTCTTCTTGATCGCTATAGCAGCCTGGCGACCCTCCCGGACGACCTAAAGTCTCGTCAGTATTGTCGAGCGTCTGCGATAGATAAACGCACCCTGTTTGAGCAGCTGGGACCGCAGCGACAGCCGTCGTGGCACTCGAACACGGGTATGTACAAAACTGCAAGGCGTTTCGCATCTGACCTGTAGGCAAAAGACCGCCCAGTATAATCCTTGGTCACTTGCATCTGCCGGCGGCGACATACGCACACATGATCGGGGTCGCGTCCGCATGCCACTGTGCACCTACTTATACACGTAAGTAGTAACTTTCAAGAAGGAGAAGGAGATGCTGACCGACAGCCGCTGCGCTTGGCAACTGAATGTTGAACCTCCTTACCCTGGCGCCAAAGGCGGTTCGAGTAGAGGAATTGTAATGGAGGGTGCGGCTCCCCATCCACCTCGTTGGCCACCATTATTGGACCTCCTGTCCCGCACGCTTCAGCCCAAGAATGCGTAATGATAGTAGGGCCGGGACGCAGCGTCCATGCTACATGAAAAATACTCGCCTTGAACACGAACCTCCTCCATGGTTATCCAGTTTTGTACGGCCACCTGGCCTCCAAGTTGCTGTCAGAGTATCAGGGGGCAAAGCGTCCTCTGCAGCAAATTCCGCACCGGCGCTTCAGTATGGAGATAGTTGTCCTGTACCGATCGAGCCCACGCGAGGTCTGTGAACATGCTATAATTGTTGCGTTTTTGCTGAAGTATTGAAGTGGGGCGCTGAACGTTCTGATGGGTCGTCAGACCAGCGGCAGTCACCGTACAAGTAGGCAAACGACCGTACGTCTCCAGGAGATGGTGTGGTCTCGGGGGGCGGAAGGCGGTATCCAGATGTGACTGTTGGCGATAAAGCACGTGCCACCCGGGAAAGGAAGGGCTACCCTCAATTGACGCGTGGCAGGGTGGGGAGCCCTTCCATATACGTCCACCGCAGTAAGCACGTGATTCGGGCAACCCCGGCAGCTCCCAGCATCGACTCCACCTGACAGCGTTCGCTTCATTGTCGATTGATGCAAAGCGAGGACTGCATGTATGTTTCGTCAGACGAGGGCGAGTACGCCGTGCAGGCACTTCGCGCGTCCAAGGCGGTGACCAGGATCAGAAAGCGCAACGAGAAAGCCGGAGAGGTATGCCAGCTCACGTTCCAAGATAAGGCGATAATTGACGCCAACGCCGTCTCAGACAACGTCGCCGCGGGAGAGAGGGCGAAGATTCTTGGATGAGCTGGAGCAGGGGCGCAAGATGCTGGAGAGCGAAGTGGATGCGCTGCACAAGAGATGTCGCGAGCTGGAAGGGGAGCGCGACCGGGCCTATCAAGACAGAGATGACGCGCGCAGGGCGCGCGACGAAGCTCTGGAAGCATTTTTTTTGGAGCCCCCGGCGGGTGTACACCTTGCGGAGAGCGTAGCGCGAGGATATTTCTCGATGGTCGCCGAACGCACAAAGGCAGAGGAGGAGCGCGAAGAACTGAGGAAGGAGAGAGATGCCGCCATAGAGGAGCAACTAGAGGCAGCCCAGGAACAGGGGGAACTACGGGATGAGTTGGAGAGGGTTAATGAGGACCTGCAACGGGACTTGGAAGAGGCATGGGCGATGGTGGAGAAACTGCAAGGGGAGGAGGAAGATGAGTAGGTGGGACACAATGTAATATGTCTGCTATGGCTATGAGCGATTCCGATGGCAACCTTAGGGGATCGCTGAGCGGCGATGGCATCAGATGCGTCGCTGTGATGCTGCTTTTTAGGGATTGTCGCTCGCAGAATGGTGGGGTGCGGCGCGGCAGCGCGGTCTCTGTTACTCTATATCCGTTTATCGGACCCGGGCATTGGTGAAGCAACGGGCCAATGGAGAAATTAGAATATTGCCAGCTTATTAATTTGGCTGTAGTAGAATATACATGCAAAGGACGAGGGGAAGGGGGAGACGGTGGTGATGGGTACAACTGCAGGGGGCGTACTGTGTGTGGATAAGGAAGACGACAGCAGGTGACGAGCGACTTTGGAGTAGGAGGCGAAAGGTGAACAGGGGTTTGGAAGAGGGAGCGAAAGGAAGAAGCGGGCGACGGTGCGTGGCGCCCGCCCTTTGAGCGCATATTAAGCTTCAGCCTGCGATGACCTGATCCTGGGTCGTTGTTCTCCTTTGCATAGAACCGCTGCTCCGCCCCCCCTCCACCTCAATAGCCCTTCCTCATTTCCTGTTGGTCGCCACCCCTATAAATGGCTATAACGGCTTCGAGCGAAGAATGGCGGCAGTGAGTGCTAGTGGAGGCGAGATACCGGAAGAACGAGACCAGGACAGTGACGCAAAGACGCAGCCAAATAAGCGCGTGAGCAGGTCGACAGGCGAAATATACTGGGATGAACGCGCGTCAGAGCAGCGCGGAGCCGACTCGCCGAGAGTCAAACGAGGCGGCGGGAGCGGGTCGCCAGCCCGGGCCGCCGGTGCCGGCTTTGTCAGCAATCGCGCGCGCGCGAGGACGCGTCGGCGGCGAGCAGCGAGCGCGGCGCGTGAGACGCCTGAGGGCGAAATGGCTGCCCAAAGAAGGTCAAGGCGTCCTAGAGGAGGCGAGAGAGGCGGCCAACCGCGTCGTTTGGAGCGAGAAGCGGGGGAGGGGAGGGGAAATGGTCAAACACGCGGCATCTCGAGCAGCTCGCGCGGGCCTCAAACGAGGGCTTAGGCGGGGGCGGCAAGGGCAACCTGGCGGGCGGGCACGGCGTCAAGCACGAGGCGTAGCACATCATCCGAGACGGCGAGCGAGAGCGAGGGCAGCGCGAGGCATGCCGTGCGCGCGTAAACCCCGTATCCGTCCCGGGGCGAGCTGTTGAGCGAGCCCTATGAGTACTCCCAATCGTTCGGACCCGTCACCGCGTGTAGTGTCGGTTCAGTGCGCTCGGCAGAGCTGCACGGGCTTGGCCTACCGCGCCTCCGCGACGCCTTGTCGCGGCAGGCTTCTACGGCGCCGTACCACCGAGGGTCCTCGAGACGAAGCAACCGGCTGACGCGACGTAGCGGCGGCGAGAGACGAAGCTGAGTCGGGCAGACCTCAGCTTGTCAATGGTATACAGCGGGAACCGGCAAAGGCGGGCCAAGTTGGGGGTGGGCGAGTGTGTCGAGGCCGAGATCGATGATGGCGTTGACCGACGCCGAGCGCGTGTCGATGGCGTGAAGGCCGGGTTCGAATCGTCAAATGTCGAAAAATGTGTGAGGGGGCGCTAGCCTTGGTTCACTAAGGGTGAGAGGCCAGACGAAGAGACAGATGCCGTGATGTATAGCAGGTGGGTGTAGGGTACAACTGAGTATCTAGAATAGGCCATAAGGCCTGCCTTGTATATTCGAGGAACGTGACTAGCGACGGTCACTTTACATCACGCGGCCTATGTTCGAACGCTGGCTTGGTCTGGCAGTCAAGGCCTCTGCCGAGTACATCTGGCCTTCTCGTGTATACTATGCAACGTAGGATATACTGATTGGCCCGAATTGTAGCAAGAACAAGTAGTAGGAGGGGCGCGCGACAAGAAACAGGATATCAGAGTACTAAAATACAAGAACAAGTGGCGGGAGGAGCGCGCGACAAGAAACAAGACATCAAGAAAGTACTAGAATACAATGTCAAGTGCAAGAACGACATAGATGATCAAGACTGTCCAAACGCCTACGCTGGTATGACTGCCGTCCACACGGCCGTGTGAGTAAATATGGTCGACGCGTTGCTCTCGCAGGGATGTATCCTTGGCCTAAGTACGCGGACGCTTGCGTGGCGGCATTGATGGAGAGCGAGAGGGAGAGTGCTGGATGGGTGGACGGGGGAGAGTGGACGTGGATGCAATTGGAGACGACGCAGAAGGAGGAGGAGAGACGGAGCGTCGCGCGGGTGTGGATGCCGACTGCGAGGGCACCAAAGCGGGGACACGATGTGACGGTCCCGGCTGATCAGCACGCGCAACGGCAGGCGCCGCGTCGGACGGTCGCGGCCGCCACCAGAAGGGCGGACGACCCTCTTCACTGCACGGCGACGATAACGGGCTTGCCGGCCTTACCACCTCGCCAATGTCCCCGCCAACTTCGCGAATCAGCTCGCGGATATTGAGGCTGCACTGAACGTGAAGTCGCAATGGGCGGTCAGGGAGTTGGCGGCAGTATTCGCACTCTGTACCCTCGCGATAGCTTTTACACTCGCGACCCGCCTTGACGCACGTGTGACAGCCCTGAATAACCGAGACGTTGAGTTTGGGTGGCCGCGTAGATTAGGGATGGAACGCACCGGATCCATAGTTAGCAAGACGGGGCGACGCACGGTGCCACGCATCACTGGAAGAGATCTCTTTGGCTTGGATGGAGCAGGCTTGCGGCCCGTTCCCTTGGGTCGATGTGGCCTGCAGGGGTCAGGGAGGGTATGAGAACGGTGCATAGCATACGCACTCTGGCGGCGGGCGTCGGACGACAGTCAATTCTTGCGGGGGCTCGGGTATCTGTACGTGAGCTTAGTATCGATGTGCGAAAGAGGACAAGATGAAGACAAGACGCACATCAGGCAGCTGACCATGGCTAGGCATAGCCGCGGGGAGCGGCGGAGATGCCTGAGGTTGAGACGATGGCCCCGGGACTTGAGACGCGCCCGAAGGCGATGGTAGAGGCGGAGGATTGCGACGCAACCCAGGTGGGGGGCGCGCAAGCGGTCGTCGTCGGTGGGACGGCCGCACCGGAGGCGCGACAATCTCGATGTCAGGAGATGATTGCCGGCCAGAGGAATTCGCCCGCTCTCGAGGTGCGACGATCTCGATGTCAGGTGATGGCTCCGGGCTAGAGGACCCGAGGGTGATCGGGAGGTCGCGGGAATCTCCAGCACCAGGAGGGAACTTGGGCGACATCAGAACACGAAAGATAGATACGGAGGTGGCTCACCTGGGACGAGGGCGCCATCGCAGCTGCTGAGAGGATGTGGAGGGTCCGAAAGACGCGCCGGTTTGGCAAAGGCGGAGGCAGACGATCGGGGGGAGGGTGAGCGGGGACACGGAAATGGCTTAAGCGCCGACGTGAGAGATGGACGTACCTGCGTCGTTCGCACCGCTAGATCCAGCTAGACCCAGCTACACGGGGTGACGGTGAGGGCGCGACTGTGTAAGAGAATGTAGGTCGATGCCGCCAGTGCAGGGAGGCGGTGACGGCGGAAGACAAAAGAAAGATGCGCTGCCGCGCCCGACGGTGCGTGGGAAGCAATCCATGTCGGAAATCTCCGCTCCGCCTTATCAGAATCAAGTCTTTTGGGGGTCCCTTGCCGTTTTGCAGGCGCTATTTCTCATCCGTTTCTGCGTCTAGCAGCTCGGAAAACGCACGTACAGGTTGAGAATGAGGGCAAAAAGACGATGTAGCACAAATACTGGGCGCGCGGCGCGTATGTCGCAAAAAAGTCGCGTCTGACAAGGCCTGACCAGGGCCCCAAGCACCTGGACCCCCTTGGGGCCCTTATCAGGCCTCGTAAGGGGAAACGGGAATTTCCGACACAGAAAAGGAAGGGCTCCCCTGGGGACACCTTCCAAAACGAGTCTGCCAGCACAGATCGCTCGGACGATGGCTCAGGCGCACACTCCTGGCCGCGGTGTGGATTTGACGCCGCCCATGCAACGAGGGCGAAAAGACGGCGAAGGTAGAATCTCGGGGGTGCTGCCGAGATTGATAACTGCGTTGTGTTTACGAATGAACGGTCAGGTGAGGTCTATGTTCGTCAAGCGTGGGATGTGTTGAATGAGCAGTATATAATAGCGGCGAGGGAGGGCATGTCCGTAGCTTTCAACGCAAACCATCATGTCGGAAGCCGCTGTAAGCCCGAAGGTAGCCGAATACGTTGCGAAATGGCACGCCAGAGGCCAGAAAAAGGTGACGCCCGTGCAAGGCCGGGAACTGCGCTACCTGACGATGGAGGGTGTATCGCCCAAACATCTGGGCGACAGACTCAAGTTGGCAACGGCGACGGTTAATACGGCAATTAAAAGGGTAGGACCGGGACCCGGGCTGATAACCACGAGCAAACTGTTCCGAGAGCTGGTGGCCTCAGGAGAGATATGGCAAGCGGTCGGCTGGGATAGGGTGAGCTGCGACCGGTTTGGATGGTACCGAATGCTGAGACGACGTGCAAATAAGGCTTTGGAAAGGGCAGCTTCCGTTTCGACGGCGGGACCCACGGATGGAAGCGAGGAGGATGCTTGGAGGTGAGCGAGGCGGGCACTTCCACACGCCGCAGACGAGACTGACCCTCGGCATGTCTTCAGCGATGGCAACGAGACCGACAGCGAGGATTGGGAGGCGGAAGATGAATTGCTCGACAACAGACCGCCGTGGAAGGTGGCCTATAACACGGGAGGAGCAAAGACACTGCAAGACGTGCTGGAGGCGACTGCGCCTCCCCTCATCGCCCGTCTAGACGATATCAAGGGCTGTGGGGTAACTACTGTCGATGACTTGAAGGAATTGGGACGGTGGACGCGGGTCTCGCAGAAGGAATTTGCCGCCCGCGTAGGGATGAGCGCGATGGAAGAGATGGTGCTGTCGGCGTACGCCAAGCAACTGGCCACTGACGATGCGGTGCAGCCAAACGTCCTCAGGGTGAGTCGACGTGAGATCCGTATGGGCCGGTTGAGAACAACAATGATCATGATACTCACAAGTCCCTAGGCAGTCTACGGCTTGCACGAGGCAAAGGAGGAAGTGAGCGACTGGATACAGGAGGATGGCAAGCCAGAGCAGTTGCACGCGGTGGCCCGCGGCCTCGCGCGTGCAGGGATCACTCAGCGGAGTGACCTGGTGCAACTGGGCTGGATGGGCGAGGAATGGCTAGTGGGCCTCATCAGCATGCTGTTGCCGGAGAGGGAGCTCTCCTTGGTCGTACTTCGTATCTGCGAGAAGATCCTGGAGGAGGTGAAGGAGGTCTGGGATGTGTGGTGTGCCATGCCCGCGGCGGAACACGAGGACTACTTTGTCTACGAGTAGGTGTCGCCCTCCGAGCTAATCTTGAACTCTGGTGCGCATAGAGCGGGAACGATCTTGAAAGCACAACTTGCATATATAGGCCGCTTCTTGGGATGCACCTAGGTCTCCTCGATTACTTACCCATGTAACAGTAGCAGTTTGTACATTATGAATAATCTGGTCAGACTCCTCGAGACTATGGGCCGCCGATAGAGTGCAGCAGTAAGGAGGGAATGGACAAGCTTGATTGTACTCGTGCATGCAGACGTTAGCGTTGCCGGTCGCGGGGGGCAGACACGGCGGAGGTGCTCGCGACAGGGGCGGAAGTGGCGGCAGCGGAGCATTGAGGAGGCAGTGGAGGCCGTGAGCTCTGCAGGGGTGGGGGCGGCCATGCGGATAAACAGCTCCTCGGGGCGGGGCCGGACGAGGGTGCGGGGAGGGCGGAGAAGGTGGATGTTAGGACACGGCTAGGGTGGTGGTTGTCGAAGGTTCGAACGCGGAGACACGGACTGACCCGAAAAGGAACAATAGAACACAGATACAGAATTCAAGAGATGAGAAAAGGAGAAAGTGAGCGAAGAGATCAAGAGCCATGTTGCACAAAAGACTAAGTCTAAGATACAAGAGTAACTAGTCTGGTATATAAGACGAAGGCCTCGAGGTAGCAGGTAGATGTCTGCCTGGGGATGCATGGGTCGCAGGCATCAAGTCGGCGCGCACGCGATGTAACCCGTCTCCTCCCTCCTGCTCGTGGCCTGTCACAACCGAGCACGCTGGGTCAAAGGCGGCGGGAGGTCTGGTGAGACGGACGTGGTCCGTGATCGGAGACTCCTCGAGCGCCATGCCACCGCGAAAAGTTGTTGTTGTATTCGGACAGCGTGTGGAGGGCCGTGTTGAGCAGAAGGGAGGTTGCGCATGTATGGGCCGGCGGCGCTGAAGTCGGCGGAGAGACATGCTCGCTGAGCGCTGGACGCGAGGACGGGGGACTGACGTGCGACTGCGGCGGGGGCGTGAGACTAGATTGATGGGGGCGGGACAGAGTCGCGGTGGTTGTGTTCAAGCAGGGGGAGTCCGCGCAAAGATCGGCACAATGCGCGCGACCCAGCCCTTCTCCCCTCTCCTGCGTGGGAGCTCTTGCGAGGCGAAGATCATTCGCCCTCGTATGCTCCTTGTGCGATCTGGCTGCAGCGCGCGAAACGATTCCCTCTGCGCCTGCATACATGCTGCACGTAGGGGTGGCGTCATATACGGCGCGCTCCTGAGTTATTGCCATTTGCGCTGTCCTCCCGTTTGAGCTGCGTGCTGTGGACCATATAGGGCGAGGCGGAGGCGCACAAACGTCGGCTGGGGATCGTCGCAGAGGGTGCGCAGCCAATGGCGGGTCGTGGGGAACAGGCCGTGATGACGGCGGGGCGAGGGGATTCGAGGACGAGGTGGCGATGGGAAGTGCATACGCTACGCCGCGTTCGCTCAGGATCGTCATCCTGCTCCCGTTGGCGTAAGCCACGCGAGTTGTCGAGCTGCCATGTCCTTAGCGCCTCGCATCAACATGCCGCGGCAGCGGCGCTGGTACTGGAGCGGCGCGTTCCCGCCCGCTGAGGTGGCCGTTCTCAACCGCGACAGCCAGCGCCGAGATCTCCGGTGTTGAGATCCGTCCCGCTCGCGAGGATGTGTGATTGCGCGAAAAATCGCGATCGACTGTGTACGATGGCACATTCGGCGTCAAATTGCATGGCGTACAAGTTGGTACGGGTCGCGCGCGGTCGCTCTGCCTCGCAGCCGTCTCGCGAGTGTTGGGGATAGCCATCCTGCGCGAGGACTTGCGCTACCGCGTCTCGTCGCTGGCACCAAGCGGCGGTATCGAGAGTGCGGCCTCGACCCGCCCTCCACATGTGCATTTGTCGCGTCCCTCGCTCACCGCTGGCGTCGCGGTAGTCCGCGGAGACGACCACATCGCCTGAAGGCGCATACTCGCGTGAAATTGGGAAGTTAGCGCTTTGCGGGGGAGAACTGTGTGCCACGCACACTGCGCGCTGGCGCGTCTGTCCCATCGGACACCCGAGTCCCCTCCTGTTTCTGTCCCCCTTGGAGCCTATGTCCTTCGATCGCGCGCGGACGGCAGACATTTCGAGGTAAGTGGTTGTTGATTATTATCGCGCGGCGGTCGAGGTCAGTACGTGAGGCTCTTGAGCCATATAAGCGCGGGGGTCGTGAGGGAAGGACTTGCGAGCACGTAGACGTGGTTCGGGCGTGTATGGGACGTGTCGAGGGCGCGGTCGTGATCGGCGCCGAGGACGAAATGTGCTCCTCGTTCGTCGGCGACGTCCAGTCCGAGTTGCCGAGTGACGCATTCTGCGTCGAGATCGCGCGCGACAAAGTGCCTGCCAGGGTCGCTTCGCGCGGTAGGGCGACCTTAGAGCGCGCCGTCGATCGCGCATGCGAACGTGCGTGAGGAAGCAATGGAGGGGATGGCGATGGATGTCCTGCGGCCTGACCAAGGGGGGAAACGCGTGTAGGATGTGGTAGGAGGCGAAGGCGGCACGGTGTTAAGCATTTGATCAAATTGATGGAGAGACCCAGCGCATGTGATGTGACATCCGGATCGTGGTGAATTTAGCGGCAGCTCTGAAAATTGAGGTTCATTATGTTGGGTTGTAGGAGTGAAAGTGTGACGCACGACGGTTAGACCGGATCGGACATTCACGAGTGATTCACGACGCTGAAGCGGGGTCTAGAGAGCCGGATAGCGGCTTTCACGACGCTTTCACGGGCATTTCACGGCGAAATCATCGGGAATCACCGTGATTCATCGGGAATCACGAGGATTCATCGGGAATCACCCGGGAATCATCAGGAATCACGGTGATTCCCGAGTGATTCACGACAAAATCCTGGGTTTCACGGTTCGAATCTGACTATTGTCCAGTCAAGCCCTCCATACTGATCCCTTCTACTCAGCATATGTCAAGCTTCCGTCCGCAGATGATCCGGTTCCCGAATACATCTCAGGCAAGCCGGGGAAGCTTTGGCCATATCTGAAAGATGTTCTAGGAGCTATGGATGGTACTCAGATCAACTGCAACCCACCCTCGGATGAGCTGGATGTCGCACGCAACCGGAAGGGCGGCATCACACAGAACTGTCTTGCCTGTACATCTTTCGATATGCGATTTCAGTATATGCTTGGAGGGTGGGAAGGGTCAGCAGCAGATACGACACTTTACACCAACGCACGTTTCAACGATTTCCGTATCCCGGAAGGGAAATACTATCTCGCTGATGCTGGCTTTGGGTTCTGTGACTTCTTGCTCACACCGTATACTGGTCAACGCTACCACCTTGCTGAATGGGGTCGTGCGGGTGTGAGGTATGTTCTCCTCTTCTTGCTTCAGTATAAACATCAGTATTGACATCTTGTACAGACCTGTGACAAAGGAGGAGTTGTTCAATCTTCGACATGCCCAAGCACGCAACGTGATTGAGCGCATTTTTGGTGTAATCAAGCGTCGGTGGCGCATTCTGGTTGCACCCCCGGAGATCGACATGCAGTACCAGGCTTTGCTTCCTTCGGCCCTTGCTGCACTACACAACTTCATCCTTGAACACGACTTCACCGAGAGGGAGGAGGTTACGGAGGCCATTAGCTCATCGGCCACTGCCTTTCTCGACCGTCAGCCACTCGATCCTATTCATTTTGGTGCATTGGCCGCTAGGGTTCCAGGAAGGGCAGAGGCACGTCGGGCAAAGCAGAAGCGGGATGCGATTGCGCAGGCAATGTGGGATGATTACCAAGCATATCTAGCAGCAGAGCAGAACAAGTAGTCTACGGCTATGCGAATGGGTCATCCTCCTCCGCAGCATGCACAGGCTGAGGTTTCCCAAGGCGCTTGCGCACCCAAGTTTGACGCAACTCTGTGTCATCGTGGTTGAGGGCCATGTACGCGTCCGCCATCCGCACATTGTCGATGAAGATGTCGAGGAGGTCGATCATCTCCCCCTTGGTGAGCCAGCCCTCCTCCAACTCCTGTGCTCGCTTGCTCGCATCCTGCAAGCGCTTCGGCGTAGCAGCGATAGACGCATGCGGACGGAACTCCAAACCTGCCCGGACATTCTCACCGTGCCTATCGAGGGACTGGGAGATCGCCATCATGGCCGCAGGCGCAGTGAACTTCCCCCCGGTCGTCGAGCCGAAGCTTGATTCACGACGAGAAGCGGAGGTCCCAGCAGGAAGCTCGGCTTTGGGTTTCTTCTCCGGGTGCTTCTCCGCGCTCGGAGATGATGGCACGCGTTTATCGCCAACGCGCGCGGATGAGGGTGTCATGGGAGCGGGAGAAGCGGTGGGAGGGGGAGTGGTTGGCCGGGGTGCCTGCGAGGCCGCATGCGGTTCGTCGGCAGTGTTCTCACTATCCTATACAAAGTCAGTATGAACAGGTGTTGAAGGATGTAAACGACGCACCGGTGGAGGCACATTGCCACCCGCATTACCACCAGATCCTCCCTCACCCACGGAATTCTGAGTCAGATCAGCCCCCGCTGTCGCATTGCCCTCGGAGGGTGCAGGGGATGGCGAGCGCGGCCTGCGTCCGCGGCCTCCGTACACAGCGCGCTTCCCCCGCGTGGTCTTCGGCACCAGCTGATCCATGGTATCGAAGTACGGCCAGCCCTTGTGCTTGAAGCGGTTGGCAGCAGTCCTATGCGACGCGGACAGCTTGTCGAGGAAGGCTGTCCATAGCTCCTTCTGCATCTCGTTATCCGAGTCGATGTCGGCGCCTCTCTCCTCGCTGTAAGACCATCCCGACTTCCTCTTGATCTCCCTGATCACGAGCGTGTTCGTGCGGCCCTTCAAGCGGCGTGAGTATCGTCCCAGGATGGTGAGAATGGAAGATCGGCGGCGCACCTCCCGATATTTCGTATGGACATGCCGCCCGCCTTTGACAATGCCCTGCGTGCGGTACGACGCGATGGCGCGAGCACAGCTACTGTATACCGTGTCTGGAAAATTGCCACCGTGACCAGCCTCCGCCCTGTGCTCCCAGAGGTAGTTGTACATGTGCTGCTCCTCGGTAGCATTCCAGGACGCATTCTGGGCCTTCTCGTCAGCTTCGGACCCGCTGGACTCGCTGCCGGCACGGCGCTCAGCCTTGCGCTTGTCCTTCTTGATTTTCGACTTGTTAGCCATCGAGAATCGAGGTGGAAAAAGAAAGCCGAGCCGTGAGTCACCATGCCCTAGTTGAATTTCGGGATGCTGCGAGGTTCGAGGCACGCGAACGGTCATTTGACGGTCTGAATCTAGTCCATTTTATCAGGATATGTGTCCTACACTATGTATGGTACATCCTGCTGGCCAACGACAGGCGTACGTGCACGAATGCACCGTCGCTCAGCGGCGAGGAGGCGCGGGTGAGAACACGTGGCCGCCCCGGGCCCGGGGCGACCACGCGGTCGCGGCGCGAGCGCCGGCGACGACCATGTGACTCGCCGGGGATTTCGCCAGGGACTTGATTTCGCAGCATTCCGCCGCGGAATCGGCGTCACTGGACAGGCTCTTAGGAAGGACTGATGTTGAACGTTGAACGCCGATGGTCGGATCGTTCGGTCGAAATCGAAGTCGACGTCGATGGCCGAGTCCATTCGTCAGTGATTGTCGTCAGTAAGCTACCTACCTACCTACCTACCTGGTCCTATATACCCATACTCTGCTAGCATGCTCCTATATCTATCTCTAACTAATTCAGGTATCAGTTCCTTCGTGAGTGACCTCTAGGTTCGTCTCAAGTATCGTTGCTCTTCCGCCTATATCTTCCTCTACTCATCTCCTCATTCCTTGCGTCGACTTCAAATCGACGCCTTCCCCCGCGGTTCATACGGAAGCAGCAGCGCAATGCCGCCACAGGCGATGATGATCGCGCCCGACACATAGACCGGCACGGCAGTCGTTATATCGGCAAAGAGGGCGATGACAGGCGCCTGCAAGGAGGGTCAGCAATGCTAGATGGGTAAGTACAAGAATGCTAGACGGGCGAAGTACAAGAGTGCTGGACGGGCCAGTCCAAGTATGCAGGGTTGGCAACTGCGCGCAGAGCTGGACGGACAAGGTCGCACATGCCAGTTGCAAAGGTCAAGCGACGAAGAATGCACACTCACCACCACGCCAAACACCCTAGTCGTCGTCGACACAAGCGCGTTGCCTGTCCCCCGATCCTTCGCGGGGAAGATCTCCGGCGAGATCGCGTACAGCACGCCATACATGATCTGCGGAACGCGGGTCAGCTCTGTCCACCAAATGAAACCAACCCCCACTCACATTACTACTGAACGTATACCCACAGTTCCACCCAAGGAGCTGCCCCGAGCTCCTCGCGGTGGTCGAGCCGAGCAAAAACGCGCCGGTGAGCCCTAACGATACGCACGGGGTCGTTGAATAAAGTCAAACCAAGGCAAGCAAATACGTCACGTGCAGGAGAATAAGGCGAGCGTGCCCTTGCGGCCGACGCGGGGCAGCTCGACGAGGTAGCCGGCGAGGAAGGCGGCGGGGATGCCGATGACGGCGAGGATGGCGTTCTAGGGCGGCGTGTTAGAGACGGGAGGAGCGAGGCAGATAAGGGAGGAGCGAGGATGGGATAGGGGGAGGGCATTCATGGGACGTGAGGTGTCGTGGGGAGGAGGGACTAGATGGAGGTAAGGGGTTCAGGATGAAAAGGAGACGCACGTTCCGGTAGGTCGTGTAGAGGGAGCCGTCGCCGTAAACGTTGCCTCGGTTTTGGAGGCTATGGAACTGGTCAGTCGGAGGGGCGAAATAGCGCAAGTGACTTGGCCTACATGAAAGGCAAGAAGCTGTTATACAACGTTGATGCCAGACCGATTAAGCCTGTGAAGAGTCAGTGACTTTACAACGGGGGTACGCATCGACGGAGAACCTACCCCACAGCACCACCAACAGCGACGTCGACAACGCGATCTTCGGCGTCGCAAACAGCCCACGCATATGCTCCATCCGAAACACCGACGTCCTCGTCAGCACCGGCTCATGCGCCTTCGTCTCCCCATCTATCACACCACCTGCCCCACCCTTCTCCTCATCCCCTTTCGCCCGCACGCCCTCCAGCTCCGCCACCGTCAACGTCGCCTCCGTCCCATTGTACCGCGCGATATCATGGATCACTTTAACCGCCTCCGCGTCGCGGCCCTTCCCCACCAAATACCTCGGGCTCTCGAACATGCGGAACGCGAAGAAGCGCACGGCCCAGAGGACGAGCGTGGTGCCGCCAAGTGTAAAGAGGAGGTACCGCCAGCCCATGTTGCTTGCGCGAGTGCAGGTGGAGGAAGAGGTAGAGCAGGAGAAGTTGGCGATGAGGGGCCAGGCAATCATGGAGGCGAAGAGCTGGCCTAGCGACCAGAAGACGGTCATGACGGTGAGAAGGTATTGGTGTGTGCCGGGGACGAGGTCTGTGTGTGGGTTAGGATGTTTGTGAAGTGGAGAAGGAGGGTATGAAGGAAAGAGAAGGGATGAAGCGTACCTAGGAAGAGGGCAGAGTCGACGGGCATGTTGCCGCCCACGCCCACGCCGACCACAGCGAGAAGGGAAGCCAGGGTGACGAAGCGGTCAGACCCGCCAGCGGCGAGACCGAAGGCTCCGGTGATGAGCAAAGTGAGGTTAAAGGCCCATCTGTATAACGATCAGCATGATATCAATGGACGAGCGCAGATAGGATACGCACCTCCGGCCTATGATCGGAATCAGTTCGTGTTCATCTCGGGCAAAGAAGTGGAGGGAAACGTACCGAACACGTCGCACCCAAAGCCCCAAAAGGCCGCCCCCACCAGCAGCCCGATGTTCGCCGCCAACGTCAAGTACGAGGGGGTGAAGCCAAACTCGGCCACGACTGGCGTGAGGATGAGGCCTGTAAGCAGCTGATATCCGGTACGGTGTCAGCGATCGCGGGAAGCACTTCCTTTCGCGCACTGACCGGCCATACGCTGTCTCTGCGGTGATCGTCAGCATTGAGAGCGCATATATGCGCGCATATACTCACGCGAACCACCCGAAACCGGCCGTGATGAACAGGAGGTACTGGTGATCGTCTAGTCATCCGTCTCCCCCTTCGCAGCGGACGCAGCTACGCACCTGATACTTCCCCATCCCAATCTCCTGTATCGCCTGATTGAGTATTTGGGCTTTCTTCTTATAAACGGCGTCGATGGCGCCGTCCTCATACAGGCCCTGGAGTGCCACGACGTGAGTCCTCTTCGCCACGTCCCCGCCAATTGGTCGGTCGTCGACGACTGCAGCTTTCTCGTCGTTGTACGTCTCTTGTACGCCTGTTGACATCGTCGAGGAAGCTGTAGGGGAAACAGGAAGATGACGAAGGGGGGAAGCGAGAGGTGAGCAAGCGAGCAAGAGCGTCGCGTCCGGCGATTTCCCGAAGGGAGCATGCCGACGGATCTTCCCACGCTAAGTACTCGATTTGATTGATCACGTGATTGAGTATCATTGGCTGACGATCTGCCACTGGCAATGCTTGCCTTGAACCGCCATGCATGCGTACCTTCCGAGCGTATATGCGAATTTCCCTAAATGCGCTCGATAACGGATTCTAGGGACTGTACAACCCCGGGTGAGCGCGGACACAAGGTTCTGAATCGGCCACAGAAGGTCCTTCGTCCACCTGCTCCCGTTCGATGTCAACCTACCTACGAAGGAGGGGATCGATGCAATCGAGTCACTCTACCGAGCCGCTTTAGTTTACGGCTCTCTCATACCTGGGTTAGCCATGGCTATTGAGCATGCGACACTGTTCTACGCTAACACACCCCCTACAATCTGGTGAGCGCAAGTACTTTTGGGCCTCGGCATGGCTAACTTAGAAGGCGGGTCTCTTGAGAACACAGGAAGTGTCAGGCGCACACCATGCACATTAGATAGGATACCTGCTACAATGCCGGGCATTCAGACGGCGTTCAGTTACTCACGCACTGTGCGAATTGGGGCGCGTCCGAAGTGACATGGGTGTGTGGTCCGTAAAAGCGATGAGTCTTCGCTTGCTGTGAGCTAACTTCCGTTACTGGCTATATATCCCCAGGCATACCAATCAACGTTCCTTGCTCGGCATTTCTGTATCCTTCCCCGTATCCCCTTCACCCTACAGAGGGGACGCAGTCTTTCGCCTCTCAGTTTTCGGGTTATCATAGACCTTCACATCCTCTACCCCCAAGCGCACCTGCTCGTACGCGCCGACCCATAACGTCCGACCAACTCTCATTCTTTGCAGGCCCTCAAGTCAATGAGAAGATCGACACGCAGCGCATCCGCCGCCTCGTCCTCGCCGCATAACCTACCCCCGTTTTACGAGCGAGCGAGGAAGAAGAAGAAGAAAAACGCGTCTGCGCCAAGCCACCTTTCAGAAGTGCCAGGATCCCGGCGCTCGCGGAGTACCTCAGCGGGGTGCGTGCACCCATGTATCCCTCGACGAGCATCGCTGACGTATTCACTACAGCTGGCGAATTGAGGGGCAGGCGACGGGAACGTTGAGGGTGAAGCAAGAAGACGATATGGAAATCAAGGCTGAAGACGACGACGACGAAGACGTGGACCAGCTCATGTCCACAGACGACCATCGGGACGGGGACGGGGACGGGGACGGGCGCGAGCCTAGCGCAGCAAATAGAGGAACCCCTTCACTGCATTTTCGATTGCAGCGTGCAAGTTTGGCTCCGTCAGGGTAGGTTACCTCCTTTGAAAGTATCACCGGAGCTTGGCTGAGGCTACATAGGACTCAACGGGACCGCTCTCCCGACCTCGGTGATGCCTTCATGAGGTCTCCGGGCCCTCCTCTTGACCTGGGTCCTGCGATCAAAGCGAGTTGTAAGTGCATCCAGTATGGCTTGCACATGTTCGTTCGCACCTCAACTCTGACGATGCGAAGATGCTTGCCGCGATGGAAACCATATCCTCGATATCGGTGACACGTGAGTTGACCAGTGTCTGTATAGAGCAGACCTGACTAATTCTCTTCGCCCGTGCGCAGTTGTGCGGTCAAGCGGGGCGCAGATCGCCCGCCTCGGTTTATGTGGTTCAAAGATGACCTCGACAACGATGATTCGGATTCCGATGTGCCGGCCAACACACAAGAGGAAAGCGCCGGCGCCGGCGACAGATTTCTGAAGGAAGACGATGAAGACTGGCTGTATGCTCGCGTGATTCGTCCTTTATTCCACAGGGGGGACACACAGGATAAAAGCCCCAACAGCGTTCCGAGGGCCGCCGGCGCCCAGGTACACTTGTATTTGCGATGCCCATCCGACATCTCTGACGAACACATTGACCAGTAAGCTTCTAATTATATGTGTTGCTCCAGTCGTTCAGTCTAACTGACACGCCTCCCTTCATTATCAAGGGCAATACGTTATCCGCAGCTTATAAAGTTCGCCCATGCGCAATCCATCGAGATCAGCGAGATGATAGGTCAGCAGAACTGTTACAATCCCCCATCAATTCTGACCACCCACTAATTCCAGGGCTCATTGCCCGCATTGTTGACCAGTCCGACCATACATCTGGACCGCACATGTTGCCCATGGAATCAAACGACATCTGGTCCGCTTTGACCTCGGACGCGGCGACGAACATTGTAATACCTTCCTCCAGTTCAGTAAAGACCTCTTTTCTGATGCAGCCCAATAGCATTTATCCCTCATATGCCTAGAGGATGGCTGCAAGGTTCGTCAAATGTGGGAATCCGAGAGGAGCGGGCAGATCCGCTACTGCCGAAAATGCAAGATCTGGCTACACGTCGCTTGCCTCTCCTCGCAGCCAGTGACCGTGGACGACATCAGACGCAAGGACCTCGTTCGATTCGACCAGGAATACATGTCGTACCTACTGGACGCAGGTGCACGTAAGAGGGAGCAGGTCGAAATCAAAAAGCTCGTCTTGGGTCAGCCTGAGCACAAGGATCTCGACATGGACGTGGACGACACTCTAAATCGATTCCCAATCCCGCGGTCAGTACGGTATGAGGAGGTCGCCTGCATACCCATCCGCCGCCGCACTCGCCCCGGTTTCGCCCCGGAGACGAACGAGCTGTTCTATCAGCATGCTATCGACATGGTGAAGGCCGGGAAGGGAAGACAGATGGTACGCGGCGCGGACGTCGCCACCTGGTTGGAGGGCAAGGCGCCGGGTTTGGGCACTCGGGCCACAAAATTCATCCTGCGCAAGGATCTGCGCAAGCTCCGCAAGGACACCATCCGGCGCTTTCTCTGTACTTCTTGCAACGCGCAGATCGTGTAGATGGTGAAAATTGTACACCGACCGCTTTGTGGCTAAGGTCTCTCTAAATTCAGGTCATATCTCCTGTTCCTCTCACATGTCGGCACATACATGCACGTCGTTGACGAGCTGGCAATGACTCGAATGTCCATATCTAGCCGTCGACAAAAACACAGTACAGCAACATGTATTCCTTTCACGACAATGTATATAGGTCTCCCAAAAGGAAGACCAGCGACGACTTCCATATCCTACGCCGGGATCTTGACGGGCTCGAGGTTCCAGTAGCTCTCCGCGTACTCCATAATGGCGCGATCCGAGCTAAACTTGCCCATCTACACAATCATCAGTACCAGAAATACAAGTACTAGGCTCATCAGTCTACTCACCCTGCACGCCGTGTAGATCGACTTCTTGATCCACTCCTCCTTGTCCAGGTAGGCCTCGTCAACCATCTTGAGCGCGTCGATGTCTGGGGGTCACGTCAGCAACTTCATCCGAGTTCCTCCGTGTATAACGCCTCACATGAGTCGAAGTCATCTGCGATGAGGTAGTAGTCGCCTTGGCGGACGGTGTTGAGGAACCTGGAAGGGGCCGAAAGTTAGGCAACGTGACCAAGGAAAATGGAGAGTACGTACGGCTCGTAGATACTACCATCGCCAAACAGGCCCTCCGACACGGTGCGGAGGACGCGCGCCAGCGCGGGCGACTTCTCCTCGACCGAGCGCGGGTGGTACATGTTGTTGTACCGCACCTGCTCGACCTCAGGCGTGAGGTAGCCGAAGAAGACTAAAGTGACCTTATCAGCCTCTCGTTCTCCCCAAATGACAGCACACCTGCGCCCACTCACAGACGTTGCTCGTCCCGACCTCCTCGCCGATCTCGATGTTCGCGCCGTCGACCGTGCCGAGCAGCAGCCCGCCGTTCAGGCAGAACTTCATGTTCGACGTGCCCGAGGCCTCTGTGCCCGCCGTCGAGATGTGCTGGCTGATGTCGGAGGCGGGGATGAGGATCTCGGCGAGGGAGACGCTGTAGTCGGGCAGGAAATAGAGCTGGAGGTAGTCCTTCGTATCCGCGTCCGCGTTGATCACGCGGGCGACATTGACGATGAGGCGGATGATCTGGGCGAACGATTAGCCCCGGATCTACCTTCTAAGGTATCTACCTTCAGACTTCAGTATACTCACCAGCTTCGCAATCCAGTAGCCCGGCGCCGCCTTCGCTGCGAAGAACACGACACGGGGGTTGACCTTCTTGCGCTCCTCCGGGCTCATGTCCTTGAGCGTCAGGTAGCGGTGGATGACACCGAGGATGTTCAGCGACTGCCGCTTGTACTCGTGCAGGCGCTTGATCTGCACGTCGAACATCGCGTGGGTGTTGATCTCAAGCCCGAGCGTCGTGCGCACGTGGTGTGCCAGGCGCTCCTTGTTGCGCTGCTTGATTGCGGCCCACTCCTGGCGGAAGGCGGCGTCCTCGGCGAGCGGGAGGAGCTTCTTCAGCATGAAGAGGTCCTTGAGCCAGACCTGCTTCGGGACGCCGAGCGATTTTGTGATGAGCGCGCTCAGCTCAGGGTTGCACTGGTCGAGCCAGCGACGGGGTGTGACTAGATGGGATGATAAGGGCAAATAAGATGAGGATGCAAAGACACGCACTGCCGTTAGTGACATTGCTGAACTTGCCAGTGCCCTCAAACTCGACGAAGTCCTTCAAGATGGTAGTCTTGACGAGCTCACTGTGAAGCTAGGGATGAACTCACATCAGGGCCTGCTCCAATCCGACGCGCTGAAGGTACTCACCTCGGCAACACCGTTGACCTTGCGACTGCCAATGCAAGCGAGGTACGCCATGCGGACTTGCTTAGGGAAGCCCTCTGCGGTATGTTTGAGCCATCTGTCTCTTCAGGTTGACGATGAACGTACCCTCAATCAGCGACATGCGCGCCAACCTATCACGGTCGCCCGGGAACCTCTTCTCAACGGCTTGCAGGAAGTACATGTTCTGTTTCGAGCGTCAGCGATCTCACCTGGACCACAGCCTGACGCACTCACAATATCGTAGATGATCTGCATGTGCCTCGGCAGCAAGTGCTCCATGAGCGGGACCGGCCACTTCTCCAGCGCCTCGGGGAGGACGGTGTGGTTCGTGTAGAAGAACGTGTTGGTGGTAATCTGCCAGGCGGTGTCCCAGGGCACGTCCTCCTCGTCGACGAGGATGCGCATCAGCTCGGGGATAGCCATCGTCGGATGGGTATCGTTGAGCTGGATAGCGACGTCTGTTGGGGGTTGGTCAGCCGATGCCCTCGCAGTAAAAGGGGGACAAGGGCAATACGAACAGTCAGGGAACTGCGTGATGGGCTTTCCGATGTTCTTGAAGCGGCGGATCATGTCAGCAAGACTGGCAGCTGTCCAGAAGCTGTAAGGAGAAGTGAGCGAAAGATAGGACGCAACGAAGCTCAAAACTCACTATTGCTGCTTGAGACGGAGCTCCTTCCCGAACGTCGTATGGTCGTTCGGGTAGAGGACGGAGGTAATCGCGCTCGCGCTGTTCGACGCCTCGACCGCGCGCTCGTAGTCGCCCGCGTTGAACGAGTTCAAGTCGAACCCGCGCTTCGGCTTGCTCTCCCACAACCTGAGGTTGTTCGTGCTCTTCGTGAAGCACCCGGGGATCATCACATCGTACGCCTGCGCAATCACCTCCTGCCCGCCGCTCCAGACCGCACGCGGCGTTCCGTCGTTCAGCCTGTCCGCGCTTCCGTAGAAGCGCACCTCGTATTGCACGTCCAGCCGGGGGAGCTCCCACGGGTTCTGGTTCTCGAGCCAGGGGTCAGGAGCCTGCAGCGCTGCGATGAGTTGTTGCATTCGGCGGTGCGGGGAGAGCTTGCGCACCTCGAGCTGCTGACCCTCGGGCGAGATCAGCTGCTGGAAGATGCCATACTTGTAGCGCAGGCCGTAGCCCCACACAGGAAGTTCCTGGAGTAAGGAAGGTGAGCGACGGTGACGTCACGCGGGGTACAATGCAGTGAAGGAACTTGCCATGGATGCGGACGAGTCGAGGTAGCAGGCGGCGAGGCGGCCAAGACCACCGTTGCCGAGGGCTTTTTGGGGTGAGTGAGTTTCGCTATCTTGCATCAGATGCACGCACCGGCGTCGCGCTCCTGCTCAAGCAGATCCTCCATGTTGAAGCCGAGTTTCTACGCAACGTTAATGGGCTATTGCCTTGCAGAAGCGCGGGCTTGCCTCGGTCGACTCTTTGTACTGCTGCTTAAGGTCAAGATTGAGGACTGCATTGTCCAGCGCGCGTCCCATGAGGAACTCAAGGGAAAGGTAGTACGCCCGCTTAGGCTCCTTGCGCGTGTACTGCAGCTGCGTGTCGTTCCAGTTCAACTATATGCGCCGTCAGCGTACCGATCGCGTTGTAGGTATACACCACGCACGATAAGATTATCGCGCACGGACAGCGCCGCCGCCTGATACGCGCCAAGGTTGTCGAGGTTGTACGCCTGGCGCGCCAGCGACGTCTGGACGTGGTGCACGATGGTCCTCGAGATCCCCGGCACATCTGAAGGACGCTGGTAAGTCGCGCGATCCGCGCCGATAAGGCAGGCGACGCACCGGTCTCGAGCGAGCGCATGTTCTCCTTCCACGTCTTCTCGTCCCCGCGCGGCCACTTCTCCTTGCCGTGCTCGTCCGTCTCGGGGAGGTAGCCGGTGAGCGAGCGCACATGGCGGCGCGCGCGCGGCGCGGGCTTGCCGATCGCTTTGGGGTCGATGGTGGAGGTCATGGTCGCCGTCGGGGGGAGGGAAGGGACGCGTCCTCCCGGTCACGCACGTTTTAAATGGCGGATTACGGGGCGGGTTCTCCAGATCTGGGGCGACGTCATGAAATCACGAACACCCGTGCTATCGCCGGGGTCGAGGTCGCGTGGGTTCATCATGGGCTCTGGAGGATTCGCAGCCTCCCGCCGCAGACCAATGGCGCGCCCCACAAGCAAGCTCCGGGGATGCTGAGAGCGCGGCGGGGCAGCCTTGGAGGGCCTTGGGCCATAGCTGAGCGCGCGCGTATCAGGGGGAGCGGACTTGGGCCATGGCCGGCCTAGATCACTACTTGGGTGCAACAGTCAGCGCAAATCGCGTTATCCTCGACAAATCCTTCCTTATCGGGCCGCCAAGGGGCTGGGAAACCGAATGTGGGACCAGGGCCTTGTACTTACTTTGGACCTTGTTACCGTGTGTAGCCGCGCAGTTGAGGGCGGGGATCGAAGACAAAGTCGACGGCGGCGAACTCGCGCCATTCGTCGGCGCGCAACCAGAGCAGTCGATCGGACACAGGACGGTGATGTTGGACTTGGTCGAGGACATAGCTCCGGCAATAGGCTATACAGGCGCGGCTGAGGGCCTTCACACGGCCCATATTTCTTGGCTAACGCACAAGCCAGAGAGGACCTCGCAAATTCGAAAGAAATGACCCTTCGCAGGGTTGGCTCTTCGAAGTAACGTACGCTTCGGTCGGACTGGATGCAGAAATGAGCTTGGCCATTACAAGAGAAATAAGCGCTCACTGTCATCACGCCGGACGTCGCCAGCTGGGATTATCATGCGCGATTTGTCCGCAAAACCAAAATTCGACGATGATCAGCCGTTGAAGCATGAATAGATCCGACATTGCAGCTCGCGCATATCTGAATACATGTGCATTTGAGGTGTGAATAGAGCACAATAGCAGCCTTCGACATATGCCAGAGTCGACTCCTTGTGCACAATATAAAGAAAGCTTCGTCGGTGTATGAGGAAAGTTGCCAACGCGAGCCGGAGAAGGCGGTCCGTCGGCCGTTGAGACACGTGTGCGGTCACATGATAAGCCCATCCGGCAACAGCCGAGCAGATCATGGCGGAAGACGTTACATCGTCTGGAGGAGACCACAGCAAGGACCAGACCACTTGTGACGCGGTGGAGGAGCCGCTACCGCTGGGGGTGGTTGGAAAGGGAGGAATGGAAGACGAAGGCAAAAAATTAACACTTGAGGCAGGAAGGAGGGGCAATACTAAGAGCGGATGCCGTCCATCTCCAAGAAAATGTAGAAGAATTACCCCAAAATGTTTTAATTCTTGAGGTAGAGACTATATAATTGTACAGCGCCTCTTGAGTTACTGAAATGGCGCATTCTCGTCAAGGTAGGCTTGCGTCGTTCTCCGTGATTGCACCGTACGACGAGCAGAGGTACACGTGGAAAGGGTATTGAGGGAGAGCTCAACATCGGAAGGCATACGTGCATGGCAGTGGGAAGCAAGGAGCCGATAAGAAAACACGTCGCTCGGGTACTGGTGACATCATCTGTCACTAACATGTCACAGTTCGACTTTGGTCACGATCGAAGAACGGGTATTCGTGTCTATGGCGAATGGACCTGCGCTTTGTACAAGGCCAGTCAATCATCTCTAGATCAAAGTAGCCCCCAGAGGCTGGATAGCGACCCAGACTAGCTACAGTATCTGCTCGTTACAATTAGTACAGAGAAATCTTCGAATGGCGTCCTTGCGAAGCTTGCGCAGGTCTTTGCGCAGGATGAACTTCAGCGCGCGGGCGCCCGCTTCCGGCGCTTTCTCGCTGAGCCAGTCTGCCACCCTCTGGCCCTGCACCGACTTCGCTCCATCCCCAGCTTCGACCATCGCAATCGCGTGCTGCACCAGAAGCTCGTTCGTCTCGGGCGCGAATCCTGGGCGAGTGCGCCGCCGGATCGGGATGCACGCGACTTCGGCCCAGGTCGTCCTGGGCATGTTGATTCTGTTCTGGTTGTCGTGCACGTCCACGTCGCGCGCCGCATCCTTGCCCAAGATGAGCTTTTGGATCGAGACGTCCGTCCTGTTTCGAGCGTCCTTGTCCAGAAGAAACGTCAAGTAGCCCTGGTTGAAGTTGGCCAGGTCTTCCCGGTCGAGGTCGTCGACATCGGCACGTTGCTTGGAGATGCACGCGGCATGCATCCAGCGCTCGCAGCGACGACACCAGCGTATCTGTCCGGTTTTGCCTGGTTCCCAAATACGACCATGTCTGCATCCGTATTCCATGCACATCAACTCTCGTGGTGGCTGCCCGTACCCGTTACATCTTCGCATTTATTACGGGGGAATACAAACCACTCACAATATCTCCTTTCTCATTGACCGTAAATCTGGACCATAAGTCGTTGGATTCAATCGGGGGCATGCGAGGTCCATGCTCCGATACGACAAGCTCGCCGTGTCCGGAGAGCAACACAATGCGGCAGATAGGACCTTTGGGAAGGCAACCCTGTGAGCCCATTGTCAAAGACAAACATGGCAGTACGCACCTTCGAATTCAGAACTCTGTACGACAACTTCTTCAGTAGTCCCCACGAGTTCCGGATAGCGAACGATCCTGACAATATGGAAGAAGCGGTTTGAGCACAATCATTCTCGCCCTTGCGAGGCATACACTCACCGATCCATCCTGTCGCCAGAGATATCCGATGGACAACGCGAGAACAGCCAGACGACAGCGCCCGCCGCTTCTGGTCTATTGCTTTTGTCCTGCATGTCGCCCTCTTCGAACAGCGGCGCACGTATCTGCGCGTACAGACGGTCGGCGTCTTCCTCCCGGTCCTTCGACGAGGCATTCGCAGGTGGTTCTTGCGTGTTGGGTGGCACGTCGGAGGCCGAATCGTCGTGGTCCGTGTTGTTGAAGTACTTGAAGTACGGCGGGGTACTTGAGTGGCGCTTCAGCGCGCAGCTAGTAGGGTGAAAGAGGGGTCAGTTAAGGTAGCAGGATCTTCAAGGTTTACAGATATGACGCACAAATCGCCGATGTCGAGCGTGAAAGGGCCGCTGTCTGACGGATCTGAAGCGTCATTGTAAGTGCTAGTTCGTTTCGACAGCCAAGTCCTCACATTTCGCCGTAACAGCAGAGCCGCGGACGAGGTCAGGCGGAAGTGGTGAAGCTGAAGGTGGCGGAGACGTCGCCGGAGTAGGCATAGGGGGCGGAGCCGGAGAAGTCGCAGGAGAGTCCATGCGTACATCGGCATCACCGCCATTGAATGTTCCATTGTCGTGCGTGACGCCGGTCTGCTCTTGACACTCCCCATCCTCCTCCTCCTCCTCCTCCTCCTCCTCCTCCTCCTCCGTGTCCACGTCCACGTTTTGTTCATCCTGCTCGCGTTCATCGTCTGCGTCTTCCTCATCTTCTGAGCTGCAGTAGCCGAGATTACTACTCATCCAGGATAGCTCGAGTTACCAAACTCACCTTTGCGCGGTACGCGCACGCTTGGGGTCGCGATCATCTGCTCGCGGGCCCATGAGTGAATCACTCTCTTCGCGAGTTAGGCGCTTCGTAGAGGATGGCTCCCTCGACGGCGGGGACGTTAGCCTCGATAGCGAAACCGATTCTACCGGTGACGATGTGCCGTCTCCATGTTGCGGCGGCGGTGTCCCTTTCGGAGATGTGGCCCTGCTGGCGACCTCTTGCTGAGGACCATTGTCCGGCTCAAAGATCCCCTGCGTGTTGTCTTCGGGATCTTCCTCTTCGGGGACCTCTGGCATCGCGGCGTCCTGTGTTCCTGAGTCTGGATGATATATAGAGGTTAGCTGCTGGACCGATGCCGTTCAACATCCAACACGTACCATTGTCCTCGGGTTTTGGCCCGTTGAGAGCGCCCTTGATGCGTGCATACCCTGCGCTCAAAACCAGCTGCGACGCATGTCAGCAGCCATTTCACATGCTTGACTTCCTCGGAGGCTAGCAGAGGGAAGGAATGCGAACTCGCCTGATCCTGGGTGCGGTTCCACATCTCGAAGACGACTTCCATGCTATCTTCGTGTCTTCCGGTCAGCCATAGCCTGGTCTCTAGCTGATCCTCGGCATGTATCTTGGACTCGATATGCGCGCGAAAGAATGTCAATGCACGCTGGTCTTCCTCCGCTACGGTGTCGACGATAGCCCGTGCAGCAGATCCAAGCGCAAACGTCGACATCCCATCAGCCATGGGCCCCCCGAAGTCGGTCGCGTCGTCTTGGCGGGTATCTGTGTGATACGTCTCAGCGTAGGCAAAGAGGAGCGCGGAGACGGATGAGGGAGAATTGTGAGTCAAAGCGCTCACTCACCGATCTGCGAGATATCGTATAGAAGGCGGTGTAGGAGCACCTGCACAGCCAAGGGCTCGTCTGCGATGGTGTAGTCAGGGTCCCGATGTGGTGCGGTCGGGGCCTTCGCCAGTGATAGAATATCGACGCCAGATTCGGAGCCCTGAATTTGCGCGTGGGGAAGGTCAACGCCAGCGCGATACAAAGTGCACTATGACAGCGGTCATTATCAGGACATTGGGGACTTTTTAAGCGATAAGTTCAAACTCACGCGTAGTTTAGCATAGGCTTCAACATCCGCGTGAACGAGCAGCGAATCCGCGGTGAAAAGAATCCCTTTGCCTGGCCAAGGCGAATGAGACGTTATGGAAGAGATGAGTGATGCATTTGTGCTTACCGTTCGGCGCCACAGCAGCGGACACGAAGCGAGTTACCCAACTCCATCCTGGCCCGCTCTCAAGAGGTAGCTGCTTCATGATGTCAATGGCCTGCCCTACGTGTGCCTTTGATCTCGGGTCAGTCAGAAAGACATCAGCAGACAAAGGGCGCTTACCGTCAGGCGTGGGTTGATTTGCTGAGGACCAAGAGCCGGCGGTACTTCCTGCTCTTTCGTGGAAGAAGCCAGGTCGAGCGCTAGCCATCTGAGGTACAAGACGACCAGAAACGTAGGTATTGGCACGTAATCGCCAAGCAGTTCTGCATTCGAGGAACAAAGGGGATCTCATAAGCAACGTATCCTCGCGATGAAGGGGGCGTAGACATACCATTGTCAGAGGGAACCTTGCCAATTCCGACGTCATGAAGGATCCAGTCCTTCTTTGACCACGAGACCTAGGGAAGCAAACAAGTCGAACAGCAATATCGGTGTCACAAACTGAAGTCTCCTCACTGATAAGTTAGGGCCGCGACGCCCAAGCAGTTCAGTCAGGTCGAAGGGCATCAAGGGCAAGATGCAGGGGGAGGCGAGAAGGAAGTGATAGGCAGGACTGACAGAAGCATGTTCTTTGTACTCGATGCATGAACGTGACGCCACGCTGCATGGCCAAGGAAACGTTCAAGAAGCAGTCTCAAAGGCAAGAGCACTCAAAAGAGCGATGCATGCATAGCCATTTCGGGAAACAAGGGCACCCGTTGATAGGACTGCCGGACGGATATTCTCCAGGCTAGAGGCAGATGTGAAGAGATGCTGTGAACACGTTCAACGCGAGAGCGCGCAATGATTTCCCGTGGCGTGGGGATGTCTACAAACGGGCTCAGCAAGTACGGGCAAATGGAACGGAACGTTTATCGCTTACCTGCCAGAACAGGAGAGAAAGCACCAATGCACGGAGGCCTGTATATAAGTACCTCACAGGCCAACATTATTTACCACAGTCGGCCGCGCCTCGATCTCTTCAGCCGTTCGTCTCATCAACACATGCCAATATGATACAATGGGATTGCTCCGCTACACATACCACTCAACCCTTTACGATGCCACCAATACCTCCGGCGTCAGCCTCTGCTCCACCGAGCCCAGCTTCGCCGCCCAGTCCTCCAGCCGCTTCGCCAACGCGCCCACCTGCTCGCGCGACAGCACGCGCGGCTGCACCCACGTGATCTGAGCCTTCTGGTCAACCTGGTCGAGCGAACCGCGGATGAGCTTGAGGCTGAGCGCCTTCATGACGAGGTGCTCGACCTCATTGATCGGCAGGCGCGTCTCCTCGGCGATCGTCTGGAAGCCCATTGTCCGGTTATCTGCGCTGCGCTTGAAGACGGATTCGATGAGTGCCATCAGGCAGATTTTTTGGCGTAGGAAGGGGTAGTTGGCTTGCAGGAGGGGCTGAAGAAGCGTTAGGTGAGAGTGATTGAGAGTTAGAAGTGAAGCATACCTCTTGTGGGAAGAGTGGTGCAAGCGCCTCGAACTTGCCGATGTTGCCCTCATTGAAGGTGAAAAGCAGCTTCTTGATCCACTCGTGCGGTGTGCCGTCCAACGAGCCGAGGATCGGGTGCATGAGCTGTGAAAGCCGTGAGTGGACGAGACCACGCGCCATCGTGTTCTCCTCACCAGCTCGCCAAAGTTGTAGATCGTGTCGCCGAGGAAGGCCGACAGCGCCAAGTGGTACGCCCGCTGCAAGCGCTCCTCTGGCGACATGTCCTTGTCGATGTCGACGCAGGCGAGGTAGAGCAGCGAGTTCTTGTAGTAAGGGGCATATTCGCCTTTGCGCTGCGAGCATCATGAGTGCGGGGAAAGGGAGGGACAAGGCATGCCACATACCTGGTAATACTCCGCCGCCAAGCCGTAGTACGCCGCATTCACGCCGTTATCCACACCCTCCAACTTCTCCAGCACCGCCCACGCAGCGTCCATATCTGTCCGCGTGCCCTCGAGGTCGCCATATGTGAGCTTCACGCCGGCGATCGTGGCGAGCAGTAGGACGTGCGCTTCGGGCGATGCTTCGGTGTTGACGCGCGAGAGAAGTTCGGAGAGAAATTCGACGTGTGTTTGGGGGTCTGGGAGGTGCGCGGGAGTTGTCAGTAAGGAGGGAGGAAAGGATAATTTAGGGGACGCACTGGCGATCTCCTTCGACACCTTCACAGCCATCTCGACGAGGCGGAGTTGATTCAATCGGCTCTCAAAGTCGCGAACAAATTGCAGAAAGGTGTCAACGCGGTAGGGCTTGGAAAGGGGATGGTCGAAGAACTCGAAGAGCTTGAGTGTAAGCTGGTGCCATAGCCTGGATCATTGAGGTAATTGACAGCGATTGGGGGGAAGGGCATCAATGGCGAGAGCGTTACAAGGGAGCGATGCAAGTCAAGTCAGAGTTGTGACACTTCATCGTGTATCTGCCACGCACTTTCGATTGTAAAGAGTTTGGAAACTTTGGAAGAACGGGTGTAGTTCGGCGGGCGTCGCAGACACTGCAGTCGCGATGAATTGCTCCAAGTCCAACTTGTACGGCTTTGAAGGGTCTACCGCCATTGAGGAAGACATCATGCCAGAGGTAGAATTAGAGGTAGAATTTCTATGAGAGATGAAGGTCAGGAGCAAGAAATTGAGCGCGCGCGTAAGGACGCGTCAGCCGCGTAAAATGAAATATCCAAAATAGGAAATGTCATTGTTCTTTTGATGCTGCATTTACTTCTCGCCTCCCACTATCATGAACATATACTTCTGCGCAAACGGGCCGTAGACAGGTATCTTGGGATGCAGTGGCCATCAAACAGATCACCTTCGCATCTACTTTTTCAATTATGCACACATGCTGGCCGACCCTCGTCCAATCTATCGGCTCTCAGACCTCGTATTCCTTTCCCTACGGTACCGTGCGCAGATGGGTACAGTATCGCCCATTGTAATAGAGCACCGATCAGAGAAGATCTAAGTTGAGAGGGAGACGGGTTTTCTGGTCGGTCGCTTCGGCTCACTTTCATCGGAGTACTGACCGGTGGAGCAGAGGCCATGGTTGGAGCTCGTCTACCAGCGTTTACCCCCAATTCACACCTGCAGCATCATTGGGCAATCCCCAGACCTTGCCACTGCTGGCGCCCCCATTGGCCGATCTCAACGCCACCCCCCAGCCCCTTTCCAAATCGCTGATGGTCGTGTGCTCCTCGCGGCGTCGTCGCTCGGCACGTCGCTTCATACGATTGGCGCGCACTTTCTCTCCGCCTAAAGCACCCCTCTCTCGTCTGGACACACCTTATCGGGGCCCGCGCCGGGCGGAGGCATCCCCGCTGAGTCACGCGGTCTTCATAACATGTGGCGATCTAAGTACTAAAGGGCCTTGTACTTGACTTTAGCCTCCGTCTATCTGTTATCCCTCCCTTCCCCTTCCCCCTCCCCCCCTTTACCCCCTTATTACTTGCAGCCCATAGAGCAAGGCAGGTGCCATGCCGACGAGGCAACGAATGGTCAACAAGCCATGGCCCTACAAGGCGCAGGCGCTGCGGTTACACGAGCTGGACGACGACGTTTTGAGCCTGGTCGTTGCGGCGCTGGCGTATAAGTCTATACGTTCGCTTCAGGCGCTTGCGCTTGTCTCCGGGCGTTTCTGGAATCTCTGCGCACCGGTGTTGTTCAGGAAGATTACATGGACGGGCGCGGGCGCCATACCCCACGGAGTCGCTGTGCAGACAAGGTGCGTGCGCTGGCTTATGGTTCCGGTGCGTCGTGAGTTGACAGTGTGTCATATGCTAGGCTTCTACGGATCGTAGTGCAAACCCCCAGTCCTGAAAGCGCGAAGGCGGACTGGAGCGCGCTCGGAGAAGCAATATCCACCATGACCCTTCTCCGAGAAGTATCATTCGACGTGACCACATTTGTGCCCCAGTCGCTCTGGGACGCCCTCTCCATACTCCCCAATTTGCGCACCATACGCGCTCGAGGGTTCCCCACATTTACCCTGCCCAAGAGAGGGCCTGCCAACCTCACGCAGCTGCTGATCGGTGTAGGGGATGTCAAGGTAGCAGGAGCCGATCGCCCAGCGTCCTCCATTGCAGCCCCCTTCGAAGTGTGCGACAACAGCGTCGGTCCTCTGCTCGCCAACCATGCGGCCATATTGGAGGAGGTGAAGCTGCCCGCACAACTCCTCGTCGCCCAGTCTCCCGCCACGCCGTTGCTGTCGCTGCGGAAGCTTACGCTGACGGGTACGCTGCCCAGCGATGTATCCATCTCGGACCTACTTCGATGCACTCCTCATCTTCGTGAGCTGTCCATCCTGCTCACCCTCTCGCATGAGGAAGAATACGGACCCGTTCTCCTTCCGCACGGCACTTCATTGCGGTCCCTAACACCCTATCTTCGCGCCCTTGCCCTATCTGACCTGAATTCCGACGACGGCGTGCTCGACGACCCTCCCGCCATGCTAGAAATGCTCGACCTGGTGTCCGTGGCGCGCACCGACGACGTGACGCGCGGGCTGCGATTGGAGCACGCCTTCGCAATCGTGGGCGCCCTCGCCGCAGCGAAAACCGACCTTCGTGACCTCCGTTTGTTTACCCGCGCGCAGCCCCCCGCGGAGCTCGCGGAGGCCATCGTGCGCGCCTTCCCCCGGCTGCACACCCTGCAGCTCGGCATCGACATGTACAGGCCCTCGCGGCCCGCGTACACGCCCGTCTGGGTACGTATTCGTTCCTCCCACTCCCTTCCATGCTCCATCTCTCCAACGCGTGCTGAACCACTGACCCCAGGCGGAGTTCGCTGAGGTGCTCGCGCCACTAAGTGCGCTGCGCAGGCTGTACCTCGGCCTCGACCTTCCCGTCGGCGTGCACGTAGAGGACTACGCGGAGTTCTTCTGCCGGCGGCTGCCCGCGCTCGAGGTCGTCGGGATGCAGGCGCTCCTCGGCGCGGCGGGGCTGCGCGTGCAGTCGCCGTCCGCGGTGCCCGCGCCGCCGCAGGCGGGGTGGGTGTGGGCGCCCCGCGTCGAGTGGTCGTGCTCATTTGTGACAAGATTGGGGGATGGGGAGTTCGAGCATCGCTACGGGACGTACGTGCCGCTGGCGGGCGTGTTTTGAGTGGTTCATGAGAGGCTCTCTCTCTTCGTATAGAGCTATTTTGTTTCTTCGTATGTATATTCGCTGACTCTTTAGATGGATCTGTATACTAATTCTCGAAGGCGCTTCGTGCGCCTGTAGATATGTACTGTAATATTTATGTATCTATCTTTCTGCTGAGTACGCCAGAGACTTGAGGGAAAGTCAGTTGAGCGTTTCCTGGTATCTATATATATGGCTATGCTCTCCACAGCTTTTCCACAAGATCGTGGGGGGCACGAGGAGAACATGCTGCCGGCAAATGCCGAAAATGTTATCAGCTACTGATATCCCCCACCGTGTGTTGCCTTCGCCCATATCGCATTTATTGTTCCTTTATCTCTTCGGCGTCAGGCGGGGCATATATTGCCTTCGCGAACTCTGCGCGGCCTTCTGCTTGTCCGGAATAATCCATATTTCGAGACTTTCGCGAGCACAATCGAAGGAAACGACCGAAAGACGTACAACGACGAGCCACAGGTCCAGTCCAGGATGTCCTCGACAAAGGCACAAACGACAGTGCCAACTGCAACTACCTTCTGCTTCAAAGCACCATACACACCAGGCAGCGTAACGACACCAAACTCGCCCGCGACGAAGACACGGCGTGTCTCGCTTGCGCTCCCCTCGAGCCCGAAGGAGTTCCAGGCCTGGTCCTTCCGCGACGACACGGGCGTCGGCGCGCGCAGCGGACAGTCGGGCGAGGAGCAGTCGGGCATGCACGAGAAGCGGGGCAAGATGCGCAAATTAGCCGACGGTGACGCGGCGACGGAGAAGAAACAACGAAAGCGCTGGACGCCCGAGGAGACGCAGATGCTGGTGGAGGGGTGCAACCGAGTGCGTGTGCACTCTGAACTTCATAACCTTCAAGTCTGACACTACACACCACAGCACGGCGTCGGCAATTGGAAAGCGATCCTCAGCGACCCCACGTTGACCTTCGACAATCGTTCCCCCGTGGATCTCAAAGACAGGTGCGTGTACATCTCACTCCCCCACGCGCGAGCACGCGAGCTGATCTTCCTCACTCCCAGATTCCGCACGTACTTCCCCGACGCGTACAAGAAGCACTACCCAAACGCGAAGACGCACCTCTCGTCCAAGGTTCGCTCCACCCTCCCCGACGGCTCCAGCCTGTTCGAGAAGACGCGCTCCAAGAAGCGACGCCCGTTCACGGAGGAGGAGGACCGCGCGCTCAAGGCTGGATACGAGAAGCATGGGACCGTCTGGGCGACGATCGTCAAGGACCCCGTCTTTCAGGAGCAGAACCGCCGCTCGACGGACTTGCGCGACCGTTTCAGAAATGCGTACCCAGAGCTGTACGAGGCGGCAGGGTACAAGCCGCGCAACGCGTCGACACGGAGAAGGACGCAGGCTGGTGATCCCATCCGCGCCGCCACGGATGATCAGCTGGCTATGTCGAGCACCGGACCAACCCGCCGGCGACGGCGGGCGCACACCAGTCAGGGATTCTTGCGCGGCGGCACAAAGAGCGTACCCCAGAGCAACGCCAACTCCGAGGACGAGGCAAGCGACGATGAAGACACCGTTTTCAGGCGGCCTCAGACTCCTGTCTTCTCCCCGCCGGAAGCGGCGTCAACACCATCCACATCCAGCGCTATCGTCGCGTCGCCGTCGGCGGCGGAGCCGCCTCCTGTCAGTGAGGATGAGGAGATGAACCTCCTCGGTCCAGACCTCTTAGCCGAGCCGGATTCGCTGCTCAACTTCCTCACTCTGCCGGAAGCACCGACGCAAACCTGGTCTGCTCCGGGCACTCACACGCCCACGCATTCATCTCAAGGGTGGGCTGCGGCTATGGGCTCACCAACATCGCCGGACATGTCCGCCAATTTGTATGCGTCGCAGTCTAGCGATACTTTTGGCGGCTACGGTGGCGGCATGATTGGCAAGTCAGCCTGGGGCACGCAGGACTGGTTCTCCCCCAACCCTCGCATGGACCCCGAGAGCAGCGCCAGCACGTCCTCGTCGTACTACGACTCGAGCGGCCTCAGCAGCTTCTCCTCACCCGTCAGCCACGGCGTCATGGACCGTCTTGATCTCTTCCCGACCTCCCTCAGCACGGACTTCTCGTCCGAAATCGGCTTCGGCGAGACGCACTCAACGTTCTCGGACGAGCTCTTCCACCCGGCCGGATTCCGCGGCTTCACGCACCATTCCGATACTGCCGGCGACCTCATCTTCGGCGCGCGCACGCATCAGTCGCAGACCATGGGCAGCGCCCTCGGTCTATCGGAAGCCCCTGCACAAACGACGGGCATTCACCCAAGCCAGCTGCACACACCTGCACTGGCTAACATCGACGAGGTTGAGAACATCGAGATCTCGTGCATGAATCTCAATGATTCAGTCGGGGTGACAGTCGACCAGCCCATGGCTGACGCGACTTTGACTCAGAGTGCGCCCGCGTCCTCACAGCAGGCCGAGCGAATAAACCTCGAGGACTATGTTGATCTATCCGCTCATGAGGTGCACAATAGCCCGCCGAGTACGCCCGTGACGCGGTACCGACCCTTGCGGCCTGCTGCGGTCGACGGCGGGATGAGCGCACACGGCCGATCGATATCGGTACCTCCAGCACGGTACGCGCCCGTCAATGGTCGTCCACCAACGGCGCACGCGAACTCTCAGCCGGAGTTAGGACAGCGACGAATGTCATTCTACGATCTCGCCAGCCCGCCATCATATTCCGGGCAGCTGCCCTATGTCGCGCCCCCTATGGCCCCTTCAGCGAGCCTTCCCGTCACCACTATCGTTCCTGGGCAAATGGGTCCACCGCCCATGCCGCCACCAGGCGCAATGCCGCAAAGCATAGCGACCGGAAGTATGAGCAGCCCGCCTGCGCCCCCTCCTTTTACCGGGTTTGCCTCCTTCTCTGACCCGTACATTCAATCGGGTGATCCGCTCGACCTAGCATTCCTCGACTTGCACCACTACGGCGTACCGGACGGTGCCTCGATGGAATGGGACACCGACCGGCAGGGGCAGGCGCTCGATCTCGCGGAACCTGTGCGCAAGCCGCCGACCCCGCCGCTGCGCACAATGTCTCCGTTGAAGAACATGATGTCGCCACCGAAGAGCATACGAGCGCCTATCCCAGCCGCGTTCAGGGAGGCCGCCTTGTCTAGCGCTCCTGGCCGTGGAGTGGAGAGATCCATGTCGGCGTCCCGTGTTGGGCATCAGCGAGGGCAGAGCGCGGCGACCGCGCACGACCTGGACATGACAATCCGGGACACGAACAAGCGCAAGCGGGCGAGCTGGGATGGACGCACGTACTGATCGTGGTCGCAGCTCAGGTGATGATCCAATCTCGTCGAGCGTGGAGGAGTGGCCCGTATATTGCTTTCTTCCCTGCATCATATTCTTAACTTCCGTCTGTTATCTACTTATACGTCTGGGTCTTATCTGGCACTTCGCGCTCCCTGATCATCCCCAATTCTGCGCGGGGCTTGCTCCTGGCTCAATGCTGTCTCCTATCCACCTTACTTATCCTCACCTTCCCGCCAATTGCATCGATCGTGCACCCTGCATCCATCCTCACCCCACGCCTTCATTGCCTGTGTTTTATTGCTCGCCTTCGCCCCCATTCTATGTATCATTACCGTTTGTCTGTCTCTGGCCCCTGGATGTCTCGAACTCGCATTGTCTGACCACAACGCATCTCAGCTAGAAGTATCACTTACTTCCCTGTTGACTGACCAATATGATCTCTATGCTTTTCTTATTGTGGATGCTCTCGGCGTTGATTATTCTTCGAAGTACGCGTATTATATGAGAGCTGGTCAGTAGTTTCGATGTTCCGGGTCTCGTCTTTACTAATCGGCCTTTCAGACCTCATCAAAGCGCTTGGGCATTTGAGGTACAACAGAACCCGAACGAAACTTACGAACTGGCGGTTTTTTGCCGGCAGCTGGCATACTAATTAGAATCCTCAATTCTTCCGCCGCCACAAAGTTACTGTATCGGTAAGTATAACAAAAGCGTGACGACATGAGCGTGGGGTTGATAGTTCCATAGAGAGTACAATGGCGTTATTGTTCTTCTGTGATCTCCATGCTTACCGGCTTCCCAGGCGGCCTCGGACCAGCCTTTCTCACCAATTCAACAGAGCAGCTCTTATAGGTCGAACAGCTCGATGGACATTCCGAACGACTTCCCCCGCACCTCCCATTAGCAGCGCTTCAGGGATGGACCCACCCAATTTATCACCTCGCGTCGTTAACATCGCACTGCGCATCAACGACCTCACATCCCACCTCGACGCCATTGTATCTTGCGTCGGCAGCATCACTTTTCACGCTGGCGGCGTCGCACTTCGCCTCGACCGTTGGGCCTCAGCCCGATCGGAGAGCATCCTCTTTTCCATTATCTGCTTTCTTCTGTCGTCCTTTGTTTTCGATCTATCGCGCCTTCGAGGATGTGGCGCGCCGGAATGGGCGCAATCCTTCCCGCTGATGTTTGTGGCGAGAAGTCTGGTGTGCTCTATACGCTGGAACGCTCTGCATGCCTATTTGTCGGTGCGTAATTGTCTCCGTATACCTTCGCCACATACTCAATGGGACGTTCTTGCAGGTCGCTTGTTTGGCGATCGCCGCTGCAGCCTCGTCGCCGCATAAGGCCTATAAGGCACACCGGGAGACTCTACCACTGCGCACAATAGCTTTGACTGTTTCGGACCGTACGCGAAGCCGTCGAACCGACTCTGTTAGGTCGTTGGGAACGCCATCTACCTATGATTCCGGAAGCGTCTCCCCGGAGAGCACCGGCGAGCTTGAGCCAGAATTAACCGTCCACATCCTGCCACCCTTCGAGTACGTGAAGACCCTGGGCTCAGGCGCGGAAGGCGTCGTGCATCTCGTGCGCAACACGATCGGTAGAAGGGGCGTCTACGCCATGAAGGTCATCAAGAACGCGCAAAACGGCCAGGCAGAATGTGAGATGCACAAGCATCTCACGTCATTAAGACTCGAGTATATCACGGAGATATATCACGAGGACCGCGATGTGGAGAATATATACATGGTCATGGTGAGTGACTGAAATTCGTCATGGCAATTTTGGGACTGACCTACGTTGGCTAGAGCTACAAACCTCGAGGTTGCCTTGGAGACGTCCTCAGTGTGCTCCACAGGCTGCCTTATCGCCGATTCATGGCGGTCCACAAGAAGATATACGTGCAATATGCCGCGCAGATCGTTGGTGCCGTGACTGACCTCCACCGCCGCGGGATATTACATCGTGACATCAAACCCGGCAACATCCTGGTGGACGAGGAAGGCAATTTGTTCCTGTCCGACTTCGGGCTTGCCGTAGAACTTACAAATAAGCCGCTCATCCCTGCCCCTGCGTGGAGGCAGAAGGAGATCCATGGGGCTATTGGCGCTGACTTCGCAGAACTGTCGCGCTCAGCTTGCGGCACTCCCGGATATATGGCGCCAGAACTGCTTGTGAACAACCCGAGATGTGACAAGCCTTACGGTCTTGAGGTAGATTGGTACAGCGTTGGCGCGACACTTTACGAGATTTTTGTTGGACCGCGCGAAGTACGTTGTATCCCGTACTTGGTTTCTTGTTTTTCGTCGAGGCGTTTCTGACGCTCGATTTCTTGCAGCTGCCATATATTCCCAAGGGGGAACGAATCCCTGAAGGTACCGCTGCAGCAGATGAATACCTCCTGAACGCATACGCCAAGGATTTGGTGTTCCCTAAAGCCCCCTTCTTCTATACCGTCCCAGAGAGCAAAGATCTCTTGCAAGAGGTGCTATTGTTGAGATCCTACTCTTTCCCATGCGTATACTTATTACGTTCATGATAGCTACTGCAAAGGGATCCCAGGAAACGCCTGTGGTGTGCACGGGACGTGTGCCGACACGACTTTTTCAAAGAGTAAGCGACATGCTGCTCGCAACTACTTGACTTTGACCGATGTCACTTATTATAACAGCATTGACTGGGCTACTTTGCGCTCTCAAAGCAGTATGTCTGTCGCAATCCCGCTCGACACGATGTCACTAACGACCATATTCTCAGCGCCAGGCCCCCTCATGCAAGCGCTTGGTCCGGTAAATGATCTCACGGATGAGATAGGCGCGGTGGATGTTTTCGAAGCGCGTGAGCGGAGATGGACGCACCTTCCTGACGGCGCTACCGCCTTTGGTTTTCAGCCCAGCGGAACAGAGGAGCTTCCTCCCAGTGTGCCGGTAGGTTGTACCTTACCACGAATGTCTCCTGCATTATTGAACTATCGCGTAGTTGCCACCCTCTCGAGCTCCCCGACGTCACAACCCTCCTGTCGCACCTCGTCAATCTCCCGGGATTCTGAGGCAGGAAGGCGCCCAAGTACATCGTGGACGTAATCCCCGGCAAGAAACGCAGATTGTCGCTAGCCCGCGTGGGCTTGAGTAGAAGGAAAGGCTGACTTTTTGGGCAGGCGTCAGGAGAGGGTTCGCAGGACATGGTAAGTAGCATGATGTAGAGTAGACGGCTGGCCCGTCGAGTGCAGATAGTAATTTATGTCATACGCATAACGTCCACTGAGGCGGAAGAGCATCCAACGTCATTCAGATATAACGATCAGCATACTTGTAGTAGCAACACTCGTGCGCGTCAACTCGAGAAACGTCTTCAACATAGGAGGATAACAAACTAGGTAAGTTTTACACGTGAAAGACAGTAGAGAAAGAAAATGAGGAGAGATTACTGCACTGTCCCTAGCACGGCAGCGTATGTAACATAGAACGGCCGTTGAACATCACCATAGGATTGCCAATGTCGCTGGCGTAGCAGGGACATCGGAAATCGGTTTAGCAGCAACCAGATATCGTAGCCATACCAGGCAAGAGTTGACCAGCCGCAGGAAGCTGATTTGACACACAAAGTAGAAGGACCACAAACCGTACTAATAAATAAATAAAGGTATCATCGACTGAACGGCTGCGTCGCCTGATCGTAGTTCGGCGGCAGAGGCCCAAAGTCCTGTTCCCGACCTTCGACCTGCGTGAGAAGTCAGCTCCTTGTTCGCAGTCTCCTTGCAGCCTTGCGGATGCTGATGTCCGTCTACATATGATCAAGAACACTCACCAGCATCCGTTGATGCGCAAGCTCTTCCGGCGTCAGATTGCTCGGTGGCGCCTGCGCTTGCGCCGCGGGGACCGCCGCGCCCATCTGCTTGCCCCTCCGTGCGGGCGCGGCCTGTTCCCCGTCCTGGTTGACGGCGTACAGGGGACCGGGGGCAGCGCCTTGGGTGAAAGACTGCGAGGCGCCCGGACGGTGGCCGGATGAGGTACCGTCGCTGTTGCTCGTATTCTGCAGTTTCGCATCAGCATTGGATTGCGGTATGAGATTCGGAGTGAAGAAGCTCCCAACTCACATCCGACCACGGGTTGTAGATATTCGAGCTCGAGCCGGTCTGGCTAGTGGGCGCACCACCCACTGGCGGCTGGCCCTGCGCAAAGGACGGCGCTGCGTACGACCGCGTGTCGTACGCCTGACTGCCGTATTGTGACGGTGGCTGACCACCGTATTGTGACGGCACAGAGCCTGGGTACTGTGACGGCGAGGTGGGCAGCGCGGACTGGCTCCCCGACGGCGCCTGCGAGTACATGTACGGCTGGGGGGACGCGCCGTGGATTGAGGGCGCCTTGTCGCTCCACACGCCCTCCTCGCGGTTGGCCTTCTTCTTGCGGCGCCAGACGAAGAAGGCGACGAGCGCGGCGACGGCAAGCCCGACCACGACGGCGACGACGATGCCGATGATGGCGCCCGTGGATATGCCCGAGCTGTGAATATAGTCAGACGCGGTTACAATGACAGTTCCATGGTGCACTACTCACGAATCCGAACCACTGCTCGAATCACCATCATCCGCCTGGTAGTACACTGCATAGTCGATGACCAGGCCGTCGCCCGTGTTCGCGGGCGCGTTCGCGACCTTCAAGCTGTGCTCCCCGCCGCCGAGGTTGTCGGCGTGGTACAGCATGATCTGCACGCCAATATTGGTGTTCGTCGCATTGAAGGTCTGCTCCTCGCCGCCGTCCAGCTGCACCGTGTACGGCCCGCGCGACGGACCGACACCACCGAAGAGGTCGACGGCTTGGCCCTGTGGGTGGCGTTAGCTTGGGTGCCATGGAGTGAAGGCTCGGGACATGGAGTGATAACTCGGGGATACCGACCGTGAAGTTAAGGGTGACGTAGCTGTTGCTGTCGCGGGTTTGGCTGCGACGTGTGTCAGTGAGGGGTGTACAGGCGCAGTGAGGACACCCTAGAGCAGGATATCTATGCGCAGACAAAATCAAACTACTCACTGCGCAGTGCCGCCCTTGAACTCAGACAGGCTCGGAATATCGTCACTCGACGTCGTCCAGGTGCCGCTGTACTCGAAGTCCGAGTTTGTGTCCTGGATTGTGGTCTGTGGCGGCTCGGTGTCCTTGCCGATCTTGGCGGTCCAAGTGATCTGGGATGGGAGTTAGGATGAGGAAGATAGGTGGGAGAGTGGAAGGACGTGAGAAGGGAAGAATGATTGGGAAACGGGGAATGAAAATGGTCGGGAAGAGGGCCAAGCATCAAGAAAAGGAAAAGATATTCAGGCAGAATCAGTCCACTTACGAAGTCGATGTCGAGATAATAATCCTCCTCGCATGTGATCACCACAGTGTGCATCTTGCTGGCGTCCAATGAACCGGCCGTGTACAGTGGAACCTGGAAGATAGCGTCCTTCGAGTAGCCATCGAATTCGTTGGAGGACCCTCCGTCCAGGGATACCGTGTATTTTCCTGCGAGAAATCATGAAGAAGAAAATGTGGGGGGAAGGGAGATGGACGAACCATGATTATCACTGCGAATACGATGTCGTCAGCAATGTTCTCCATACGTCCCATCGACTACTGCACGCTGCACGCGCAATCGCCCACTCACCGCTTCGCCCCATAAATATAGATGTCTGTGCCGTTGAACGAGAACGACGCCTTCGTGCCGGCGGTGTTCGTCACTATGAACGTGCCGCCATCCGAGTACCTAACAAATCAGGGTCAGCGCCGTCATTTTCGCCCATCGCGCGCGCACGCACTTGTTGGCCAAATTGTCGTCCGAAGCAGAGCCCGTGCGCCACTGGCCCGGCGGGGTGTACGAGATCAGCGGGCTGACGTTGTCGATGGTGAAGTTCTGCGAGGGCATGATGGCAGTGGCGGCTGCTCCAGGCCGGTGTGGTCAAGGGGCGCGTTGTCGAGGTGGGGTCGTCGATGTGGGGTCGTGCACTGATATGGGTGCCCTCAGAAGAAGGAGCGAAGGAAGGGGGCTCTCGGGCGGGGCGTCAGCGCATCCACCACGTTCAGCGGCCGAGCGAGGTGAGCGTAAGAGACAGGATTGCAAAGCGGTGCAGGCGCGCGCTTGGGAAACGCCTTGAGGCTCGCGATTGGGCGGTATTTCACATCCCGTGATGGAGACAGCGACGATGAATGATCCAATTGACTGGGCGTGGGACGGCTGGGATGGGCGAAGCGCCCGTGGAGGTAATCGCGCTCATGGGTGGGTCGGGGAGGACCTGCTCGAGCGACCGGAGGAATAACCCAGGCGAGAGCGGGTATTCTCCCGACTGTGCGAGCGCAAATGCATCGCCCAGAGCAACAGAGACAGGGCCTATTGTTTCTTACCTACGCAGAATTTGTATGGGCGCTCTGGCTGACGCGATGCGACGCGAAACTGACACAGCTCGAAGCTTTCCGGCCGGCCGTAATTGTCACCATGAGTCACAGGGCTCAGGCGTTGTTTTGATAGAACTTGATTTCGCAGATCGGACCACGGAATCTCGAGAGAGTGGAAGCAGGAAGAAAGAGAGAAACATTCCAAAAGAGGGATGGGAGTTCAGCAAGAGGACAAACAACAACAGCCGTCAACAAAAGAAGACGCTTTCGATGCCAAATTTGGAGATGGACCAGCATGGACCTACAAGTGTAATGCGGCGGGCGGCTAACGCCGTGCGACGAGCAGGCCGTCTGCCGTGGCGTTCGAGGGCGCGTACCTGATCTACTCGCATAGATGTCGCTTGGAGACTACCTCAAGGCCATGACCTTTGCTTCGAGTTCTCGCAGCGGACAGAATAATTCCAGTCTTCGTCACGCTCTACCGTTTATTCACAGGCTAAGCCTCTCGCGAAGGATGTGCAGTCAGATAGACGTGTGCATCAAGCGACTGTGAAGACACACGGGCCTTCAATTTCTATCGTCACACAAGCAGTAGGGTCGCGTCTAGGAGATCTCCGTATATCTGCCTACTGAGCATTGAGCAGAAACACTATCAGGCGCACACTTGATGTAGCAGCTCTGCACGCTTGATGGGTTCTTGGGGGATAGAGGATGCAGTCGTACGCACCATTCGGTACGGTAGATGCGACACCCGCAAGAACTGTCATGATGGTCCCAGTCAGAAGAAACCCAACGACATGGTGAGAGGAGATCCGGCAACATCGGTGTCAGATGGAAGCTCGGTCGATGCCGACTGCTTCCCACGCCACAACCAAGTTGCCGCATTAGGAAGGTCTTGTTCTTTCCCAGCGATGACGTCGTTACTTGCGCTCGACTTCTGCTCATGGTCATCGAGGATGTCGCACCCATGCACATCGTGGATCTCGCTCTGGTCAGACACCAAGCGCACCAGTTCGGCCGCTTCAGACGCCAGTCCAGGTCAACCAGGCCAGACAGAGTGCGAGAAATCTAGCAGAGTGCGAGGAATCCAGTGCTTTCAGATGATAAAAATACACTGATTATATGCTTGCGAATAAGATATACAGGTATAGGAATTGAGGGTGCCATCTAGTCAATGAACTTGCAGAATGACGGGTGGATGGTCGAGGTGCTGCGAGGGTGTGCACAGCTCGACGACGACAAGGCGACGACGGCCGGAAGATGACCAGGCGACGACGGCCAGAAGATGACAAGGCTCAGACCGCCTGGGCCGCCGCCTTGTCCTTGATGGACTGCGCCTCCGCGGAAGCGGTACCAGCGTTCGAGTCGAGACTGAAGACAGGGTCAGACGAAAATCGAGAGACAGAGGTGAAGGACACTCACATCTTGCGCTCCTGGCTCTCAAGCTGCTTGACCTGCTCAGGCGTCAGGTTGCTGAGGTCTGGGGAGGCAGTCTTCGACTTCGTGCCACGTTCCGCGCTGATGCGCGCCGCGTCCCGGACAGCAGCCTCAGTGAGCAGGCGCGCGTCGACGGTCGTGCCGTTGCCCTGCGGGTGGCGCGCGGCAGCGGCCTGCGCCTTCGCCGCGAGCGAGTCGCTCGGCGGGCGGTAGCCGAGCGCCTTGTGCTCCTCGCTCATGAGCTTCTTCGCGTCCGCCTCGCTGAGCGCGTCGAAGTCGAGCTCGCCGGTGATGCTGCGCTCGGGGACGGGCTGCCCGCGCTCGAGCTGGATGCGCGCGGCGTCGCTCAGCGCGGCCTTGCGGATCGTCTCGTCGTCGAGCACGGCGCCGTTCGCGTCGACCTTGGAGGCCTTGCTTTGCGCTTCGGCGGCCACTGGAAAGGGGGATCAGTTTGGAGGATCGGGGAAGGAGGGATCAGGACGCACGAGATCCCGCGGGCGGGCGGTAGCCCAGCGCCTTGTGCTCCTCCGACATGAGCTTCTTCGCGTCCACCGGGGTGACCTTGTTGAGGTCGACGAGGCGCTGCGCCTCGATCTTCGCCGCGTCCGCAGCCGCGATCTCGGTGGCGACAGCCTTCTGGACGTTCGTGGCCATTGTGTGTGTGTGGGTGAAGTTGCGAGAGAGATGGGTGTCAGAAACAGGGATAGGTGTGTTGTGAGGTGGGGAGCGTCTGCGCTGCGCCCGCCGTATATAAGGCGACGCGCGCCCGGGCTGACACCATCGGTGACAGCATCGGTCGAGGGCGCGGGCGGCAGAGGTGGCGCGCGGTCATGTGACCAGGTGGCGCATTTTGGGACGCCATCAGCCGCGCGCAGCAGTCCCCCGAGAGATGCGCCCCATTTCCCTGGGGACTTCGCCCATACAGCGCGCGGCTGGGAGCTCGTTTACGCCATTCTTGCTATCTGCCCGCAGCGTGCCGGCCGTACGGGAGGGAGACGCAGCAGGATTCTTCAGCGTGGGGGACACCAGGAATGCTGCGGAGAATGAGGTTTGCTAACGAGATCAAAGAAGGTTGAACTGGGCCCCACGGGGAGAAAAAGAGATGAGTGGAAGATCAGAACAACGGTGACTTCGGCAGGACGTGGCGCTTTCTTTGTTCCACGTATGCTGCTCCACGTAAGGCGTGCGCAGGTTCATGACGACCGCGCTCCCAGAAACAAAGACACGTTTCGCATCCAAAACGATGACCAGGGTAGGGACTTCTCCACAAACAGCGTCGAACCTTGCTATAGAAGAGCCAGGAGTGTGCAGGGACCTACAGCGAGTTTGTGTCAACTCCACCGGCCCTTTCTGGCTTGTGCAAACCCTGGAGGGTCTCATAGCCTTGAGCGGAGGAGAAGGTCGTAACCAAGAACCTGATGAGCGAAAGAGCACTGCGACGTCGGTCGTGAGAGTTTAGCAGAAACAAAACCTTCCAAATGTGGCAGACCGGTGTTCGGCGGTTGCCGGACAAAGAGGTAAAGCCGTGAATTGTGCTTCTCCCAGATGCAAAGACGTTTAAATTGGCATAATTTCTCTCGCCACAGCGGGTACTTCTGCGCGCATGTTATCTTACGCTTCACTCGTCCCGCCGGACCTGTTCGATGCAGAGATCGATGTCTCCCCGAGACCGTATCCTCTGCAGCCTCTCCTGCACATCCGCCGGAAGCTCCTCATACTGTGCGTCGTACGTAATCTTATTCCAACCGCATCGTTTCTGAACAAGGACGACGGAAACACAGGCAATCGCGCACGCGCTCCACCCTACTGGCCATCGAGCCTCAACCATATCGAGGATGGCCGGAAGCGACGGCTGCCAGTCTTCACTGCACTTGCGATTCCCGATGACGAGGTGGCGAAGATGCGGGAGAAGGTCGGGGGACCCCGCGCCTGCGCGTCGGCGCGTCAAATCCTGCAGAAGGCGCTCGCCATTGGGGCCTGCGCAGGCCATGGCGTCGAGCTTCAGCGAAGTGACGGTCGGCAGCGCGCGCAGCACGCGGGACACGTCTCCGTCGTCGGTGCGCGGGGCGTCGAGCGCCAGGTGGCGTATCGCGCAGCCCGAGCGAGCCATGAGGGACTGCAGAGGGTGCACGAGAACACTGTTCAGCTCTTCCATCCTCGGGTCGTCCATCTCGTCCCAGTCGAAGTCGGCGCCGTAGATCCTCCTCCTTGAGACAGCGAAGGTCGCGAGGCAGGGCAGGATGAGCATATCTAGGAGACGCTTGAACGCGTTCGACCGGGGCGCGTTTGTGTGGAACCCGTTCGAGACGAGGGTGATGTGGAGGTCGACCAGGTCTGGGAGCACGAGCTCGCCGAGGGCGGTCCGCCGGCGCCTTGCTTGGACGTTGTGCGACCGCGATTCGTTTTGGTCGTTCACGAACTCTTCCAAAGGAAGCCCATCGGAAGTAAGCTGGTCGAGACGCGGCGGGGCCTCGTACCCGTCACGGACCGCACATCGCAAGCTAGAGAGGCGGGGAAGATCCACAACCAACTTGTATATCTCGGGCGCGCAGCACGGCACCTCCGGCAGCCGCAAACAGGTCAGACCGCCAAAGTCAAGACCCGCCTTCTGCAGCAATCGGTGCGCAAACGATGTATCGCCAAAATCGTCCAAGGAGAACGAGCTAAGCTTCGGAGCGTGGTGGAGGATCCTGAGGTCCGGCTGAACGAGATCCTCGGCCGCTGCCCCGACCCGGGCGAAATACGCGACCACGTTCTTCGCTTTCCAGTCGTTCTCCCTGGAGCACACGTCCAGGCGCACGGTCTCAAGCAAGGGCGTCCGCACGTTGGGAAACAACGGAAGAACGCTGAAGGGGCCGAAGGTGGGGATGCCATCCTCTATGGCGATACACACACGCCGCAGGCGCGGGAGATGCGCCACGAAGGGGGCACCGAGCAGCTGCCTGAGTTTCTCCTGCGCGGAAGCGTCGATGGACATCGTCAGGGGCAGCGTGCCCGAGCACGCGAGAAAGGCGCCGTAGTACGCGCCCGCGGCGCGCTTCTTCTCGTATGATATGTCATGCATATCAAGATCGAGGAAGATGTAAGAGTGCAGCGCGCGACTAGCGAGTGCGATGGCGCGCCAGCGGCGGCAGACGCAGCCAAGAAGGTTGGGGTAGTCGCGGACCTCGGCGCGCCGCATGTAGGCGACAAATTCTTGGCCGCTTCCAGGCGTCGGATCGGCGAGCGATGAAGGGAGAGAGAGAAGGAAGATAATCTCGAGCAGCTCGTTCGGTAGTCTGTTGACTTCTGGACGCGTGGGGGGACGATAGCGGGGCCGTACCGCTAGGTGCGAATGATGAACATCGCGGCTTCGTGCAGATATTCCTCTGGGTAGGCAAAAGGCCAGAATGAGCTGAAGGCTGCAACGTGAAGCTCGTGCGGACGTACTTGCGAGCCTTCACTCCTGCGCCCTTATGCGGCCTCGCTGTCGAAGACTGCTGAGGTGCCATTTCTATGATGGCTGCAGGACGAGCTAGTGACTAGAGTTCTGCCGACACGGCGAGTCTGGCCGACCTTGGTGGAACTACGCGTTGGCAGGAAGGAAGATGCGCGTTGCGCGCGACGGCAAGTGATCGCAAGATTGAAATTATCCACGTGATCGCGCTTAAGACCTTCCAAAAAAAATTCAGCAGGTGTGGCGTGGGAAGTATACCGGCAATAACCGACTCATTAACGAACTCGTCTCTTTCAGCGTCCTGCCGTCGTCTCAAAGAACGATCGTCCGTCAACGAAAAATTTTGGTGAAAGGAAGGAAGTAGATTGGTCATGTGATGGACCCGACTGGCTTATAGCTGCGCGTGAGCTCGAAGTGTTCATCTTCATCCTTTCCCTTTTACTTTCATCGAGACGCTGCATATCGCGCCCACAGAACTTGGCTTCGAACTCCAAGTGATTTGCTGCTTAGCCGTCTCCGGTATCTCGCACGCACCCTACGTATATCAGCCCCTTCAGTCCGTCACGTCTCATTTGGCTCCTGTAAACCTCACTCACCCCCGTGCCAGCCTTCCCTTCCAAATCAAGATGGCGCGGCACCCCGTTGTTATACCCCGCTTCCGCCCACTATGGCGATGCTTCATCAACGATCTACCAAACGAGGTCCTTGAAATGATTCTTGTATCCTCCGTCCCCATGTTTCTCTCTGCACCTACGCCCGGGAGCGTCAAAGAAACCGTCAAGTATATGAAGCGCGCGGGCGTGCGCGACTATCCAAGCCTCCTCGCCCTCGTCTGCCGCCACTGGCGCCCTGTCGCCCGCACTAGCCAGGCCCTTTACGCCTTCCTCTTCGTCGACGTCGAAGACGCGTACGACTTCAAGCAGACCGACGAGTACTACACGGCGTTCCTAGCGCGCTCCGGCTCTCGCCCTCTGACGCTCTCCGTCAACGGCATGCAAGACACGACTATCGACCTGCTCGCTGCGGCGCCCTTCCGGGACCACCTCCCCCGGCTACGCTGGACGTGCATCGACCTGTACGCCTCGGAGCTGCTGGGCAACTACGATGATCCGACCGGCTTCGACGTCTTCCCCTTGTTCCCCGGCGTGCAAACTCCTCTCCTCGAGACCGTACACGTCGACGTCGGCCAAGACGGGAGCCTGGCCACCGACGACGGCGCAACGGAGTACTTCCACAACTACTACTATGCCAAGGCCTCTCGGCAAGATGAGAGGATCCTACGCTGCGCCCCGCGCCTGCGCTCGTTCTCCATGTATCGGTACGATCCCAAAGGGCTGCCGCCTATGCTGCTGCAGAACGTGGGGCTGGACTACCAGACACTGACGTGCTTGCGGCTGCCTTACGTGGCTTTGGGCGCCGCGGAGTGGCTGAAGGTGCTCGCTGAGCTGCCCGTGCTTCGCGTGTTCCATGGCAGTCTTCCGAGGGACGAGTCTGACGACGAGAGCGGTTCTTCTGACGAGAGCGAGCAGTCGGATGGGGAAGAGGAGCAGTTGCCTGAGGGCGACGACGCTGGTGGCGGAGGAGAAAAGGTCGAGGAAAGTGGCGGCGAGGACGAGACTTCAGAGGCCGACGCCGACAAGGATGCTGCAGACGGCGAAGGCGGCGAGTCCAACAGCGACGTTGGAGCGCACGACGAAGACGACCGGCCACCTGCCGCGCCCCAAGCTGCAGTACGCGCGGAGCCACCTAAGGCAAGCCAGCTTACGCTCTCTCACCTGTCCGACCTCCATCTCGTCACCGAATATGAATCCGATGCTGCTCAGCTCATCGCAGGGTTGACCCTTCCGTCTCTCAGCGCTTTTGGCCTGGCTACCGACACCGCTATCAGCCCGCTAGACGCGTCCACGAAGAACATTCGCGTATACCTGCTTGCCGGTCTGAAAGCTCTCATCCGACGCTCCGGATGTGAGGTGCACGATCTCACGCTCGACACGCCACGCACGGGGCTCGCGAGCGTGATCGCTTTCCTGAGGCTCGTTCCAGAGCTGCGATCTCTGCACCTGAACGCGAGCATGGTAGCCATCCAGGAGAACCTGCTCGACCGGTTGGCGGATCGGGCAGAGGGAGGCGAGCTGAACCTTGTGCCCAAGGTCGCCCATCTGGTCATCGACAACCGCGAGCCTGACTTGTTCCATCCGGAAGGGTCTGTTCCACTCGCTTCTGTTCTTGGGCTCATCGACAAGCGATGGCCCATGGGCTGGACGACGTGGGAGATTGCGAGCTTGCGGGTGGTTGTGAGCGAGGATGTGAAGAATTTTGCGGACGATTGCGCGGAGGACGGAAAAGTGTTGGCGCCCTCAATCAAGAAGAGCAGGAAGAAGCTGCGCGCTATAAGAGCTCGCGGCGATATCGACTTGGTGATAGAGTCTCGAGGGGAGTAGAACAAGACTTGCCGCACCCTTGAAGCCTCATCTGTATAATTTAGTCACAATGTTCAAGTCAGAATCATGTATCACTCGAGTCAAATACTGAGCATATCAGCGCATGTATATCACTGAGAGGATATAAATGTGCGCAAGACAGGTGGACGAAGTAGGCAAGGTGCTCGGGGTTTGCCGCGGATATGTGACGAGTCAGTCACGTGACACTATATATATATATATATCCCTGTCACGCATCGATATCGGCTGATCGCAGCCTCTGCCTTACTGCTCTCGCGGGCGCCTTTCAATCCATATGCAGAACTGTCTTCCAAGTCTATATTGACGCCTCTCTGATACCGAGTTCAAGCCCTCTCTGCGAGCTACCTCTGGCCACCGAGCGAGGATCGGGCTTTGTCAGATCGCCCGTGTATCTTGTTCGCAAGTGGCAATCCTCAGGCTTCTTCTTGTGTAAGAGCGGTGCATCCTACCCACTCACCTCGCAATGCCACCAAACGTCATAATCATTCCTCGCTTCCGGCCACCTCTATGGTGTTGCATCCATGAACTGCCAAACGAGATCCTCGAGATGATATTCGTGTCCTCCGCCCCACCATGCCTCTCCGAGCCTACACCTGGCAGCGTCAAACGGTTTGTCCAATATATGAAACGCGCAGGCGTGCGCGACTACCCCAGTCTTCTCGCCCTCGTCTGCCGCCGGTGGCGCGAAGTGGCTCGCACCAGCCAGACCCTCCACTCCTTTGTCTTCGTCGATGTTGAAAACGCGTACAAATTCAGGCAAAGCGACGACTACTATGCGTCCTTCTTCGCGCGCTCGGGCAATCACCCTCTGACGTTCTCGATAAACGGCTTGCAGGCGGCCTGCATTGACCTGCTGGCCGCCGCACCCTTCCGGGATCAACTCCCGCGCATGAAGTGGGCGTGCATCGATATGTATGTCGAGCAGTATGTCTTCCAATTTGACGGCCCTACTGGGTACGAGGTGTTCCCTTTGTTTCCCGGGGTCAAGACGCCACTTCTGGAGACTATTCACGTCGATGTTGGGGAGGATGGAGGGCTAAGCGCTTCGCTCGGTGCGCACCAGTATTTTGAGGGTCTGTCCAAAGGAAATATGGGTGAGGATCGCAAGATCCTGCGCCATGCGCCCCGGCTCTCATCGTTCTCGATGGAAAGGTTCGACCCCGAGGGCTCCTGGAGGACTTATTCTCTGCAGAATGCCGGCCTGAATTACGGGATCATCACCTCCTTGCGGCTGCCCTACGTGCAGCTTCGCGCGGCTGCTTGGCTCAAGTTTCTCGCACTGTTTCCCGTGCTTGAGGTCTTTAGCTGCCGGTTGTTCGACACCGAAACCCAGGAGGATCCAGACAGCGAGGATGGGCAGTCCAGTAGTGAGGATGAGCAGTCTAGTGATGAGGATGAGCAGTTCGGTTGCGAGGATGCGGGAAACGTGGCGGGACCGCTCACGCTCCCCTTCGTGACCGACCTCTCCATCTGCAGCGACTCTGGTAACGACGGCGCAACACTGTATTCTGCGGACGAGCAGACCGGCCTCGAAAGACTCCTCGATGGACTTGTCCTCCCCTCCCTCAAAACCTTCTCTTACAAGACTAACAGCTTCAACACGAAAGACAGCACGCGCCGCGGACTCAACAAAGATGAAGACTACTTGACGTACGACATGTTCCTGCCTCCCGCACTGCAGAACCTCATTCAGCGCTCCGGCTGCGAGGTGCACGAGCTCGCGCTGAACATTTTCGATATGAGTCTGCGCGACGTCGTACTCGTACTAGAGATCCTAACCGAGCTGCACACGTTGCACCTCGACCTGAGCATGCAGGCTTGCGAGGATGCAGGCGAGCTGCTTGGACGGCTGGCGCGCCGGTCAGGGGGAGGTGGCCTCACCCAGTCAGCGGAGGGCGACTTCGAGCTCGTGCCGAAGCTCAGTCGCTTGGTTCTCGATAACCAGGAGAGGGACGTTTACCATCATCAAGGTGCACTTATCCTCAGCGATCTCGTTCGCTTCGTGGACAAGCGATGGCCCGTGGGGTGGACGGATTGGCAGATTGCGCGCGTGTGTGTCGTCGTCAAAGAAGATCTGAGTGCGGTTCTGAGCGAGGAGCTGGGGGGCGGCAAAGGGGAGGAAATGCAAGAATCGCCCATTGCAGAAGCCGGGAGAGATGTTCGGAAGCTCAGGGACCGGGCGGACATCGACATCGTGTTCGAGTCTCTGCAGGAGTAGCTTAGCAGATCCTGTTCAGAACAAGAAAGAGCACTTGGACTGCAACAGCACCGATCGCTTATGAACATGCAGCTGAATACAGTCATAGATTACGATGGGCATCGCCGGCGCGGCGTATAATACTTGCAAGTGATACAACAACTACCCAAGAGTCCGAGGCAGCCTCGTATATGTCCCATACACACAAAACCCCACAACACCACTCCTAACCTACATGCCAGTCGTGAATTTCGAGCCACTCACTCGTGAGCCTCAAGCCACATTCCCATGACCCTGGAAAACTTGCGAGTACTCCGGCGGCAGCGGACCAAAGTCCTGCTCCCGCCCGGGTACGTGTATACGCTGATCTTGCAGCGTGTCCATAGGTATGTGCGTCGGCGGTGGTCCATGCGCAGAGGGAGGCAGCGGCACGCCCATCGCCTTCCTCGAGCCCGAGCCAGAGAAGGGCGCGGGAGGCGGCGCTGCGGTGGTCGGCGACCCGCTATCCGTGTCCGTCCGGTTCATGGCGTACAGCGCGGCCCCGATCTGCGTCGCGCCGCCGCCCGAGCGCCCGGAGCTGGACTGCGACCAGGGATTCGACATGTCGTGCGAGACGGGGCTGGCGGTGCCCCCCGGAGGCGGGGGCTGCGGCGGGCCCGCGCTGCCCTGCGAGGAGCCATCGCGCCCCTGGGAGTGCGAAGAGTTGTAGCCGTCGGAGTTCGAGGTATTGTACGCATACGACGTCGCCGTCGTTGGAGGGTAGTACGAGGTGAAAGTGCGCTGGTCCTCGCTTGGCGGGAAGCCGCCGCGATTGGGCATGAGGGGCGGTTGGCCGGGGTAGGGTTGTGGAGGGGGATATGGCTGCGGGCTCGCGTCCGTATAAGGGGTGGGCTGGCCGTATGGGCCGGGCGAGCCGTAGTAGCCTGGCGTGGAGGGCGGGTAGCCGGGTGCAGGAAAACTTTGGGGGATGAGCTTGCTCTTTTCGGCTAGGACCTTGCGTCGTCGTCGTCGTAGGAAGAAGAAGACAAGCGCAGCGATTACGGCTAAGCCTCCGAGCGTCCCGACTACCCCACCCGCGATGGCTCCGGCATTCGACGTCCTATCACACAGTGAGCATGCACAGAACCCTAGCACGAAATCGGCAATACGACATACGAGGCATTCCCCGACGAGTCCGAGCCGCTCTTGCTCGAGTCGTCTGCACTGGTATCATCACCGCTGCCCGAATCCTGCCCGCCCCGCACATTGTATGACACGACATAGTCAATGACGAGGCCCTGTCCATCCGTCACGGGCTTGTTCGTCAACTTCAGGGTGTGCTTGTCATTGGCGAGGCCGTCTGCGTAGAAGAGGAGGGTCTGCGGCGTGACGTCGCGCTTCGTCGCGTTGAAGGTCTGCGGGTCGCCGTCGTCGAGCTGGACTTCGTAGGGCCCGCGCGCGGAGCCGGTGCCTCCGAACAGCTGGACTGCTTGGCCCTGATGGGAGGTGAGAATCGCTGCTTCTGAATGGAACGCGCGATGGTACGTACGGTGAACTCGAGTGAGACGGAGGCATCTGCAGAGCGAGTGCCACTGCACACAGATGAGCAGTGCAAACGGATCAGAGGCGGGTAGAATACGTACTGTGCTGTCCCGCCACTGAACTTGTCAAGCGAGGGGATATCTCCGGGAGCGGTCGACCAGGCGTTGGAGGGAGTGTAGGAGAACATGGGATCATCATCTTGGGTCGTCGTTAGCGAAGGTGAGTAGTCGCCCTCAAGCGATGCCGTCCAGGTGATCTATTCGGGGTATTAGCGAAAAGCTGCCGCGGCAGCAGGATGACAGGACGCACGTAGTCGATGTCGAGGTAGAGGCTTTCCCTATTGGTGACCTTCACGGTGTGCAGCGTGTTATCCAGGGAGTCCTGCGCGAAGAGGGGGACTTGGAATTGGCCGGCTTGATCGTGTCCGCTGAATGTCGTGCCTTCGCCGTCGAGTTCTACGACGTATACCCCTGCGCTGCGTCTCGATCACTTGTACGGCATGTATTCACCGGGCCCGGCTCACCGTGGTTGTCCCTATGTGAAGGTTAGTGCCAGGTATATCTAAAGAAAGCGGACTACACACCTCTTTGCCCCGAAGATGTATATAGCGCTCCCGTTGAAGGTGAAGGATGCGGACGAGCCCATCTGGTTCGTGAGGGTGAAGTGCCCGTCCGAGTACCTGCGTAGCGACGCAGTCAGCTCCCGGCCAATCTGGGAAGATTGTAGCACGCACTTGCCCGTCTCTGGGTCATCTGCGGGGTCCCCTTCTCTCCAGCCGCTCGGAGGGTCGTAGCGAATGAGCGGGCAGACGCTCTCGATGGTGAAATTCTGGGATATCATGGTCAAACGGTGGAGTGCCTGCCGCTAGCCAAGCGGGGGCCTCGGCTTGTACGAGGGGGCGGGCTTGCGCGAGATGCCTAGCGGGAGAAGGTGGAGGATGAAGGAGGAAACAAGGGGCGCTTGCATGTGGGAGACATCGAGGGCTCTTGCTCATTGCTTCATCCGTGATGGATACCTGATGGCCGAGCATAGTCCCATACAGCAAGTATCACATCTGCCAGCTGGCTGATATCGTTGGAGCCGCCTTCATTGTGCGCTGCTGTGCACTTGAGGCGCTTACTTCCATGGTCTTCGGTCATTTTGAGAATCGGTGTGCGACTATCTGTGGACGCGGAGAACAAAGGTTGCCAACTATGGGAATTGGTTTGCAAATGGTTGATCTTCGCGTGAGCCGTGACAGGTCACGGTTCGAACCTTCTTATCTCCTCCGGTTTGTGGGCATCCTTCTGCTATGCACGCTCTATGCTCCAATTCCATCAGAGTCATTGACATGCAAGCAGCTGAGGACCGCCAGTTTACGGCACTGTGTCGAAGCGTGTTTTGGAACTAGTGCTTGTCCTCGCAAGCAAATTATATATATTGTCCGCATGAACACTCAGTTCAAGGACTGCAGTATAGTGTAGCGTACAGCATGCCCGACGTAATAACCGATGACTGAAAGAACTCTCAACGAAGAAAGCACATAAAGCAAGTGCCTGTCATGTGACGTGCCTCAAAGAGCTGCGCAGCTTGCAGGTCAATCCTTTCTCTCTTCGCTCTCACTCTCATCAGAGCTACTAGACTCAAACCTTACACCAGTTTCGCCCCACTCCTTCCTTCTCAGTTACACTGCTGCTTGAACTTTACCCTCGCAAGAGCCATAAGCCACTGTCAACCTTCCCGTACGGGTCACGATGTCGTCGCATTCCGCCGTCATACCCCGTTTTCGCCCACCAAGTCACGACATGATCAACAGACTCTCCAACGAGATCCTGGAGCTGATCTTCTCATTCTCCGTCCCTCCGTCCCTTCGCGAACCCGTACCCGGAAGCGGCGCGAACTTGGTCTACTACATGGACCGCGCAGGCGTTCTTGACTACCCCACTCTCCTTGCCCTCGTCTGCCGCCGGTGGGGCGCAGTGGCCCTGTCCAGTCAGAACATGTATTCCTTTCTCTTCGTCGACGCCGAGGACGAGAGCGCCCTCGAATTCAAGCAAGCTATGGCCTATTACGCCGCCTACCTCGCCCGCTCGGGCTCCCGCCCTTTGACGCTCTCGATCAGGGGTCTGCAGGACACCTGCATCAATCTGCTGGCCGCCGCGCCGTTCCGGGACCATCTTGCGCGACTAAAGTGGGCATGTATCGACACGTATGTCCGCGAGTTGATGTGCAACTTCGAGGAACCCAACGGATACGACGTGTTCCCTTTGTTCCCCGGGGTCGAGACTCCCGTCCTGGAGACGGTGCATGTCGATCTCGCCGAGGACCAAGGGATGGCCACCTTCGGGGGCACGTATCACCTCTTCAGGCGTCTCAAGCAAGCGGTGGAAGACGACGCGCGCAAAGACGATATGGGTGGCAAGGACGGCACGCACGAGAGCAACACGAGCGAAGCTGGCGCAGGCGAAGATACTGCAAGCGCGGACGACAACTCAAAGATCCTCCGCCACGCACCCAGGCTGCTATCGTTCTCGATGGATAAGTTCGACTTCGAGGGGCTCTGGACTCCCCTCTCTCTGAAGAAAGCCGGCCTGGACTATGCGATGCTGACGTGCTTGCGCTTGTCCTACGTCCAGCTTCGCGTAGCTGACTGGCTAGAGTTCCTCGCCAAGCTGCCCCTCCTCGAGGTCTTCAGTTGCAGGCTGCTCGACGCCGAGAATGAGGAGGAGGGTCCTGAGCACTCTGAGGGAGGAAGCAATGGGCCGGGGGACGGAAGCGCGCAGTCGAGAGGCAAGGACGAGCAGGCGAGTGGCGAGGAGGAACAACCTCGCCCACTCACGCTTCCTTACCTGACCGAGCTTTCCCTGTTCAGTGACTTGGTCGATAATGTCCTGTGCACGTACCCTCCAGATGCGCGGACCGGCACCGGAAAGTTCCTCGATAGCCTCGTCCTCCCGTCGCTCAGAGCCTTCGCCTTCAAAACGGACAGCTTCCAGTCCGACTTCGCTAGCGACAGCGACATAGACGACGAGGATCAGAGCGTCACCGCGAATCGCAAGAGTGCCACGGCGGACGACGAGAATGCGGCCGCCAAGTATGAAGATGGCGCTGCGGAGAAACCCTGCATGACATACGACAAGTTTCTGCTGCCTGCCCTGCGAGGCCTCATCCAGCGCTCCGGCTGCGAGGTGCAAGCGCTCACGTTCGACGTCACCTACATGGATCTGCGCGACCTCGTCCGCATTCTAAGGATCCTGCCCGAGCTTCGCGCGCTGCACCTCGACCTGAGCATGGTTGCTTGCGAGGACGACCTGCTGGAGCGGCTTGCGCGCCGGTCAGCGGCCGGTGAGCTCGACCTCGTCCCGAAGCTCACCCACCTTGTCCTCGACAACTACGAGAGGGACCTTCACCATCCGCAACGTAGTGTCCCCCTTCGTGAACTCCTTTGGTTTATCGGCGAACGGTGGCCTGCGGGATGGACGGATTGGCAGATTGCGAGTGTGCGTGTGGTCGTGAAGGAGGATATGGAGGAGCTCGAAGCGGAGTGGGATGGTGCAGAGGGATATGAGGAGGTGGCCGACGATGAGGGTGTAGCAAACGAGGATGCGGTGATGAACGACGAGGGCGTCGTGGACGAAGAGCAGGTAGTGGACGACGGAGAGGCCTCGGATGTCGAAGAAGTGATGGAAGAGGAGGAAGGTCCAAACGACGAGGAGGGTCCAAACGATCAGGAAGGGTCGGACGATGAAGAGGTATCGGATGAAGAGGGGTTATTGGATGAAGGGGCATCGGAAGAAGAGGAGGCATCGGAAGAAGAGGAGGCATCGAATGAAGAGGAGGCACCAGTCGACGCCGAGGAAGCTGGCAGGCAGTCCTTGCTCGTAGAGCTGATCGAGGACCTGCGCAGCCTACGCGCCCGTGGCGACATAGACCTGGTGGTTGGAGGATCGACAGCTGAGCTGTACTGTTAAAAGACAGGACCTTGAAATTTCGGGGTCCGTGAACAAAGGAGAAAGACTGACGTTGAATTCCACATATACATCTTGCACAAGGAGCTCGAGTAGTAAGAATACAGTAGTTGTACGGACGAATAAAGATATCAGTACATACCCCTCTGACGCGGCGCTCGCACCACCGCGGGCTGGCTAGCCAGATCGACTGTGGCCATAGCCAGCCTCCGGCCTCGCATCCGAGGCCTAACATCCGCATCGAGGTCAATAACGTTGCATCCGGTCCGCGTTGAGGGCAACGAAGCCGTCGTTGCCTCTTCCACTGCTACCGCCTGGTAGTTCGATGGATTAGATGTGGGCGAGCAGCGCTGCCAGGCGCCCCGCCATAATTAGTGCTCGTATATTTGCTGATTCGAGCGGCGCGCCTGTCTCGATGCACAAGCCCACTACCATGTGTGCGCCTGCATTACTCCGTCGGACCCACCACGAAGCTCGTCACCTGCGGGAGGTAGGCGCCCGCCGCGAGGTCCAGCACGTACACGTCGTCGTACGCTCCGCCGCCGTTGTAGCCGCCGAACACGAAGATGCGGCTGTCTGCGAGTATTGCGCCATGATACCCGCGCGGACTAGGCGGCTTCCCAATGATCTGCCGCGACTCGTATTGCAGCCCGACGAGGTTGAGGCAGAGCATGTCGTTGAGGTACTCTGTGCCGTCGTGCCCGCCGTAGATGAAGAGGTAAGAGCCGACGCGCGTCGCGCTGTGAGCCAGGCGCCTATGTGGCTCCGCGAGCTTGTTCGTGCGCCACTCGAGCGTCTCGAGGTTGAGGTACCACATGTCCGAGAAGCACTCTTTGCCGTCGCTTCCGCCGACGACGACCATGATGCTTCCGATGAGGTTCGCGGTGTGGTATCCGCGGCACGACGGCTTGGGCCCGCTGATCTTCACTGGCTCCCAGACGTACTCGTTGGTGGGCGTGATTTCGAGCGTCCACACATCGTTGAGCGCCGTCATGCCATTCCCGCCACCGAAGATCCACGTCTTGCCGCGGTAGAAGACGGCGGTGTGCGCACGGCGGGGCGCGGGCTTGGGCATGTCCGGGCGCGCGGGGTTTGGCTTTGTCCAGCGGCGCATGGTCGTGTCGAGCACGTAGACGTCGTCAAAGTAGTGCGCGCCCTGGCCGCCCCCGAAGACGACGAGTTTGCGATCGACGAGCGTGGCCGTGTGCGCGCGAAGGGGAGGGGGGATCTCGCCGCACATCTCGGGGTGCGTCCACTGCATCGTGTCTGGATGGGCGTGAGCGGTGATCGGGGACGACAGGCGCGCCTACGCACCGGTGTCAAAGAGGTAGATGTCCTTTGCAGACTCCTTGTCGTCGCACCCGCCGAAGAGCCAGGCCACGGAGTCGATGAGGGTGACCGTGTGCGCGCGCATCGTGCGCATGGGGAGCGTGCCGTAGACTGGTGCCCGACTCCAGTACATGAGGGTCGGCGCCGCGGGGGCGATGTCCTTGTCGTTTGGGAAGCGGGGGGTTGCGCGGAACTTGTGCAGGGGCATCCTCTGCTGCGATGTCTGCGTGCGCTGCACCATGTTTGAGGCGACCGAAGGCGCGCGCCTCACACCCTCCCGATCCCTCTCGCGCTCCCGCTCACTCACGCGCGACGATCGCGACTTCTTCGACGTCAACGATGGCCGCTGGCCCGCGACCGGGGACGCCGTCGGCGTGGGGACTGTGATGTTGTTGAATGTGGACGTCGAGGGTGTGGCGGCATGTGTCATGTAGATTGGGGTGTGATTCCCGCTCCTCGGCGAGTCCGAGGCTTCAGGGCGGTTCTGGCTCATCGGAGAAAGGGTCTCAACGTCGGATGTGTCCAGGACGGCGCTGTACGGCGCGGTGACGAGCGGGGAAGGAGGATACGGCGAGGTCATGTTCGCGTGGGATTTCCCGTCGGCAGGCCAACGGCAATGTCCGATGCCCCTGCACTCGGGTGCCCCTCAGAGTCTGATACCTACGACAAGCGTTGGGATCGTCGGCAACGGTGACAGCGGCGACGACGACTATGGCGACGGCGGGCGCTCTGAATTCGCGGAATTATCCGAAAGCTGCTCACGTGATGTGAAGTTGAACCGTGACACCGTTAGTTCTCAGGTAAATACATTGCACGATGCCTCACTGGAGCCCGCCATTCAATTACGAAATGGATAGATTACTTCGCTCATCATTCCTTCGGATCCAAGTACTCCATCACCAACTCGATGTCGCCGCGCCTCCTCACACTGCGAAGGTCCTTCCAGTGTTCTGGTATCGAGAATTCTTGCACCTTTCCCTTCCCCTCTTCTGACGCGCCATCCTTTTCTATATTCTCCAGATCTTCACTGACAACCGCTCGTACACTCGCGATCTGCCAGTCCGTCCAACCCACGGGCCATCGTTCCCCAACGAACGTAAGGAGCTCGCTGAGGGGAACCGCGCCTTGTCCATGGTGAACGTCCTTCTCCTGGTTATCGAGGACTAGTTGGGTGAGCTTGGGGACGAGGTCGAGGGCACCTCCCTCTGACCGGCGTGCTAGCCGCCCCAGCAGCTTGCCTGCGTCCTGGCAAGCGTGCATGTTCAGATCAAGGTGCAGCGCACGCAGTTCGGGAAGGATCTTCAGCAAGCGGACGACGTCGTGAAGTCTCATGAACGGCGTGTCGAGGGTGAGCTCGTGCACCTCGCACCCGGAGCGTTGTACGAGGGCTTGGAGAGCGGGAGGCAGGAATCTCTCGAATGTTAAGAAGGGAACCGCGCTCGTCGCTGCGGTGCTCTCCTCTTCGTCGGGTGCAGATCGAAAATCGTTCGTCTTGAGGCCAAATGCTGTGAGGGATGGGAGGACCAGCCCCGCGAGGAACTCGCCGACGCCAGTACGCGCGTCCAAAGGGTATGTTGGACCCCATATTTCGGAATCACTGAAGATGGACAGGCAGGTCAGATGGGGGAGCGTGAGCAAGCCGGCGTTGGTGTTGCTCCCGTCGACGCCTGATTGGACGTCCTCGCCGCTCAGGCTCGACTCTGATCTTGCGTGCTCGGATGTTCCGTCCCCATTCGTATCGTCCTCTTCTTCCTCCTCCGCCATTTCCTCCCCCTCTTCATCCTCGACATTAAATACCCTGCAGCTGAAGACCTCAAGGACAGGCAAGAGGACGAGAAGCTCGAACCACTCGACCACACGGAGCTGGACGTAGGGAAGTCGCAGGCACGTCAACGTAGCATAATCCAACCCCGCGTTCTTTAGCGAGAGAGGGGTCCACAGGCCCTCGGGGTCGAATCGGTCCATCGAGAACGACACCAAGCGGGGCGCATGCCGAAGGATCCTGTCGTCCTCGTCCACAGCATCTCCGCCCAGGCTGCTGAAGTACTCATGCGCACCCTCTGTCGAGAAATACCCTCCATCCTGACCAAGATCGACGTGCACGGTCTCCAACAGCGGTGTCTCTACCCCGGGGAACAAGGGAAACACATCGCACCCGGTAGCATCTTCGTCCTCACCTGCTAGCTCGTAGACATACATGTCGATGCACGCCCATCGCAGACGAGGGAGGTGATCCTGAAAGGGCGACGCAGCGAGGAGGTCGAGGCAGGTTCTCTGCATGCCATTGATCGAGAGGGTGAGAGGACGGGTGCCAGAGCGCGCGAGGTACGCCTCGTAGTAGGCGCTGTCTTGCTGGAAGTCGTACGCATCCTCGACGTCTACGAACATGAAGGAGTGGAGTGCCTGACTGGCGCGAGCCACCCCATGCCACCTGCGGCAGACGAGGGCAAGAAGATGGGGGTAGTCGCGCACGTCGACGCGCTGCATGTATCGGACGGCTTGCTGGACACTGCCAGGTGTGGGCTCGGAGAGGAATGGAGGGACGGAGGAGACAAAGATCATCTCAAGCACTTCGTTCGGCAACGCATTGACGAAGCAATGTCTGGGTGAGGAAAAGCGAGGTATGACCGCAGAGTGCACTGACATCGCAAAGCCAGCGGGGTCGGTGGCTTACAGTGGATTTTGCAAGGGATGACTAACTTGAAGCTTGAGCAGAGCAGAAGCCGGGTGATTTCTTTGACTGTGGTCGATTACGCGTCTGTACCCCCGCGATCTGCAGACAGTGGTTCGTGTTGATTTCCAGAAGCGAAGTCGGTGTCGGGACAGTGGCGCTTGTGAGAGTAGGAAGCAAGAAAGAAAGGTGATCGATTCACGCGGCCACCGCCGCCGCCCATCACATGACCGCCGTTTCGAACGGTGGACACTGGTCTGAGCTTACCTGAGCATCATGATAGCAGGAATCGTTCGCAATGTCTGTCAGCAGCCCGTAGATGGTGTTCATCAATAGTATACAGTACCCAAGAACACCTGGACTTCTTGGCAGAAAGCACAAGATACAAGTACAATTCGACACCTTCCAACACTCCCAAACCTTCAGCTATCTGAAACTATATCACTGCGCAGGTGCAAAGGTCTGCCGCGGTAGCCTGTACACGAACGGCTCCTCTCGCCGCCTAGACGCTTCGATAGCGCTCACGCTGACCGTTTCGTTGGTGGGTACGGTCTCATTACCCGCGTTCATCCCATCGACTGCGGTCGCGTTGAATCCATGAATTGTAGTCGCGTTGAGACCCTCAGTGCCGGCCGCGTCCTTGGCCGACGGGTTCGCAGCATACCACCAGAGTGTCGTGACGCCCACGGGGAACGTGTAGGTCGCCTGCTTGCCGCGGAACTTGATCGTCGTCTGTGGGCACATCGTCAGCGCAACGCATCCGCGTGCAAGATACTATCTTCGCGAACCTGTATCGGCTGAGGGTTCCAGGCGCCGTTCGTATTATCGGCGTCTGTTTTACGGTCATTAGGAGAGCAGAACAGGGAGGGGAGAAAGAGAGAACGCACAGTTCAAGACAACTAGCGAGTAGCGCTGCCAGTCCGCCTTGTTGACGCGCTCGGTAACGAAGCCGGTGGTGACAAGGCCCCAGCCGAGGCTGCCGCTGACGGTTGTCCCGATACGGCGCCCCATAGGGCCGCCAACGTCCTTTGGGATCGTCGCCTTCGAGACGTGGGCCATGGCATAGACTAAAGCGAAGGGTTCAGGACAACGCACAAAAAAGAAGGGGATATTCGACGTACATTCCTGGTTGACACTCCACGATCCATCTGAGTTGACCTGCGCGATGGCGCGGCAGCCGGGTCCACCGCAGCTGTTGGTGTTTGGAAGCTTGGGGTTGCCGTTGCCGTCGAGGGCGATGTTCCACATTAGGCCTGTGGCTGCGTTGTGGTTGACGCCGCCGATGAAGCTGGGGTCGAGTTTAGTGGTGAACGGTCTGAAGAAGATAGGCTTGGCGCACATGTTGTCCGTGTACCACTTGATGTCGCTCCACCAGTCGCTGCCGACCAGTCCAGCGCATTCAGTGAAGTCTAGATGCTGTTAGTAGATGACTAGAAAATGAGCGTAGCTGCGAAAACTCACATATCTCCTTGTTAGGGTGGGCATTGTGGAAGCTGTCCATCTGGCCTACGTTCCCCTGGGCAACGAGTAAGCATACCATGGTGCAAGCGAATATGAAAAATTGGGTACCGCATAACAATGGAAAGCGACTCCCGCGAACGCGTTCGGCGCATCATTGATGAGGGTGACGGGGTACGCCGCCGCGGTGTCCCAATTGTGCTCGTAACCTGAAGGTCTGTGAGAAATATTTTGTCCTCAGCGCCTCGTCCCAACTTACCGACAAGCTTGACACCCCCAAAGCCATTGTTATTCATCAACGCCCTCAGCGCATTGCCCACTTGCGCCTCCTGCGCCGGCGTGAACACCGCCGTCGGATACGTCGGGTTGCTATTCTGCGGCTCGTTCTGAATGGAGATCGCATGGAGGTTGATTCCCTGGCTCTTGAAACCCTGCAGGCACTTGAGGAGATACGTGGCGTACGGGGTGAGGTATTGGGCCTTGAGGGAGCCGCCGTTCATCGTGCCGGTGTTCTTCATCCAGCCGGGCGGTGACCAGGGGACGACGTGGACCTTGAGGTAGCGGTTGACGGACTGGATATCGCGGAGGACAGAGAAAAGATAGGAGGGCGCGCGGTTGATGTTGAAGTTGGTGAAGCTGGATAAGGATCAATCGAAGGGCGAAGGTAGAAGTTGGAGTCTGGCTCACGATGTATCGCCGTTCACGTCATCAAAGCTATAGACTGCATGACTCTGAGTGAGTCGAGGGTCACAACAAAAGTTCGAGTGAACTCACGGCCGGCAGAGAAATCCGAGGCGCCCAAGGGCACTCTGACATAACTCAACCCCGCCGCGTTCGCGCCGTCAGCAGGGTCGAAAAGGTAACGGAGAAGGTTCCAGTAGTTGTTGCTATTCCTGTTCTGCTCGCATACTCTGAGTAGCTCGTCACAACTGACAGGAAGAAAGCGTACCTTGAGGTTGTTGAGGGTGAGCGCCGCAGAATCAGCTAGCAAATCATGAGTGTCGAGCCTATTCACGAGCCTTCGATACGTACTGAGCGAACCGCCGAAGCCATAGATGGGCTGGTAGACCTGGTTGTCGTGGACGACGATGTCGGCCGACTTCGCGCCTCCCGCAGCGGTAAAGTTCACGGGATTGGCGCTGCCGACTGAGGAGAGTAGCGACGTTCGGTCCCACTGTGGACATTGTTGTCAGCGACGATGAACATGTATCCCATTCCGATGCGCACCTTCGTCTGCCACTGTGATATTTCGTTGTGAGGGGGATTCGGCGGGCAGGACAATAACTAGGCCACATACCACATCGTAGATCTGCTGCGCCACAGCTATACGCGAGACGACCAGCACGTTGATCGCGAAGTCCCACTTCATGATGAGAAGCTTCGCTAGAGAAGGAGAAGGGCCTGCTACGGAGAACTCTGCGATAGAGCGCTGTGAAGGATGATAGTGCGAGTGGCCTGCCTTATATACGTCCATCCTTTATTGACTGTCGAGCTTGAGGACATGGCCGTGTCGCCCAAGCGCGCACCCATATAGCCCGGAGGCACAAGAGGACGCTATTGGCACGAACATTGAGCAAAGTTACCTCGATCGATGCAAGCGGAAGATCGCATCTTCGCGCCAAGGTGGTTCTCGACGATCCTGCAAGGCCCCTGAGGAGGCGAGTAAACCGAGACGAAGACGGAGCATCAGGCTGGGAGGGGAAGAAAGGACAAGGTCGTGTACAGAAGGAGAAGCGCACGTGCTGGCATGCAATAGCTGCTGTACGCATTCACATGGATCCTTGGGTCACGCATCGTCTCCCGCGACATCCCGGGAGGTAGTAAACGGCGAGGCGTCGGTCTTTCCGGTACGCCACCGCGCTCTGCGCTCAGAATGGAGGCAGGCCGAGAGCGAGAGCTGCCGGTCAGCTTCCGAGCATGCTCACGAGTGAGTGTACAATGACAGGCATACAAGGAGGCCCAAGGTCCGTTGCGAACATCCCGTATGGCTGCTCGTCGACATCCGCTACCGGAGCAAGGTTAGCTCGACTACGACGCGGTCACGGGGAAGGGCCCACCACGAGTGCGCCAGGACATGAACGGGATCCCATAGAGATCTTCGGTCTGCTGACCGACGGGGAATGTCTTTAGAGCTTCTTGGGGAGAGGTCTTCTTTGAAGAGGCTTGAGGCGGCTAGTCATCTCGGACCTCGGGCCTGTCAGCCTGGTTGGGCTGACTTCTTTCCCATGTCATCCCACGATACGAAGCCCCGGACCCTGCCAGTAGCGGTAGAATGAGGTTGTCGTTCCCGGGAAGTGCCATTTCCGCCCGAAGTGTAGACAGTTCACTGTGATCGAGCCGTAGCGCAATCGAGCTTTCCTGAGCAGAGTAAAATCTCAGATTTTTTCCAAAGAGTCGTTATGGGCGAGATTTAAGAGTAGGCCTTGGCCCGTATTAATGCATGGGTGTTCGCCTCATGACAGTTGAGGACAAAAGCTACCTTGTTTAGATCCATTCGATCGTGATGGCGCACGGGGAGTTCCGAAGTGTGCCCACGCTGCCTGACCTCGACTTCCATCATCTTTTCAAGTCCACTGGGTGAGTTGAATATACACCTCGGGTCGGAAACGGCGTATACGACTAATCATGCTTTGGCTCATACGCAGTCTCTTTCACAGCAAGCGAGAGAAACGGCAGCTAACCGGGCCGACCCGACATCTGAAAGGTGAGCTTCAAACTCCTTTACTCTTTACTGTTCATGACGAACTGGACTCCGAATTTAGTCTTTGAGAACATACGCGAGGTGACCTCACGACTCAAATGTCTTTGCGACCGCGCTTCCGCGCTCCTTCGACTGGACAATGCTTCATCAACCAGGTCCCTGACGAACTCCTCGAAATAATGTTCGTTCTTTCTCTGCCGGACGCTCTCGTAGACCCAAAACCCGGAACGGGCGCCCAATACGTCGCGTACATGCGTCGTAGTGGTGCTCTGGACTACCCTGCACTTATCGCTCAAGTCTGTCCACGTTGGAAAGACTGCGCGCGCTCGAGTCAAGCGCTACATGCATATCTGTTTGTCGACGCCGGCATGCACGAGTTCATGAAAGGAAAAAACGAAATATGGAGGGACAGATATTTTACGAACATTGTCGCCCGCTCGGGCTCACGCCCACTGACCCTCTCTATCGACGTCGGAAGGGGATCGGCGGTGGCCTTGATCATGTATCCGCCCTTCAAGGACAGCCTACCGCGGCTTCGACGCCTATGCCTGAACTTCAATCACCGCCAAGCGTACGACTACCCGTTGCCACTACTGTCACCTCATGCGCTCTCGACACCGATGCTTGACACGGTACACATTCACTGTGGTGCGGACCGACAGTCGACCACTTCATCAAACGCTGTAAGCTACTTCCTCAGGCTCCTTGCCAGGTGGCGAAGGCCAGAGAGGGGTCCCATACCAGCTTTCCATGATGCTCCACGACTTGTGTCTTTCTCCTTCGAGGGGCTGCGCAGTGCGATCTTCAATTCGCCCCTGCTCTTCGGGCTCGCGCACTTTCCGTTTTCGAAGATGACATGCTTTTGCCTGCCCGAGGCGCCGTGTTACTCGGTCGATGTATTCAACTTCATGATGCACATGCCTTGCCTCCGCACCTTCCGCTGCACCCTCTACGAGGTCGAGGATCAGGGGGATCGAGCCATCCACGAGGCGCAGACCCCGTGGAGCTCGCTCACGACCGACTTCCCTCAGCTCAATGACCTGGACATCATGCTGGCGACGCAACCGGGAATGGAGGGCAATCAGCCCCCCGGTGTGCCCGGCCTGGAGTGCTTCCTCGGCGCTCTCACTGCCCCCGCTTTGACGTCGCTCACCATCAGTCGGCGCGTGCAGCTCGGTCAGAGACCATATGATTGGGGACATGACGAGGAGGGACTCTTGGTTCCGGCGCTGCAGGGCTTCATCGAGCGCTCGCGGTGCACCATCACGAAGTTCGAGCTCGCTACCTTCGGCGCGACGCTCCCGGAGTTGGTCAGCGCGCTGCAGCTCATGCCCGCGCTCCGCACCCTCCGCCTCGACTCGACGATGGTCTGTATGGAGGTTAGCTTGCTGCACGCACTCGCGCGACCCACGGACGAAGGGCTGCCGGCGCTCGTACCGCGCCTCCGCTGCCTGGTCATCGACAACGCGAGGGTCAATTCATCGTTCAAGAACAGCGACGTTTTGGATATGGTCGAGGCGCGGTGGCCCGTGGGGTGGTCTGAGGGGGGGATTGCTCATGTGGAGGTAGCGCACTTCAAAGAGGGTGAAGGCAGTCTGGAGGCGGAGACCCGGTATCAGGAGCGCTTGGAGGCGATGGCGCACAGACGGGAGGACATCGAGCTGGATATCCGGGAGTGCGTCGATGAAGCGGAAGCTTCCGACGAAGAGCATGGAGACCCTCGTTATCTCTAGGTCCTTTTTTGGAGGCCAACGGGGATGATACTAGTCAGGGTAGACATGAAGGTTGGACAATATACGTGCATCTGATTGAAATTGGGACGAATTGGCTGACGCGAATCCCGCGTTATCAAACAAAACTGTCCTTCTTTGCTCCCTTGTTATTGTCACAAACCGTCCCACGCCGTCGGACATACACAACCATGTGCATATATAAGCACGGTATTGTGTGCCATTGCAGTAGGTCTTGACCAGCGCCATCATCTCGTCAACAACTCCCAAGCCAGAACATCTGCCAGCGCTCAAGTGAAGGAAAGAACACGGATCATCATGGTACGTAGGATCTTACGGTGGATGACTGCCTCTATTGACGCTGCCCTGAAGGAGCAGACGTCTCAACAGACCGTGACTCAGGTGGCCACACGAAGCGCGCGCCAGCCGTTCCCCATACACGACTTGCCCAACGAGCTCATCAATCATATACTGACGCTCTCAGTCCCCTCGGAACTCGTTGATCCCAAGCCCGGCTCAGTTGGCAGGGCATACAGTGATCTTCGTGCTTTTCTGATACAATGTGGCGTCCTCGACTATCCTACACTCCTCAGCCATGTCTGCTCGAAGTGGCGTGATCTCATACGCGCAAACCCCACCGTCTGGTCCTATATTCTCGTATCCGCCACAGGCTGGCTTGAAATGCGGCCAGAGGACTACGAGCGGCCACTCGCTCTATCTGGCGATGAACCTCTGACTTTGAACGTCGATATCCGGGTAGCGTCTATAACCGACCTTCTCTCGTCTCCGCCCTTTTCGAAGCATATCCACCGTATACGCACGCTTTGCATCGACATCTGTCCGGGTGGCGGCGCGAAGCCACTATTCCCCATAATCGAAAAGCTGGCGACGCCATCGTTGGAGATTCTACGCATCTTCAACTTGTCGAATATGCATGATTGCTCGCCCTGGAGATTCGACGAAGGCCACCAGCAAAGGGTCATTCTGCACAACGCACCTCGTCTCAAGCAGTTGTCCTTGCATGGATCGTGGGCCTGTGCTGATCTCACGGAGCGCGATCAGGCCCGGGACGCCTTCCCTTTTGGCAACCTGGGAGCTAAGGCATGGCACGGCATTGACTGGTCGCGCTTGACCGTGCTGCGTCTGCCAGATATAAGTCGCTGGGCACACGACCTACTTATCCTCGTCGCGTCGGCACCTCAGCTGCGAGCTCTCCAGTGCACGGTGCTCGGCGAGCCGGAGGATCTCGTAGAGAACGATCCTGAGCTTCAACATCACTGGCGCGACTCCGAAGAGGGCGAGGACGAAGAAGAGCCGACGGAGGAAGAACGTCGGGAAGCAGCAGCGCAAGCACTCCATGGACTTACGCGTCCCCAAAGCAGAGCGGACTTCATGCGGAAGCGACGAACCATCATGGGCCCTCACGTCCTAGCTTACCTCAGCGAACTGAACATATCGGTTCACCACAGCGACCGTGGACCGAGTGCCTTCAGCGACATAACTGACCAACGCTCCGGGTTGGCAAAATTCCTCGGAGGGCTCATCACTCCTGCTTTGGCAAGCCTCACCGTCACCGCTTTGAAGGGCTTGGCGGTAGAGATTGTACACCACTCGGTTTTCAATGACCACCACTCGGACGGCTACGACTCTGGAAGCTACCACTCAAACGGCTACCACTCTGACGGCTACGAGTCGGAGGACCACGCTTTGGATGGCTATGGCCCGGACTGCTTCGGCTCGGACGACGCGTCGGGCACAGAGACAGACGCGCAAGAGGGCGGGGCCGTAAACTTTCTACTCCGGCCGCATCTCGCTGCTTTGATCGAGCGCTCCCAGTGCACCATTCGCCACCTGTCGCTTACCGAGGTTTTCGTCTCTCTCCAAGAGCTGTTCTCCCTCATCGAGCTTTGCCACGAACTGCGCTCGCTGCACCTCTGCAACCCTCTGCGCGAGATGGGAAGCAGCCTCATCCGTGGCTTCGCTACGCGCACAGATCAGGACGGTCGCCTCCTCGCCCCCAAGCTCCAACGCCTCGTTATCAAGAGCGTCTGCCAGATCTGGGGACCACGCTTTCCTGTCAGTGCCGTTCTCGACATGATCGATGTGCGGTGGCCTCCGGGATCAAGCGACACTCCGGTGTATGTGGAGGTTGTTCACAGCCCGAAGGGCGAGTACGAGAAGGGGACGCCGAGAAGCGCCGTGCAGGAGCGAATGCACAGGAGGCTAGTGAATATGCAAGCGCGCAAAGACTTACAGCTGGTGATCGGGAAACCGCAGGGTGTGGGTATGCATCTTTGGTTCGGGAGAGCTTGGGACAATGTTTGAGGATATGCTTTTCCTATGTAGTCAATGTGAGGGTGTTCTACCTATAAACCCTCTTATTCCGCGGGACGGCCGCAGCGCGAAGGTCGATATGGTCACCCTAGCTAATATACAACATCGGTATTCCGGATACGTATCGGAACCTGACCACAATAGTGCTACTCAGAAACTATAGGTAATGTGCGCAAACCATCATGAGGATCGTGACGTCGTGAAGATAGATCTTGCAAGCCCGCGCGCCCGCAGACCCGCGATATGGGTATCGCAATGCTGAAAAGACCGACATTCCTCGAACCTCCCCGAGGTTGAGCCACAGAAGCCCCGGCAAGTACCGCCGAGATCTGGCTCAGAAGGACCCGAAGGCCTTCTGCGGCCCTTCATAGACGAAGGAATCCTCCCGGGTCCGAGTCGTCGTATCGCCCACGCGGATCTCCTCGTCCGTCTCCTTCGCTGAATTGGCGGGAGCGTACCACCAGAGCGTCGTGACGCCGACGGGGAAGGTGTACGTGGCCTGCTGACCGCGGAACTCAATCGTAGTCTGTTTGCGAATCAGCTGCGCGGTCAATCACAGGGGTCGCACTCTCCCTCACCTGCACATTCTGCGGGTTCCACGAGCCACTCGAGTTGTCGCGCCCTGAACCGTCGTTAGCTTAGCAGTCGTGAAGAAATGAGACGGCATGCTTACAGTTGAGCACGACAAGCGAGTATCGCAGCCAATCCGAAGAGCTGGTGCGCTCGGTCACAAAGGCGGTGACCACAAGAGCCCAGCTGAGATCTCCACCAACCGTCACGCCAATACGCTTGCCGCTGGGGCCACCGGCGTCCTTGGGAATGGTCGCCTTCGATACATGGGCCATGGAGTAGACTTCATTGCGAATGTTAGCTGGATTTTCATGCTAATGCATAGCGACCGACGTACACTCCTGGTTAGGACTCCACGAGCCGTCCGAGTTGACCGTGACGATCGCACGGCAGCCGGACCCGCCACAGCTGTTCGTCCCGGGGAGCTTGGGCTCGCCATTGCCGTCGAGCGCGATGTTCCACATGAGGCCAGACACTGCGTTGTGGTTGACGCCGCCGATGAAGCTGCAAATAGAGGCTTAGGAGACAACGCCCAGTCAGTAATCAGCCACGCACATGTTGTCCGAGTACCACTTGATGTCGCTCCACCAGTCACTACCGATCGTCCCTGCGCATTCGGTGAAGTCTGCGAGGTCACGATGAGCGATGAGCGAGCTGGCCGCTAAGACGACTCACAGATTTCCTTGTCTGAATGCGCGTTATGGAAGTCATCCATCTGAGCTACGTTGCCCTAAGCGTACAAGTCAGCAACTGAAGCGACTCGTCTTCCCCCTGAGCGACTTACTGCATAGCAGTGGAAGGCCACACCCGCAAACGCGTTTGGCGCATCGTTGATCAGAGTGACCGGGTACGCCGATGCGTCGTCCCAGTTGTGCTCGTAACCTAGCAAGTATCAGCTTCTAGATCTCGCACTCCGCCCGACACAAGACTACTCACCAACAAGCTCGACGTTCGAGAAGCCGTTGTTGTCCATGAGCTTCCGCAACGCCTTACCGATCTTCGCTTCCTGCGCAGGGGTCAAGGTCGACGTAGGGTAGGTTGGGTTGTTGTTCTGCGGCTCGTTCTGGATGGAGATTGCGTGTAGGTTGATGCCCTTGTTCTTGAAGCCCTGGAGGCCCTTGAGGAGGTACGTCGCATAGGCGGTGAGGTACTGGCTCTGCAGCGACCCGCCCTTCATCGTGCCGCTGTCCTTCATCCAGCCCGGAGGCGACCAGGGAACGAGGTGGACTTTGATGTTGCTGTTGACAGCTTGGATGTCCTGAAGGACCGAGAACAAGTACGAGGGCGCCTTGTCGATGTTGAAGTTGTCGAATCTGTTGAAATTGAGGCTACGATATCTGATGGGCAACGGTAGGAGGACTTACGAGGTGTCGCCATGCACGTCGTCCAGATTGTAGACTGCACCAGATCAGGACAAAGACTCCGATACGGCTGGGAGCACGCTCACTCTTTGCGGAGAAATCAGACGCGCCCAGCGGTACTCTGACGTAGCTCAGTCCCGCCGCGTTCGCACCATCAGTCGGGTCGAACAAATATCGCAGCAACTTGTTGTAGCTGCCACTGTTCTGGGACTGAGCACACAGTCAGCGCGCTGCTATGGACTCCCAGCCCCCGTGACGACACGCACCTTGAGATTGTTCAAGATCAGCGCGGAAGAATCAGCTGTGAGGGCGATCGCCTGAGTTACCGTTGCGAGTAGATGAAGAAGTGACGTACTGAGCGAGCCCCCGAAGCCGTAGATCGATTGGTAGACCTGCCCGTCGTTGATGGTGATGTCTGCGTCCCCAATGACGCTTGGCGAGCTGAAGTTTATGGGTGGGTTGGATCCCACGGACGTGAAGATAGCCGTCCGATCCCACTACATGAAGTGGAAGGTCGGCGAGGTTGATTCGCGATATGGACGCGCCCATGCGCACCTTGGTCTGCCACTATGAACGAGGTATGGAGTCAGTGAATTGCAGCGAGTAGAACACGCGCGACGTACCACATCCCATATCTGCTGCGCACACGACGAGCGCACGATGCCCAAGACGCCCAACGCGATAGTCCACCTCATGGCGAGAAGCAAGCAATGGTACAAGAATACACAGGCACCGCAAAAGAGACTGAAGAGAGCGGGAGGTGACCAGGAAGAGGTGGTAGAAGGAGAGGGTGGGCGGGCGCGGAAGGTGATCGTGGAATCGACGGAAAGGTGCTTTATATACTTCCCTCATGTAGAACAAGCTTTTCCGCCGTACCCCGCGACGCCCCGCGGGAGCGCATGACGGTGTCCGCACGGGTAACCAGCGCCTGTAGTCTGAAGACACAGGCGCACCAAACCGGCACCGAATTGAACGAAGTGTCTTCCATCAATGGAAGCAGGCGACTGCATGGTCGCAGCAGAACACAGTTATCGAGCTCCTCGCCTCGTTCCTGAGGGGTCGATATAGCCTGTCTTCGTCGCGCTTCCGCTGGATCAGCCATAAGGCGGTCGCAGAGCGTCGCGTAAGGGCGCAGAGTAGGCGAACGGGGGCAACAAAGCGAACTCACATAAAAGGAAACAGGCGCGCCGCTTCGGCGGTTGCCAACAAGTCGCCAAGCGCGCACCCACACATGATGGTCAGAGGATCAGCCACACCAAAAGCCATGCCCGTGACCATGGACTCCACAGTACGCACTACCCCTTGTACCGAGGTTACTCTGTCCGCACGCTGCACCGCACCTGAGTGAAAGACACAGACGCCGAAGGGCTTCAAAGGAATCCGCAGCCAGGGGCACAGAACGTCCGGCAGAAAGCGAAGCGATGCACATTCCTCTAGAAAAGCCCTAACAAGTCATCCTGAGCAGCCTGTGGTTTCTGCTGCTGTGGCGGCGCTGCTGCCCCTGTCAAATCTCCCAGGCCCCCAAACGCGTCACCGGCACCCACGGTCGGCGATGTCACCGTGCTAGTCGACGGCGAGAGCATCCCAAGACCCCCGAAGGCGTTCGTCGGCGGCGCTGGCGAGCCCACATTGGGTGGCGAGGCCGCGCCGAAGGTAGTATTGACCGTTGGCGCCACGCTACCGAACCCAGAACCCGGACCGCTCCCGAAGATGGAGACAAGGTCGTCCAATGGGTTGGCGGATGTACCCGCCAGCAAGTTGGCAGCAGCGGGTGTCTGCGAAAGCGCGTCTGTCGCTGCGAGCCCGGAGGGCTGGCCGTCCGCCATCGGCGCATCGTCGAAGTCCCTAAAAGCGGTCGTGGATTAGCCTAACCCATATTGAACGTTGTAAAGAGTACCCACAAGAGATTCTCGGCCTGCTGACCCGCAGCGACCGTTTGGAGCGCCTTTTGTGCCGAGAATACGGTTTCCCTGTCAGATATGCTCCTGAAGCGCGAGGTCAGTTCCTATCCCGGGCTCGATGGACACTCCGTGCTCACTCTGTTCCTTTGCGATGGAGGGACTCAGCGCCAATGCGTCCCCTGCCAATGAACGTCTCCGCAGGCTTGTGATACACGCTCGCCAAGCTGCCAATCTCGCCTAGTAGCTCCTCAAGCAGAGCCGGGGAGACAGTGGTAGGTGGTATTGAGATGGGCGGGCGGACGGCAAGCACGACAGCCTAAGTCCGGTCAGCCAAGTCCTGAATACAATCGACAGAACATACCTTGGCAGCACCAGGATCCGTAGACAGCAAGCGCCAGTAGATATACGCACGATCGCGCACATCGGGCGAGTCGCAGTCCTTCGTCGCCGTATTGAGCACTTTCTGCACAATGGCCTGCGATGAGTCCGGCTTCATGAGGAAGAGCTTGACGACAGCTGTCAATGTTTGCAGTTGCACCTGATTTCGCGAGTCAATTGTCTACGCTCGGAGGTATCTCAGGCGGAACTCACCGCGTAGGACTCTTCGGTGAAGGTGTCCACAAATATGCCAAGGAGTTCGTCCGCGTTGTCGATCTTGCTCGCGTATTCGCCGATGATCCAGATGAGCGAAGCCTTCGCTTCCGGCTCATCGAGCTCATCCAGGTTAGCGCAGAGTGTTGGGATGACACCCTCGTATGTTGACGGATACTTCCGGAAGATGTCCTGGAGTAAGAGATGAGTCCGATCGTTCGGTCAGAAGGGCGTAATGTCGCACTTTCATAACCACGACGGCTTCCTGCACAACGTAGCTGACCCTGGTTGCGATTAAGTCGAGAAGGACGTTGACGCATCGCTCTGCTGCGGTGTCGATCTTGATGGCTGCTTGGCCGATTGCCTTGACACTCTTTCGTACGAAGTCGACGTCGACCTCAGAGGCGTACCTGGGACGATGTTAGCACCTTTCTTCATTTTGCAATCCTGGTAACTCACTCCTTCAACTCGCTCAGCAACGCGTCCACGTTCTTCTCGTTCGCAAGCCGGACCATAATGTCGAGCTTCTCGATCTTGACGTACAGAGGGTCGTTGTACTTGCAGAAGAATACGCGCATCTCGTTCGAAAGGATGTCGGGCCGCTTCTGCAGCAGCAAGTTCACATTCCGCAACGCGACCCACTGCACCTCGGGCGGCGTCGACAGCAGCGTGACTAGTGGCGGCGCCATCTTGCGCACGAGCTGCTTGAGGAGCTCCTCCCGGCGCACGTTGCGCATGTGGATCATGATGACCTTGACCGCGGCGAGCACGACGCTGCTATTCGCATGCTGGAACTGCGGCACGACGCGCTCGCAAATGTGCTCGCTCTCCTTATCGTCCTGCGCCACGTACCGCGAGAGCGCGCCGAGGATGGTGATGCGACCCCACTCGGAGCACTCGTTGAGCGCGATGAGCATCTTGTTCAGGATCGTGGATGTGATGGGGAAGAGGGCGGCCTCGGAGGATGACGTGGACGGCTGGGAGGTGGCCGCGATGTGGATATCGGTGAGCGCGGCGACCGTATTCGCGACGACCTGCGGCGGGTGTATTAGCAACGCGTTGCTTGTGTGCAGCGCGATGCACGCACCATGGGATTGCTATCCGAGATCATCTCGTGCAATTGCTCCAGGAAGCCGTTCTCCAGCACCAGCTCGGGCTTGAGATCATAGAGCTTCGCGACGCACAGCGCGGCCGTCTTGCGCACGTATGGGTTTTCGTCGCGCAGGCACTTGTTAAGGGGGTCACAAAGGTAGTCGATGATCTTTTCCGCGCGCAAGCAGCCCATGGTCCGAATCGCGAGGGCGCGTACGAGCGGGTTCGGGTCATCCGTGTCCTTGACGAAGGTGTTGACGGCGAGGATGACAAGCTCGGGCTGCGTTTTCGCGTAGTTCATGAGGTATAGGTATACGAGCTTCTTCTGCTCGAGATCGTCCGTCTGCATGTTCTTGAGCACATCGGGGAATAGTCCGCTGACATCTGCAGTGAAGGAAATGAAGATCGTGCCCGGTTCTTCGATAGATCACGCACCTTTGCCAACGGTCATAGACGCTATAGTCCTCTTGATAGCATCTTTGCGCTTCTCTCGGTACTCGCTGTTGAGGTCGACGCTGAGTTCGTAGTTTTCGCCCTTGCGTGGCGCGCGGAAGCTCATGGTGGGGGATTGGGACGAGGGGAGCGGATGGGCGTCGATGGGGAGGACTGTTGGTTAAGAGCTTGCGCCCGTGTGATAACTATACAACAAGCACCAGAAATTACAGGACTTTGGACATGGAAGGTGGGGATGAGGAGATGATGCTGTCCACAGCGAGGCGCCAATTTAGGTGTTTTCCAGGTCGCCGGTTCGAATCCGTATTACTGATCAACTACCTCGACACGTCTCGGAGGCGTTGAGTGAAGTGCGAGCTTCAATGGATACCTGGAAGATTTCCTTGCGTGATGGCGGCCAAGGGCAAGCAATGGTCACCATATATAGTATTGCCTGACGATGAGGAGGGGCGTGACGTGTGACGATTGTAACATCAACCGTGACAGTAAAGCACCGTTGACACCAGGCGGGTTCTGGAATGAGTCCGGAAAGATGATGGAGGAGCTGCGCAGTGGGCAAAAGAGGAATAGATAATTAGACTCAAAGGTTGTACGCATTGTCCGGTGTCATGAAAAATCATCGATGATACAGTGGTTCTATGTGTGAGATATCGAATATCCGCCACAGGTCTAAATTTCCCGAGAAAAAAAGGAAAAGATATAGCAATGTACAACAGAGAAATAGTGTGCGCATTACTCATCCTCAGCATGTTTCCTGAACGGACGACAATGTAGATTGTAGGGTTCCGATACGCGCCTGGCCTTGACGCGTCGGTCGCCCCCGATAACAGCAATGTCATCTGTGAATGAGACGCGCTTCCGTTTCGTCTTGTTCAGCCCACACTTCCGGCCCATATCGCGGACAAGCAAGTCTACTTCATCGCCTGGGAGTAGAAGTATTCCGGGTCCTGGGATGGGTGGTGGGTAGCTGATGGGGCGGGGCTTGTTCGCCTTAGACTCCTGAGCCTGCGTCTGCGGGACTTCATCGAAATCCATAAGCGGGACTGATCCAGAGGGCTTTCGCCTCAGTGTAGGTTGTGAAGACATCGTATAACTACAGAAGTCAGAGAACCAAAAGGGCTTGGTTGGCTTGTAACTCACTGTGTATGGTCCTCAGGGTAGTGTGTGGTCTTCGGCGGAGTAGATATGACAGGGGATGGTTTGCGTTGAGCGTGGCGACCGCTGCTGGATCTTCTGAGCGGCACTCGTCTGCTGGGACCAGCCTGCTCGACCAAATTGAGAGGATATCGAAGGACAATATGCGCGCCACCTACATCCGCAGTCAAGCTCGTGTCCATGTTCAAGGGGCTTCCCTGCCACCGACTGCCACTCGAGCTATTTGGTAGGCCATTCATGGCGCCGAGGGTAGTCTGAGACTCGAGTGGCATGCCCATAATTTCGAATGTGGTGGCAGGAGACAAGGTAGGAACGTGGGCCATGCAAACAATAGGCGCCGGTTAAAGCGTCGCGGATGTGGCGATGCCGGGCAACGATCTGGGGCGGGTCCTTTGCGGCGTCTGTCGACCAGTCTAAGCGTTGTTTCTGAACCTCGACGAGTGGTCCGACGAGAAGTAGCAGCAGAGGTTTGGAAGAGTCTGATGATGGACGAAGGAGACGACGCGCACCACGTTCTGCGAAATGTTGAACACCGCCGCCCGGGCCGGCCACCGGTCCCATGACCACGTGACATTCACGCGCAGTTCAACAAGCTAAACAATGGGCGCGCCGCTTATATGTTTACTAGCCTGATACCCTTGTTCTGGTCACTTTAGAGCGTAGAACGCCATGAGAGCTCAGTGGAGAAATATCATCAGTTGCTGGGGTTCACAGTGGAGATCTCTTTTGTAACCTTGCGGTCACGGTCTTCTCGCCAAAAAAGTCACTCAGGCCTGTCGCACAAACATTCAAAATCCCCCCTCGCTGCCACAGACCCACATGCTCAGCTTGCATATGACAGTGAGATCACGCAGTGAGTTCAAAATGAGGACCCGGCGCAGATAACTCGATAGACTGGGCTACATGCCACTCGCACTACTGAAGGGTACAGCAAACAAAGTACACACATCACGCTCTCAGCATCCACGGACACGAGAGACAGCATTGAAGGAAGATAGATAGGTAATAGAGATCCTCCAGAAGGAGGCTAAGAGGGAAAAATTGCCCACTGCTGCGTAAGCTGCAAAGAGGACCGGTCACCGAAGTGACCGTCCGACAGCCACCTGGGAAGCGACTGTCTGCTGGATCACGAGAGTGTCCAGAGGTTGAGTGCGCACTCAGAAGGGAGGCTCGGGTGTTCTGGGGAGAGCAATATCAGCCCACGAGCTGCGAAGCGAGAGCATACCAGAGTCCAATTGAAGGCAATGGGCCGTTGTAAAACATCGTAAGCCCGGTCTTCGGCTCGAGTTCATTGCCGATTGGAGGCGGACCGACGCAACGACGTGTGAGAAACCAGAAGAGCACATTGCGACATGGTTGCGACATGGACGCTAGTCCTTGGACGAGGTATAAAATGGCGGATCTTGTGGGCAGGGGAACACTGGCCTGACGGCCTCATTGCGTCGCCGCGCAGGAGAGATTGTATTGGACGGCGCCAGTCCATGATAGCCCCTCGGCCTCGGAATGTCGTCTTAATGATTGATGTTGAGAATTTAAGCATCGTGAGGAGCCCTTGAATAGCGTGAGTCCATGCACTGGAGAAACCATCAGGCGAACACACCTATCAGTTGGTCCGCGGCGAGGGCGGTCGGGCGACCAAAAGCCTCGCGCCTTCGTAGCGATTCGGTAGTTAGCGAGCGGCGATGTTTATGGCATTGATCAAGAGATTTCATTGCCACTTGGCGGCTGGGTCCTGAGGTGTTGCGCTGTCCGAGCGTCGGTGTCTGACAAGGGCAGTCAGAGGCGAGTTTACGGAGAGGCGACAGCGACGTACCATTGAGCTACCCGTTATCCGCGTCATTGGGCGTGCTCGCGAGGCTGGCATCTTGCGTAGCATCCGAGTCTGGAGGGGTTTGAAGACTGAACGTCGACGTCGATGATACTGCAAGCCGAGGGTCAATGGCGAGGATCAGAAGGTAGTCAGATCACGCACCATCGGCTGCCCGAGACAATACATGGCGTGTTTGCGAGGTGTCGTAAGGTCTAAAGGCGACGGCGAGCAGAAGCCAACGGCGAGCAGTTGAGGGACCGTTGGGTGGCGTATCATTGACGCATGCCCTACTCCTGTTGGGCAAGCTTCCGTGGACATTGACGCTCTTGCGTGGCATCGGACATTGTAGGAATTTGAGGGCCCAGCATTGACGAGACCTAGTAGTCAGGTGAGTAACGAGAACCAGAGGCAGATCAAGTCACGTACCATTGGCCACCCGAGGTCCGCCACATTGGGCGCCAAAAGTGCATTGATGCAATTGCGACGCATCGCCAGCTTGAGGAGACAGAGCCAGTGGTATCTAGTGATAGATGTCAGCGAACAGAATACGCAGAGCGTTCGAATGACTCACTATTGAGGGGCCCGATAGCAGTGACATTGGGCCAATTCGAGATATAAGACATTGATGCACTTGCCAGCATCGCAAGGTTGAGTCAAGCACTTGAAGCAAACTTGAGCTCGTCTGGTTCTGAGGGTAAGCAATGAGAGAGTATGATCGTCCGATGGCGCACCATTGAGGAGTCCGAACGCGAGGACATTGGGCTACCTCGGGATAAGTTGTTGGCGCTTACGAGCCCGTGCTGGCTTGGAAGTTGCATTCGCGTAAAGGAGATCTGGCAGCCAATGTTAGCAATGAGTTCGTTCGACGCCACCTGGGTGGCGTACCATTGGGCCGCCCGCTCATCGCGGCATGGGCCAGCCCGAGAGAACATTGACGGCACTTGCGAGCCATCGGTGTCGCTGTCGCGGAAGCGCTCCAGAGTAGACAGTCGTGGTCGTCTAGGAAAAAATAGACGTCGATTTTGTGGTCGAGGTGAAGGTAAGAAACAAGAGAGAAATCCCATCAAATCTCAAGCACGCGCCACTATTTATGGGGCTCTCCGTGCCATCCAAAAGGGGAAAACACCGCATGGCTGTCACGTTACTAGCGTCTGTTCGACTCGACGAACTCAGGCCGAGCCACTGCACGGCAGATATCAGAATGGGCGCTGATGATGGACATAAAATACATAGTCGGAGCCTGATGGTTCGTACAGGAGCTTTGTTACATGGCGACGAGTGGAATGTTATTCTGATAAATTGATAAACTAGCATGCTATACCATGGACTGCCTAAAAGTCAACCGCCGGTTCAGTGACCCATTTGACTCTTTCACCCCCTGTGAGATGTTTCAGGACTACAAGAGCGACCCTGATATCTCGACGGGCTCGCATGCTCCTCATCAATGCGAGCATTGGTGCGGAATCGTACTTCAAATCCGGAGTATAATAAACCTTCACGTACGTGATGTAGGAATCGCTCCGTCCCGGCGGCCATCGGGAATTGACCATGCTGAGTATATCGGTGGTTTTGAAGACGTTATACTCGCTCTTCGCGCGGGCCTCGATGACCAGGCGCCGGAGCTCGGGGGCGAGGAGGCGCCCACTGCGCTCCGATAGGCCGTCGAGGAGCGAGCTTCCCATGAAGCGCAGCGGCTGGTCAAGGTACAGTGAGTGTAGGTGCTGGCATAGCTCGAGGATACCAAGTAGCTCGGGAAGGGAGATGAACAGGTGCGAAAGCGTGAGGTGGCGGATAGAGCACCGAGAACGCTCGATGAGGTCGCTGAGAAGCGGCTGCAGCAGGCGGGGCTGCGCGCCGGCCTCCTGAGCCTCGAGCAATACATTTTCATCGTCAGACCCCTTACTTGAGTTGCTGGCACCCAGTCCCCCGGCTGAGGATATAGTAAGACGTGTCAGCGCGGGGGCGTCGAGTCCGTCAACGAACTTCGCCAGTCCCGAGCGCTCGTCGAAAGTGTGTGTTCGGTCGACCCGCGAGTTATATGATGGGTCGTGCGAGACTCTGAGGTGCAGCTCGCTGAGGTTGAGAAGCAAGTGCGGACCCATCATGGCTTGGTAAGCAGCCTTCCTTTGCTGCCTGCTTTCTCGACGAAGTCCGCGGGCCGCCCCTCGTCGATCCCGCTCCGTGGTGCCCTCTTCGTCATCCTCGGACGCGTCCTCACCGCCGCTCAGAGGCTCTGAGAGCTCGGATGGGTGTTGCTCCTCATCCTCATAGTGACCGAGAACGGTGCACTGAAAGACTCGGAGCTGAAGATTGGACGAAAGGATGATGAGGAGGTCGCATGCCCGGCGGGGTATCCTGGGCAGACGAAGCACTGCTAAGCGCGACCAATCTATGCCTGCCTTGGGTCCCACCTGGGAGAGAGAGAAGATGTCCCAGTATATGCAGAAGCCTGCAAGGGAGAATTCTGACAAGCGCGGGGCACTGTGCAGGATTCCACGCCATCCTCCCCGGCCTGAGTTTTCCCAGGACTCGTCCATGTACTTCATGTCAACGCGCAGCACCTCGAGGGCCGGTGTCGCAATCCCCTCCACGAGAGGGAATATTGGTTCCGTATAGTTGTGGCTAAGAACTTGAATGCTGAGTAGCCGTATGCGATGAATATGCGGCGCGAAGGTCGGGGAGGCGAGAACATCGGCGATAGTCATGTTGCCGAGGACGCATACGACGGTGAGAGGTTGGTCTTTCGAGAGCGCCAGTACTTTGTCGTAGTACTTCGGGAGGTATCTATACATGATACCATTTACTGCGTATACAAAGACGTAGGACCATATGATGGGATTACTGCTGACCAGTGCGCGCCATTTCCGGCAGACTTGGCTGAGAAGGCGTGGGTAGTCGCGCACGCCGGTCTCCTCCAGGAAGGCGCGGAAAGCTCTGCCCGAGTCAGGTGTGGGGTCTGTGAGCTCTTTGGGTATAGTGAGGATCAAGATGTAGTCGATGATCTCGCTGGGTAGGTCGTTGATGGGGAATGTTCTCCGGGATGCTGCCGCGGTTGCCTTGAACTGTCACTGTGCGTAAGCTCCGGCACGGTTCGCAAGTGAAGTACACGCACCAGGTCCATTGTTCCCTCCCACTTTGAGTCGTACTTCCGTGGTCTGGCGCTGTTGACGATGGTGGTCCTTATCAAACCCGGCGATCGCCACGCTGCGCGACCTACTGCATTTCACGTGATCATTCTCTTCCGAACTGTGACCATCACGCTTTAGACTTACCAGCAGCGGCCTTTGGGCTTGACTGGGAGCATCCAATTGCTTTGAACCTCCTACTGTGTATCTTAACTCTGTAAGGGGCTGTTTCTTTCGTATCGCATAACGTAGATGGTCATTGGATGATTGGCAGAAGGTAAACTCCGAGTGATATCGTCGATACATGATTTTTCTCGCGTTTTTTTTTCTCGAAAGGGAAGCTCGAGGTCAGCTCGACGTTCATAGGTCGTGCAAATCAATGAGCCTCCGTCTGTGCTTTCCTGCAGACGATCTTGTGCGACGGCCATGCCATGCGTTGGCTATGGGAGTATCAGTACTGCCAGAGTACGATTGATCTCTTCTCAAAAGAGGATCAGTTACTCACCACTCCCGCCCACAGTAGTACACGAGCTTGCACTTCGAACACAACATCAGATGCTTCGCCTCCTTCGGCGCCTCGCAGTATGCGCACTGCCGTGCATTCGCCTCCAGCCATGCCTTGCTGACCTCCGGTCGGTCGTCCTTGGTGCCCAGTACCTGTATGCAGAGTTTCAGACTTTGTCACAGAAGCGCAGTGCCGATGGTGCAGGCACATATATTCGCAAACGTTCAGCGTCTGCTGGCCACCTACCTGATCGCGCACACTTGGCTTGTCATCCTTCTTCTTCGTGCTATGATTCCCCCTCGCCACCGTGTTGTCGATCTTCTCAAGCTCGCTCGGGAGCAGCGTCGGGATGAACTTCTCGCGCGTGACCTGAAAGATGGACGGCTGGCCTGGCGTGCGGTAGTCCCCAGCGGGCGCCTTCATGTTGTCGAGAAACTCGGGGCTGACTTTGTAGCCCTCCGCGGGGGTGACGTAGGTTGCGCGGACCCTGGGCGTAGACGAGTTGAGGTTAGAAGAACGAGGAGGTTCAGAGATACGTGGATCAGAAGAGCGGTCTAAACACTACAAAGAAAGCTCCTTACCAATTAGGCTCGTTCCCCCACTCCCATTCGCCGTGGAGGTAGACGAGGAGGGACATGAAGCGGTCGGCTTGATACTTTGTGAGCGCGTCGTAGTCATGGTGAGAGTAGTTGCCGCAATTGCAGGTTTCGGGGAAGATCATGACGAGGAGGAAGCGCGAGAGGGTCATATCGGTGAAGAGGAGGTGGCCCCAGTCGCGCTAGCAAGAGCGGTAAGAATAAGGTGAATATACTTGTGCTATACTCCTTGAGCGCGTACCGGTCGCTTGGCCGAGGCCTTGACGATCTACAAGGCAAAATGACCGGAGACATGAGCAATCGACGTTGCGGACGAGAGGACAGCGACATACCTCGTATTTGTACAGGATTGGCGCCCACTGGGCGTCGTATTTGAGATCGGCATGCGTTTCACACCAGAATGAGACCTGGTCGAGTATTGACCTCCGTGCCATGAATTCTTCCTTGGTAAGATCGGGTGCGTTATCGGGGTGACCATAGAATTTCTGCGTGACATCGTTCATGGACACCCCGAAGTCGGTGCATTGCACAAGCTTTCGGGTCGCGCACGTCTCTGACCGATTGATCATCATGTTTGGGGAGAAGCTGGCGGACGATGAGTGACTGCATACATCCGCTCCAGGTCGTAGGCGCACTAAGGCAAGCCAGAAAACGCAGAGGCAAGGTCGTCCATCTTGAAGGGTTTGCTCGAGGTATAACCGCGGGTTCCGACGGAGGTTTAGATATGTTTTCAGATGTCAGAAGCTTCCAATCCTCCTCCCTATGAATGGCAGAAACCGCCAACCGGTCTTCAAAGATGACAGCTGGGACAGAGAACGCCGGATCAGTCCCAAAGAGGCAGGCATTGTATTTACGTAACTCCGTGCCGAAGCCACGCCGAGGCTGACAAAGCAATGATGGGCAGGACGGACCGGCACGCCGGCGCCCCCGCTCAGAGTTTTTCCACGGACGACGGCGGATCCAAAACTTCTCTTCGTCGACGGCGACGACGACGACGATGATCATCCGCGGAGCACGTAGCAAGGCGGCGAGGACCACTTTACTGTCGGCTTCTCACTCCCGCTTCTACTCACGACCCTCAAAACCGGCGAACGCGCCAGCCTTCGCCGCACACCATGCTCACCAAGACCTCTCCCTCCCGTTCTTTAACACATCCCCCTCGTCGTCGTCGACCACGTCGGCGGAGATGGCCTCCTTCTTGACACGAGAAGGGCCTTACTCCGTTCTCCCACCGCCCTTACCGACCGCGCAGCCATCAGCTGCTACTCCGTCCGCAACAACACCAGAACCCGAGACGTGGTACACCGACACGCAGACGCAGGACCTGCTCGCTGTCATCAATGCCTGTCTTCACAACCTCTACGATGTCCAGCGCGCGAAGAGCATATTCGACCGCATGCGCGAACGGCCAAATCACCCAGGACTCGATACCCGCGTCTACAACGCCTTCATCCACGCCTACATCAACATGGCCACGACGAAGGACCCGGGAAACCGGGAGTACTGGGTAGAGGGTGCCTGGGAGCTGTATGAGGCGATGAAGACAGGGGACAACGACCGAATATTGCCCAATGCCGGCACATATGCAGCGCTGCTCGTTGCCTGGGTCAGGTGTGTCCGCTGCTTCTTATGCCGCGTGATCGGCGCTCATATGCATCTGCAGGTTCAACCCCGATAGCAAGGCGCCGGTGCACACGGATCTGGCGACGAAGCCGAGCGTGCTGCTTGCGACTTTGGTTGAGCGCGGGCTTTCCGTTGAGAAGGTTGTCGCCCACCCGTTCATCACATCCGACGAGGAGGCTGCCCAGCTCGTTCGCATGCTGACCAAGGTCGCATACGAGAACGGCATGTCCAAGACTGTCGCCGAACTCACGACCGTCGAGTCCGTCGGCTCTTCCTTCCCTGACGTGCTTGAAGGCGTCCCGGATGTGCGACCAGTCGAGCTTGAGCGAATACAGAAGGACGAGACGAATCCGGACGGCTCGCCCAAGAAAGTCTCCGAAATGCCCTTCAACCTGTCCAACCTCCGCAAGCACCTCTCCCAGATCACCCTCGCCCGCCGCGTCCTGCCCGAAGACCTTGTCGCCCGTCAGAAGCTCATCGAGGATTCCGTCTACGACGTCGCAAGAGAGCGGCTTCAGCACGAGTACGAGCAGATGAAGAACCTCGAGGCCGGCAAGGGCCAGGGGTTGAAGGACAAGCGCATCCAGCGCTGGATGTGGGAGTGGCACATGAAGCTGCGCGAGCGCATAGGCACGGAGATCAAGAACATCACCGCCTTCGAGAAGAAAAACTACTCGTACGGCCGGCCTAAGGCGCACCTCAAGTACCAGGCCGAGATGATCTCCCCCTACCTCGCCCTGGTCAACGCCGAGCGCCTTTCCCTGCTCACCATCATGGAGCTGATGACGCTGCACGACACGGGCGGCGTCACGGACGGCATGAAGACCGCGCGCGCCGTCATCGCGGTCGGCAAGGCCGTCGAGGCGGAGTACAAGGCGCAGATGTGCAAGCGGAACCACATTGCGGTGCCGTCCAGCACGCGCTCGTCGGATGTCTCAGTCTTCTCCAACCTGGGGTACTCGAACTTGCAGGAGCGCCGCGTCGCTGCTGCGCGCCTGATGGAGGATGGTGAGGCGTGGACAGCTCCGTGGTCGGTGCACACTCGCGCGCGGGTTGGTGGAGTCTTGATTGACTGCCTGATGGACACGGCGAAGGTGCAGCGGACGGCGGTGGACAAGAATGACGGCAAAATCCTCACTGAGGAGCAACCGGCTTTCTACCACAGCTACGAGTATGTGCAGGGCCAGCGGCTAGGCGTCATCAAGCTCAACCAGGAGGTCGCGGCGCATATGGCGAACGAGTGGACTATCGACACCGTGCACCCGCGTCATCTGCCCATGTTGGTCAAGCCGAAGCCATGGCTCAATTACAACGATGGCGGGTACTTGTACCACAAGAGTACGTTGCATGACTCTTCTTATGTTGTGCATATGCTGACGGGCCTGCAGCGTACGCCATGCGGTTCAAGGGATCGCGTGAACAGCAGGCATACCTCAAGCATGCATCTGACGCTGGTCAGTGCGAGCTAGTGTACGCCGGCTTGGACGTCTTGGGCAGCACGCCTTGGAAGATCAACCGCAAGATCTTCGACGTTGTCCTCGAGGTCTGGAATCGCGGCGACCGCTGGGGGAAGCTGCCGCCCGCCACCTTCGATGAGCCCGAGCCTGAGGCACTATCGCCTGATGCGGACTCGCGGAAGCGCGCAGACTGGTCGCATGCGATGAAGCTCTACAACCAGGCGAAGCAGTCAAACCACAGTCACAGGTGTAGTGTGAACTACAAGATTGAGATCGCTCGGACAGTGCGTGTCACCTATTGAATCTACCCCTGCATATATGCTAATCAGGTTGCAGTTCCTCGGCGAGACCTTCTACCAGCCCCACAACCTCGACTTCCGTGGCCGCGCATACCCCGTCCCCCCTCACTTGAATCACATCGGCGATGACTTGTCCCGCGGGTTGCTCATGTTCGCGGAGAAGAAGCCCCTCGGCGAGCGCGGCTTCCGCTGGCTCAAGATCCACATCGCCAACTTGTACGGCTTCGACAAGGCTTCCTTCGACGAGCGCGTGCAATGGGTCGAGGACCGCCTTGCGGACGTCTACGACTCGGCAAACAACCCCATCAATGGCAAGCGCTGGTGGCTCGAGGCCGATGACCCCTGGCAATGTCTCGCTGCGTCCATGGAGCTTCGCGACGCGATCGAAAGTGGAAACCCCCTGGCGTTCGAGAGCTCGCTGCCGGTGCATCAGGACGGGACGTGTAACGGTTTGCAGCACTATGCTGCGCTCGGCGGTGATCCCGAGGGTGCGGCACAGGTCAACTTGCAGAAGGCGGACCGTCCGTCGGATGTGTACACGTACGTCGGGCGCATGGTCGAGCGCATTATGGAGGAGGACGAGAAGAAAGGGGACCCGATGGCGATATTGCTGAAGGGCAAGATCTCGCGTAAGGTCGTGAAGCAGACGGTCATGACGACGGTGTATGGCGTCACGTTCATTGGTGCGCGCGACCAGATTGAGCGCCAGCTGCGCGACCGTAAGGATATCCCTCCGGAGCATTGCTGGGGCGCGGCTACGTATCTGGCTCGCAAGGTATGTATCGTATGCGGCAGCTTTTGACAAGTGTGTACTGACAACATTATCAGGTCCTCGCCTGCATTGGTGACCTGTTCTACGGCGCGAAGCACATCATGACCTGGCTCAACCTCTGCGCACGCCTCATCGCCAAGTCCATCCCAATGGACCGCCTTCAGGAGATGATCGTTGCGGAGAATGAGCAGGCAAAGGCGAAGCAGGACAAGCGGAAGCGGAAGGACCTGGGCAGCAAGCACAAGGTTCTCAAGCGCGAGCAGATGACCAGCGTGGTGTGGACAACGCCCATGGGCCTTCCGATCGCGCAGCCGTACCGCAAGGCGACACGCAAGCAGGTCAAGACAGCGCTGCAGACGGTGCTCATCACGGACCCGAACAGCTTGGCCGAAGTTAACTCGAGCAAGCAGGCCACCGCCTTCCCGCCCAACTTCATCCACAGCCTCGACGCCACGCACATGATGCTCACCGCGCTTGAGTGCCGGCAACAGGGGCTCACGTTCGCGTCCGTGCACGACTCGTACTGGACGCACGCGTGCAGCATCGACCAGATGTCGGGCATCATCCGCGACACGTTCATCGCGCTGCATTCGTCCGACGTGCTGATGCGCCTGCACAAGGAGTTCCTGACACGGTACGCGAACTACAAGATCCCGCTGATCAGCCTCGGCGCGCCCAAATTCATGCGCGACCTCCGCGCGGCGGGCGCGCGCATCTACTGCACGCCCGAGCAGGCGGAGAAGCTGCAGGGCATCCGCGAGCTGCTCGAGGTCTCGGAGACGGCGACGCCGACCGTGGACGAGAGCAAGGCGCAGGACACGGTGCAGTCGCTGCTCGGCAAGGACGCGGCGGAGCTCGACGACAAGGCGCGCCTGAAGAAGCTCGCGGACATGCTGAACGGGGAGCCGGCGAAGACGACGAAGAAGGGGGCGGAGGACGAGGACGATGCGGAGGTGGAGGATCCGGCGGAGGACGTCAGCTCGGTGGACAAGCAGGCGATGGTCGACTTGTTGGGCAAGTTCGTGAACTTGACCGATATCTTGCCGCCGCTACCCCCCAAGGGTACTTTCCGCGTTGAGGACATCAAGGAGTCGCCGTACTTCTTTTCATAGCGGAATGTGGTCTCTGCCTCACTCTCTCTCCCATCGTCCCTTCTCCTCATCTTTCCTGCCACATACCTTACGCACGCCCTCTCGTCTTCGCACGTCAACTTATTCACTAACCTCATTGCTGCTCTCCTGCCTGCACTTACCCACGAGTCTCGCTTGCACTTACCCACAGGTCTCGCTTGCACTTACCCACAACTCCACTCACACATCTGCATGCTATCTCGCAGTTTCCAGGGCCACACATGCATCGTATATATCACTAATTCGGTCGAGCCGTATGCTCAATGTATCTTAGAAGCACATCTAGATAGTATGGAAGGAAAACTGCCAAGTTGACGATGGTCCATGGAGCTGAAGTTCGGTCGAAGGTCGATTGGCGATGCAGTCGAAGTTGAGTGGGTGCAATAAATGGGTTTGCATGCCAGTGTTTGCAAAGGGTGCGTACACCGCTCCCTAGCGCTTGGCCCGCACCCGTAACCATAAGGCCGTCTAGCTGTTATCAGGCCTTTGGCTGCACCCAAGCACGCTGCCTCAGGTCTTGATACTGAACGACGTCCAGATTCGCAGCGCTCCGTGGTTATATCAATGCGTACTGTACTAGTACTTCTCGACTGGTATGCAACGAATTATCCGTCCTGCGACTGCTTTAAAGCAGCGCCTGCTTATGACATAAGCAGCACCTGCTCGAAGAACAAGCGACGCCTCCCTCGAGGATACGATCTGCGCCCACAGGAAGATGCAATCAGCGCCCACCCAAAGAAGGCAGCCAACGCCTACACAAAGGAGAACACTCGACAATGCCATCATTGCTCTCAATCTACAAGTTGGGTATCGCTGCATCGGGGTATATGCACAAATCTATGCTCGCGCTCAGGAAGCACGAAATACGCTCACGCTCGGGAAGCACGAACACCTAACCGCCCCTTCTCAAGGAAGCCCCTCCACAGGCATCTGCCCGCCCTCATCTCCCTCGCTAACCACTGTATCCAACGCCATGATGCTCCTCCCGCCCTTCGCCCTGTCTTCGACGAAGTGCTTGCGCGCCTTGCCGTAGTCGTCAAACTTGAACTGCCAGCCGTTGGGCAATCCCGCATATAGGGATGCCTGGCGCTTCATCGGAGGGAGCGCGCTGCCCCTCGCCGAGTAACGTGCAGGAGCAGAATGTGCAGGCGCGCGCATAGGCGGCGGACAGGGCGACGCAGAGATCGGCGAGAGGATCGAAGTGACACTTTCCGAGTAGGCGAGCGTTTCGGCATCCGTGTCCAGCTCGTGATCAACGGGCTCCGGCGCCGCGTTCTCCTTCCCGTAGACGATGCTGACGGAGACTTCGGATGCGGTGCGCACGAGCTTGCGAATAGCGGTGAGCGAGCCGTCGTGCGCACGCTTCGCGTCGTTTTCCATGGTTGCTTCCGCAACCGCAAGGTCGACGAGATTGTCGTTCCCAGACTGAGCACCGAGGCACGTGGGGCAGAGGCGGACAAACATGGCGACGAGCTTCCGTGGGATGCGCGCGTGCGCGGCGCAGAGGTGCTCGTAGGTCGCGTCGAAGGGACCGTGGTCGACGGCGGCGTGCGCAGCGCAGAGGATGTCGTAGAGTTCGTCTTGCACGGCGACTGGGCGGTCGTTTTCGAGGAGGCGTAGACCGGCAGGACCATAGGCGAGCGTGAAGGTGTTGGCAGCCCAGCGGATGTAGTGCGCACGTTCGTCCGGAATCTCGGAGGTGCGCAGCGAGGCGATGACAGCAGGATCCGTAGAGTCCAGAGCGGCGACAATAGTGTCGTAGTTCGCGCGAGAGATCAGGGCCTTGCTGCGTTGGGCGGCAGAGAGCGGAGCCAGAAAGCGCGCTTCGACGTCGTTCTTGTACTGATCGCAGGTGAGGAGGCCGATGCGACTGTTGGTCTTAGGCGGCGTCGCAATGTGACTTTCTCTTTCGGCGATCTTGGAGACAGAAGTCGTTGAGGGTAATGCAAGCACAGGATCGATCGCCGTCATCTTGAGTGCGCCGTACATGGTATCTCTGCTTGCTTCCCGTTCAGTAGTCTCATCAGCAGGGTACCCTAGACCATACCTTTGACCCTGGAGATTGTCCGCAAAGAGCGAGTAAATTATAAAGGAGAAAAAAAACGAGTGGACGTCTAGAATGTGAAGGATCCGATGTGGAGGAGGACAAGATGTGAAAAGCTCCTAAGCGCCTGTGACGCAGTGACGAACGCGGTCACCTGACGTCACAGGCGTCATATCTGCCACGCGCTTTCGGGATGGGCCGTACCGACCTTGCTCACGACCACCACCAGGCCACGTTGTGAGCATCAGGAAGTTCCTCTCCGACACTGAGACTCCCTGTATACCCCTCTTAGCAGCCAAGTGCGATGGAAGGTCGAGGACAGCCAAGAGGAAGAGGAAGAGGCAGTCATGAAGGAGGAAGAGGGAGCGGAGGGCGTGGTGGACGTGGTGGACGTGGCTGGCGCGGAGGACGAGGCTCACGAGGAGGGAAAATGCAAGGAGGAGGAAGGGGCAGAGGTGGGCCTTCTCAAAACCTCCATCCATCCCACCACCGGCAGCAAGTGGCAACACCTACCAATGACGATCGCCACCCCATCCACTGCCTTCCTAATGAGGTCCTCGAAATTATCTTCCTCTTCAGCATTCCTGACGAGCTCGCTAATCCTACACCCGGCTCTCACGTTGCATACTATGCCTACCTCGATCGTTGCAAGAGCATCGACTACCCGCACTTCCTCGGCCGCGTCTGCCGCCGATGGCGCGTCGCCGCGCAAGGATGCCCCATGCTCTGGTCCTACATCTGCGTCGACATTGGCGCGCGCAAGCCATACAACGCCTCCTACTACACCAGCGTACTCGCCAAGTCGAGCGAAAATCCTCTCACCCTCTCCTTCGTCGTCGGCAAGAACCAGCTCCTCAACACCGTCCTCCATGGGCCGGTATTCTCGCCGCATATTCGGCGCGTTCGCATGCTTTGCATCCAGCTGTCCTCGTACTTTTTATCCGCCGATGCTCCAAGGGTAGACATCCTGCCGCTCTTCCCGACGGTCGATACGCCCCTGCTGGAGAGCCTCCGCCTGGACTGCCGAAAGGCCCCTTGGAGCGTCATCCGGTATCTCGAAAAACTACAACGTGGCGGAGAACCTATTCCCGACCACCTACGCTTCTTCCGCCACGCGCCGCGGTTGGAGGAGTTCGCGCTCGAGGGCCTGGACAGCCCAGACGCAACGCACGAGGCGATGGAGTGTATGTCGCTTCGCCGGATGGGGCTGGCGGGCTTTGAGTGGCAGAACATGACGCGGCTTCGCCTGCCGGACGTACCAAGGCGCGTGTTCGACTTGCTGAGGGTGCTGGGCGATGCGAAGCGGCTTGTAGAGCTGAGGTGCACGATATTCGAAGATCTGGAGGACGAGTTCTCGTACGAGGGCCACGATGAGTATATCATCGATACGGAGGACGAGATGGAGGATGAGGATTGGGATGAGGAAGAAGAAGAGGATGAGGAGGACGAAGAGGAGGAGGAGGAGGAGGAGGAAAGTGACGATGACTATCCGCACGCTTATACTCGGTTCGCCGCACGTACCCGCGTCCAGCAGAACCCCAGGGCCCCTACCAATAACGCCACTTCTCGCGCCCTCGCAGATGCCCGCCGCGCCGATAGGGAGTGCCGACAGCGCGAGCTCGCCGCACGCCACGCCGAGCGCGAGGTCGCCCGGGAAAAAAAGCGCCGCGATAACGCTCGGCTCCTCGGCCCGCACGTCTTCCCCGACCTGACGAAGCTGCACCTCGTCCTCATGGCGTTCGAGCCGGAGAACTACGGCGAGTACGACGACGAGAACCCGGAGGAGCGCTCGGGCGTTGAGCGGTTCCTGGGCGCGCTGGTTATGCCGGCGCTAGCGTCGCTCACCATCGCGCACAGGGGAGAGGAGTTTGAGGGCGGCGGGTACAGCGACGGTGAGGGCTATGGGTATGGGTATGGTGGCGGTGGAGGCGGTGGCGGTGGTGAACCCAAGGTATACCCCCACCTGAAGGCCTTCGTTCAGCGCTCTGAGTGCGTTGTCCTAACCCTCACGCTCGACAGCCTCGCCATCGAGCAATCTGAGCTCCTCGATATCCTCAAGCTCTTCCCGCACGTGCGCACCCTCCGCCTCGTAGACGCCACGAAAGCTATGAGCGCGGGCTTTTGGCAGGCACTGGGGCGGCGCGAGCGGGACGGGCGGCTGGCGCTGATGCCGGATTTGCACCATCTCGTCGTGCACCAGGATCGCGGGCGCACGGGGCGCGGCGGGTTCATCAACGTGAACGTCCTGGATGCGGTTGAGGCGCGGTGGAAAGCCGGTATGGGCGGCGGTGCGCGCGTTGAGGTCGTGCACTGCCCGACGCCGACGAAGGGGCGCAAGGGGAAGCCTGCGCAGGTGCTGGACTCGCAGATGCGCGGGCGGCTCCGGCGGGTGCAAGGGCGGGCAGATCTGGAGCTGATGCTGACGGAGTTGCCGTTCAAGAAGAAGCCCCTAAGGCAGGTTGGCGGCTCAGATTATGGGGAGTCAGAAGAAGGTCACTCCGATGAGGTGGACTACGATGACGAGTTTGAGTACTATTGACGGAATACGTCTTTTAGTGAAAATATTGGTCTCGAGCTACATGTAGGGCTTCCTCTTACGCATGAGGGCCATCCACAACACCGAATTGTGCGCAAGAGATGGTGCAAAGGTCATGTCGGGCGTCTGATTAGGCGCCAAACAAACGTGACATCGGTTCCACCACGGTCACCTGACGTTGTCACGCGCATAGATCCGTCACGAGCTTCGGAAATACCCGTGCCTCCCTTTCCCTTTGACCACGATCAAACCACTGGACAACGACTGCACGGTGTATCGAATAACGGTGGCCAAGAAAACCAATGGGAAAACTCGAACGCAAGGCGCGCAGACAGATTGCGCTGGCGGAGAAAGCCGCCACAACGACGCTCTCCTCGAGTGGCCCCTTCCCGATCAATCACCTCGCCACCGAAGTGTTTGAGACCATTTTGCTTCTTACCTTGCCCGACGCACTCGCGAATCCCACTTCTGGCTCCCACATTGCGTACAAAGCGTACCTGAATCGCTGCGACAGCATCGACTATCCCCGTCTCCTCAGCCGCGTCTGCAGGAAGTGGCGCGACGTTGTCGATGGGTGCCCTGCCCTCTGGTCATACATCTGCATTGACGTCGATGCCTTCGATGCCGGCTTTGACTACTACAACACCGTACTCGCGAGGTCTGGCGACCACCCTTTGTCCCTTTCATTTATCGTTAGCACTGGCAAGACGAACGAAGTCAGGCGTGCACTTAATGGTCCCGTATTTGCAGCGCACCTGCAGCGCTTGCGCAGGTTGAGTGTTCAGACTTTCTTCGTGCGCGACCACTCGGAAAGACCTCTAGAAGGGCCGGAGCTGCTGCCACTTGTCCCCGCTATCGATACGCCTCTGCTGGAAAGGCTTCGGATCGACTGTAACAAGGCTGCCAAGAGCATGGTTCGCTACCTTCGCAAGCTTAGCCTCGCCGATAACGACAACGTACCTGCGAACTTGCGCATCGTTTGCCATGCACCGCGACTAAGGGAGTTTGTGCTGGAGGGCTTGGACATGGACACGATCCTCCCCCACGTTGCTTCGTCGGCGTCCTCTTACTTTTCTCTCCACAAGCTGGAACTCGCCGGGCTAAAGTGGTCGATCATGACGCGCCTGCGCCTGCCGGATATCGGACGGCGGGTGACCGACCTACTCAGGGTGCTCAAGCAGGCGACGCGCCTCGTGGAACTTCGGTGCGCGGTGTTCGAAGATCGAGAGGATCAACGCGCGCAGGAGGGCGGGAATGAACACGCTAAGCTGGACCTGCCACTCGTCTTTCCTGAGCTCGTCACCCTACACCTCGTCCTCATTCCCCTCAAAGCCGCCGATGGCGGTGTCTACGACGACGACGAGAACCCCGAGAAACGCACCGGCCTCGATCGATTCCTGGGTGCGCTCGTCACGCCTGCCCTGACCTCCTTGTCCATCACTCGTAGAGGAGAGCCGCCGAACGAGCGCGACGACCAGGACTGGAATGGGGTCTACGGGCGTGTCATCGGCACCAACGGTAAGCCCAAGGACAAGTTACACCCGCACCTCCAAGCCTTCCTGAACCGCTCCACCTGCACCCTCACCTCCCTCGCGCTCGCCAACCTCGTCCTCTACCCGCCCGAGCTATTCAGAGTGCTGCTGCTCGTCCCCGCCGTGCACACCTTGCATCTCAAGGACGCCATCAGGCAGATGGGGGCGGAGTTCTGGGCCGTCCTCGGACAGCGCGGGCCCCGCGGGCGGCCGGTCTTCGTGCCCTGCCTGCGCCGCCTCGTCGTGCGGCACGACCTCGGGGACGCCGCGGGCAGCACGTTCACCAGCGAGGACGTCGCGGAGATGGTCAATGCGCGGTGGAAAGCCGGGCGGGGCGGCGGGGCGCGTATTGAGGTCGTGCATCGGCGCCAGGTCCATCAGCCGTCGAGGCTGCTAGTCCGGCAACGGAAAGGATTGCGGCATGCGGGGCAGGGAGGGCAGGAAGGGCCCAACATGCGGTTCAGGCATTTCAGGCCGGGTGGTACAGAGCTGCCGGCGCCACGGGAGGTTGCGAGTAATGTGGAGCTGGAGCGAACGCAGGCGCGGGACGACTTGGAGTTGGTGTATGTGGAGATACCGGAGGGGACGCGGACTGAGCGCGAGGAATGTCTTGCCGTGCTCAGAAAGGAGGAGTCCATGAGCGGGCGAACGGAAATCCTGTGAACGATGATGTGCTGACGTTCACAAACGAAGTCGGGCACATGGTTTACAAGCAGTAAACAGAGCGTGATTCCAGTTAGAGGTACAACGATAGCAATACGTACTGAGATGAGAGGCACTAAATTCATCACACAACATAAAAGACCTTCCACGGCAGTCCATCTTACAGGGACGGAACGGAGATGGGCAGCGACTGCTTCCAAGGGTAGGCGGTGTACTAAATGGACATAAGCCAGAGCAACGACTGAAGCTGCAAGAGGCTCCCTCACCTTCCACAGCGACGCATACTTCCAGTACAGCATCCACGGGCCAATCGTATTCTTGACGAACCCAGGCGCCGGCGGGAACTCGCACCCGGGCGGGAGGTTCTGGACGACGAACGGCAGGGCGAGCTTGTTGTCGTCGGACTGCTGCGCCTTGTGCGTCGCCATGTTGACCTCCTGCAGCTCCTCCTCCGACATCTTCGCCTTCAGCTGTGGAAGGGGGAAACTTCAGTGACTTGTGAGCGCATACATGCAGCCAAAACGGACCTTCTCGGCGTCCAGCGACTCCAGCTCGTCCGCGAGGTGCTCCATGACGGGGAAAAGGATGTCGTCGATCTATGTAGGACGAGGGAGTGAGCTATATGCGGGCGAGGGCGCTGGGAGTAATGCAATGCGTACCTTCGCCCTGAAGGTGGCAGCGTCGAATTTATCCTCCGTGGCAGACTCAATATACTTGATGAGCTCCTCCAACTAATGGTCGTCAGCACGGCAGCTATGCTGAGAGCAAGCCTGGACGTACCGGCTGCAAGAACGACTCGTGCTGCTTGTGGTTCAACTCCATCGAGCCCGAAATCTTCTTCTCAAGCATCGGGAACAGCGTCTTCTCCTCGGCCTCGTGATGCTCCTGCTCGACCAGTCAGCACCCCTTCCAGTACGGCTTAGCCGGACCACGCACGGCAAGGAACTTGATCGAGAGCGTCGCGTATGCGCGGTAGTTCGCAAAGTCGCCCGCCGGGATCTTGTCCGCGAAGAAGTAGGTGCTCTTCCACGCATTCCAGATGATCATATGCATCCACGCCATCGCCCACGCCGTCTTCCCCGACGCAGCTGCCGGGCGGGGGACTTCAGCTACCTTCCTGCAAGTCTCAGTCAGTCAGGGGAACGCGACCACCCCAAGCTCATCACGCACCGTATCTTCGCGACCTCCGCGAGCACGGCGGCGTCACTGAACTTGCTCTTGCTCATGACAGGGTCCGTCGACATGATGAGGGCGACTTTCGCGGTGGGGAGGGTGTTCAAGGTGCGGTAGGCGAGAAATGCGAGGGCGCCGACGAGGATGGAGGTGACAAGCTTGAGGTTCATGACGAGGAAGGGGTCTGAATTGCGCCTATAGAGCGCGTTGCTGGCCTCGAGGGCGCGGCCCGCCGAGAGCGTCGTACGCGGCAGCGCGGCGCAACCGCATCATGAGCGCGTAGCTCCAGCCAATCACGGCCGCCCATTTGCTCAGCAATTCTATTGTTCTCGTTCTGGAAGGATCGCGTGGCGTACCTTGGCGGGGGAGCTTCACGTTCAGATCCCCGCTGCAACACAACTTATCGGTCGCAATGATATGGCGAAAGCAGTCATTCATTCCAGGAGAAAATAGCGACAGCACTAGAAGACAAGTTGAAATAAGGAAGACCGACACATTGCACGAATGCAGCCCAGAGACAGACAACAAGGCCCAGAGAGACGATTTTTTTTCGCAATCAGCGTGGTCAGCCACGAATGTCTTCGACCTTATGAGTAGCTCGGTCAGTATATGTGTCGCTCATGACTGAGAGAAATCTCCAGCGGCGGCACTGTCAAGGGATCAGTAGGGGGTGAGGAGCACAGTACGTGAGACTTACACAACGTCCGTCATGCCGTCGTAGACCTTGCGGTAAGTGCCAAACTTCAAGCTGTGTTACAGTCAGCTTCGGTCAGGGCGATGGAGGGAGGTCCACTCACTAGGAGGTGCTACCACCCAGAGCGCCGGACAGGTCGGCAGAGACGATGCTCTCGCCTGAGTCCGCATCTTCAACGTTGTAGCTCATCGAGCCGCTGGGGCCGAAGGTGATCCTAGCAGCTATCGTCAGCCATGCGCTCCGAGATATCCTGACCCCTTCAAAGCTCACCTCATCGTATGTAGCGTCGTCCGCCCCACATAGTCCTCCCACGCCGCACTCGGGCAGCCGCCTCCGCACAGCCCACTCTCCACGCCCACCCTCCCCTTCCTCGCGGTCAGCGTCACCACCGGCCCGCCCTTCCCCGCGTCAAAAATCTGCATGAGGTGGAAGAAGTTGCTCCCCGTCCCCGTCCCCTCCGCGACGTACTCCTTCCACGAGTAGGTGTGCTCCTCGCCCGCGGCCGCGTTGTGCGCGCGGAACTCGTTGCGCTGGCGCGGCGAGTCGAGGTGCTTGGTGTCGAGGTTCTTGGACCCGTCGGCGGAGAGGGTGAACTGGTAGCAGTCGGCGATGCCGAGGTTCGCGAAGTCGCCCGTGCAGGGGTATTCGAGGACGCCTGGGAGGGGGTGAGTGATGAGAGGCTGGTGGGCATGGCGGCGGAACTTACCGGTCATCTGCCACTGCGCCTGATTGTCGAAAGCGCGGCCGTACGCAAGCTTGGAGCCGTCGTTCAGAACCTTGGCGGATGCGAAGGTCGCGAAGGCGATAGGGACGGCGGACGAGAACTTCATATTGAGAGATGTATAACGGATGCTTGGTAGGAAGACGGCAGCGTTGTACTTGCGATGCCGGGCCGAGAATGTGAATGTCCTTGAGGCTTGTCGGGTGTTGTCTTGACTTGCGAGGGTGGGTAGGATGGATCTCAAGGGATCCCCCCTCCGTATTTAAGGGAGGCCCATCCCCCGACCTCCCCGACAGCTTCACCGTGTCTTCCTCACTTCTCCGGTCGTGTCTTCACCACTTTTCAGTCAACAGGGCAGTGCTCCGCCCCACAGCGAACAGGAAATCCACGTTTATTGCCCAAGAAAGGACGGTTGAGCATCGATGGCTGTGCGTCGCACGGTATTCTGAAACGAGACAAAGAGAGCTTTCGATTTTGTTGCAGACCGTAGTAGAACTTGAAGGGGAAGGGAGAACCCCTGGCAGGTCAAGGTCGAGTCGTAGAGCTACGGCAACTTGAAGTCCGTTTTCGATTGTGAAGTATAGATAGGGATGATGAAGTGAAAGGAAGTAGCGGTGTGCCAAAGTCCCATAGTCCTCGGGTTCCCGAATGAGACAGAATAGTCGTTGCGAGGGAAACATAAAGTCTCAAAGTTAGTCGTCACAAATGAGACGGGGGGGTCAGAGTCTCAGTCTATCCGTCGGCTTGACATTCATGTCGGAGACCAAGAGCCTGGCCCTCTATTGGATTTCTCGAATTCCGCCAGTCTGACTTGAGTGTCGGAAATGAGGGTGAGAAGGAAGGAAGGTCGGCATCTACCGAGATGCCCACGCGATCACATCACGCGTCACTACTTCCCTTTCACCACATGAGTGGGCAGCGGACTCCTTGCTAAAAGAGCAGGATGGCGACTAGTGAGTGCATCTCAGCCTCGACAGTATGTTTCGGGCTTCAAACACTCAGCATTCACGGACCGTCGACCGTTCCCCATACACGACCTGCCCAACGAGATCGTCGACAACGTCCTAACGCTCTCCATACCTAAGGAGCTGACGGACCCCGCACCTGGCTCAGGCAGAACCTTCCGCGCCTTCTTGGAGAGGACCGGCGTGCGTGACTACCCACGCCTTCTTAACCCAGTCTGTCGGAAGTGGCGCACTCTGGTCCACCGGAACGCGACTATATGGTCTTATGTCTTTGTTGGTGCGGTCAAGAGCGACGGATATGGATACTTCCCGGAGTACTACGACGAGCCGCTAACGCTGTCGAAGGACAAGCCACTTTCCCTCGTGTGCATCGTCGGCAACATGAGCATCTCCGACGTGCTTTCTTCCCCACTCTTTGCGCCGCACGCCTCTCGCGTGAGGATGCTCTGCGTCCATGTTCTCGGCTTTGACTATACGGACCCGGTATTCCCGCTCTTCGAGAAGATAGCGACGCCCGCCCTCGAGGTGCTTCGCATCTATGATACAGAGGATGTGGACGAGTCCTGGGGAAACTACAGAGAATGGAGGGGAATTCTATACAGCCCCCCACGACTATCAGAGCTTTCCCTTGCGGGCTTCCGACGTGGCCTGGATAGCTTCGCCCTCACCCACGTGGGAAAAAAGGCGGGTATAGATTGGTCGCGCCTAACGGTGCTTCGTTTGCCCAACATACCCTGCAGAGCCTCCGACCTCCTCTTCGTCGTATCGACCAATATGCAGCTGCAAGTCTTCCAGTGCACCGTGTTCGGTCACCCTGAAGACGAGGAACTATGTCCAGCTGAGTTCTCAGAGCCTCTGAGTGACAGCGAGGATGACTTTTCTGACGGGGAGGACGAAGCGGACTATACAGAGGAGGATCGGCAGGATGCCGCAGCGCGCCGACTTCGCCGGGACAGCAGGCCTGAAAGAAGAAGGGAGTACCAAGCCATGATGGGTCCGCACCTACTTCCCGACCTTAGCGAACTACATCTTGAGGTTGCCCACCACCCTGACTACGAACCCGATGTCTCGTGGCGCCGTAGAGGGCGCAACGTTGACGAGCGCTCGGGAATGGCGATATTCCTTGAAGGACTCAACACCCCTGCGCTATCAACGCTCGCCATATCGACAACAAACGGACTGGTGCACGACACCCTGGACTCAGACATTGAGGACCACGAGGACGCTCTCGACGACCAAGAGCACGGCACGGGAGCTTTCGTCCTCGCGCCGCTTCTCAGCGACCTGATCGAGCGCTCTCAGTGCACTATTCGCTACCTCTCGCTCTCGCGTCTCTTCGTTTCCCTCCCCGAGCTCCTTGGTATCATCGAGCTATGCCAGCACCTCCGGTCGCTGCGCCTGAACCGACCGCTGCGCTTCATGCGCGGCTCGCTCCTTGATGGCCTGGCAGCGCGCAATGGCCGCCTCCGCGCGCCCGAGCTCCGCCGCCTGGTCATCGAAAGCCGTACGCAGACCATGTTTACCGGCATCAAGACCAGCGACATTCTCTACATGATTGATACCAGATGGCCACCCGGCTGGAGCGACACCGAGGTCGCGTATGTGAAGGTCGTGCACTGTCCGTCGGCGGAATATGATCCTCGGAGGAAGCACTCTAAGGATGCGCTGGAGGCGACGACAAGGGCGTGGCTGGCAAGCACGCGAGCTCGGAAGGATATCAAGGTCACCATCACGGAGCTACCTCGTTCTCGAGCTTGGGTCTCGAGCGTGCGACTTGGGGTTTGACAGCGGGGATCGATTATTAGTAGGAGACGGGTCCAAGGTAGATAGTATTTGTGTCGTGGGCGGCGGGGTGCCTTCGACTCCGTCCATGTTAGAAGCGGGCTTCTCGGGAAATTCCTGTTCATGATTGTGCGAACGTTGGTGGTTCATATTCTACTAGCATGTACACTGGCATGATGTACAAGTCGTTTTGTTGTGTGCCACAAATGTGTCACGTGCATATAGATACACATCACGGTCACATTAGCGAGTAACGCCGAGAGACGCCGACGGCATCAGTCTCAAACTTGACCAGCACCATCATCTCGCCGAGAACGTCGAAACAAGAAATTCATCCAAAATCAGTCGGACGTTGAATTGACAATGGTGCGCGGTATTCCTTGGATCGCGCATTGCCTCTACTGACGTTCTGAAGGCGCAGAAATCGCGACAGATAATAGCCACGCGCGGCGAGCACCAAACGTCCTCCATACACAAACTCCCCAACGAGCTCGTCGGCATTATACTGTCGGTCTCTATACCCTCGGCCCTTGCTGATCCCCAACCTGGCTCAATCGAAGCCCACCGCGATCTTCTGAGGCGAAGTCGCACACGCGACTACCCGCGACTCCTTGGCCAGGTTTGTCGGAAGTGGCGCGCCCTCGTACGCAGAAACGCCACTGTGTGGTCGTACATTCATGTCCGCGCTGCATGCTATCCCAAGTCCGAATTCTCGCCCAAGGACTACGAGGAGCCCCTCGCACTGTCTGGAAAGGAACCTTTGACGCTGGTGTTCGTGCTGAAGCACATGTCTATCGAGAAGATCCTCTCCTCTCCGCCGTTCGCGCAGCACATCTCTCGCATACGCATGCTCTGCATACACGTCCAGCGGCTTCACATAGGGGAGCACCTCTTTCCTATCTTTGCGAGGACTGCGACGACGCCGACACTCGAGACGCTTCGAATCTACGGCATTAATCTCGCCGAGCTGCCTTGGGAGGAGAAAAGGCGAAGAACGATCCTGAACTCTGCGCCTCGTCTGACGGAGTTCTCCATGGTGGGCGTTTGGGAACGTGGACAGGATGCCATGCCCCTTGCCAGCCTAGGACGCGCTGCTGGTATCGACTGGTCGCGTCTTACTGTGCTGCGTCTACCGGATGTACCTCGCTGGGCATACGACCTGCTCGTGGTCGTCTCGTCTGCGCCCCGACTTCGCGCATTTCAGTGCACGGCATTCGGCGAAATAGAGGATGACTCCATCATCGAGCCCGAGTTCAAGGAGTACGTGAGCGAATGCGAATCCAGCGACGCAGAGGAGGCATACAACGACAGTATTACAGAGGAAGAACGTCAGCAAGCAGCGGCGCGCGCTCGACAACGGCAGAAAAAGATGGACATCTTGCGGAAGCAGCGAGCCGTCATGGGACCGCACGTACTGGAATACCTCGAGGAACTGCATCTATCTGTTGGCCACGAGGGCATGGAATCGTACGGTGACGCCGCCGATGAAGAAATGGGGGTGGTGAAATTCCTCGAAGCGCTCAATACTCCGGCTTTGACCAAGCTTACCATTTCGGCGGCAAATGGCTTGGCGCTGGACGAGAGTTATGCCTACGATGACGCGCCTACCCCAGAGACGCTCTTGGATGCGCAAGAGAATGGGACCGACCCCTTCTTACTCGAGCCGCACCTCAGCGCGTTGATCTCGCGATCCGGATGCATCATCCGTCATCTCGCGCTTTCGCGCGTCTTCGTCACTCTTCCTGAACTCCTCTCCATCGTCAAGCTCTGTCCCGACATTCGCTCGCTACACCTTAACGACGCTCTGCGCTGGATGCGAGGCACTTTGATTAATGGTCTTGCCACACGCACAGACGAAGATGGTCGCCTTCTCGCACCCAAACTCCAGCATCTCGTGATCGAGAGCATCGACCAGAGCACGTATGCTGGCTTTCCTATCAGTGCCGTCCTCGACATGGTCGACGCCCGTTGGCCTGCGGGCTCGAGCGATAGCATGTCCGGCCCGGTCCGCGTGGAGGTCGTGCACTGCCCGAGTGACGAGTATGAGGAAGGGACGTCCAAGGGAGTCGCGCAGGAGCGCATGCGCAGCAGGCTTGCCGATACGCAAGCCCGGAAAGACCTTCAGCTGGTTATCAGAGAGCTGGAGCGGGATAAAGGCTTACAAGGTGCGCTCGAGACCTCCAGAGGATAGCATGCTGGCATAAAAGTATAATGCTGTACTCGTCGTAATGTTAGAATAAACTCCAGCACGCACATTCTGGTTCCGCCTGTGTTCGTTACGTTCAAAGCTGGCTCATCAACCTCAATTTCGATCTCCACCGTGCACTGACTCGTCCTGAGTTCGTTGACGGTCGAGTTGAACAGATGCCGTTAACGTGATAGCCATGAGGCACTTCCCCTTTTGGTCACTGATGGCAAAGGGAGCGCCATAAATAATGGCGCGTGGTCGCGCTCTGATAGGCAATCTCTCTTGTCTCTTACCTTCATCTCGATCCCGTATCTTCATAGCTTTCCTTCACCACCAACGACTGTCCTCCCTAGACCGCAACGCCGACACTGACGCCACCGATGGCTCGCAAGTGCCGTCAATGTATCCTCGGGCTAACCCATGTCGCGACGCGTGGGCAGCCGAATGATGCGCCAGATGAGTGGCAACGAACAGTTTTGTTGCTTTGATCTTGGCCGCCCGATCTCCTCGCGGCGAGCCCGACCTTCGAGCAGCCAACAGCTCGTAAATGCAGCAACATATCCCGAGGCAGCCTAATGTCGTCGCGTTCGGGCCCCTCAAAGGTGCGCCATCCGACAATCATACCTATTTTTATTGCTTACCCTTAGCACCAGACTTTCTCGAGTCCGCGACGACTGCTTTACTCAATCTTGCGATGCTGGCAAGTGCATCAATACCTCGAGTCGGCCCAATGCCACTGCTATCGGGCACCTCAATGGTGAGCCATTATGAATGCTTTGCGTGTTCTGTTCGCTGACCTTCGTCACTAGACCCCATCGGCACTATCTTTTCAAGTCAGCGATGCGTCGCAAGTGCATCAATGTTATCTCGACAAAGCGCAATGTAGCGGATCTCGGATGGCCAATGGTGCCCGGCTTAGCCGTCCTTCGTGTCCTCACCATTGAACTCCGACCTGAGACCTCGTCGATGTCTAGTCTTCAAGTTCCCCAACCCACCGAATGCTACGCAATAGTATCGATGCCTCGTGAGTTCGCCCAATGGCGCGGTTGCTGAGCAGCTCACAAGTGCGTTGTTGCCGTCCCTTCCGAGCTTTCCTCTGACCTCCTCAAGCTGTTGGACCTCTCCAACGTCACCGCGCAAACAGCCCGACGCTACCGCCTCAGCCGCCAAGTGGCAATGTGGTCTGTCGATCAATGCCACACCCCATCGCCGCTCACCGACTGCCGAATTTTGACGAAGGTGCAAAGGAGGCTCTTATTTTCACACGGCAATCCGAGGAGCCATAAACTCAAGGACAGACGTCGTGTAATATAATCTTTGCCGCGCGGCGACGCAAGGAGGCCGGCAGGCCAATGACTGTACTCGTCTGCGAGTTTCGACATCCCATACCCCGTCCAAGGACTAGCGCCCAGGTCGCAATGCACCATCCCTCGCGTCACTCCGCCTCCAATCGGCAATGCACTCAGGCCAAAAGACTGACCGTAATGCACAGATCTCGGGTATCGAGGAGATGTCATACCTCATGCTTGAGAGGACTGAAGGTGCGTGCGTGAGCTGTCTGTTCATGTTCTGACTCCTTCAAGGCTACTCGAGGCGGTGACTTGTATACGACGGCCTCATTAACACGCTCGTCGCCTTCAACTTGACTCCGGTATGGTCTCGCTTCACAGCATGTAGGCTGATATCTCTCTCCTCGGAATACCAGAATTCGCCTTCGGATGTGCACTACACCTCTGGAAACCCAAATGCTCCAGCAGATAGTCGCTTCCGAGGTGCTTGTCTGACGTCCGTTTTCGAGCTGACCGTCGTTCAGTCACTTCGGTCACCGGGCTCCATTGTCGCTTCGGCAGCGCTGGGTAATTGTTTCCATCTTATATTCTCCTTCTTTGGATTCCCTACCTACGTTATGCTATCTCTCGTGTCTGTGTATGCTGAAGGACAGATGTGTATGCTTGTCAATTGCACGTCATGTATCGCGGGCTGTAGGCAACCCAGTATCTGCGCAGTGCGGGTCTTTCGTTGTGATCTGAACACGATGCGTAAGATAAATATCAATTGCAAACCGGACCACTCAGTCTGTGCTAGCGAGAAGAGCTTCTGAGTGGACTGCACCGTCACGGTTGGAACGGTCACATGCGAAAGGCCGCGTAGCGTGACGATCGAGACGCGAAGTCTCGAGCGGAACTTGACCAGAACCTCCACTCCTCGACAACGCTGGACAATACTGGAGAGATTAACCCTTGAAGCTTAACTCGACATATGCGTAATTCAAGGGTGCGTTCAGTTCATCTGTAAAGCAAGCCGGCACTGATCCCCCAACGACACTACAAGCAGACTTCTTGGAGACCATTCCCCATACATGACTTACCCAACGAGATCATCGACCGCATCTTGACCCTTTCCATACCCAAAGAACTCACGGACCCCATGCTTGGCTCAGGCGAAGCTTTCCGTGCCTTCCTGGAGCGAACTGGCGTACGCGACTACCCTCGCCTTCTCAATCAAGTATGTCGGAAATGGCGCACTATGGTCAACAACAACGCCACCCTGTGGTCGTACATCTTTGTCTGTGCGGTTGACACCGACGGATATGGCTACTTTCCCGAGCACTACGAGCAGCCGCTGGCGCTGTCGAAGGGCAAACCACTTTCCCTCGTATGCATCCTCGGCAACATGAGCATCTCCGACGTGCTTTCCTCCCCACTCTTTGCGTCACACGCCTCTCGCATGAGGATGCTCTGCATCCACGTTCTCGGCTTGGAATATACGGACCCAGTATTCCCGCTCTTCGAGAAGATAGCGACGCCCGCCCTCGAGGTGCTTCGTGTCTATGATACACAGGACATGGACGAGTCCTGGGGAGACCACAGAGAATGGAGAGGAATTCTACACTGCGCCCCACGACTGTCAGAGCTCTCCCTCTCGGGCTTCCGACATGGCCTGGATAGCTTCGCCCTCACCCACGTGGTAGAAAAGGCGGGTATAGATTGGTCGCGCCTCACAGTCCTGTGTCTGCCCAATATACCCCGCCGAGCGTACGACCTCCTCTTCATCGCCTCGACCAATCCCCAACTACAGGTCTTCCGGTGCACCGTGTTCGGCGAGCCCGAGCTCGAGGATTGCGAAGCTGAGTTTCAGGACCCTATAAGTGACAGCGACGATGACTGGTCGGAAGGGGACAGCGAAGAAGACTACACGGAGGAGGGTCGATGGGAGGCAGCCGCGCGCAGACTTCGGCAAATCACTCGACCTCAGAGGAGGGCAGCACAACAGGCCGTCATGGGCCCGCACGTCCTTCTAAACCTTGTCGAACTGCATGTCGCAGTTGACCACAACCTAGAGTACAGTTATTCCTCGTGGCGCTGGAGCGGCAAGATCGGCGAGCGATGGGGGATGGCAAGCTTCATCGGCGGGCTCACCACCCCTGCGCTGACGACGCTCACCATCTCTGCGCGGAGCGGTTTGGCACGTCGCGGCACCGAGGACGACTCCGACTACGTGTCCGGCTCGGAGATTGACGCGCAGGAGAACAGGACGGAGCCCTTCGTACTCAAACCGCTGCTCGCTGCCTTGATCAGGCGTTCGCGGTGTACCATCCGTGACCTCTCCCTCACTCGGGTCTTCATCTCGCTCCCGGATTTATTATCCTCCATCAAGCTCTGCCACCACATCCGCTCCCTCCACCTGGCCGACCCCCTGCGCTTCATGGGGAGCAGCCTCCTCCGCGGCCTCGGGACGCACACGACCAGGAAGGGCCACCTCATCGCGCGCAAGCTCCGGCATTTGGTCATTGAACACAGGGAGCAGAGCGTCTTTGCCGGATTCCCCATCAGTGCCGTCCTTGACATGGTTGACGCGCGCTGGCCTCGGGGATGGGGACACGGCTCGGACGTGGCGTACGTGGAGGTCGTGCATTGCCCGGGCAATGAGTACGAGAGGGGGGTGCCAAAGGAGGTACTGCGTGCGCGTATGCGCAGTAGACTTGAGAAGGCGAAGGCGCGGAAGGACTTGCAGCTGGTGATTACAGAGCTGAAGCAGAGCGCGGCCGTGCGAAAAGAGATCGCAAGTTGGGATAGGATGGAAACGTACATGTGACGAGGGGGAGGCATATATTATATCTCGCGAAGTGAACGCCGCCTGGAAGCTGATACGGCAACATAAATTAGTGTGAGGGTGGTCAGTATGTATCAGACTTGTAACGGGCTAACAGTCCTGTCCTCCACCCGTGTCCGCGGAATGGTCTATGACTGCTTGTAGTCGCCAGCGGCGGCGCTAGAGTGTTGTTGTGAGCACCCAGCAGAACGTGAGGGTCGGGCGGGGACTTTGCTTACCGGACGGTAGTCATGTTGTTGTAAACCTTGCGATACGTGCCGAACTTTAAGCTAGAACGCTCGTTGAGCGTCTACCAATATCAAAGAGAAGTATATGGTACTCACTAGGTAGCATCGCTGCCGAAAGCACCTTTCAGCGACTGAGAGATGAGACTCTCGCCGGTGTCCGCGTCCTCGACGTTGTAGTCCATCGAACCATTAGGTCCAAACGTGATCCTTTGTCGCTGTCAGTACATGCAATCACCGTCATCAAGCCCACCACTCACTTCATCGTATGCTGCACTGTCTTGTCCGTATAATTCCCCCACTCCGTGCTCGCGCACCCATCCCCACACAAGCTCGCGCTCTCCACGCCTACCCTGCCTTTCCGCGCCGTGAGCGTGAGCATCGGCCCGCCCTGCTCCTGGTCGAAGATTTGCATGAGGTGGAAGAAGTTGTTGCTCGTGCCCGTGTCCCCCGCGATGCGCGTCTTCCACTCGTAGGTGTGCGTCTCGCCCGCGGCGTTATTGGGGCAGCGGAACTCGTTGCGCTGGCGGGGCGAGTCGAGGTGGTTGGTATCAAGGTTCTTGGATCCGTCGGCGGAGAGGGAGAATTGGTAGCAGTCGGAGATGCCGATATTGGCGAAGTCGCCGGTGCAGGGGGATTCGAGGACGCCTGCGCGAAGCATCAGCTGATGGAAGACACAGTACATGACTCAAAGGAGGTGTACGAACCGGCCATCTGCCACTGGACCTTGTTATCGAAGGCCTTGCCGTATGCGAACTTTGTGCCGTCATTGAGGATCTTGGCGGTCGTGGACGTTCCCATGAACGCGAGAGCAAAGGGGATGAGCTGCATCTTCATGATAGGCTGTAAGTAGAAGGGACAGAGAGCGACCGTGGTGAAAGAAGGAACGGGAAAGACGGAGCCGTGAGTACTGTAGCATGCCCTCCGCCCGTCTTATAGGCGAAGTAGCAATCACCGAGACGCCGGGCCGACGACGCGCGAGAACGTCGGTAGTGGTTACAGATCTGACCAGGGAAGGCAAAAGTACCCTCAGTAGCGCACCGACGTGCCCGCAGATCCACTTAACAGTGAAGCACATAGATCAGACACGCGCCGGAGCGCAGATCGTTGCGACCGTCGTCCCGTGCTCAACTGGGGTCAAAGATCTGTTAAGCGCTCACACTGAGGTCAATAGAATGGCGAGGAAGATGACAGCGTACTCGTTCCCGTTCAGAGCGCCCGGATGAAACTGGGAATAGGCGCCGCTCCGTCTGCTGGCACCGCAAGCGATCATGTCAGTGGTCTCTGCAACGACCGGCGACTTTGCCTCGGTCGACCACATTGCCTCGGTCGACCACATTGCCTCGGTCGACCACATTGCCTCGGTCGACCACAACGCAGGCAAAGACCGCTCGCCAAGAAATTCGCGCGCAAAGAAAACTTGTCACTGTCGTCGTCGAGGTCTGGAGCTTCGGCACTTCCTTTCTCTCTCGTAATTGCGATGCAACATCTTTCGGGCGGTTGTTGGCGTGAAAGCACGGGGTTGTTTGGGTCTACGTTTGTGAACCACATCTTTTCGTCAGTTTTTCTGGTCACAAAAGCCGAAGCAGCTAAAAGAGCCGGCGGGGCACTCGCGAAACCGAATCAGGTGGCGCTGTGGGCAATAAGGTCGGTCCTTCTAGTAATCGAGGTCTTGAGATTATCAGTGAGACCAATTTTGAGTCGATATTGAGAAGATTGTTTCGAGTCTCTGTATTTCGAAATGCAGAGAGGTTTCGGCGAACAGCCTAACAGCGTATGTGTCCTCAACCTGCCGCCGTGGTCGAAGACACGGAGGGCAAGCGCTGCTTCGGCAAGGTCTGCCGGTTCCGGCCCGCGCCCACGTGATGAAACCGCTTACGGGAATATTAATAGTTCAACTTCTGTGCTGTCGACACATGCGTATGTGAGTGCCTCATACGAGGTCGTGTATGTAATGTGTCGACAATAAATATGGCAGCGATGATGAGTAAGTCAGTAAATTGAACAAGAAGGCGTTTACGTCTGCTTGTAGTCGCCGGCTGCCATGCTGGAATGGGATGTCAGCGGGGTAGGCGAAGGCTTGTTGACCTTGAAGCCACTCACCGGACCTTCGTCATATGGTCGTAGGCCTTGCGGTAGGAGCCAAACTTCAGACTGAGGAGCGGAATGAGTGAGCGTCGGATGGAGAAGGAGACAATCACGCACAAGGTTTTGTTGTCACCAAAGTGCCCTTTCAGCGACTGCGAGATGATGCTCTTGCCTGAGTCAGCATCCTTGATCTTGTAGTCCATCGAGCCGTCGGGACCGAAGGTAATCCTAGCGATTAGCAGCAATGCTGCCCATCCTCGGGTTCTCACCACTCACTTCATCGTATGCTGCACAGTCCGATCCACATAATCATCCCACGACGCGCTCGCACACCCTTTCCCGCACAGCTCCTCGCTCTCGATCCCAATCTTCCCCTTCCTCGCCGACAGCGTCAGTAGCGGCGGGCCCACATCTTTCAGCTTGATCTGCGTGAGATGGAAGAAGCTATCGCTCGTGCCCGTCTCGCCCGACACGTAGGTCTTCCACTCGTACGTGCGCTTCTTTCCCGCGGGCTGGTCGGGCGCGCGGAACTCGTTGCGCTGGCGTGGGGAGTCGAGGTGGCCGGTGTCGAGGTTTTTGGAGCCGTCGGCGGAGAGGGTGAATTGGTAGCAATCGGAGATGCCGATGTCGGCGAAGTCGCCGGTACAAGGGGATTCAAGGACGCCTGGGCGAGGCTCCATGAATGAAGTTGATAGGCTCCGGAGGGGGGATCAAACGTACCAGCCATTTGCCACTGGACCTTGTTATCGAAAGCCTTGCCGTATGCAAGTTTGGTGCCATCATTGAGAATCTTCGCGGTCGCAGACGTTGCCATAAGCGCAAGAACAATGGGAGACATGACCTGCGTCTTCATGATAGGTGGTATATAGAATGGGTTTAATGAGCGGAGAGCGCCAGTAGTGAACGAGGGTACAAGAAGGAGGAGCTGCGATTACTGGAGTAAGTCTTCGCGCTCGATTTATAGGCGAAAAAAGCGATCACCGAGAGGTCGGACTGGCGGCGCGCGAGAACGTCGGTAGTAGCCATAGTCCTGACCTTGGGAGGAAGCTGTACCCGCTGTGGAGAACCGAAGCACCCGCAGATCCACTTAGTTGTGAAACGGATAAGATCAGACACGCAGATCGTCGTGACCGCCGTCTCATGCTCGACTGGGATGGACGATCTGTTGAGCGCCTATGTGGCGGTCAATATGATGGCGAGGAAGATGACAGCGTACCTGCTCACCTTTGGGGCGCCCGGGTGAAACTGAGTATAGCCCCCGCGTCGTTTGCTGTTACCCTCAGTTGTCGGTCAGTCTGTGCGACGACCGGCGATGTCGTCTCGTTGACTTCTAGGCAGGCGGAGACCGCTTTCAAGAGATATACGCGTAATCCGGGACTATCGACATTGTACTCGAGGTCCAGAGCCTCGGGATTTCCTTTCTCGCTTTTGCAGGAGCGATGCATCATGCGACGTCGCGAGAGTTCTTCTGGTACTTAGCGCGCCGAGCGTGGTGTTTCGTAGATTGTTTGGCCTACGATTGTGCAGCAGTCTTCTTCATATCTTGAGGCAACTAGAAGGACGATCATGCATTGTCAAAGCAAACCCAGACTGGGCCTAGCGATCAGTCCGTTTGCTCAAGTTTCTTGATGCGACGAACGCAGCCTAGCCTCGCGTTGGAGCGGAGAGATATCCCACATCCGTGTTATTCATGGGGGGGTGAATTGACGACAGCGAAGAGCTCGGCAGCGAACATGTCCTCGGGCTTCCGATGTGGTTGAAGACAAGGAGGGCTCCGGCGAAGTCCGCAGGGCCCGCGCTCACGTGCTAAATCCAATTACGGAAATATTGGTGTTCAACTTCTCTGTATACAGGATACGGGCTTGAGAGTGGCTTCGACGAGGTCGTGTATGCGATATATCGGCAATAAATATGACAGCGGCGGTAACTAAGTCAGCAAATAAGATAACAGGGCGTTTACGTCTGCTTGTAGTCCCCGGCCGCCATGCTGGAATGGGATGTCAGATTAATTGTTGAGAGCTTGTCAAGCTAGAAGTGACTCACCGAACCTTCGTCATGTGGTCGTAGACCTTACGGTACGAGCCAAACTTGAGGCTGCAGAAGTGGTGAACGAACGTCAGACGGACAAGAAGGGAAAAAACGCACTAGGTCTCGTTGTCACCGAAATGGCCCTTCAGTGACTGCGAGATGATGCTCTTGCCGGAGTCCGCGTCCTTGATCTTGTAATCCATGGAGCCATTGGGACCGAAGGTGATCCTGAAAATTGATCAGCAACATATCTACACCCTCCAAGTCGCACACTCACTTCATCGTATGCTGAACCGTCCGATCCACATAATCATCCCACGACGCGCTCGCGCACCCTCCCCCGCACAGCTCCTCGCTCTCGATCCCAATCTTCCCCTTCCTGGCCGTCAGCGTCAGCAGCGGCGGGTCCACGTGGTCGAGCTTGATCTGCGTGAGGTGGAAGAAGTTGTCGCTGGTCCCCGTCTCGCCCGAGACGTAGGTCTTCCACTCGTACGTGCGCGTCTTGCCCGCGGGCTGGTCGGGCGCGCGGAACTCGTTGCGCTGGCGCGGGGAGTCGAGGTGCTTGGTGTCGAGGTTTTTGGAGCCGTCGGAGGACAGCTCAAACTGGTAGCAGTCAGAGATGCCGATGCTGGCGAAGTCGCCGGTGCAGGGGTATTCGAGGATACCTAGGAGGGTTCAGAAAGGGTAGACGAAAGAATGAGTGACGTACCAGCCATCTGCCAGTCGACCTGGTTGTTGAAGCCTTTGCCGTAGCGGAAGTCGGTGCCGTCATTGAGGACTTTCGCAGAGGCACGGGTGGCGACGAGCGCGAGAGCGAGTGGAGTGATAAGTTGCATCTTCATGATTACAAGAGATCGGACAAGGGGATCAATGAAAGGAATGTGAAGTTAAGGGAAGGAAAGCTTGAATCCACTGCGTAGATCTCATGGCTGGTGCTTCGAGTACTTATACGAAGACGGGTGTATCACCCCCGAGGGCCAGCGTCGGCGCAGACGGCGATTCGGTTTGACCTAAATAGGTAGCTCCCTGTACCAGGCCCGCGCCGGGAGCTGGCTCTTGTGCCCGCATAAGCCTGGAGCAGCGTTGCAGGTTGAGGTACGCGCGCCGAAGAGCGGATCTCATTTGGGATGTCTAGCACGTTTACCTGGAGCGGCTAGCCCTTCTACCTGTCGCGTTCTCACATCGTTCTCGGTAGCGAGCGCGTACTTGAAACTGACCGTTATTGGATCGTCGTCGACGGGGATTGTAAGGTTAGTTGGCCTTCACAACGAGCGGCGGCCATGTCTCGATTGCTAGCTTTGGCACGGCAATGTCAAGTGTAGTGATCAGCAAGGCATAAGCGACGGAGAGGTCAGAACCACTCAGGAAACACAAGGAAGATGGACGGGGCAAGACCCAAGTGCAACGCCCGACCGATGATGCCCATGATGACGGTCGGAAGCAAGAGACGGAGCTTGCCGAAGCACGGTAGGATGCGACTGTTTGGTCTTGTGGGTCCCGCTAACGGATCCTTCATACTGTCATCGTTACCTTTTTTTCTGGCACTTCAAAGACACCTATAGGCAGCACATAAGCATTTAGATCAGTAGATAGAGCTATAGTACATATAGAGACATAGCGAGCCATACCAGCGGAGGGTACAAAAGCACATAGACCTAGAAGTAGATGGCAGAGCTTCGACGAGCTTGTAGTAGGCTGCAAGCAAGAAACATGGTGTCGCAGAGCCATGTAGCCAAGAAAGGGATAGGGGCGCGCATGCGTATGGGAGTACAGCAGAGTTCAACAGATGTCAGGCGCGCACGCGACACAAGAAAGGTCGCCATTCTCCCCGTGACAAGAAAGTGCGAAGCGACGCTAGCGAGATGCATGACGCGGGTCGTCTAGCACGGCACACAGCGCGCGTTGCGTCTACGACGCCGCCGCGGTCTCCTGCGTCTCCTTCTTCTTCACAAGCTCCTTGTGGATGTGCGGCAGGACGCCTCCGCCGGCAATCGTTGCGCTGACGAGCATATCGAGCTCCTCGTCGCCGCGGATGGCGAGGTAGAGGTGGCGCGGGGTGATGCGTTTGACGCGAAGATCCTTGGCGGCGTTGCCTATGGGGGGTGCGAGGGAAAGTTGCACAAAATGCATTCATCAATGATGAAGAAGGGGGGAAGAGAGGGAAGGGTAACGCGCGTCAGCGACGAAAAGTACACGATATGATATGGGTCACACACCCGCAAGTTCCAAGACCTCCGCGACGAGGTACTCCAGGACGGCGGCAGTGTATACCGCGGACTTGGCGCCGACGCGCACTTTGTGTTGGGAGGATTGCTTGAGGTAGCGGTGGACACGGCCGACGGGGAACTGATGCGCCACCAGGGTGATCGGGGTACGGTGAAAGATCGACCATGACATGAGTAGGGAAGGACGCGACAATCGAAGGGGATAATCAGAAAGAAGGGCAGCATAATCAGCATCTGATTCTGCACAGGGGAGATGCGCACGCACCTGCAGGCCTGCACGCGAGCTCCGTGTCATCTGCTTTCCATCCTGCGGCTTCGCAGCAGTAGCCTGCACCGGCGCCGATCCGGGCTTAATCTTCCCTCCTGAGTTTCTGGGCGGCATTGCGGTGGTATTTGACGAGCGTAGTGTTTGATTTTAGATTGAGGAGGCTCCGTTCGAGCCAGAAAGGTATGAACTTGGCTGAAGAAATGTGGGAATAAGCCTGGCGCTTTCGTCCGTTCAAGTTCGACTTTGTCGGGGGCGGGACGCGTGGGGCGCGCTCAAACTTGGGCGATGTAGTAGATTCGGTAGCCCCCCAGTGGACTATGATGACGAGGAATTTCGCTGAAGTCGTCGACGCGCGCGGCAGTGGTGGTTCAGGTCAACATGCGCGAGTTCCCTTTTCCAGAATGCAAATCAAATACGCCGTGCGCCGGGCTTTCGGACCGACAGGGCGTCACTGGACCAACAACTGCACTGCCTTCAACTACCATGGCCGTCCTTCTAGATCTCCCGCTGCTGTTGCAAGAATCTACTGCGTCCCCTGCTTCTCTTGGGAGAGGATAGGATGGCCTACGTCGTCATAGGTCAGGTGCCTAAGCAAGGCTATACCTACACCTTTGAACAGCATTCCAGCAAGGTATAAATGTGAACTGGGGAAAATGGCGACCTCACCCCTTCGTTCTTCCACCCTCACTTTGTACTCCTCGTCTCCCTACTCCTGACTCTACACCACTGGCTCGCTTCACTGCCCCCACCTTCTCCCGACCCTTCGGGGCAGCGGAGACAACAACGCATCGTCCAAGCGACGATGTTCATCTCAACGGCCGGTCCGTTGACGAGCCAAGGGCTCCGCCCGCTGCTCGTGTGCGCCGGGGGAACTCGACTGTGTCGGTTCTGCCGCGTTACTGGGACGATCGTCCGCCGCCTCGGTACGGCGCTCTATTCCCGCGAGTTGGCGGTAAGTCGGCGCGAACGGGGTGGATACTGTCAGTGTTGAGCTGATGTGTCGCCAAGGTGCACGTCCAAACATGGTCATGGGGGCCTCAAGGAGGAAGCAGCATCCGCCTGCGCTGAGTCGTCTGGCTGCTCGCGCTCATGAGGCACCAGGGGAGGTGAAGGTGTTGGTGTTCGTGCTGGTCATTTCGATCGTCGTTGCCATCACTGCTTTGTATCTCAAGAATTGTGCGTCATCACGATTTTTATTCTTATTTCCGTGGCTTACGCATTCGTACAGAAGCAGAGGCTTGATTGCATCGCGAGCACATTCCTCCTTGAATCCTTCGTCTTTCCTACACGTCGCCTACGTCTTTCACTTTGTCTGCACGGCACTAGTATCTACGATCATCAATGGCTTTCCAACGAAATGATTTTGATATACGCTCTTGTATGCGAATGCGATTACCTGGCGCTGGGCGCCATACCGAACTGTTTCTGACGACTCGAATTCACGAAATGTCACCTGACGGCTTTACTGCACTTACATATTCTGTACCATGTACATATATTGAAATGCAGAGGAATCTAACGGAGATCTGATACCGGTAATATTGAGTTGGCGATTCAGTTTCGCGAACGACACGCGTATGTGTGGCTTAAGTTCAACTCTCCACGTGCCCCGGCACCGAATGATCGTTAATTTCCACGTGGCGTTTCGAACGAGGCCATCACGTGATGACGCCACACGGCACCCATTGTGACTGCTCTCGAACTTATTCCGCCTTGTTCTCAACCTTCATCATCTACCTTCGCCCCTCGGCTCTTGGCTTACTCCTTCCTTCCTGCATATATACCCGTCAATCACCCCCTTATGACCCTCTTATGAGCTGCCAGCAACATGTCTAAGGTCAAAAAAGATGCTTACGCGCATCGTGAGTTCCATCTTGTGTCGGGGCGATGGGCAAACACTGACACTTGACGGACAAGGCCGCTTGAATTCCATCCCGGATCCTTTGGGCATGTCTACTTCCTTGCCACTGCCGCGTCCCTAGCTGACCAGACTCAGTGGTCGATTCGGACTCAGACTTCGCAGAGCAGCCTGCGAGGAGACCCAAGGCGCGGCAAGCCGAGATAGACAAAGCGCGACAAGCCGCGGTGGACAAGTCACGGAAACACACTCGCACAAGGAAGAATGGGGCGAAGACGCGCAGGGACTTGGAAGATCTGGCGTTTATCTTGAGCGATGAGGAGGATTCCGAGTCCGAGGAGGACATACCTCGGCGTGGGATGAAGGGTAGGAAAATTGGTGCGTGGCTAGTAACTTGGCATGGATCTGCTGGCTCACGATGCTCCTGTAGCGTCTAACTCTCGCGTGAAGGGCTGGAGGAAGTCGAGACCAAAGCCGGCGAATAATCCTCTTCTTGCTTACTTTGGTATGCAATGTCCGTAATGGAGTGCATGGGGCGCGGGCTGACAAATCACAGCCGACAAACCTCATCTACTTACCGTCGAGAATGACGCGGACGACGAGTCTGCCGACGCTGACGAGGAGGAGGAGGAAGAGGAAGTGGAAGAGGAAGAAGAGGAGGACCTATCCGGGTCCGAGGCTGAGGCACGTCGCGAACCTGATGAGCCCATAATCCTGAAGAGCATGATCGGCTTCGAGAAGAAGCCGCCATCGCCTGCGAAAGTACCTTCGCCTCCCGCACCTGCCGCTGTCGAGTCGGAGACTGGTGAGATTCGGTGTAATTTGTGCATCCCGAAATCGTAGCTGACTTCTCCCCTCAGAATCTTCGTCCCACGATGAGAACATCAAGCCCGCCGTGAGCCAGCCTACAACTCAAGAGCAGGAGGAGTCAGTGACAGGCGAGTTGCCACAAGTCTCATAGATGCATGATCCCTCTGACAAGTGAATAGAATCCTCGAGCGATGATGGTAGACCTGTCACGCGCATAACCGCGGACGACCCAAGGGCAGCATATCGATCATGGACTCCCATTACCACGACGGAAGGCGCGTCTCCAATCTTACTGAGATTGACGAAGGCGTGTACTGATCTACCACAAGAATCTTCGAGCGACGGAGACGTTAAGCCAGCAGCAGGTATCAAGCGTGCCGCTCCCCAGGATATGCAACACGATACCGACAAACGTCGCAAGGTGGCTCAGAGTCCGCGCAAGCCAGAAAGACCGCCTCAAGACCCCACCGAAGAATCCGAAACCGAGGACGACACCGACGGCGAATGCTACGCCATAAACCCTAAGCTCGAACCCCGCCCCGACATCCCCGACGCCCCCAAGCCCATCGGCCCCCACGTGCTCGACAAAGTCAAGAAGATATACATCCCGAATCCCGTCAACCGCTTCCTCCGCCCCTACCAGCGCGACGGCATCCAGTTCATGTACGACTGCTACAAGGAGAACCGCGGCGGGTGCCTAGGTGACGACATGGGGCTGGGGAAGACCATCCAGGTCATCAGCTTTCTGTCCGCTATCATGGGCAAGACGGGCACTGTGCGCGACCGGTACCGCCGGCGCGACTACGTGTCAGAGCTGCAGGACCGGCCGGACTGGCGCACCAACATGCCGCGCGCGAACGCGCGGTGGCCAACCGCGCTCACCGTCGTGCCCACGTCGACCGTCGCGAATTGGGACCGCGAGTTCAACAAGTGGGGCCACTTCGAGCTTGGGGTGTACACGTCGCAGCTGAACAAGGACGAGCGCGCGGGGATGCTAAGGGACTACAAATTGGGGCGGCTGGATCTTATCATCGTCTCGCATGACATGTTGAGGCGGGAGATCGATTCCTTTGACGACCTGGCGATCTCGTGCGTGTTTTTGGACGAGGCGCATGTTATCAAGCGGGCGGATGCGGGGTTGACGCAGGCTGTGAACCGCTTCGAGTGCATGCGGCGGTTTGCGTTGACGGGGACGCTGATTCAGAACTCGTATATGGAGATGCACCCAGTATTGGATTGGACGAATCCTGGAGCGTGCGTGTTATCCTTCTGTGAGCCGAGACATCTCGCTGACGAGCACCATATAGCCTTGGGACCAGAGCTCAATGGAAGAGTACGATCGTCAAGCCACTCGTCGTTGGACAATCTGCTTCTGCCACCGCCGAGCAGCGACGGAAGCAAGACGTATGCATCTCCTCCTCCCCCGTCCATTCCCGATTAACATTTGTGTAGGAAATTGCCGAAATCCTCAACAAGGTCATCCTCCCCAGATTCTTCCTGCGGCGCACAAAGTACCTCATCAAAGGACAAGTACGTATCTCCCTTTGTCGTGTATCCTCTCACGTATCTTCCAACTCAACGGACTGACATTTCTCTCGTAGCTGCCACAGAAACACGATGAAGCCGTGTTCTGTCCGTTGGCTCCTATCCAGCGAGAAGTGTACAAGCGCATCCTGGCTCTCCCTGAGGTCCAGGATCTAATCCTGAAGGAGGACCTGTGCCCGTGTGGGAGTAGAAAAGCGTGCGTATCGAGCATCCCTTACTGAATGGCTGGTTTGGCATACCTCGGATCCAATCACTGACTATCGTCGCAGCCGAAAGAATTGCTGCCACCCCTTCCAGCCGGAGAATCTGTTTGTGTACATGCACCACCTCATCTCCTGCGCGAACCATGTCGCGCTGTTGCTTCCTGGTGAGCACCTTCCTTTGCGCATATAGTAGTCCGCACGTTGTTAATCCGCGTCGTTGCCAGGCCCGAACGATACCCCAGAGCAGATCGAGCGGTACGCGGACCTCAACAAGCGCGTTATGAAGGATATATACGCAGACGAGGGCAAGCGGTACAAGCTCACGTACAGCCTGGCGATCCTGCAAAGGGATATGTGTGGGAAGCTCGACGTAAGCGATTCGAGCGCCTCGTCCTGGGTTTTGAAGTGTACTGAGTGCACCTCCGCAGATCCTGCGCGCCCTCCTCAAGCAGTGGTACAAGGAGGGATCGAACAAGGTCCTGATCTTCACCAAGTCCCTCAAGTTGATGGAGGTACTGGAGTTTCATATGAAGCGGGATTGTGAGTTGTCGACATCTGCAGTAGAGAAGGGGAAGGACGCTGATGCGTGGCCTTGACAGCGTACGAGTTCCGCAAGTTAGATGGCAGCGTGCCGCAGAAGTATCGTAAGTCCTCTTCCTCCGCCATATCACGTATCCCCCGTACTTGCAGTACGGTCACTGACAACCCACTCAGGCCAAAAGTACATTGACGAGTTCAACGAGCAGCCGGAGGTCTTTTGTTTTCTGATCTCGACGCTGGCTGGTGGCACGGGGATCAACTTGACTGCGGCGAATAAGGTGGTCATCTTTGGTATGTGTCTTTGCTTGTTTCTCTCATGACGAGGGTCTGACCGTTGTTCGATGCTAGATCCCAATTGGAACCCCGCGCATGACTTGCAGGCGATGGACCGGTAAGTTCTGGCTTGAAGTGTATGACGAACAACTTTGCTGACATCCTATCAGCGCTTTCCGCTATGGGCAAACGCGGGATGGTGAGTCAAGACTGCTCGCATGCGCAGACAGATCGGTGACTATAGTTGCAGTATACGTGTATCGCCTCCTTGGCGGCGGATCGCTGGAAGAGCTTGTCTACGCGCGGCAGCTTTACAAGCAGCAGCAGATGGCCATCGGCTACGATGCGAGTGCGCAGACTCGGTGAGTGTCACCCTGTTCTCTTCGCTGCCGCCGTTACCCTCCTGTGCCCCTGTCTCTCGCCATCTTTTGCCCGATTAACTCATCGATTCCTTTTGCTAACCCCACCCACCAGCTTCTTCACTGGCGTCCAGGGCGACCCGCAGAAACAGGGCGAGCTCTTCGGCATCAAGAACATGTTCACGTACCACGAGGACGAGCAGACGACGAAGATGGCCATCGAGCGGGCGACGATCGCAGATCTGGACTTTAACCTTGCCAAGGGCAGTGCGGGGTCGTTGAAGAAGGGCAAGGACGGGAAGAAGTTGTTGGGAAAGGAGGAGGCGGCAGACCTGCGTGGGCTGGGGGCGTTCATGTTCGATGATTTGTGTGAGTGGGATGGGTTTGGGCGATTCGCGGGGGAGAGAGTGCTGATGAAAATATACACAGCCCCCAAGAAGAAACAGAAACAGCCGCAGACCGCGGAGCAGCGCATCCTCAGCGAGGGCGGGGTCACGTACACGCATCGCAACGACGAGCTGATCAAGGGCGCGCCGAGGAAGTCAGCGGCGAGAGCGAGCACGAGCAAGGCCCCGGTTGCGAAGGTGCTTTCTCACTTGATTACGACGTATTGAATGGAGTGCTCATGCTGTCATGTAGAAACCGCGCGCCAGCACGAGCAAGGCGAAGGCGACGAGCACATTGCAGTCAGATCCGAACTGGCCACCGCGGCGAGGGAAGGTGTTCCGCGAGGCGAAAGCTGCGGCGCTGGCGGCCGGGGTGCCATATGTCCCGCCTCCCAGAGGGCAGCTGCCTACGCCGCCTGTGGTCCCGCCCAAAGCGGCGACGCCGCCTACAGCTGCGACGTCTCCATACAAATCGCCAACGCCACCCAACCCGGCGAGGGGCACTCGAACATACAAGCAGAGGTACGTATTAGATCATGTGTTATGGCGGCCATATCGCTGACTATATATCATAGGTTGTTAGACAAGTACGAGGTCTTGGTGGCGTTGGGAATCGTCAGCGACCGTGCCAGCTTGCTGGAGTATGCAAAAGAGTTGTGCGTACGTTCGGTGCTTTGTTAATTGATATGGCGCTTAAAAATTTACAGCGAGAACGAGACCGAGGAGCAGAAGCAGAAGATCCTGACTCGCCTGGACGAATTCCAAGAGGAGCGCTTCTCGCAATCGCAGGCCGCTGGCAAAAGCTGAACTCTGGGATTGCAGCTGCTTGGTGGGGAACGACAGGCTGCACTGTATCTTTATTGTATATGTACCATACCCATGTACGGGCGACTCGAATATTGTAGCATAGCAGCGCACTCATAGATGTTGTGGGTCCATGGATTTCAGTCACGTCATCATGAGTTACCGGATCTGTTCACTCCTTTGTTCTCGACTCCCATCTCATCCTCTCTTCTCCTTGATTGCACATCACCAGGTGCGGCCTCAACAACCGAATCGCCATGTCGAATCCAACAGACCTGCAAACACCTGGCCCGCCGACGCCCTTGACGCCGCCTCCAGCCCGTCAGCTTGCTCTACTGCGCTGCAGTAAGCGCCGCGACCTGACGCGAGATTACAGCCAAGATTGGGGTGAAGGCGGACTTGCCGCCGGTCGAGGATCCAACTCCCCCGCTGCAGAAGGAGGGCGGTGATGTGACGGGTGCGTGCGGCGCGTCGCTAGCTTGAGCGCTGGTGGATTGATGTGCGCCACAGACATCTCCCAGCTATCGACGGCGCAGCTGTACCAGCTGAATCAAGTGCGTGGACCGATGAGCCTAATATGACACCCCAGCTGAAACTAAGCCCCTTCTAGGAATTTCTGGACTCCACGGTCGACCCTACGCGCCCACTGATCGACGAGGCACAACCTCTGGCCGTGCTCCGCACCGAGTACGAAAATGGGTCCCCTTCGTTCGTGCAGCAGATCGACTGGTTGGAGGGGAAGGGATTCCATGCAATCAGGAGGACGCGGGGTGCGTATTCCGCCACTCACTCCGAGCTCTACTGACCGGCCTCGTCGCAGGTGACGGCGACTGCTTCTACCGTTGTACGTTGTCCTGCCCCAATCCTCATCCTCCCCCATCCCTTATCCGTTCCCAACACTCACTCCCTCCCCAGCCGTCGCCTACCTCTTCGTTGAGCGCCTCTTCTCTGCACCCGACCCCGCGCTCTCCGTCACCACCGCGCTCTCCAGCCTCGAGGAGACCCTCAAGCTGCTCAAGAAGGCCGGCTTCGAGGACATCGTTGTTTCGGGGTTCTACGAGCCGCTGGAGGAGCTCATTCGGAATATCGTCCAGCCCGTAGACGGGGAGATGCTCACGCTGACTGGGCTGCTGAAGGCGTTTCAGGAGCCGATGAGTGAGTGGGGTTCACCCGTATTTGTGATTGAGATCTCTGTGCGATCGGGAGTATGTGCTTGCAGTCTGGGATCGTACTTGCAGTCAGATTCCCTTTACTGATCTATAGAGGACTCTGGTTACCCTTGAACACCACAACGGACTGACCACTCCCCTCCCAGCCTCGAACTCGATTGTGACCTACCTGCGCATGCTCACGTCCGCGAAGATACGCACGGAGCCGGACGACTTCGCGCCCTTCCTCATCCACCCGGAGCTGGGCGAGATGATGGACCCGCGGGAGTTCTGCGAGACGAACGTGGATCCGACGGGGAAAGAGGCGGGTGAGTGAAAGCTTGGCGGGAGGGTTTGCTGTTGTTCTCCGCCATTGGGGGCATAGCGTATCGTCGGGGCATGGCGTGGTGCAGCCTATGAAGCTCGAGAGGCGCAAGGGGCCATGCATTGCGCCTGTGTCGCCGCTCCAGTAACATCCGCGTCTCCGCTTCAGTGACGTCCGCGCCCACCGAAAAGAACCCTCCCTCCTTCATCACTCCACCAACTAACATCCTTCCCCAGATCATGTCCAGATGACCGCACTGTCGCAAGCCCTCGGCCTCAACATCGACATCGCGTACCTCGATGGCCGGAGTGCTGACGGCACCGTCGAATTTGTGCGGTTTAGGAGTGCGCCAGACGAGGGGGAGAAGGCGATGGTGTTGCTGTATAGGTGCGTGCGCGGTACATAGCCTGGATATCTTTGCTTGGGCTGGGCCACGCGCGGATGCACCCGGATGCACTCGGGCTAGGCCATGCGCGGATGCACACGCTGACTGCCCATCCGTTCCGTCGCAGGCCCGGTCACTATGATATCCTCATCGGGAAGTCGTGAAGGACAGCGGCGGATATGGGGTTTGGGAAACTTATCAGTTGTGATGCGGCGTGTGGATCGTGGTGTAGTGATAAATAGTGCAACGCTTTTGGATATGACTGCATGTTAGCTCGGCGGACCCCAGAGCGCAGTTCGTTGAAGCCCTGGTATGAATTCAGACACGCGGCAGAGCTGTTCGTGGTGGCTTAGCTGCCTCTTCGTCCGGCAGGCGCATTTGAGGCATCTGAGACGGCTACGCAGGGTCGATGTTTCGTGCGCGGATGAATCTATAGAGTCCTGCAGCTGGTGAGGACGAGGCTTTAGCCGATAGCGCGCCAATAACCCGAACTCCCTTGGAACATCAACTCCAACTTGAACAAGGGATTGTGGGCGCCTTGATGGTGGGTCACGTGCAGCCCTGTTTTAGTTTGGTCCCGTCAAGGTTCGCAACATCGTTGAACTTCGTTTTGAACTTGAAGCCAGTTCATCACGGCCGATGTTCGCGGTTCTCTCCCGTTCCTCGCGTTCAAGTCCTCCTCTGAGTATAGCTCGCTCTTTCAGACCTGCTTTCTCAACTAGTCTACTGCAATGCAAGCCACACATCGCAGCGATGCACACCGTAACATACGGTAAGCCTGCGACAAGCCAGAGCAGGTGCGCTAGCGGGCAAACAGCCGCGTAACTGCAGACGAAGAATCCCTGTTCTCCATGACGAAGTACAAGTGGCTGTACAACAACGAAGAGCGTACGTATCTACTATCCAGTAGCGCCCGTGAAACCGATGCCCGACTAACCTCTGCAACAGAACTTGCAGCTCGTCACGTGCGGTTCGACATTGAGGCTCTCCTCGACTTAGCCGTGCGCGCGGCCAATGCTAAGCGATGCACCTCTGTAGAGAAGGTGTACGATGGTGCGTTGACGCCAGAGCATCTCCAACTCGGAACTGATACCCTAATAGGTACGCTGAATCGCGTAATTGGCCTCAAGTTCGACAATGATGTCGAGTACATCGTCAAGATACCCTTCCCGGTCACTGGGCCGAAGCATCTATGCACGGCGAGCGAGGTTGCGACACTGGACTACCTCCGAACTGAGCTCGATGCTCCTGTCCCACGCGTAGTGTCGTGGTCGTCTCATGCCGAGTCTTCGCCACTGGGCACAGAGTACATCATGTACGAGAAGATACGCGGGCTGCCTCTATCCGAGTTCGACAAGACGGATCTGCCTGTGCAGGACGATCCCTACGTTCTCATCTTGCCCACGATCGTGGCGGTTGAGGCCAAACTGACGGTGCGAGCCTTTTCCCAGATTGGGAGTCTCTACTACAAGGATGATGTGCCCGAACACCTGCGTCGTGATCTGCCTCTGCATACTGCCAGGGAGCACCGTTCAGTAAACTCCGAGCGCTTCTGTGTGGGCCCTACCGTCGAGCATGAATTCTATCGCGCCGGGCGGTCCCGTTTGGACATCGACAGGGGACCCTGTGCGTGGTTTGCTACAAACCGGATAACGCAGCTAACCTCACTCAGGGCTTGATAACCGCGAGTACATGGTTGCTCTGGGCGAGTGCGCACGTGCGGCCATTGGCGCTGGTCTTGAGGCGGATCCCGACGGCGCCTACAGTGACCTTGTCTCGAAGTACATGCAGCTCCTTCCCTTCATTGCACCACCGCGAACTACCGTCAGCCTTTGGCACCCGGATCTCCATGCGGGCAACATCATCATCGAAGAGGACGTGGAAACGCCGTCTGTAAATGGCATCATCGACTGGCAGGGCGCGGTCGTTGCGCCGTACTACCAGCAGTACCAAGTTCCCGCGGCTTACAGCTACGAGGAAGACACGGACCTTGTTCTGTACGTTCCAGGCCGTGCTCCCGTTGTCACTCAGGGGCACGAGGATCGATCACCCGAGGAGAACGACCGTGCAGCTCGCTATCTCCGCCACGCATGGCGCGCTTACATGCACCGGGCGTTCATGGAAATGGCCGACGAGCGCCTCGCCAAGGACCTCTACGAAGAAGACGGGAGCGCAAGCTTCCTGCGCCTAGCCACACTTCCCACGGGCACCATCGCCCGGGGCGCGCGCAGCTTGCCTCATATTCGCCGCAGCCTCCGGCTTGTGCGCGATCTGTGGGGCCCGCTCGTCGGCATCGACGACGACGACAAGCCCTTGAAGCCCTTCCCCTTCGCCCTCCCTGATGCAGACGAGCAAGAAATCGACGAGGCGATCGAGCAGTTCCCCCAGGCGATGGCGCATTACCGCGACTTTCTGGCTCGGTTCGACATGAAGCCGGAAGCGGAGGGTCTCGTGAGGGCGGAGAAGTACGAGGAGGCCAAGGAAGCGGCCGGCGCTGCGCTTCAGGCTGCGCTCGACAGTGCGTCTTCCCCGGAGGAGAGAGAGCGGATTGCGAAGGCGTGGCCGTTGCAGGATGGGAAACACTCCTATGGTGCGGAGCGCTGCTGGTAGGTTGGGCTTTTCGTTCCAACGCCGTCGCGGCGTGAGTAGTGCTAGTGGGTTATCGCTGCGTGTACGAACTTGCTCGACATGAATGTCGTAGGCCTTATCTATGACCTGAAGTTCAGACGTCTTGATTTAGCTGGAGATACCCTAAGTCAAGTATGTGCCTATTAAACGGTAGGAAAAAGCTTTATTTTACGTCTTCCAACTGCTTGTGTTAGCATCAACAATAGCTTCGGTGTTCCGGGCAGAGGGATTTGACTAGCTGAAGAGGTTGCAAGTTGAACTTGGCACGTGTCACAGATCGTGGCGATCACGGTCGGGCGCTAAAATATGTTGTGTCTTCCCACTGCGTTGCGCGCGCTGCCAGTTACTCTGTTTGGGAAGCTACATCTGTGGTGGACACTATCCACCTGTCCCTTTGGCAATATCAATCTCCCAACTGGTTAGTAGGCGCCCAGCTGCATGCTTGGCCATGGCCTGTCTTCGATCTTTCGACGAAGTCCCCTTCCCCTCACTGTATTCCCCCACAGACGTTTCGTACACAAACGCATGTCTGAAGCGGACTACGACACTTGGACGAAGGAGGAGCTCATAAGCCGCCTCGTCCAGCTCGAGAGCCACGGCAGCAGCAAACCGTCGGCCAAGGGCAAAGGCCGCGCGCAGGACGAGTCAATCGATTGGGCGAACGCGCCCCGGCGAAAGATTGCGCTCAAGTTCTGCTATGGAGGGTGGGATTTTGGAGGTCTAGCTATCCAGAAGGACCGGACGCCGCTGCCAACCGTGGAGGGGAAGCTGTTCGGCGCGCTCGTGCGCGCGCGCCTCGTCGATCCGAAGGGCGGGCTGGAGGGTTGCGGCTGGGAGCGATGTGGGAGGACAGACCGAGGGGTCAGCGCAGCGGGCCAGGTCATCTCGCTTTGGGTACGCAGCGCGCTCTCGCAGGAGGAGCTCACGCCGACTGTCCCCACACCGATCGAGCCCGCGCCACCAGAACCTACACCTCAGTCCTCATGCACCGACTCTTCAGACGATGACTTCCTCCCCGGCCTTGACACCGAAGATATCGGTACCCTCGCACACCCACCCGCAAAGGCCACCCCCACAGAGGAGCACCCCTTCATATACATGATCAACCGCCACCTCCCCGACACCATCAAAATCCTCGCCTGGTCTCCTGTCGACCCCTCTTTCTCCTCGCGCTACTCGTGCACCTGGAGGCACTACAAGTACTTCTTCTCCCCCGTCGGACTCGATGTCGCTGCCATGCGCGCCGCGTGCGCGTACCTCCCCGGCACGCACGACTTCCGCAACCTCTGCAAGATCGACCCGACGAAGCAGCTCGACCAGTTCCGCCGCGATATTCTGCACGCGAGCATCTCGCCCGTCGACGCGAGCAATCCTGGCGGCATGCACGTCTTCGACCTGAAGGGCTCATCGTTCCTCTACCATATGGTACGCAACATCATGGGCGTGCTGCTGTCCATTGGCGCGCGACTCGAGCCCCCGACGCTGCTCCCGGCGCTCATGAACGTTGCCCCGGGCGTGGAGCCGACGACAGGTCCGCCACCTGCAGAGCCGTTGCCCGTCGTCGAGTGCCGCCCCGAGTACATGATGGCAGACGCGCTGCCGCTGACGCTCTGGGACTGCGGCTATCCCGAGGGCGCGGTCAACTGGCAGCCCGAGACGCGCGACTCGCACTCGATGGTGTACCGCGCGCTGGACTCGACTGCGGAACGCTCGCTCATCCAGACGACGCTGTGGCAGCACTTTGTCGATGCGGGGAGGCTGTTAAACCATGGGCCAGAGCCGAATCAGACGGTGCTTAGCCGCGTGCTGCCGGGGCCGCAACTACGCGCCGTCATTCCGTTAGAGCACAGCGCACCGACGACGACATCTGGCGATGAAGCTGCCGCGCCAGCGGTCATTGTGGAGGACGCAGCCCTCTCTGCTCCTCGCAACGTCTTCATCCCCCTCGGAGGCGGCACGCACCGCAAGATGATGTCCGCCAAGTACGTGCCGGTCTTGCAGCGCAACCGCCTCGAGCATTTCGAGGTGCAGAACGCGCGGTGGCGGGAGAAGGCAAGGCAGAAGGGGCTGAAAATCCCAGATCATGCGCCCGAGGATGCGGAGGAGTAGACGCGATCCAGGGACAAGCCTGCCTGGTGCAGCTCGGCACACGAGAGAGCAGCAGTGCGTCTGAGGCGCTCCTCACGATTCCCATCCCGCTGACGGGGTCTACACTACAGTAGCCAGCATGTATAGACAAAATGGCGCGCCTATGTGACGTGACCAGTGAACACGAACAATGAGCAGGCCCAGTCGGCGATTGCCGGAACACCTTGTCCAGAACAATGGAGGCGACATAGCGCCTCGCGTGACTCCTGCGGGCCTGACTGCCCTATCGTCCGCACCTTGAGGGCGTCACTCACGACAAACCATCATGAGCATCCCCTTGAGCAAGATTTTCTCGACGTTCTCGCTCGCCGTCATGCAATACGAACGCGCCGACTTCGGCATCGGGAATGAGGAGGAGCTGCACTGGGCGATCGTCGCCGTCCACACCAACGACAACGAAGTCAAAGGCTATGCATCTTGGCAGGCCATCGACCGCCACTATAGCGACGGACGTCCCAACCCGGTCGTATGGGAGCTACACTATTCGCCGGACGTGCGCCTCAATCAGGATGCCAAGTGTCTGGGTGGCGTGTATATCGGCCAGTTGAAGGGCCAGGACGTGAAGAAGCTGAACAAGGTGAGCTGTGGCTGCTTGTTCATCGGATTCGTTAGGTTGCGGTGGACGCAGGGAACTCATTCGACTGCTTGCAGCTCATCCACGCCACTGCTCAACCCAGGCCCAAATTCGATGGATGGAACTGCAGGGATTGGGTCCTGGAGGTCGTCAAGGACATCCTTGTTCCCAATGGTTGGGCGGACGCTGCCATTGTAACGCAGCAGTCGCTGCTTCCGTCGCTCAAGGTCGCGGCGCCCGCGACAGTGACAGCGCGCGAGGAGAACATGCTGGCAGCGCCGCGCGTGGCACCATTCCAAGTTCCGGTGAGTCCATTGCTGCAGTGCGAGTGCCTTGTCGCTAATGTCGATATGCAAGGCTTAAGCTCTGAAGTGGCTTATGGGCGAATCATCGAATTGTGCTATGCGTCACTGCGATTCATTTAACGGTTCTGGTTCTGAAAGCGTAGCTAGGGAGTGTGTGTAGAATGTGGATCGAGCCTTGGCAAGTCGCAAGGAAGGTGCCCACAAGCGCGCTCGCGGGGTTTGAACTCGGACAAATTCAAACTGGCTTGTCGAATTGACGTGCGCGGCCGGAAACGGCCGTTCGCCACTCACTCAGGACTGTCATCATCCCTCGAAGACGAGCAATGGACAAACCTCCCCGATCATCATGCACGAACTCTTTGAAAGATCGATACTGCTACTGGCCTTCCTTCTTCGGGTTCATGTTCTCTGGCGCCAAGGATGCGACGCTAAATCGACATACCGCCATGCCTGCCCTCAAGCCCCCCTTCCAACGTTCTCCTGTCGAGAAACATACGCCTTGCGTAACGTCCGATATTCTTTGCAAAATCTATGTGAATGGCCCCACGTGTCTGCATCTGTCCAAATCGCAAAAGTCGTGCTTTCCTTGGCAGACCTGCCACTCATAGGCGCGCACAACAATCACTGTGCGGACTTGTCAAGCTGGCTTCGCGTCGCCCTTCAATGGCTCCGGTCTCTGTAAAGATGGTCGATTACTTGAGGAATGGAGCGAGGAAAGACGTGCGTTGCTCCGAGCCATGGACAAAGCTCTGACACGGTCCGTGGTCGCGACGACGAAGGGGGATATTATCCGGTTTTTCCGTTTCCAAGCGGTACGATAGGTGCGTTCTTTCATCCTTGTTTGCCCCGCGCATGGCGACACCTAACAAACTTTCTGATACGTACACTGTACAGAGCAAACGAGGCAGCCTTTCATGCCCGTCGTTTGGCATGTAAATATGCTGATTTCCTGCCATTCAAGCGCGAACAAATCACTATTGATGAACGATATACCAGCACTGTTTGCTGCTGCAGCCCACCTAGCCGACGTATGCGCGTCGGGATGGAATGTTGAGGCAAGGTTTGCTCGTCGGGCTTGCGCGACAAACAGCACTCGGGTGGTCTCTCAGGTTTTTTTGCAGGACGACAGGCTCGGCTAGCAGCTAGCTCTGCAGGTATAAGAACCTGTTCGATGACCGTCCCTGTAATCTCCACCGCTCTGCCCAGCTACAGCCCGCTACACCAGCCAGCACCACCACCTTCGCCACCAAATCACCACCGATGGACTCCCTCTCGAAGCTCTTTGGCAGCAAGTCCGACCTCCCCCTCGCCGTCGTCCAGTACAAGCGCGAAACTTTCGGCGTGGGCACCGAGGAAAATCTACACTGGGCGATCGTCGCCGTGGCCTCGAATAAGTCTGGCATCGTCGTGGGCGCGCTGTGGCAGGCCGTCAACCGCGTGAACCCTGACGGGCCGCGGGTCGTCTGGGAGCTCGACCACCGCACTCAGGTCGAGCTCAACGCTTCTGCGAGGTGCCTCGGCGGCGTCATCATCGGCAGCATCAAGGGCAAGGACGTCGAGAAGCTCAACACTGTGCGTCCGGCCTTTCTTCCGCTGTATTCGTGTGGCGCCGTAGCTAACTTATCCTCCCGCAGCTTATTCAGAGCAACCATATGCCGCAGATCAAGTCCCAGGGCTGGAACTGCAGGACATGGGTGATGGAAGTTATCCAGTACACCCTTATGTTGAAGGGGTGGGCCAATAAGCCCATCGCGACGGAGGCTTCGCTGCTTCCCTCTTTGAAGGTGGCGGCCAGAACCACTCGTGACGCCTCCATCAAGGAAGGCAAGATGCAGCCGTTGCTCATCGACTTTATCGCTTGATCGACCAAGCGACGACATCCTTTTCCTCAAGTTATTGTAGTGTGCCAGTCATAATATAGAGTTCGACGTGTTTCCATCTCGATATCCTTCCTGAACTCACGCACTGTCGTGAGGCCACCATAATCCAGCGCCATCCGCGACAGGAGGTATGTAGTATTATGTAGTGACCTTTGCATTGCTCACGGAATTAACCTGCAATTTCTGGACGTCGTGCACGAGAAACTTTCGCATGTCCGTGCCACCCCCAGCACATACCCTCACTTCCGCTCAAACATCATTCGAACGCCCAATCTTCAAATGTCAACGCGATCGCGTCCGCGAGGAACGGCCGTAAGTTTGCCTATACGAACTTATGTCATTTGTGCAATGGGGCATCGCTGATAGAGGTGACGTACCGCAAACTTCTGGTGCGCGAGTCCCTCAAGCAGGAAGTACTGCAAGTCTGGCGTAGACTGTGTAGCCGCACATACAATGAGAACTTACCGCGAATATGAACGCGCAAAGAGTGTCTACGCGCAAATGAACCATCTCTGCGCGCTGTACAGTTTACACAGGCTGTTCCGGGTATAGGGGAGGGGAGGAGAGGAGGCCACATGAGCAATCACAACCTCAGCGCTCAGCACCTACAAATACGCACTCACAAAGTACACGAATCAAGAACATCCCATCAATGCCAATGAGCTCCTGGCCTCATAAGCATACCTCTACGATCTGAGCGAGCGCATTGATCGTATTTCCTGTCCGACTTGAGGTTGCACTCTGGCGGACTCAGCTTCACGTTCACCGGAGGCGACCGAGAGGAGACCGAGAGGATGTGCCGACGAGTCGGGTGCGAGGGATATCGATGCAGGACGAGACCACCATCTACGCCCTCCCTCGGCCCCGATGCAGGGCGCTATGGACCGCGCATGAGCTGAGAGTCACCAGCGTTGGACATCGGAAAGCCAGGATATCGGAAAGCCAGATAAATCAGTGGTACATCCGCCTCCTCGAATAAAGCAGCGTCCTAGATGGCCTTCCTCACGCTACATCGTCCCCATCATGCTACATCGTACCCCATCATGCTACATCGTCCCATCACGCTACATCGTCCCCGGCCCATCATGCTACACCGTCTCCATCACGCTGCATCGGCCCATCATGCCCTCACCACTTCTGTTACCTGCAAAGGCTCTTCCTCCCCCTTCTCCCTTCCCGCTATCGGACCTTGCACGGGCTCGTCCTCGTCTCCCTGCACGGGCTCGTCCTCTTCTCCCTGCACGGGCTCGCCCTCTTCTCCCTGCACAGGCTCGTCCTCGTCTCCCCGCACAAGCTCGTCCTCTTCTCCATGCACGGGCTCGTCCTCTCCTCCCTCCCCTCCCGCCTCCTCCGGCATACACAACAACTGCGCGAGCCCCAGGTCGTGCAGCCGCGTCATGCGCACGAGCATTCCGAGCGCGGATTTGAGGGCGTCTTCTGAGGGTGGAGGTCAGCTCTATCTCTAACCATCCTCCTCCCCCTGCCGATGACATAACACCATTCGGGACGCGGAGGCGCGTCGACAATCCGCTAAGGCCCCTCTGATAATCACTCCCCCTCCCAACGACTTCGACACCAGTCAGGAAGCGGAGGCGCGTTATAACACCCGCTTGTAAGCGCGAACTGAACGTACCTTCACTCTCGTGCCCCTCGCCTCCACTGTCTCCAGTGCCGCTCAGAAGAGTTAATCCATTCCCCGACACCGGCCTATTCAACATCTCCCACGCCCGGTCGTCCATCTCCTCCGCCATCGCGCCCCATGCGGACTTGATCGCGCCCGGGTAGTCGAACGCGGCGAGGATGAAGCAGACGGGGGAGCCTAGGGAGGGGGGTATGAGTATGGGTTAGGGGTATGAGTATGGGTTAGCTTTTGTGTGTCGAAAAGACAGACGGGAGAGAGGGGAGTGAGGGAGGAGGAAGAGGGGAGGGGAGGAAGAGGGGAGGGGGAGGAGGAGGGGAGGGGAGAGGGAACGGTGGAGTGGGTTGGGGGCGGCGAGGGAGAAGGGCGCATATACGGGATATAAACGTCGATTTGGACGCACATATGCATGCTTAGTCTGCATGGGGGAGAAGAAGGACCGGGGAAGGAAGGCTGAGAGGATGAGGGGGATGGGGCGTGACTCTAGTGGCGCTGTGGGACGCATATATGCGCTACTTTTGGTAGAGGCGACATGAAGGGGAGGTCGGATGAGTGAGAGGGACGGAAACGCGTGAATGGTTGTTGGGTGCGCGGTGATGCACATACATGCGCCGGTCCAGGGGGCAAGGAGAGGTAGGGAGCCAGAGGGTGGAGGATGTGGGTAAGTGTTGGATGGGCATATATGCACCGCTTCAGGTATTTCGAGGAGGGGGGATGAAGGAACGGTGGATGGGAAGGTTGGGGAGGGACGCACAGAGACAAGAACGCGAACTCACATAATCCGCTAATCATCTGCTCACGCTCGAGGAGGGGATTTGGAGGGGCGTGCGGATGAATATTTCGATTCGTGCCTCCGTACTTCAGGCCCTCGTCGCCGCTGCTCGAGTGCCCGCCATCGCCGTCGTCCTCGTCTCCGTCCTCAATGAGGTCCGGGAGCGCCTGCCCGAGGTTGTATAGCCGGCGGCAGGAAGGGCAGATGCGGCTCGTCAGGCGGCTCTTGTTATACCAGAGGATCTGGGAGAGGGGGTGTAAGCCAAGCTCTTTGCGATCACACAGCCCCCGCCGAGGGACAGAGGTCCTGGCTCCGTGCACTGTGCACCTCTACTCCCAATGTGCACCGTACACTCCCCGGACAATCCACTCCAAAGCACCCACTCACCAACGCCAACTCGTCCGGCAGCACCGTCATCAGCATCTCCAGCACCTCCTCCTGCGCGAACTCGGCGCAGAGCGGGTCCTCGTACGCGGGCGCGTGTGCGAAGAAGCGTGAGTCGACGAAGGCGCGCGCGTCGCGGACGCGCGGGCCGTTGCCGGGGTCATAGATGAAGGGTTCGGCGGGGAGGGGGGAGGGTGGGGCATGTTGTTGTGAAGGGAAGAAAAAATCCGGAGCAAGTGGTGAGGATCGTCGCGGTGCATGATGTGGAGGATGGGATGAGCTTGGAGGTTGCTGAGGCGGATTTGAATGAGAAGTATGTCGTTGCAGTGATGAAGGAGGACGAGATTGTGCTCGAGCCTTTGATGGTGGTCCTTGGATTCTCGTCAATGATGGAGGCTTCGTAAACTCCGGTGTCTGCTCCCCGGTTGGCGGTGCGGAATCATCATGGGCTGCTTGCGCCGCGCGCTTAGCCTTCGCCGCTTTCTTCTTTTGCTGCTTCTTCTTCTTGGAGTTGTTCGGACCTGGCATTCTGCTGAGCGAGCTTGGCTGAGTGGTCCTCGCGCTGGCTGCTTAGCTCGGAAACCTTGGCGCGCCTCCAGCAGAAAACGCCTCCTGTGGCGAACGATCGGGGGTCGGGACGGAAAGCGTGCGGCGGCAACAAACGCGTAACGTCACGATGTCAGGTGACCGTGACGCGCGCGTGGGCTTAGATAATCGTGAGGCGGGAGAGAACGCCCTGTACCGCTTCGGCGAACCCCGCACGCTCCTTGGTTCGCGTCCGCGATGAGCGCGCGCTGCCCGCTCCCGGAATTGGCGGACGCCTATCGTGTCGGGGAGGGCGCTCGGAATGGATTCGGGAATTGGCACACTCGGAATGTGGCCCAGTCCACTGTCTCAACAACACGAGCCTAGGCGAACGACGTCCAGCCGGGTACGAAGGAGGCGAAGGCAGGACTCACAGCATCTCGTCTGAAGTTTCTGAAGCACAGCAATTTCCAAGTACACGGCTGAACTGGGAAAAATAGTTGGTCCTGGACTGGATTCGGATGAAGGGTCCTTTTGGAGCGCTGTCGCCTATTATTTGATAGACGCCGCCTATTTTGGTGATGGACGAGCGCCTGCAGGTCACCCAAACTCATATAAGGCCTTCCGGACTGTCGACATGCTGCGTTCGGGCACTGCCTCGGTGGGCGACCTGGATCGAGCGCTCTCGTCCTGGACCGCGGCGCTCTGAGCGCTGAGCACACCCGCTTGGTATGGTCTCCTGGTACAATCGATTGACGGGAGACCTGCGCTCTAACACTCTATACTATCAGCTATCTGTGCTGTGCTTGCACTCCAATAGTTCTCCTACGCATCTATCTAACTCTCTCGCGCACTATTCGAGCTATCCTTATCCTACCCGCCGACTGTCCAGGGCCCGACAAGGAGACAGAGGTGCGGTGTTTAGAGACTACAGGACATACGATGCATGGAGTCTAGACGACGTGCGGTCCATAGACTGGGCGACGTGCGGTCCCGACGACAATACCGAGAACGAAGGCAGCGATACCGAGCACGACGGTCAAGGATACCGAGCACGGACACCGCCCGCGGGCGAGGTTGGCTGCCAACCCCTCATATAGGTGGAGTCCGTTTTCCGTACGAACGCAGCCTCCCTCGCCCCGTGCTCTTGTCCCCTCTCCCTGACACCTTCTTTCGCGCGCCGTGGCGCCTTCTTCCCGCGCAATCTGACGGGATCTCCGGTGCGTTTTGAGGAGATCCTCGCGGTGTTTTGGACACCCCTGACGCGATCCCAACAGCGCGTACACCTGATACATCACCATCCCCTTATCCTCCTTGACGTACTCGCAGCAGCCCTGGCGACGTGAAGGCGTACAAAACCGCTCGAAAAGCATCACCACTCCTTGTGAGCCCTTGGGCCGCCACTGTCGTTTCGGCTGTTCGTGACCTCGTCCGCTGTCGGTGTCCCTCGTCGTCGTCCGGTTCTTGCTCTCGCCTGTTTCCTCCAACTTGTCCCTCGACTGTACCCTCGGCTCTTCGACGGCTGCACCCCTCCTGATACTAGGCTTGCCTTGTATCCGCATCTGGTCTGCCGACCTTGTTTGTGTACCTGTTGTACCTTCGCACGACAGCCACGACCACCCTCCGTCACACCCTCGGCCACGACTTCCCATCCTCCTTCCTTCCCATCCTCCATCCATCCCACCCCACCTAACCCTCCACGATGGGTCTCAAAGCAAAGTACGCGCCCGAGACCTTCTTGTCGAATCCGCAGAGGTTGCGGAAGTATGCAATCGTGAGTGGTTGTTATTCCATTCCCTCCGATCAATTGCAGTCCGGCACTCATCTCACAGCTCCCTGCTGCGACTGCGAACGTATGGCTGACTTCTCCCCCAGTGGTCCACCGTCAGCACTATCATCGTCAGCCTCGCGGCAGCGGCGACTGGATGGGCGATGATTGCTACTGGTGGTGAGTTCTGTTGTTCTTCGGCTTCCCGATACCACCATCCAAGCTCGGATGATACCTCCCACGTTCGGATGATTGATGCGACATCTACTAACTGAGCCACGCCCCAGACCGCCATTTCATGCGCTCCGAGCCCGGCTACTTCTACGTGCAGGCGCTCATGTTCACGTTCATGTTCCTCGCGAATGCGCCCGGGTGAGTCGCTTATGCCTCACTATACGCTTTCCTCCAAGCTCCCTTCTCCTTTTCCCTTTCCTTCCTTCCTTCCTTCCTCTCTTCCCCCTTTCCTCCCTCCCTTTCTCTCCTCCCTCTTCCCTTCCCCCTTCCCCAGCACCCTCCCGTCCTTCTCCACCACATCGCCGCCCCAAACTCGAACGGAAAGCACACGATCAAAAACCAAACGAAAAGCACACGATCAGAACTCACTTGAAAAGCACACGACCAAAACTCACACGACAAAGCACGCACTAACTTACCCCCCCTCCCAGCCCCTACACCCTGCGCACCTCGCACCGCACACACATCCAGTACGCCTTCTTCGCCGCGTTCGCGCTCGCGCTCGTCTCGCTCCCCGTCGGGTGCTACGCGCTGGGGAAGGCGTTCAATCATAAGACGCGGGATAACTTTTTGGACGCGTGCATTGGGTGGGATTTCGAGGTGGGTGGGGGTGGTGGTTTGGTGTGCGGGTGGTGTTTTGGTGTGAGGGTGGTGTCTGGGTGTTTGGGTGGTGTTTTGTTTTGCGGGTGTCATTCTGTTGTGCGGGTGTCATTTGGTGTGAGGGTGTCATTTTGTTGTGCGCTGGCTTGGCTGGCTCGTGGATATCACGTTTTCTAGAGCATGATGTTCACTGGGGCAAGATGCTAATGAACCTCCAGGAGGGCGGCACGGCGGCCTGCAGGCGGAGCGAGAAAGCGCTGCGGGCGTATGTGGCGGCGGCGTATGTGCTGAGCTGGATTGTGCAGAGCGGTGAGTGATCAGTCCGGGTGCTCCGATATACCATCTCTTCTCGATATACCATCCCTCCTCGATATCCCATCCCCTCTCGATATACCGGCTCTGCTCGATATACCGTCCCTTCCCGATATCCTCTCCCTCCTCAGTACACTGCGCCTCCTCCTGACACGCTGTCCCTACCCCTCCCATACTGAACTAACCCTACCCACCCAGTCGCCCTCACCTTCGTTTGGTACTACTACCGCCACCTCTCGAACGCGTTCGCGGAGGCTGCCGAGGAGGAGGAGAAGGCGATGCTGCGCCCCATGTCCTACGCGAGCACGCGCGGGTCGAGGATGTCATATGCGTCGGCTGGGATGGGCGGGGGTGGCGACAGGCGCATGTCTATGGGTGGGGACAGGCGGATGTCGAGCTACGGCGGCCACCAGCGCGCATCGAGTGCCAGCGACCCTCGCATGTCCATGGGCGGCGACCCTCGCATGTCCATGGGCGGTGATCCCCGCATGTCAATGAGCGGGGACCGGCGCGCGTCGAACCGCACGTCTCGCCACGCTCCGAGCCCGCAGAACACCTATCGGCAGTCGATCCTTCGTAACTCTGTCGTGGTCGATGAGCAGGGGAGGCAGAGGGGGTCGATCCTGATGAACAGGGACGATGTCGACATGGCGAGGGACGGCAACGGCGTGCGCCCAGTTGACGAGCCCTTCGTGCCCAACCCGTACAGCCGGCACTCATATGGCCACGCGCGCGGGGAGTCGTATGGGCCGACAAACCGGGAGGCGTTCGTTCACTCGGGCGGCGACTCGTATGGTCCCAGCAATCGCGACTCTTACGGCCGGGAGAACCGCATGTCGCTGCTCGCGGAGGATAATCAGCTCGTCGCTCGGGATGAGCCCGCATCTGACATCGCGTTTCCCACCCCCGACGCCCGCCCCACACCGCCCGGGCTGACCCCGCCCGGCTCCGAGGAGTACTTCGACCCCTACTCGCCCGCACCGGCCCACTCCAGCAACTCGGACAGCAGCTACACGGGCAACGCGTCCTCTGGCTACCCGGCGAACCACTCGAGCTCGGGGTTAAACCGCTCTGGCTCAGGACTAAACCGCTCTGGCTCACGCCTCGGGCATTCCAACTCGAACTCGGGCCTGGGTCACTCTGAGGGTACCGCGTACGGCGCGAGTCAGGACTCCCGCGCGACCTCCGCCTCCGAGCACGCGACGATGAAGCCCGCGCCGTCGCGGCAGGTGTCCTACTCCGAGGGCCCTGCGCCCGGGCAGGCGCCCAGTCGGCGGGTGAGCTTTGAAGAGGAGGCGGCGTTGCGGGAGCAGCTGTTGGCCGCGCAGGGACGGGAGGCGCAGAGGCAGGCGGTGGCGGGGCAGGGTGCCTTTTCCTCGTCTAGCCAGGGTGCTTCGCGCGAGTCCGTGACGATGCCCGGGGCTTTCTCGTCTCCTGAAGGAACGACTCCCGACGGTGCAGCACCTGCGCGCAAGCGCGTCATCAGCTTCGACCTTTCCGGCAGCGCACCTCCGACGCCGGGTCGCGTGTCGCGCAAGTCGTCGTTCGCGCGTCTGCGCGGGATGCTGTCGGGGTCGAAGGACGAGACGCAGCCGCTGGCATCGACGAAGCATTGAGCGTCCCGTGGTGAGGCAGCTTCTTTTCATTCCTCAAGACCAAGTAAATGTTCCTTGCTCGCCAAACATCAGATACTGAGGCCACCCCTATAGAATACTGTACAGTACTCGTACCTTTATCTTCTCGAGCATGTTCTGTACGACATGACCGATTTATTGTCCTCTAGCTGCTTTTATTTGTTGACCCTGTTTTACTTATCACTACGCCTAACGCAGGCCACTTATCTATCTCGTAGACGGACGCTTCGCGACCTTTTCATGCTCAGTGCACCTATGAACCTTCTCCGTGGATCTTTTTGTCCGATTCTATGTTTTGATAGGGTCTTTGTGAACGCTCAAGGAGGAAGCCTTTGGCTATGTCTCTTCTATGGCGAAGTTCAACTTTACACGTGACCGAGTCGAGTTCAGGGCCGATTTCCCACCATTGTGCAATATGCATCCATCCTCACCTCCCCTCGAAGCTCTTCTTTCCATCTGACTCTCACCCGCTTGACTAGTAAGAGTCATATAGGAACATCTCGACATACAGCAATTGATAAGCTTCTGGATAATGCCTGGGCAACGAAAGACCGTCCGACACCCTCATCGCCCATCGGAGTCTACAAATCACAAACACCCTTATAATGCGTTCTACTCAATCAAAACGGCCTTCACATTTTCTTTGAGGATTGCGAAAGAGATGTTCATGATGAGCCCGCGCCTGAATGTAGGTCCATTGAGAGCCACGTGCGGCGGAATATATAAGCTAGTGACTGTAACCCCATCGCGCCTTGTCCTTCTCCTCATCCATCGCCTGCCCATCTGCCACTCCGCTCACGATGTCGAAGCCCGGAACGCCCAGCAACTCCGGCTCAAACTCCCTGCTCCTCCGCCGCCAGCTCACCGAGCTCACGAAGCACCCCGTCGAGGGCTTCTCAGCAGGTGCGCCACGCCCCCTCCGCATCGCGCGCGCACGCAGCGCTGAGCACCCGCCCCGCAGGCCTCGTCGACGACAGCAACCTCTTTGAGTGGGAGGTGCTTCTCATTGGGTGCGTGTAGCCGGGTGATACGCGTAGTGGCGCGCTGACACGCCGTGTTCCCTGCCCGCAGGCCGCCAGACACGCTCTAGTACGTCTTTGGGCAGCAACCTGCTCACGCGTGCGCGGAACACTCACCCCGATCCCAGCGAGGGTGGCTTCTTCAAGGCCCGATTGTCGTTTCCGCCCGAGTTTCCGCTCCTCCCGCCGAAGATGAAGTTCCTCACCCCGATGTGGCATCCTAACAGTGCGTGTGCTGATCACTATATCATTACCGCTTGTCTGATCGACATATCTACTCTACAGTCTATCCAGACGGCAACGTCTGTATCAGCATCCTGGTATGTTCGCCACTTCCAGCGATAACCTTGTCGCGACTGACGCGGTCACCCTAGCACCCACCTGGCGAGGACCAGTACGGGTACGAGGATGCTGGCGAGCGATGGCTCCCGGTGCATACAGTCGAGTCCATCGTGCGTCCCCCCTGCACGCCACATCGTCCGATCGCCGATCCTAACTCCCCGCCAGCTCCTGTCCGTGCTGTCCATGCTCTCGTCGGATACGCCGAACACGGACAGTCCCGCGAACGTCGATGCCGCGAAGGAGGTGCGGGAGAACCCAGACGGTATGTGCCCCAGTCTGCCTGTCACATAACCTCTTTAGTCGATGTCTACGCTTCCGCCACCCCCTCTATACCTGTCCCCCTTGCGTTTTTGAACCCTGTACGCCATTGCTGCCGCCCTTGCACCCACTGACATGCCATCGCAGCCTACAAGAAGAAGGTTCGTCGGCTCGCGCGCCGAAGCGCAGAAGAGGCCTACGATTAAGGTGGCTGGACTCCATCGGCTTGCGGAGAACGCTCGGCGACGCTTGCGATGTATCCTGTCGTCTACTCACGATGAAGCCTCTCGCGTCTACTATCACATCCCTTGTACATATCACCCCATCGCTTTCGTTTTACTCTCACATCACGATAATCAAGTCTCGATAACCCTAGACAAGTCTGCCGGAGGCTCCGTAGTAGATAGCAGGTCATGGGGCTACTAGCATTCCCTGGGCTAGGGCTACTTTCCCTCTGCTTAAGCTGCTTCGCCCGGTCCCTCTCGCGCTCAGAGACGATTAAGATGGGATTAGCTATGCGAGAATAACCAACGTGCAGTGTACTAGGGTGAGCAAAGGTGAGTACTAGGATCACTCGACGTTGCGGTATTCGAAGCCAGGGTTGCCCGGCTCAGCGCTCTCGACGATGGACTTCGTGCAGCCCTCTTTCTGCAGGGCCTCTTCGACGGTGAAGACGTCCGCCTCCGCGAGACCGAGTGTCTTCTTGAGGTACGGCAGAATCTCCTTCAGCACGACGCTCTCGGAGAAGGGCAACGTCCGGCGGAACGCGGCCTGGGCACCGAACTGCGCCATCCGTTTCTGCTAGCCAGTCAGCGACGGCCCCGCATGCCACCCATGCAGTCCTACGCACCTTGAACGCCTGCACGAACGGCATCGCGCGCTTGTCCTTGATGAGCCCGCGCTCCGTGAGCAGCGCCCGGACCTTCGCGTCGTCGACCTTGTCCGCCGCCGCATCGTACGCCTCCTGCACCGCGCTCACGCACGCGTCCTGCCACTCCGGGAAGCTCGTCGCGACGTATATCCGCACCGCCTTCGGCTTCTTCGGGTCGAAGCTCGGCAGCGCGCCGCCCTTCTTGCCCTTCTGCTTGTTGAGCAGCTTGACCAGGTTGGCTTCGGCGTCGCGGATCATCTTGATCGTGCCGCGCATGTACTCGCCCGAGTCGAGGACGGAGCGGTCGACGGGGGCGGTGGGGGTGGGGAAGCTCGCGCGCTGGATGGTCTGCGGCTCCTTGAGGAGCGCGAGCCATATGTGCTCAGCGAAGTGGGGGGCGATGGGGGAGACGAGGAGGGCGGAGACGCGGATCCAGCGCATGACGAGGTCGGCGTGCATGCCGATGTCCTGAGTGACCTCGCGGTACCAGTCGCGGGCGCTCTGGAGCTCGTAGAAGCCGTGCTTGAGGGCGTCCTTGAAGTTCATCCTGAGGACATGTCAGACTAGGTTCATGCAAATGCGGACCAGCTGCACTTACTGCTCGTACTGCTCCTTGGTGATCGTGATAAGCTCGTTGATCTCGTTCTCGAAGACCTTATCGTGGTACGACGACAGCTCGCCGTGGCGCATCTTGGGCTCAGCCTTGACCATATCCTAACAAGGGTTTATTAGTACTGCATCCCCACGAAGATGACCGCAACCCACCTCACACCAGCCAAGCAGCGTATGCAACCGCAAAATGTTCGCGTTCGCGGTCTTCTCCTCAAAGTTCGCGTCTTCGATACCATCACCCGCGTCCGCCAACGACAAGCGCGTCGCATCCGCGCCAAACTTGCTGATCGCGTCCTTCAGCGTCAAGAAGTTGCCCTTGCTCTTCGACATCTTCGCGCCGTTGAGCATCAGGTGTCCATTGCAGCGCATCGACAGCGGCCAGTTTTCCTCGTCGAAGATTGCGACGTGGTTGTAAAGCGCGAACGTCAGGTGGTTGTTGATGAGGTCCTTGGCGGAGGAGCGGACGTCGAAGGGGTAGAAGTAGCTGAACTCGCGCTTGAGGGCGTCGGCCTTTTCTTGCGGGAGGGGGGCGTTGGCGGGCCAAGGGCCGTTGCAGAAGACGTACTCCCAGATCTCGTCCGTCATCTGCTCCGGGGTGATATTCAAGGGACCGGGCTTGGAGCCATCGAGGGAGTTCTCTGCGAGTCGTGTCGGCTCGATGCATGTGCGAGAAGGAAGAAGGCTTACCATGTAAGAGCTGCGCGACCGTGTAGTACGACATGTAGATAGTGGAGTCACTCAAAGACTCGACGAGGAACTGGGGGTCCCAAGGCAAGTCCGAACCAAGACCGTAGGTGCGCGCGCATGCCCACTTGTTCAACCAAGCGAGGGTGCCCTGGAAGGCATGGCGAGTGTCGAGCGAATACAGCTCCATCTTGGCCAGCAGCCTGTGATATCGGTTCAGTGATGTAAGGACTTGCCTATATCGAAGAGCTCACCTCTCGGTGATCTTGCGCCACTCGGCCTCTCCGTAGTCGAGGTACCACTGGTCCATAAGCGCGACGATGCACTCGTCACTGGAACGGGAGACGACGAGACCTTCCGGCTCCGCGTACGCGAAAGCGACACCCTTGTCAATCATGCTTTGGCGAACCTTGGGCTTCGCCTCCTGCACGCTCACGCCCTTGTAGTCGCCAATGACCATGGTGCCGTTATAGAAGCCCTCCTTGTACGCGATCTCCTTCGCCTCCGCGAGCTGCTTCACATCCTTCTGCGACTGGATCTTCAGCTGCTTGACGAGGCTCGCCGCGATCATGTCGCCGTGGTTCGGCGTGCTGATCACGGGGACGACGTCGAACGCGACCCACGCCGGGTCGATGCCGTAGAACTCAGGCTTCTTGCGCAGGTCGTGGTACGTCGCGTAGTCATCCGGCGAGTCCGATGGCACGGAGGTAACGACGCCCGTGCCCTTCGTCGGGAGCACGTTCTCCATAGGCAGGACGTACACCTCGGGGTTTACCGCGAAAGGCGCCTTGATCTTCGACCCGACGATCTTCGAACCGCGGATTTCGGCGAGCTTGTTGACCTGCCCGTGCGGCGTGAAGATGCCCTGGTGGGCCATGTTGCGCGCCGCACGGTCCGTGCAGACGTATGCCTCCTTGTCGTTCGCGGCGAAGACGCCGTACGTGATCTGCGTGCCGACGAAGCAGTTCGTCTGTCCGTACATGGTCTCTGGGCGGAGGGTGGCTGCGACGAGGAACACCTTGCGGTCGCCGACCTTGCTCTTGATCTCCGCCGCCGCCGCGCCGCTCCAGTTGACGACCTCCATCTTGATGCCGGTGTACTCCTGCGGGCCCACACCCTCGCCGTCCGCGCGGTCGTGGTCCATGCAGGGCTGCCCGTCCTTGATGCTGTAGATCGTGTACCGCTCGCCGAACTTGACCTTTCCGAGCTTGTGCAGCTTGTTCATCTGCCAGCGCACAAACGCATCATAGTACGGGTTCGCCTTCGTCGTCAGAAACGAGCGCCGCCAGTCGATGCGCGAGCCGAAGTCGTTGTTGTCCTCCATCGCGATGGGCGGGAAGTGGCGCACCCAGTGGTAGGGGTCCGCAAACTTCTTGATCTCCGTGCGCGGGATGCCGATGGACTCCATGATTTGGAACTGGTAGGTGAGGCCGGTGGACTTGAGCTGGATCTTGCCCTTCTTCGCCTTGGACTTGTCGACGGGGATGCCGGCGCGCGCCGCGGCCTCCTTCTCGCGGAGCTCCTCCTCAATGCGGGCGAGCTCGGCCTCTTCGTCAGCCATCTTTTGCGACACGGCCTCGAAGTTTTCGAAGTTCTCGCCGAACATGGCCATCTCGCGGATGAGCTTGTCCGCGGAGGCCTGGCGAGGCGATCAGCAATTAAGTGCATAGTATGCCAATTCACGCACCTTAATCGGTAGACCGGTGACGTGGAAACCATGGGGGAAAAGGACACGCTTGCCAAGCAGTCTCTGGTAGCCCGCCGCGAACTCGATCTTCGAGATGGTGAAGGCATGACCCAGATGCAAGCTGCCGTTCATGTAGGGGAAGGGGAAATTGCCGAACCACTTGGGGAACTTTTCGCGAATCTCAGCTGCGGTGAGGCCCTTGGTCTCCTCTTCCGTTGGCGCGTTGACCTCGAAGACGCGTTCTTCGCGCCACTTCTGCTGGTACTTTTTCTCAAGCGCGGTGAGGTGATCGCGCTTGCCCGTCTGAGAAGTACGGTCAGTATTGGGTTATGAGTATAGACTACACACGCACCTGGGCCATCTCTATGGTCGCGTTGGCGTTCTGTGCCATGGTTCCCTGCAGTCTATACTGGTACACTATTTTACAATGCCGATGGCAGAAACGGGGGAAACGGAGAAGCGCCGTAATCTTGGCTGGAACCAAGGACTACCTGCGATCGATCATCAGTACATATCCCCTTTGTACAAGAACAAGCCTACCGGACGCTGTTTGCAGTGCTCGACGATGGACGCGAGTCACAACTGATTGAAATCCTGAAGTGCAATCGAGCGGCCCAGAGGTCCGAACACCGGATGTAATTCGGACCGGGGCTGCGGCTCGAGGACTTCGCGGAGGTAAACGAATGAAAGGCCAACGATTTGGGCACCGTATGCGTTGCAGCTTTAGCAAAGCTGAGAGGACCTGGCAAAAGACAAGATAGGGCGGGAAATGAGCGCAATTTCGTTCGTACAAGGCAAGAAGGAAAAACTCAGCGCAACTCACCTCCACCAATAACGCAGAGTATTTGACAGCGTATGTCGTCTTTGGAGGAATTCCGCGCAATGCGGCAGCGCCGCTATCGAGCTTTCACTTCCCGCCGACGTGCAAAGATGGTGGTGATAGGCAAGTTGCTGAGACGGACGCGCTCGAATGCGACGGTCCGGAAAGCCGCGGACGCGTTGCACGTGGGACCACGTGCAACGACTACGGCAATGGCCGCGCGATGCTTGAACTTTGACTGGAAGAATCGCTTGACTTCGACCCGAGTCTCGGGATGTAGTCAAAGATTACACCCTTCAAATATGCTTGCCCGCGCTAACTACACACACGACGATGCGGCTTTCAAGTTCACTGGCTTCGCATCGCTATTCGCAGTCTCGAATTAGGTACCTACTCACCCTCTCACATTATTGACGAATTGTTCAAGGCTATTCGCTACTTACCAAGAGCTCTGTACGAGTACACTCTTCCGCTTCACCGAGGTCGTCTCGTCGCACCACCGTCAACCTTCGACCCTTCATTTCAAAGGAGCGACTCTTGTTTACAGCGCCCTTTGGTCTGTGACGGTGGCGGGTGCTTGCCTGTGTCCTCACCTCGCACGAATGCTCCGTTTCGTTGCGCTCCACAATCATTGAGCTTCGCGTTCGGACGGTCTGCTATGCCAATGCGAATCGCTGCAATCCTGCCAACTTCTCGCGAGGTATTCCAGCCCCAACGCTTGCCTTCCGCTTCGGAATATGATACGCGATTCATGTAATCCACCGACCTCGCCCAGAAGCAGGATCCCTTCGCTTGATGACTGCATATTGCAGATAAAGGTTGGCTCTGTCATCGCCGGCAATCATTCCAGTTCTTCGTGCATCCGCCTAGCACATCCCAGCCAGTCACCAGCACCCGACAACCTACCATGCGCTTCTTCCCCCTCTTCGCCCTCGCCACCGCTGTCGCCGCGGTCCCCATGACCATCACGAAGCAGCCCGCGACAAAGAGGGCGATTAAAACATCCTCGAGGGTCTCCAGTGCATCCGGCTCGTCCAGCGTTCCTACTAGCGCGTCGAGCGGGGCAGGGAGCGTCAGCTTGCCGAGTGTGTCCGGGACATCCACCGCGCCCGCGGGCCTCTCCAGCGTCCTCGGCTCGCCTGGTGCACCCAGCACGTCGGGCGTCTCCAGTGCACCAGGCATCGCTTGCGCCTCCGGTGTCCCAGGCACATCTAACACCCTCGGCGCGTCGAGTGTATCTGCGTTTGCGGGCATCCCAAGCGCGTCCGCTAGACTCTAGCCTCAAAGAGGGTGTCCACAGCCAGGTTCAATCCCTGGACAATCGGGGCGCGCGTCGACCATGCGGCGGAGAAGAATGCAAGTGTCATGAATGGCCGAGCGGCTGCAAAGCTAGCGTCTATGTCTAGACAAAGGACTTACTATGCCGATCAGCATGGGCCTGCATACGTACTTCTAGTCACATTTGCTTCACGAACTGCATATCTATCTACGAGAACCTCCACTTTTTATTGACAATGCGAATGCGAGCTGTTATGGCTGCCTCTGAGATCCAAATCCGTACGCTGTGCTCGACATTCTTTGGGGACTCATGGGAACGCCGCGCGCGGCTCCTTGCATTGTGCATATCTGAAGTTCAACGTGTCACATGATTCTCGCGTGACCCCGCTCCGTTGTTCGGTGTTAACTGACATCATGGCCCTTGTTTCCTACCGCCATCTCCCCGTATTGTAACTCCTAATAACACGGCATCTCTCTACCCCTCTCCCCTTCCAACATGGCTCTTCTACTGAGCCACGGCGCCGACCTCGCGCTCCGGCACCTCAGCGATCTCTGGCCGCTTCTGCAGTCCATACATACCTCGTCCAGTGCGGCCGTTGCGCTTACCCTGTCCCTCTCCGCCCTTCTCTACACCCGCCGCAAGCACTCAGGACAGGCTCTGACCCGCTACCTCGTCCGCACGGCCCTAGCGGTCAACACAGTACTCCTACTGCACACCATCATCTTCAGCCCACCCCCAAACATGTACCGCGCTCTCGGGGCACCATTGGGGACGAGGCCGCACCGATTGTTGTACGCAATGAAGGAGGCGATGCGGGAGGGAGTGATCGGCCTGCCGTACGGCGCGGATAACCTATGGGAGCGCTTCCAGGAAGAGGAGATGATAGATGTGTATATTCGGTGTGTATAGGACGCGGGGAACGTATGCAGGGGCCGAAGAGGCTAAGTACATGCAGATACGGTCATGACGTGCTGCTGCAGTGCGAGTTCTGCGTGCGGACGAGGGACTTCGTAACGTATGCGCTGGTGGGCGTGGCGTTGCAGTATGTGGGGATGGCGGCCTTGATTGGGGTGCGTGCTTAGATTGTTTCGGACGGTTCGCAGTGCTGACGCGGATTGGTGCAGCTCATTACGATCGCTGGGACGGACAGCGAGTACTATCGCCCGTGGGGCATCATCTGCCTTGTGACGACCGGCCTGTGGGAGGCATGGCAGACGTACACATCCAATATCGAGATGCTCATGTTTGAGGATACGACGACCACGGTGCGCGTCTTTCCCGAAAGCCAGATTCACCGCTGATGGATAGGCCGCTTCGCAGGTCCACGAAGATCTACTGTTCCGCCGCCAGCTAGTCTTCATATTCCTCCCCATCATCCTCCATATGCTGCCCTCCGCGGTCCCCCTCGAATTGCAAGCCCAGCGAGATACGCTGCGCGGCCTGAGAGAGCTACAAGAAAAGCTGAAGGCACTCGCGTTGTGCGATGCGGCGGTGTTGCGCTCGTCGAAGCTGCGCAGACTGCAACATGCCTTTGGAGAACGTATCGAGCGTGATCTGCAATACTTGCACCACGCGCGGCCAACTTCGCTTAGCACCACGCCAGCTCCGTCCAACCCCCCTTCACCATCCATCAGCAGCCCGTCATCTCTTCAAGACTCACAAACAACATTGCGTGCATCGTCGATTCAGTGGAATACGCAGCCGACCTCCCCATCCACACCGCAGGCGACCTATCCGTACTTTTCACCAGACTCTGCTCGGATGCGGGTCGCCCAGTCGTACCAGGCAACCTTCCTCGCCACAGTCAATGCTGCGACTTCAGCGAACCAAGTATGGTGAATCCGAGGCAGCAAGGGGACCAGGATGGACTTCGTACAACTGTAACAATATGCTCGGCTCGTATATAACCTGTATCTGTAGACTATGTGTCCTGCACATTCCTCGGCAGGTGGCTTTGCGATCGCAAGCTGCCAGTGTGAAGCCATCACATGTCAGAAATTAAGCGCCCATGTGCTGGGGAAGAAATAAACCAGAATAGGAAACTTGTTCTTCACCGTCACTGTTCTTTGCGCGTCGCGCGGAAGCATCCCTCTCAACGCGACTACGTGCTTCCCTACTCGTGGCACAAGCGGTAGGCAGGGACTATGGATCTTCCTGACGAAGAGTCGGAATGGGAGCAGCTGAACCGTACGAATTGGCACGGTCTAGGGCTGACAGATCCCGTTAAAAATGTCGAGGTGCGTCCATGTCGCTATGAGAATCTCCTGCCCCGACTCCTGCAGTGACCATAGAAGACTGCATGCTCCTTCCCTACCATGTAGGATGTGGGGGGAGCTCATGCCGAACGCGTCGCGGATGATCGAGACGTTCAGCTTTACCCATAGGGTCGACTTGGATCCTCTTCCCCACGGCGCGTTCTGCGGATATCGTATCATCTCCTTCAATGGCCTGGCAGCCCTCTCTCTACCCATCCTACTCTCTACCCTCCCCGATCATGCATCTTCCCTCAAACCCACCCCAAGCGATCAACGTACTAAACGAATCCCCCACAGGACAAATGGCTCCTCCTCCCCGCCTTCCTCAAGGTCAAGGGCCTCGTCAAGCAGCATATCGACTCCTTCAATCACTTCGTCGACGCGGACATCAAGAACATCGTCAAGGCCAACAACAAGATCACGTCCGACGTCGACCCACGCTTCTGGATCAAGTTCATGGACATCGAGGTCGGCTTCCCCGACCGCAACGAGCCCGAGGCGCACGACAAGAAGAGCATAACCCCGCACGAGTGCCGCCTGCGCGACATCACCTACAGCGCGCCGATCACGGTCACCTTCCAGTACACGCGCGGGCGCTCGATCGTGCAGCGGCGGCAGACGATTGGGCGCCTGCCGATCATGCTGAGGAGCAACAAGTGTGTGCTGACGGGGAGGACTGAGGCGCAGCTCGCGCGCATGACCGAGTGCCCGCTCGATCCGGGCGGCTACTTTGTGGTGAAGGGGACCGAGAAGGTCATTCTCGTGCAGGAGCAGCTCAGCAAGAATCGCATCATCGTCGAGACGGACCCTGTGAAGGGGATTGTGCAGGCGTCGTGTACATCGTGCGTATGGACAGTCATCCGTGCTTGATTACAACTTACCCTTGTTCCAGGTCAACGCACGGTGGCGTCAAATCCAAAGCGTACGTCGTGACGAAGAAGGGCCGCATTTACCTCCGCCACAACTCCATTCACGAGGACGTGCCTATCGTCATCGCGCTCAAGGGTCTTGGTATCCAGTCCGACAAGGAGATTATGCTGCTCACCGCGGGGAACACTGAAGCGTACAAGATCGCTTTTTCCGCCAACCTTGAAGACGCGGCCAAGATGGGTGTCTTCACACAGCAGCAAGCCCTCGAATGGCTCGGCGCGCGCGTCAGGGTCAACCGAAGACCAATGGGTCCACGACGCCCTGCCTACGAGGAGGCGCTGGAGGCGCTCGCGACGCTTCTGCTCGCCCACGTGCGCATGGACGGCCTCGACTTCCGCCCGAAGGCCATCTTTGTTGCGACCATGACGCGGCGCGTGCTCATGGCAATGCACGACGAGAAGATGGTCGACGACCGCGACTACGTCGGCAACAAGCGCCTCGAGCTCGCCGGGCAGCTCCTCGCGTTGCTCTTCGAGGACCTCTTCAAGACGTACTGCTCGAACCTGAAGGCCGCGATCGACAAGGTGCTCAAGAAGCCGTCGCGAACGACCGAGTTCGACGCGTACAACACGATGATGTTCCAGGGCGACCATATCACCGCGGGCTTCGTGCGCGCAATCTCGACGGGTAACTGGTCGCTCAAGCGATTCAGGATGGAGCGTGCGGGCGTGACGCACGTCCTGAGCCGGCTGAGCTTCATTTCTGCGCTGGGAATGATGACTCGAATCTCTTCGCAGTTCGAGAAGACGAGGAAAGTTAGTGGTCCGCGTGCGCTGCAACCCAGTCAGTGGGGAATGCTATGTCCTAGCGATACGCCAGAAGGCGAGGCCTGCGGCTTGGTGAAGAACTTGGCACTCATGACGCACATCACGACGGATGTCGACGAAGAGCCGATCATTAGGCTTGCATATCTCCTTGGTGTTGAAGGTGCGCATCCCATTTGTCTTGCCGCGCGACTTTGGCTAATTACTTTTGCAGATATCGCGCTTGCGTCAGGGAGCGAGATCTACGGCACACACGCCTTCATTGTCAGTGTGAACGGCAATATCATTGGCTTGACGAAGTATCCGGCCCGCTTCGTCACAAACTTCCGGAAAATGCGGCGGGCTCGTCGAATAAGCGAGTTTGTGAGCATCTACATCAACCACCACCATCGGACCGTGCAAATCGCGACGGATGGTGGCCGCATCTGTCGCCCCATGATCATCGTTGAGAAGGGGAGGTCCCGCGTCCATTCAGAACATATAGCTGTGAGTGCATCTTCGGGGTCTCGGACGACCTGTCATGGCTAAACCTTCTCCTAGCTGCTAAAGAAGGGCGCGGCAACCTTCGACGATTTCCTACGCAAGGGTCTCGTTGAATATCTCGATGTCAACGAAGAGAATGACGCCTACATCGCCCTCTATGAAGCGGATATTGTGCCGACGACCACGCATCTCGAGATAGAACCGTTCACCCTCCTTGGCGCTGTCGCCGGCCTCATCCCGTACCCCCATCACAACCAATCACCCCGAAATACCTATCAGTGCGCTATGGGCAAGCAGGCCATCGGCGCTATCGGCTTCAACCAGCTGAACCGCATCGACACTCTGCTGTACCTGTCCGTCTACCCGCAGCAGCCCATGGTCAAGACCAAGACCATCGAGCTCATCGGCTACGACAAGCTGCCGGCCGGGCAGAACGCGACGGTCGCGGTCATGAGCTACTCTGGGTACGATATCGAGGACGCGCTCATTCTGAATAAGGTGCGCACTGCTCTTCGCGAATGTGATGCTCTTGCATGGCTAACTCGGGCAGGCGAGTCTGGATCGTGGGTACGGTCGCTGTCAGGTCCTACGGAAGAACGCTACGCTGGTTCGCAAGTACCCGAACGGCACGTACGTGCTGAGTTTTTTCCCTCTCAACCGGTGTGCTTGCTCTGACAGCATGGGGGCAGGTACGACCGTCTCGCGGATGCACCCGTGGATGAGAACGGGAACATTGCGAAGAAGTACGATATCATTCAGGCGGACGGACTTGCTGGAGTTGGGGAGCGAGTGGACCCTGGCGATGTCTATGTGAACAAGCAGTCGCCTACAAATGCGACGGACAACACCTTCAATGGACAGGCCGCGGCGGTACCGTACAAGAATACGCCGCTCACCTACAAATCCCCTGTCGCTGGCAACATCGACAAGGTCCTCATTTCGGACACGGAGAACGACCAGCTGCTTGTCAAAGTACTCATCCGCCAGACGCGACGTCCAGAACTTGGCGACAAGTTCTCCTCTCGCCACGGACAGAAAGGTGTTTGCGGCCTCATCGTCAATCAGGAGGATATGCCTTTCAATGATCAGGGCATCAATCCTGGTGCGTCTAGCCTCCTTCCCCTTTCGCCGGTTAGGTTTGACCACCTAACTCAGATACCATCATGAACCCTCACGGCTTCCCGTCCCGAATGACGGTCGGGAAGATGATTGAGTTGCTTGCTGGCAAGGTTCGTGGTACCATTCACCAGATGCTGCTGCGATATCTGATGACATCTCCAGGCCGGAGTCCTCACTGGCAAATTGCAGTATGGGACGGCGTTCGGGGGCTCGAAGGCACGTCGCGGCGCGGCTCTTCCCGAGGCTTCGGCTGACGTCTGTGCAGGTCGAAGACATGAGTCGCATCCTCATTGAGAACGGGTTCAGTTACGCTGGGAAGGACATGCTGACGAGCGGGATAACCGGGGAGCCGATGGAGGCTTACGTGTATTTCGGGCCTATCTACTATCAGGTATGTCCCCTCGTCCACGGTCGAGGACGCCCTCGTTGACGTCTACCCGCGCTCTCGTAGAAACTGAGTACGTGTACCACGACTGCGCATACCCTCGACAGATACTGAATAGCGCGCGCGTTCCAGAACACATGGTCATGGACAAGATGCACGCCCGCGCAAGGTACGTTTCTGCGCTTCTCGTCTTCCTCCAATTGGCGGCGCTGACGAGTGCTCTTCCTTTCCAGGGGCCCGCGGGCGACGCTCACGCGGCAACCGACGGAAGGGCGCTCCCGCGAAGGCGGTTTGCGGCTCGGAGAGATGGAGCGCGACTGCCTGATCGGCTATGGCGCAACACAGCTGCTGCTAGAACGGCTGATGATATCGTCGGACAAGTTCGAGGTCGACGCGTGTCAGGAGTGTGGGCTCATGGGGTACAATGGATGGTGCACGTACTGCAAGAGCTCGAAGAAGATGGCGCAGTTGACGATCCCGTATGCCGCGAAGCTGCTGTTCCAAGAGGTGTGTGACGTTTGGGGTCGGCGCATGCTGCTATAGTTGCTTACCTTGGCCCTCCAGCTTATGGCGATGAATGTCGTACCGCGGCTAGTACTTGACGACGCATGATGCAGGGTACTGACTATTTATGTACTACTATCCCAGTTATCTTCCAGCACTTGCCACACATGTATCACACTTGCATCTACTCGCATTCTGTAGCTTATTACTCACATTTTAACGGTTCCCTACGTGACGTCGTATCTGCCAGAACTCAGGGACAGGGTGTCTTCTCCGTCGGTATCTTCCAACTGCCTGCGCCCTCCTGGTGGTCTCGAAGACGATAGCAGACGCAGGGTTTCAGCAACATCGGACAATCCCGAAGTTGAACCGTGCGAAAGTGCTCACGCATGGCGACACGTGTGTTCATGCAGGCGCCTTACGTCAGGCACGCTGCTCTCCGAGCTCGTCTTCGATTTCGCCACCAAGTCCGACCTGAACACCGCAACAGAAAGTCAAGATGAATCGCCAAGGCGCTACCAGAAGATTGATGACTGAGTACAAGGCTGTAAGGGTGGCTGCTCGTCCGACCCAGCGGTAGCCCACTGACTACACCCACTCCTTAGCTCACCCAGAACGGCATGTTGTTCGAGCGACATGTATCCGCACACTAAGTTCTCGAACAGGTTCGCCCGATGGCATGTTCACAGCTGGTACGTACCTTCTCTCGCAAACGACCGAACTCATCCTCGCCAAGGCCCGGTCACCGAGTCTGACTTCTTCCTCTGGGAGGCGCTCATCGCCGGTCCGAAGGACACACCATTTGTAAGTGCGGACACGCATCGCCGTCTTCGAAGTCTGTCGATAAGCATCGCTCATGCATCCCGCCCACATAGGAAGGGGGCATATTCACCGCGAAGCTCACATTTGTGCGTCGGTAAATTAGGTACCATGCGTGCGCCTCTCACCAGCCGTCTAGCCCTCGGATTACCCGCTTTCGCCCTTCAAGATGACGTTCGACCCGCCTATTTTCCATCCGAATGGTAAGCATGATTGAACAGCTGGCCTTCTGTGACTCGTAGCGCTCTTGCCTGTCTTCGGAACCCCTTCTCAGCGTCCGGGATTGTAATACCCAGCTTCTTGCGTTTGCGACTAGCTTGTCTTCCTTTTGACACTAATGCTCATTCTTCAAGTGTACCCAAACGGCGAAGTGTAAGTCCTGCATTTATCGAAGCGTCCACAAGACTCATGGATTTTTCTTGCAGTTGCATATCAATCTTGCACCACCCGGGCGACGATCCGAACATGTACGAACAGGCGTCCGAGCGTTGGAGCCCCGTACAAAGCGTAGAGAAAGTCATTCTCAGCGTCGTATCCATGCTTGCTGGTAGGTCTTCATAGCCGCGTCATTGGCTTCGCCGCACTATCTTATATTTTCTGTTTCTTGGCCTTTGTCCCTGACTTTATACTTCATCACCGCCCGTCTATTACGCCTTGCCTTCATTCATGATGTTCTGATCGCTGCTTTTGTCCGCCTCAGATATTTGTTTGCTGTCTCTCCAGGTTGCACTGACCAGATAATCCCAGAACCGAACCTCGAAAGCCCCGCCAACGTTGACGCAGCAAAGATGTACCGCACAGACCGTCCAGCATATGAGAAAATTGTACGGAAGAACGTGGAGGAGCTCCTGGGTCTTTGAGCTGCGCAGGCTCAGCTCGGTCCCGAAGGTTATTTAGGTCAGACTCGAAGAGGAATGGTCAAGGAGAAGGAGGTTTGCGCAGCTGAAGCTCAAGGGTCATTCATCCCAGACTCGAGGATCCACCCCGCCCCCGCCAGAGTTCACTCTAGCGTCTTAGGTACTTAGGAACATGCATAGTCGATTGTAATAACAAGGTTCGGCCCAGCGTCACCAGCGTCAGAGTACGTCTTGCTTACTGCCAGTGGCGAAATTAAGGAGCTTGGGGTCTACGTCGGCGCACGAGATGAGGTGGCCGAGACGAGGAACCGCCGTTGGGCTCGATGACCACCGTCACCAAGCTCGAGGAACCACCGTCGAGCGCCTCGGAGCGGACGAGGCTCGGGGCCTCGGATGACCATGGCTTCCGCATCCGACAAGTACTAGCGTCTTTGTTGACACTGATAACTGCGTCTCTGTTGACACTGATAAGTGGTCGCACGCCAATCATACGCTATAGCCCCTCATTCAATCCCCCTCCCATTGAGTACACGCCCTCGTGGCCGCATTCAGTAGAGTACGGACGTTCGCATAATATCACCGCAGTAGGACCGTCGCGGGTTGGTCCGCCCCTATCTTTCCACGGACGCGACGTGCTGGAGGGGACATGATGTGCTAAAGGGACGCCGAAAAGTGCGACGCGGGGATCAAAGGGCAGGTTGACCATAGCTGACTATCGCGGCGATAATGGTCGAGCTCCTCCTCCACAAGTGATTTTCCTCCGCACCATATTCTAATATCTATTCCAATACAAACACAACACCAACGTCTACATGCAATGGGGCGCTATGACTCGAATGACTACATACAGTAGCTACAGTGGGGCTATAAGGCCGGAGAAAATCCAGGGAACAATGCTAGGGTCCGGGCTTGTATAGTACCAGTATCCAGCGTCTGCCGAAAAAATAGGCAAAAATCATAAACTACTTTTCGTAGCTCGACCTCCTGCTGCGTCGAACGCACACGCAGAGCTACTTTTTGTACTTGTCGGCAGTGTCGCCCTGCTGGCCGTATATATGGCGCTGCACATACTCGTTTCTAAACATGCCTTGAGGGTCGACCTCGTCTAGGACGCGCACGAAGTCGTCGAATCGTGGATAGAGTGCGCGAAGATCGTCCGGACGCATATTGTGCGCTTTCGCCCAGTGCGGGCGGCCGCCGTGGCGGATAACGATATCCTCAAAGCCGGTGAAGAGTTCCTTGTAGGGCACTTCGAAGCCGTAAGGCCTGCAAGACCGGTCAGAAAACGCGCACGTGGCAGACGGGAGAAATCATGCACTTGTATTGGACGATGCCGATCCACGTCGTGCGGTGGCCATAGCTGGGGCTCATCCATATCTCGTCCGCAGCGGAGACTCTGATCTCAATAGGGAAGTGCGGACGTAGGCCGTCGGCGCTGGCGATCTCGCGCTGGAGCCACGTCCGCATTTCGCGCAGCGCGGCCTGCGAATTTTCGTACGGGATCGCCCATTCGGTGGTGTACTGCAAGAACTGCGGGCGTCGTCAGCATGCATTACGGGCCGGGGGGAAAAATTGTGGCGCGTACTAGACAGTCGATGTTGAAAATCTTGTGACTATCATCTACTCGAGAGAGGGGCGGGCGACCGAGCCATGTGACGAATCGGCAAACGGCGAGATTCAGATCCCGATAGTATCGCGCAATGAATAGCAAGAGATGGACAAGGTGAAAGCCGACCAAGACGTCCCAGAACCAGTTGCCGCTGTCCGTCCGGGGCTAAGAATATGCATGTGAGCGATAGTGTACCCGCGAAGCGTTGGACAGATATGTCATACCTCATGCGTACGGTCTGAAGAGCTCTTACGTATCGTGTCGGACGCGGGGAACCACCACAGGCGTGGATGTTGAGTGGAGGTCATGATCGCGTCGAAGTCGTCAAGCGCCATGTCAAAAGGTACCGACTCTGCGACTTCCTTCAGTCGGAACGCGTCCTCTACCTCGAGCTTGATCTCCAGCAGCAACCCGGTGCCTCCCAGGCCACTCAAGGACGCGTAGAATAGATCAGAATGTTCTGATGCGGAGCAAGTGACGCGTGCGCCGTTGGCGAGAAGGATGGTGAGAGCCAGGACGTTCGTGGAGAATACGCCGAACTCCATCCCAGAACCGTGGCTGGCAGTGGTGATGATACCGGCGAGCGTCTGGTCGGATATAGAGCCGACGTTGCGCATGGCGAGTCCGTGCTGGGCGAGCTGTGCGTGCAGATCGTGCAGCACTATGCCACCTTGTGCCACAACCCACTTCTTCTCGGTATTGACCTGGCGGGGGAGGGGGGTCAATACCTCATCGCTTGGCGCAGATCGACACGTACCTCGAGCACACGATTGAGCCTAGTCATTCGAATCATGAGCTCGGTAGTGCACGCAACATCGCTGGGACTGTGCCCAACACCCGCGGCGCGCACGACCTTCCCCTCGCGCCGGGCGAGCTCAAGGGCGAGTTCACATTGATATTCGTTCTCCGGTTCGTAGATGGCTTGAGGCTTGCATCCAAAGGTGCGAGCCCAGTTGGTATAGGAGGCTGTGGGGGAGGAGGGGCGCGCCGTGACAGGCGCGAGCCGCCGATATATGTCGTCTAGGGAGAGTTGGGCAATAGTTGGTGTGTGCATGGCGGGAGAAGGGACGATAGGAAGAAGAGGGGGCCATTATAAATGTTGGCGTATGCGCACACGAAATTGAGAGTGATCCGATTGCCTCTTCGGGATTCTCCGTCATGGAGGGACCTGAGACGGGCGGACGCGCGCCAGTTGGCGATCGGCGCGCGTTAGCGGATGGGCATCATAGGGGGACGCGTGACAATGAATCACAATCGCTGACCGTGTCTTGCCCCGCCGTCATCCTGCTCCAGTCCCGCCGTTCGTGAAAGGGCTGTCTGCACCCGGCAGCGTCCACGACGAGGGAGGGGGGTGGGCCTGCGAATTTCTGCTGGGTTTTCGGGGGTCGGAAATACTAGAGCCCCTTGTTGTCCCTTGCCCTTTTGCTTCCGCGATGGCGCGCTGGCGCGGACCGTCGGCGACGAGCTCCCCACCCGCGAGTCATGTCGCTCGCGGTGCCGGTCGCAGATTGCGATCCTGTCCGTGGATCAGCAGCTGCGAACAAGGATGTCTCTGGGACGGCAGATACTTCACCAAACGCTCGCACTGGGTGCGCATCCCGTAACTGGGGCCGATCGGTATGCACATCCGCGCAGATAGCCGGGGCCGCCAGGTGCGGAATCTTCCGAGAAGGGGCGACCGAAATTGTATCAGATTCAGATTGTGCAATCACAGCGACGCCAGAGTGCAGCGAAGGCCTGCGGCGGCGGGGCGGCCATGATCCATCTGGTTCAACTCAGGCCGTGCTCGGTGTTTGCCGCACGTTCTCGTTGGAAATGGGCGCCCAGACCATGTGCTTCACGTGCCGAAGATCTTCAACACCTGCGCGACGAGTACAATGTTCCTTTCGCACCAACAATGACCTAACCCAAGCGCGCCCCCTCGCAACATACCCGACGCCCATTCAGTCCCGCGTAGCCGCTCAATTGAGAAAATCAAAGACGACCCTAGCCATCCATGTGAGTATTCCTCGTCCGCAGGAGAGAATATGAATACGCACCTCCCCCATTCTTGGCCCTCAAACAGCAGGATACCGCGTACCTCGGCGCTATCCAGCTCAAGTCCGAGCTCGAACTCTGCACATCACAGTGAGCAATCTTCACCGTCCGTGCCCGTCCGGCCAATTCTCACCCGTATAGAAGCCACCCTGCGTCGCCTGCGCGTGCTGCCGGAACGTCGGCAGCGACGCGAGGTCGACCGTCCACTTGCACAGCTCGACAGTCTCGCCCTCGTCTGTATAGCGCATGATCTTCTCCGAATCACTCGTGTACAGCGTCGCGATGAACGTCGAGTCTGCCAGCAGTCAGCCACATACGACTGATGGGACCAAAGCCTATGCATACCCTGTGGCGACTGCGAGTACTTGCTGCAGCGAAACACGTCAGTACGGCCACCTCTGCGTCATCTCACGATCCGCGTACCAGAACCGCGTCGTCACGCGCTGCCTAAGCACTAATCAGCCGCCGCACTAATCGAGGTCATGGTCATCTCAGACGAACCCTTTCCTCAAGATCGCACCCTTGGAGACGAGGTATTGCAACCTAACCAGCCAGCGTCAACGCCCTAGTCACTGGCCACAGCAAACGGCAGCTTACCGGTTCTCACACACCGCCACTCCCGCGCTGTTCGTCGTGATGTATGCTGGCCGCTTCATCCAGTCCTCCTGCTCGGCGGGTAATTTCACCTTCATCACGTACGACCGCGGCGCAACGACGCTCGACACCAGCGGCCTTCGGGCCAACCCATACCGCGCCGCACCACGCAGCGTCGCCGTATCAGCATCCGGAGGACGGGCAATAACTCGTATTCTAGAGGAGAATTGTTCCTGGGAGGGAAAATATCAGCATACAATACATAGGGAGGGACACGGGCACAGGGACGAGCCCGCAATACAGGGCCAGTGATAGGACCTATCCTCACCTCGACACACTCCTTCAGATAGTGGCTCCCCGCAAAGCCGCCGACGAGCAGCAGCACGTCCACGCCGCGGTCGAGCTTCCGCAACTGGTTGTCGACGAGTTGGAGAACCTGGTCGACGACGGGCGCGAAGACCTCGCGCCTAAGGACGTGCCCAGGAATGGCGAGCTGCCCGTTCTCGAGCCCGACGGCGGGGTCGTCCGGGTCCTCGACGTTGAAGCAGGTGAAGTGGAAGTACGTGTCTGCAGCGGTATCGTGAATAGGCTGTTCCGCCAGCGTGAACGGAGCGTGAACAGACTGTTCCGCCCCCATACAGCGCGCCCACATACCATCGTCCGCCTTCCCACGATACTCGAGTTTGTCCGTCTCGCTGAAGGAGTGCACTGCGGGCCCGAGTCAGCAAGAGGTTACGCGCGTGCGAGGCTTACGGTAGGCTCCGTATACCACCCGACCGTCTCATCGGTCCAACTCAACACGCCTGAGAACATCTTACGCACTGAAATTCGCCAGCGACGGTGCGTCGAGGTGAGCCGGGTGGCCCTCCAGCAGCGTCTTCACGAGCTCGCGGAAGCGCAGGTCGAGGAAGAGGCTCCCGCAGTTCGCGCCGCTCCGCGCGGCCATCTCCGCGATCTCCAGGTTCGCAAGCGTGCCGATAATCCTGTAGACGGCGAGGTCGACGGTGCCTGCGCGGAGGTGGGTGAGCGCAGACACGCGGCAAGGACATAAATATGCGGCGAGGATGAAAACTTAGGGCCAGCGGAGCGGATGCATAGGCTAAGGACAATGGAAGGGAATTGCGTGCAGGCCACGAGGTTTGTTCCGTCGGAGGGCGTGCTCATCGAGGCCCAGGATCTGTAAGCCGCGGTGGCAATAGCAATAGGGATCTACGCCGCCAGAAGGCGCGGACGAGGCCAGACTGCGCCTCCTGCCACGATAGGTACGGAGATGAAGTCGATGCAATGGAAGGAACGAAAGGAGAAAGGCAAAACGGAAGGACCAAGGCGAGAAGGAAGGACCAAGGCAAGAACATGATAGACTACCGCGGCTTCCTCGCGCCAAGCTGCAGGAAACTCATTGGCTGAATGAAACCCACTCACCTCCTCCCGCATCGCATACAATGAACGTCTGCGACGGTTTCAACTTATGCACGTCCGTCAGCTGAGCGCAGTGAACAGCCGCGGCCTCGGGCTCTGTGATGATGTGCAGCCGGTCACGCCAGTCCTTGTCCCCCGCCCGTGCGCTCGCCACAAGACCCGCTGACGGAGATGAAGGGTCAGTAAATCGCAAATGGGGGTATTTACCCCGTCAATCCTTTAAGAAGGAGATTCACTGGCCTACATACCCTGGATGGCAGCCTCGCGCATAATGTTGCACCCGCTCGCGTCCCAGGCCGCGGGGACGGTGAGCCAGACGTCGGCCGAGTCTGTAGAGCAGGAGCACGGGTCAGCGGACGGAGGCTTACGACAGGATTAGGCTATCAAGCTCAAGCTCGGAATGGACTGACTGAGATCCGCGACCGCGCCAATGTCGCGCGTTATCTGCTCCCTCGCGTACTCCCAGAGGCAGCCCAGGAAGTCGATGATGAGGTCTAGCGCTTTCTTGCCGGGCTATGAGGGGGATGGAGTGCATGGACAAGCAAGATGGGGTGCGCGAGCATGTATGGGAGTGATGGGGTGCGTGAGCAAGCACAGTGGGAGATGAAAGAAAATGATAGGCGTACGGGCAATTGTGGCAAGCGCGGATCAATAGTGTTGGGGTCACGCAGCGCGCTGGGCTCCAGAAAAAGCTTGAACCATTCGCAGCGGATCGTTCCCTCCATAGGCGACATGTTCTTTGCTTCGAGGCCCCAGGCCAAGACTCGTCCGTACATATCGTACACCAGACACGTCGGGATCTACCGGTGCGTTGAGCGGTGTTCAGGCATATGAGTTGTTAGACAACGGCACGCACTTTGCGGAAGGTCTCGTCCGACCCTGGCCAATGCAGGATTTGCCTAACGCGTCCGCCATCGATGCGGGACGAGCCATAGGCCTGGTCGATAGAAAGGTCAGATTAAGCAGAGTATGCTGAGTCGATTCTGCGCACCACACCGGAGAACGTGGTACCTAGCGCGACATGAGCTATGAAGGACCCCCATATAGGACGCGGCTACGCACCAAAATCAATGGCGACGGACATCTTTCCCTCATCCATCGCCATGGAGGGTGTACTCATATGCGCGGCGGGCGGCGGCGAGGCGCCAGCGCGCACAACAGATAGAGGGCGCTGCAGATTGGGTGTTCCGGCCGAGCTGTATGGGGTGAACTGGCTCGCTGGCGGGGACATGGGCGGCGACATAGATGAATTCGAGAAGCCTGGAGGGGCGCCATACATGGAGGTATGACCATTGCTCGGGGTATACGGGCTCGTTGGCGGGGGCGACGGGGTATGAGCCCAGCCTTCTGGGGGAGGGGAATAGCCAGTGTTATTCGGTGGCGCACCGTACCCTCCATTCCCATTTTCGTATCCATTGTTTCCATTGAGCGTCGTTTGGCAGTATGCAGTAGGCGGGGACCCCAGGCTGGGGGGCTGGAACTGTGGTTTCTCGAGCGGGGGTAGCGCGCCTGGTTGCTGGTTCACGATCGGGGGCTTGGGCTTGGGATCGGAGTTGGTGGGTTGCCCAAGTTTCTCGTCGGGTTCGCCACAGCAGCCGCCCATGGTGTCTCAGCGTTCGAGGAGTAGGATAGGAGGGAGAGGGAAGATGGATGGGGGGAGGCAAGGTGGGGGAAGGCCATGCTCACTGTCCGCCACAGCGAGCGTGAAACAGACGTGGTACTCATCGCTTGATCGCGCCCTGGCGCTTGGCGGCGCCCTCGGGGATTGGGCGCTTATTCGTGCAAGTCCGAGTTGTAGGTTGGTTGTAGGTACCTCAGACACTGCATAGGTATCAGAGGCTTATGAGATAAATTAGATGCGAGTAGACACGCATAAGCGGTCAGGCGCACCAATCATTCAGCATACAATCAAGTTGAAGGATCAGAACATTGCTTCAGCAGATATGGTAGACAAGTGAGAACATATTCGGCAGCTTATAGCTTGAATTTGGATGCATTACTACGCGGACCGACGAGGGTGCTCAAGCGATAAGATGAACATGACGGTAAGCGCCAAGGGAGCAACACGAGAAAGGGCAATGTCCCAAAAAGGAAGGCTTTGTTGTTTTCGGATCAGTGCGGTCCTGCCGACCGCGGTACGAACCACGCGTGCAACGCTGAAGACACCGCGTATGTCCCTTGCTTTCACCTGGGAACCTTCACTCCGAGAACCTCGGGTTCCTCTATTTAGGGAGGGAATCTTAGCAGGCGGCACCGAGATCCCAAGTCCCGATGTCCAGCATTGTGAGAACCTAGGACACGCCGGTTTAACCACGGTTCTACACCGTCTCTTGCGGCGTCCTTGCGTATAGCAACGTGCTCGACCACGTTCGCGAGCGCGTACGTGAGGAGTCCGGCTTCCTTACTCACGAGCAATATATTCGCCAACGCCGCCAATAGTGCGTGGCGAGAGCGACTGCTGCGCGTACACGGCATCGGTCGTATTCGTTTGGACCATACCAGAGTAGCTGACCCTCTACTCCGCCGACACAATGCGCCAGCCCGCGTCCACCACCCCCACGCGGTCCTGGTCAATGGCGCGCAGCGGCGTATCTGTCTCTACGGTCAGTTCAATATATCCCGAGGGCGTATACACTCCCTGCATGTCTATTGACTAACCTCGCTCCCACCTATGATATGCCAAAGAAGTCCTTCCACCACGGCTTGTGGGTTCCCTTGACGCTGTTCTCGATGTTCACGAGCAGGTCGTCATACACCCGTGGCCGGGACGCCGGGTGCAGCATACGGTCGGAGAGTTTGTACTAGAAGCAATCGAATCAGCCCCATTCGCCTCCCATACCCATACGCCGACTCTCGAGCCTCGCGGGAGAAGATGAAAGACAAAAGAAGGAAATCATACCTTCTTGTACGCGACATTCTCCTGCAGCGCGCGCGCCGCGCTGACCGCCTCAGGCGTCAGGCGCGGATGCGTGGCGAGCGACCGGAGGAAAACCGAGAGCTGCAGGTGCGGGCGGAAAGGGTCCTGCACCCACTTGTTCGCAATCGCATTCAATTCCTGCGCAGCCTGCTTGCGAGCGGCGTACGCCATCGTGGTCGGTGCGAAAAGGAAGTCGTTGGAGGTGGGAAGTTTGGGATTACCCGTTTTGGGAATCTCGCGGCACCCGGAAGTTGCCGGATTCGCACATCCGCGTGGCGTCGGCGTGGTGCGAGCTGAACTTTACCGCTGGGTACCCGGTATCGGCTTGCTAAGGCCATTCAATTATGTTGCTCATCATCAAGATCTTCTTCTGGATCTGCGCTGATAATGGTGGAGACGATGAATCTGGAGTACATCCGAGATTCCCTCGCAATCGTACTAGTAGGTTTCGGTGCTCTTAATCGCCCACTCACTCCCCGACTGCGATGACGCAGAACTCAGACTTCGCTGTCCAGCGTCTTATTCCTAGTGGTTGCCACCTCTTTGGAGTGGCTACCTTCGGGCGTCTAGTCTCCCTCGTGCAGATCGCTGCATGTGGTAGAATTGCGTAGTATGAAGACAACACCCCTCTTTATTCTGCGCCACTTTCTTCGGCCGACGGAGAAAAGAGAGAGCAACGAACACTATCTCGTGGTGCGCGACGAACATCCTCTCACGGCGTACATGTCGAAAAGCGGACCCAGCATCCGCGGAAAGCGAACCGCGGTGATGGCCCCTCCCCCGAATTCCCAACATCAATCGCTCTCCTCCAACACCTCGTTCTCTCCCTTGCGCGCCTAGACCATCGCGTTAGTTATTTTTCTCTCCGGTCAGATCGGAAAGGAAAACGTACTTTTTCCACCAACTTCCTCCTCTTCTCCCTCGCCTTCCTCTGCACCTTAAGATACTTAACTAGCGGGCTCTCCTCCAGCTTCTTCTCCAGCTCTGTCTCCCACAGCGCCACCGCCTTCGTGTCTGCTGGCGCGAACGCGGCCGCCCGGCGCCGCTGCTCCACCCACTTCGCCCCCTCTTCGACGCGCTCGAGCAGCGTCTTCACCGAGCCAGCGTCCCGCGCGCCTTTGACCGCCTTGCGCAGGAGGACGATGACGGGCACGACGACCTCGGGGAACGCCGCGCTCGCGTGCACAGCGGGGCAGGCGAGCCACTCGCCGAGGAGGAAGGCGGCCTCATCGCGCACGCCCTCGGCGTAGACGCGCGTTTTTGCGTATTGCTGGGGCGCGCGGATCTGCAGTTCGAGGTCCAAGGGCCGGAGCGTGGACCTCTTGAGCTTCTCGGGCGAGAGCGTCGCGGTGAGGATGGGCACGAGGTGCGGGGAGAGGGGGATGTAGGTGCGCGTGTGCTTGGTGAGATGGAGGAGGGAGCGAATGAGGTGGAGATGGAAGGGGTGTGAGCGCGCGTTGTTCATGAGGCGGATCGCGCCGACGGCGACCTGCGTGAGTGGGTAGATCAGGGCGCGGAGCTCGCTCTCCCTTCCTGCCGCTTTTTCGGCGTCGGCGTCGCACGCCTTCGCGAGCACCAAGGCCCAGAAGTCGACGGAATGCACGTATTGCCAGTTGTACACCTGCTTGTACGCCTCCTTCGTCTTGACTTTCATGCTGTTGCGCAGGTGGATCGCGAGCTGGCGGATGTAGCTGAAGGCGTGCTGGTAGGCGGTGGCGTGGTCGAGGGTGAAGAGCTCGGACGCGGAGTTCTTCATGAGGGTGATGGAGGGGAGAGTGTAAGGGTTGGTGGACTTGCAGGACTTGACGAGCGACATGTAGGTGCCCTTCAGGATGCTGTCGAGGACGGCGTTGTCGGTGCCGGACGCGAGGTGGCGGATGGCGAGGAAGGCAGCAATGCGGACGCTATCCTCGCCGCTGGACCAGATTGCAAGGCATTTCTGGGGCAACTTTAGCAACGCAGACACAGGAAGGTTGAACTCCGTACCTTCAGATACAGCTTCACCGCCTTCCGGCTGCTGATTACATACGGAACGACCTTAGCCGTCTCCGTCAATGCCAGCTGCAGCATTTCGTTGTCCGTAATCTGATCCATCAGATGGATCGCGTTTAAGAAATAGGACAAGATGAGCTTTTGCAGGGCCTTGAACTTAGGCGTCTGCGTGGGTGGCTTGCTGAACGAGGATTAGCTGGCATCCACATAATTGTGGGGCATAGCGCTCACTATTTGCCATTGGCAAGGGTCTTGTATGGTACATGGTGGTTCAGTACGACAGGAGTATATCGCAAGGTCGTCACGACGAGCTTGTTGTAGACTAATATGGATCAGTAACGCATTCGTCAGAAGCAATGAGTGAACTTACCGCTCGCGCTGTCGATCGCCCACGCCACTACCTGATTATCCTCATTCATATGAGCCGCTGACCGGAATGCCAAATGTAATCTCCGCAGAGCGCGAATCGAGCGGTGCTATTGCCCAGTTAGCCACATGTTCCCTCACGTCTGCAAGTCCAAAACGCACCTGAAGGATCGCCTTCTGCCATCCTTTCAGGGTCTCCTTCGTCAGCGTTGGTACCTTGACCGCCTCCTCGTCCTCCCCTTCCATCATCACGTCCTCGTCATCGTTTTCGAGTGCGTCGGGGTTGAAGTCGAGGAGCTCCTGATCGTTCTCTTGCAAGTACTTAAAGAACTCCGGGTCCTTCTCGGCGAGCTTGGAGAGCTCGATGAGATGTTTCTTGCCTTCCTCTGTTGTGTATGTTCAGCTTGAAGGCACGTAGGGGAATGGGGGAATACGCACCATCGAGCGCGTCAACCGACGCGAAGGACGCGTTGTCGTCGATCTCGTCCTCGTCATCCGAGGCGTCTGACCCCGCATCCCCTTCCTCCATATCCTGCTCCACTAATCAGTCTATGCGTCCCACAATCCACTCGAACACCCACACACCTCATCATCATCGCTCCCCATGAACCCGCCTCCCAAAAAGTCGTCCACCGTCATCCCCTTGCCCTTTCCCCTCTCCTCCTCTCCCTCACTCGCGTCCTCCTCCTCCCTCTCCTCTTCATCATCGTCCTCCACCTCACCCCCTCCTTGCTTCCCCTTCCCCTTCGCGCCGCGCCTGCTCTCGAACCGCTTCTTGATCTCGCGGTGTTTCTTCCTGTCCTGGATCGTCTTCTTGAGCTTCCCGCTCGAGATGAACTTTTTCGTGGCCTTGGTTGCCTTTCCCATTGTCAAGGGCGAGTTAGTCGCGGTGCTCGGTGCACGCGGCGAAGGCGTAAGGCGGCAAAGTGAATGGGTGATCGGGGGAAGGAATGAGAAAATGCCCATATCTTGTCACGCGCGTGGCGCGGACGATCGGGCCGACGATGCATCAATACTTCCGTCCGGTCCATAGGTCTTTAGCGCCCGTTGTTGTTCTCGCTTTGGTATCTCCCTTCTCGCGTTTGTGTGCGACGGGGAGGAGGGCAGGGGGACCCGACTTAGTAGGGGAATATTTGGTCCACAGGTGGGGCATTTCTGACCGTTGTAGAGCCTGCTACAGTATTTGTGCCCAAAGCAATGCAATCAGACGCAGGAAGCTTGCGGTGCCAAGGGGCACGATTAGGGGCCGCATAGACAGAGAGAGCAGGTCTGTTGGTGCAAAAACGACCGGACACTGCGGATTAGACATGCACGATGAGATGCACAGCAGCATGAAATGGGGCAAAGTCTGGACCAGAATTATTACCCTGGGGCAATGGGGCAAGTACGATGGGGTCTGGGTCATGCAATCCACATAAGTAGCTGCCTTGAGTACCTGGAGATACTTTTGCCTGCTCTTCTCTCCTCTCTCTCACTCCTTGTTCCTTGGGGGGAATTTGCTAGCTACTTTCGAGGTTTCTGCTCAGGAATGCCCAGTCTCAACAGAGTAACACCACCAATATCCTGCAGACAATGTGAAGATCCTCTCGTCTTCCTTTCCAGCGTATGAATTTCGTCGAGGACATTTCTCGCGAGCGCGTGAGCATCCTAAACGGGCGTCAATGCAAGTGTGAGTCACCTACATCACCCGCGAAGCTTTTGGCGGGCGCCTATCTATGCTCATTCTCACGAATTCCATTTAGCTCTCAGCCGCCATTCTGTCATTACAGGACGTCAGAAGCTCATATCGCGACCACGACAAGGCGCACAGATTGACACTGCAGGTCCGCAGATTGGCTTCGGTGGGATCATGTGCCTCCGCAGTGAATAAATAATGAGTGACTTGCTGCAACTTTCACAATGCATCTCCGCTGCTCTTTCCACGCCAAAGGTGACCTCTCTCCTGCGCCTCCTCTCCCGGTCGACGGCCAAGACAACGATGAGGCGTGGGAAGATCACCCTGAAGCCTGCCATCATGTTGCTTTGTTCCCAAGTCGTACAAGTTGCTCTTCGTTGGACGACACCTTCCACAACCTTCCTCGCGAACGACTCCCTGGCTTTTAACCATGTCCTCTGCTCGCGAAGCCCGCGCGGTCAAGCGCCAGTCTGTACCCGATCCTTTCCCCGCCTCCCATAGGACTACGAAGGCCTCTGCATCGGTATCGGCGGGAGTCAAACGTCGACGCGAATTTTCGCCCGTGTCTATCAGCAGCGGCATGACGCTGGCAAGCGGCGCGTCGTCCTTAACAAACGACGCGTCTTCTTCGACTGGCGACGCTTCCACGCTCTCCCCTCTGTCGTCCCCCTCGTCCAGCAAGTGCTCCAGCCCCGCACCACAAGCGGCATGCGGGCGGTCGAAACATGCCACGCGGAAGGAGGCCGTCCTGAACACTCCCCTCCCATCGTACTTCCAAGTCGACGACCTGCAACTCAAGCCAAAGAAGGAGTTCAACCTCTTGTGGTACTGGCTGGCCGAGCGGCAAGACATTTATGACCGCCGGCGACAAGGCCTGCCTCGAGAGTGCGTCGACCTGTTCTGTTCATCATACCCTACAACTACTAACTTTAATCCCCAAGTGAATGGACCGACGACCCGATTCTGCAGCACGGCTGGTTCTGCAACGCGTACCGGATCCTCGACCGCGAATGCCAGTTCCTCGTGCGCGAGGTCATCGAAAAAGGATCGCAAGAGCCCGCCGAAATTTGCTTCCGTGTCCTGCTATACGATATCTTCACCCGCTCGACCACCTACCAGCTCCTCGCCGAACACTTCGCGCCCCTCAGCATCAAGACCTTTGACCCTATAGCCTTCGCCGAATACCTACGCGGCCGCGAAGGGCTCTACACTCATGCCTTCCAAAAGACCTCCGCGCCCGACAAATCCCGCCCACACCTCCCGCGACTCGACGCGCACCTCGAGGAGCTGGAAAAGTGGATAAAGGACGGCGTCCCGAACCGGATCGCGAACCGGGAGAAGGTGACGGACGTGTTCGACTACTTCTTCGGGCAGCCCGGCTGGGCGGAGTTCAAGGCATACCAGCTCACGCTCAACCTGTCGTACACGCCGCTCGTCAACTTCCACGCGAACGACCTCGTCGTGCCGGGCCCGGGCGCGCGCGCGGGGCTCAAGCGCATGTTCGGCGCGTCGATGGATGCGGCGGTGCGCGACGACCCGCGCGCGTATATGCGCGCACTGCTGTGGATGACGCGCACGCAGGACGAGCACTTCCAACGGCTGGGCCTGCGGTTCTCGCGCTTGCAGGGCCGGCCGCTGGAGGCGGCGGACATCGAGCACGCGGTATGCGAGCTCGAGAAGTATGCGAGGAATGGGTCGAGGATGCGGGTGTATAAGCCGGCCTCGAACCATCCACCTCCGCTGCCACCACCTGTGCTACCCAAGGCTTGGAATCATCCTGCTCGAGCGAAGCCTAACCCTTCCTGGCCGGATACGAGCAAGGACAACAAGGGCTACTTCATCGAGGCCATCGTTGATGACAAGGTCGAAGACGGCGAGCAATGGGTCTACATTAAATGGCTCAACTACTCGACGAAGGCGAATACCTGGGAGCCGGCGTGGAGCGTCTGGCACGACGCTCCTCTCGCCATGGAGGAGTATTTCGGACACAAGGCGCCTGCACCGAAGACGAAGTCGAGGAAGCGTCGTCGGCGATTTTATTGAGGCTGGCATGTAGATGCGTCTCGATTGCGCGACTGGTCACTACTGAGCATCTGTATAAGCTGCTATCTTTATGATTCTGCACGACGGTGCAATATTTCGCAGTTATAGTGAAGGCCCGAGACGTGATTTATCTTTTGGCTCGTCCACACGCAGCAAGGGTGGCCTGTACTTACCTTCGTAAAGTGAGCCCTTGAGACAGCTTGTCTATCACTTTGCTCGTTGGCAGCGCTTTGTTGACCTCGACATTATCTTCACATCGCCACAACGGCTTACGTACATCGGACCGCGTCGCGCGTGATCGCATCCCTCCTGAGCTCCCCCGTCATCACGGCGCCGAGCCTCATCGACACCAAGCACTCTCTGAGACGACCACCATCCCTGACACGTCGACGAGGACGTCAAAGCTAGCCTCACAACGTTGCTAGCTGCCCTCAATACGACTGCTTGACCACGACAACCAACCCCCTCACGACTAACGACTAACGCACATCCATCCACCATGGCGCCGCCAACCACCGAACAGAACTTCCGTGCCAACCTATCGCAATTCAGATGGGCGCGCAGCGCCAATGACGACTCTGCGCAAGCCGCACAACCGCAGGCGGCAGCGAACCCGTTCTCGCGGTTCTACCAGACGATCGCGAGCGACTACATCCCGCTACGCTCGAGCGAGCGGTCAAATGAGGACGAGGCGTGGTTCGCGCTGTCGCGGTGGGAGAGGTGCGTACCTGATTATGCGTCGCGCCCGGGGGGTCGCGGTGCTGGACTCGAGGAAGCACTGGATGGAGCCTTGACGGTGCTGGCGGCGGGGAAGGATATGGGAGCTGACGTACACCCGCAGATTACTAGGATTTGGTGGCTGCTTGATCGGTGCGGCAGTCTGCTTCTTTGTATCTTTCATGACCTTGCCATTGTTGGCCGTAAGGTGCGTGATCGACATCCTTTCCCTGATTCTGTACCCTTACCGTATCCCAGACCAGCGAAGTTCGCCCTCGCTTTCAGGTGAGAGCGAGAATGATCATCCACTTCCAGCGCTAGCTCACTGCAGGCGCTCCCCTTGAAGCTTGGGATCCGTCCTTGTGATGTTTGGGTGCGTTATACCAGCTCCGCCCCTCGTACAGATCCTGACACCTACCATTCAGGTTCTCCGTCCTCATCGGTCCTATAAACCACATCAAGCACCTCATTTCAACCGAGCGCCTCCCCTTCTCCCTCGTCTACTTTGGCAGTCTCGGCCTCACATTGTACTTTTCGTTGGGGGTGAGTTAACCGCATCCTGCTCCTGCGTTTCCATTTACCCCTCCGTTGTCACGTTCCCTCTCTCTCTCTGCTATCAGAACTCTCCCATGCATAACATCGACGTCCAATTATCTGATTACCCGACTTGAATTCACGCTAATGCTTCACCCACCAGGCCCATTCCTACATCGGCTCGCTCGTCAGCGCGATCATACAAGTCGTCGCGCTCGTCTCCTACGTGCTCGCCTACTTCCCCGGTGGTACGCAAACGCTACGGATGGGTGGCTCACTTGCGTTGAGGGGCGCGGGAAGCTTGTTGCCGAGGTGATGGATGTCAACAAGGCAACGATGGAGGCGCTGCTATGGACGAGGAGGCGCACGCGAAGGAGGAAAATGCTCTGCGGGAAGGGGAAGGGCACGTACCTACCCTTCAAGGCACAAGCTTTGGCTAAGTTTTCCCAGCACCTCAGACGACGTGGAGATTCGCCCATTGACGATGTGTTGCTTATTCTGAGTGTACATTCATTGCAAACTGGACGGAAGTGCTGGTCATATATATTTTTATGCACGGTTCTCATGTCAGTTCACGATAGTCAGATGCTGCACCTCGAGGTCCGAATTTTCATCTCCTTATCGCTTACGCCTTGCAGATTCTATTTTGGTCGAGCACGGGCAGCGCAGTGAACCCCCTACAGACTACAGTCCTCGAATTGTTCGCTTTCAAAGGCGGCACGTGATGTCCTCCAAATTAGGCAAGTCGACGGTTGAACTCACCATTCCGACTGCTGACGCCTCCTCCACGTCCCAGGGTGCCATTCAATCTCATATTCTTCAACTCAAAAGCGCTTCTAAATGTCCTGAACTACTTTGAGGCTGCAACTCACACCAAAGTCTCCTCAAAATCAATATCCGCATGGACCGGAATATCCCAGATAGGGGCTATTCCCCGATAGGGCAGGTGCTCAGCGCGCTTGCTCAGCTTTTGCCCTCAGGCTGGCAACGACCAGTCAGCGAGCGTCAGAGGGAGGGGCTGCTACAGCTGCGGGAATGTTCCGTCATTGAGTGGGAAGGGTATAAAAGGGGTGGCTGGTGGAGGGGAGAGGCAGTCTTCATCCCACCCCCTCCCACTTCTCATCGCATCGTACGTTCCTTGTCCTCTCTGTTGCACTTCTACCTCTTCTGACATGTCCATGCAGCAACTTTGATACTGCCACTATGCCCGTCGCCCACATCATCACGTTCAAGTTGAAGGAGGACGTCGATCTCCCAGCGGCGCGCAAGTTGTTCGAGCGCGTGTACGAGTTCAAGGTGGGTCATTGTAGACCTCGACCTCTCTCTCTCTTTTGCGTAACTTTATCGCCAATGCTGTCACCTACCATGTCTGCGCTTACAGCGAGCCATTCATCATGCTCGAACAGCATTCTCCTTTGCTTCTGTCGTCCACCGCGCGTCTGCACCCACCCATCGCGTGCCCATCCATTATTCCGCACTCTTCCTATCATGATGCTACTCGCGTCCTCACATGCTCACCTCTTTCCTTTCATCCAGGAAATATGCAAAAAGCCCGACGGCACGACGTACGTCAAGGCGATACGTGGCGGCAAACAGGTGAGTGCGCGACGACCGACCTGACCGCAGGCCTGACAACGAGCTTTCTCAGGTCACAGAGGGTCTTCTTGGGCAGCTCGCCAAGGGCTGGGAGTACGCGTTCCTATTCGCGTTCGAGGTAAGTAAATGTTCTGTTGCGTCCTCTTTCCTCATTGCACTCTCATCTTCGTTACACTGGATCATATCCCTTCATATGGTTGCATATTTCGTTCGTGCTGTACATATCTGACCCCTTCTTCACGCAGTTTACGACCGACCTGGAGTATTTCCTCCTCAAGGATCCTGAGCACCAGAAGTTCGCGGTACGTCGCTTCTAACGGCGATAGCTCAGTACGCAACTAAAGCGAATTCGTACAGGCAGACTTCCGGCCGCTCCTGGCGGACGCGATCGCGTTGACATTCGAAGATCGGGCGTTTGAGTGATCGAGGATACATGGTCAGGGATGGCATGCGAAAGCTTCTCGCGTACGACGTCCAGGATATACAAAGTCAATATTATGAGCAGTGCGAAGGTCACTTCATACTACCATCTGTCGCAATTGACGCTGAGTCATGGGGGCCTCACAAATTTACACAAGAAATATCGAGATGGAAACACGTCGAACTCTATATTATGACCGGCACGCTACAGTAACTTGAAGAAAAGGGTGTTGTCGCTTGATCAATCAAGCACGAAAGTCGACGAGCAACGGCATCGTCTTGCCTTCCTTGATGGAGGCGTCACGGCTAGCTCTGGCGGCCACCTTCAAAGAAGGAAGCAGCGACGCCTCCGTCGCGATGGGCACATTGGCCCACCCCTTTGGCATAAGGGTGTACTGAATAACTTCCATCACCCAGGACCTGCAGTTCCAGTCCTTGGTCCTGACCTGCGGCACATGATTGCTCTCGATAAGCTGCGGGAGACCAAGTTAGCTGAGCCGTTACACGGATACAGCGGAAGAAAGGTCGGACGCACCGTGTTGAGCTTCTCGACGTCCTTGCCCTTGATGCTGCCAATGATGACGCCGCCAAGGCACTTCGAAGACGCGTTCAGCTCGACTTCGCTGCGGTGGTGCATCGACCAGACGATCCCGCGTCCGTCAGAGTATACGCGGTTGATGACCTGCCACACCGCGCCGACGATAGTGCCGGATTTGTTCGAGGACACGGCGACGATCGCCCAGTGTAGCTCATCCTCGGTGCCCACGCCGAACTCGTCGCGCTTGTACTGAACGACGACGAGGGGGAGGTCGGACTTGCCGCCAAAGAGCTTCGAGAGGGAGTCCATCGTTGGTGATTCGGTGTTGGAGGTGGTGTTGGCTGGTGTAGCGGGCTGCAGCTGGGCAGAGCGGTGGAGGATAGAGAGACGGACATCGGACAGGTTCTTATACCTGCAGAGCTAGCTGCTAGCCGAGCCTGTCTTCCTGCAAAAGTCCTGGATGAAGCCACCCGACCGCCGTTTGTCGAGCAGGCCCGACAAGCGAACTTCACACTCCGACATCCCATCCCGACGCACATACGTCGTCTTAGCGAGCTGCTGCAAACGGTGCTGGTAGTTTGTGCGTGGCTAAATTGGCAAGAAATCAGCATAATTACATTCCAGATAGTAGGCATGAAAGACCCACTTGTTTGCTCTGTACGTATGAACATATCTGTTGAAAGCTGTCGTTTAGCACAGGACAAACATGGATGAAAGACTGTACCAATCATAGCGCTTGGAAACTCGCGAATCGGGCAATAATTCCCTTGGCAGCCCCGCCGTTCATTTTTTCGAATCGTGTTAGAGCTTTGTTCAAGAGCCACGCGCTATTCTCCGCACCGATTCGCGAGTGGCCGACCATCGTCAGCAGTCAATTCATTGCATGGCGACGCGAGGCCAGCGCGACAGAAATCATAGCGGCGATTGTTGCGCGCTCTTATGAGTTGCAGGTCTGCGAAGGGATCTGCAACCTTTGCGATTTCGGACAGAGCCAGACACGTGGGAGCTTCCATACATATTGCCCAAGGAATACCGGACTTTGCATAAGGTGTATGTTTGTCGCTGAGGAGAACGATGAGGGTGGATGAGCCGAAGGCCCACACGGGATTCTCTGGGTATGTCGACGTAGCGTCGCATTCTTGTTGACTAAGAGAGAATGCTAGCGGCGCTCTTGGTCTTCTACGGAGTTCGCCAGGTCTCCGGGAGAGGACGATGTGCCGCTTGTCGTCGAGTAATGTTGACGGTTCAGAAGGAGTAGCGGGCGGGCTGTTCCGGTCCGAGTGCGATGAATCGCCACTTGCTCCGAGTTCGAACCTTCCGTGCGCTATCTTTGCGCGACGATCGTCCTTGGTGCCGCCTTCGCCATTTGCGGATGCTTCAGTGGTAGTCGAAATAATTCATAAGAGACGTAATGGACAACAACGCAATCGAAACAAGGACTATCGAGTCTCCGGACTAAGTCATTGGCGCAGTAGCTCGCCCATCAAGCTATAATGCGCCTTCAGCCACCTGCATAGTACACCAGCATCAGCAACAGAATACTCGTATTGGTAGCAAATAGCCCACCGGAAGTTGCGGAACCACACACGGCGCCGCCAGCTTGTTCTCCTTGCGGGCTTTCACGGTCTTCGGCGCCGCGATCTTGAGCGACGGAAGCAACGACTGGTGCGTTGAGATACCTCCGTCCGCCCACCCATTGGGCACGAGAATGTCCTTGATAACTTCCAAGACCCAGTCTCTGCAGTTCCAACCTTCGAACTTGGACACGGGCTGTACATTAGCGTGGATGAGCTGCGAAGATATGAATGAGCCACCGGTGTCTTCCTCAACCACGGTAGCCTATAACGACTTCGGCGCACCTTGTTCAGCTTCTTGACGTCCTGACCCTTCAGCTGGCCAATATACACGCCACCCAGACACCTGGCGTCCTTGTTGAGCTGAACGTCCGACGAGTAGTGCAGCTCCCACACGATTGGGTTGGGACGCCCATCGCTGTAATGGCGGTCAATGGCCTGCCACGACGCATAGCCCTTGATGTCATTATCACTGCTGTGGACGGCGACGATGGCCCAGTGCAGCTCCTCCTCGTGCCCGACGCTGAAGTCCGCGCGTTCGTACTGCATGACGGCGAGCGAAAATGTCGAGAAAATCTTGCTCAAGGGGATGCTCATGATGATCCGTGGTAAGGGGCACCCTCGAGGGGCGGAAACTAGCAGGAGTCACGCGAGGCGCTATGTCGCCTCCATTGTTCTGGACAAGGTGTTCCGGCAATTACCGACTCCGCCTGCGCATTGTTCGTGGTCACTGGTCACGTCACACTAGTAGGCGCGCCTTTTTGCGTCTATACAAGATGGCTACTATAGTGCATATCTTTGTTAGCGGGGTGACGATCCTGAGGGGTGCCTCAGACGCACTGCTGCTCTCCTATGTGTCGAGCTGCTCAGGCAGGCTTGTCCCTGGTCCGCATCCTCAGCCTACTCTTCCGCATCCTCGGGAGCATGGTCTGGAATTTTCAGCCCCTTCTGCCGCGCCTTCTCCCGCCAACGCGCGTTCTGGACCTCGAAGTGCTCGAGGCGGTTGCGCTGTAAGACCGGCACGTACTTGGCGGTCATCATCTTGCGATGAGTGCCGCCACCAAGGGGAATGAAGACGTTCCGAGGGATAGCGTCTCTCACAGCGGCAGCGGTCTTGTCGTCAGCTTCTGTCGTCGGCGCTGTGTGTTCCAACGGGACGACAGCACGCAGCTGCGGCCCTGGCAGGACACGGCTGAGCACCGTCTGATTCGGCTCTGGCCCGTGCTTCAGCAGCCTGCCCGCATCGACAAAGTGCTGCCACAGCGTCGTCTGTATGAGCGAGCGCTCCGCGGTCGAGTCTAGTATGCCATCGAGTGCGGGTCGCGCGTCTCCGGCTGCCATTTGACCGCGCCCTCGGGGTAGCCGCAGTCCCAGAGAGTGAGCGGCAGTGCGTCCGCCATCATGTACTCTGGGCGGCACTCGACGACGGGCAGCGGTTCTGCAGGTGGCGGGCCTGCTGTCGGCTCCACGCCGGGAGCAACGTTCATGAGCGACGGCAGCAGCGTCGGCGGCTCGAGGCGCGCGCCGATAGACAGCAGCACGCCCATGATATTGCGCACCATGTGGTAGAGGAAGGACGAGCCCTTCAGGTCGAAGACGTGCATGCCGCCAGGATTGCTCGCGTCGACATGCGAGATGCTGGCGTGCAGGATGTCGCGGCGGAACTGGTCGAGCTGCTTTGTGGGGTCGATCTTGCAGAGGTTGCGAAATTCGTGCGTGCCGGGGAGGTACGCGCACGCGGCGCGCATCGCGGGGATGTCGAGCCCGACGGGGGGGAAGAAGTACTTGTAGTGTCTCCAGGTGCAGGAGTAGCGCGAGGAGAAGGAGAGATCGACGGGGGACCAGGCGAGGATTTTGATGGGGTCGGGGAGGTGGCGATTGATCATGTATGTGAAGGGGTGCTCGTGGCCTTTGCGGGTGGGTGTGCGAGGGTACCGATGTCCTCAGTGTCGAGGCCGGGGAGGAAGTCGTCTTCTGAGGCGTCTACGGACGTTGACTGGGATGTGGGTTCTGGTGGCGCAGATTCGATCGGCGGGGGGACGACCGGCAGAAGCTCCTCCTGCGAGAGCGCGCTACGTACCCAGAGCGAGATGACCTGGCCCGCTGCGCTGACCCCTCGATCTGTCCTCCCACACCGCTCCCAGCCGCAACCCTCCAATCCCCCCTTCGGATCGACGAGGCGAGCGCGTACAAGCGCGCCGAATAGCTTCCCCTCCACCGTCGGCAGCGGCGTCCGGTCCTTTTGGATTGCTAACCCTCCGTAGTCCCAGCCCCCGTAGCAGAATTTGAGCGCGATTTTGCGACGCGGCGCATTCGCCCAGTCGATAGTGTCGTCTTGAGTGCGGCCCTTGCCCTTCGAGGAGGGTTTGCTACTGCCGTGGCCCTCAAGCTGAACGAGGCGGCTTATGAGCTCCTCCTTCGTCCAGGTGTCGTAGTCTGCCTCGGACATGAGTATTTGGGTTTGCCGCTTGTTGAGCAATGTTGTATAGCGTCTGTTGAGGAGTACTGTAAGGCGGAGGGAACTCGGTCGGATGATCGGAAGCATGCCATGGCAGAGCATGCAACTGCGCGTCTACTGACCAAAGGCACGACAAGTTTGCTAGCCAGATGCTCTATGGTTTCTATTTGATCGCTTGGTCGCGTAGACTGAGATTGAATTCGTCCGATGCGCGATTTGGCAGGAAGAGGGATGAGAAGAGCGTGAACATCAGATCAGCACTACTTTTAGCGCCAAGCATCACATTGATTGTTGAAGTCACTCGATGCACCGTGGTCCACCCGCGAGATTGTGCCCTTTCACGTCAAGATTCAACGCAGTCTTCCTCTCCAGGGGTTTAGAGTGACTTCTTCCTTACATCTACACTGACACATACAACATCGAGACGCCCACCACACATACAGCCGCCCACACCAGCTCACCACCCCCTACCCTCCCCACCGCCCCGTCCGTTACACTCCCATGCGACGTACTCCCCAGCCACCCTCGCTCTGTCCCATTCATCCCGTTCGCCGTCGCCAGCACGCTCGGGTCCACCGTGGCCGTGTTCAGCGTCTTCGTCTGCGCGGTCGTCGCAAACGTGCGCGTCGCCGCGTCCTTGTCGGCGACGTCGGCGTCGTCCTCCAGGAAGACCAATGCGAAGCCGGGCGCGGGGACGTGGACGGCGCACCCACCGTCGGAGCAGGCGACGGTCTGCACGTCAAGGTCGCCGCGGAGGATGCCGTCGACTTCGAATTGGTTGCCGAAGGTCTGGGATGGTGGGCGGGTATCGTCAGCGAGCTGCGCCGTTGATGGGACCGCCTTTCCCCTTGAGTGTGAGCACTGTACTCACTTGCCCAGCATACTTGAAGTCCTTGATCGCCGCGACGCCTCCCTCACCACCCTGCAGGTACTTCACCTTCGCACTCCCTGGCAACCCGTCCGCGCGAATTGTTGCGGTATAGTCGTTCCCCCCGTTGGCATCCGTCACGTAGTTGAATAGCGCCACACGAGCCAGCTTCCCGTTCTCATATACCGCGTACTGAGGGGTGTAGATATTGCCATTATTGCCTTGAAGGTCGACAACCTGGGAATCGTAAGCGTGCTAAGCTAGAGAAGAGCACAGAGAGGACAAGAGAAAGGGAACAGGCTGACCTGCGCAGTCCCGGTTGACCCTAATGCTTCAGAGAGGATGAGCGCGCTGTAGAAGATGGAGCCGAGCGTAAATTCCGAGTACGCGCTGCGGGCGCCGGGGGGTGCTGAGCAGAAGAAGGCTCAGCACAAGCATCATGCTCCAAAGGCGGCCTAGCGTACCGGTGAAGGGCTGGAAAAAGGGGATCATCAGACCATGTACATAGTACAGAGACACATAGGAGAGTCACGCACGTTGTAGAACACGTTCTGCCCACCGACGTGGAGCATACCTCCCGAGAAGTTGCTGTACGCCAGTTGAAATCCATAATCCAACGCCCACAGCGCCGCGCCGTAGCTGTTGGAGATGCCCGGGAAGCCACCTAAGGTGCACTTTCGCATCAGCATCTTATATCCGCTCTATACGCCTCCTGCATCCTCATCTTTTCGTTGCGCCGCCTTCCCCATTCTTTCACTAGCCCAAGTCTCGCGCGCCTGCCCGCGACAGCACGATAGAGAGGAAAAAGAAAACACAGAAAAGAAAAAATCCACCCTTCACTCACCACAACTCGCCGTATTCGTCTCCAGCATATAGAACGGCAGCCCCGCCCCCTGCGCGAGCGCGCTCGAGTTCAGGTACGGTTGAAGTAGAGAGACGGGCGCGGTGTGGTTGAGGAAGAGCGGGAATTCGTCCTGGGGGTGGGGTCAGAATTTTGAGCCTACCCGGGTGGGTGTACCGTCATGGTGCTCTCCGGCGAGGGGCAGGAGCGGCAACGCGGGCGATGTGGAATGAAAGGGCTGACAGAACCGGACAACCCGACGCACCTGGTTGACCTTGGGCGATCCGTTGGCGCCGTACATCGCGAAGCAGTTGTTGTCCGGGTAGCTGGGGAGGGGAATTGAGACTCGTCCGAAGATCAGAGGAAGTCGGCCGCTCACTGCTCTACTGCCAGAATGCCGAGTCGGTCTTTATGCCGGTCCAAAAATCCGGTATCCCACACGTCCTCCGGCCGCCAGTCGCCCGTGGCGACACTGGGTCCTATCAGGGTACCTTGGTACTTAGGCCTCGCGCACAGTCAGAAAGCTACTCACCTATCAGATATTTGTCCGTGCGAATCCCCGCAGCGTCGAGCGCGTCGCCGCAAGATGCAAACTCGTCCGAGTATGTCGCGGGCGTGTAGGTGTCGGGGCGGTGGCCGTGGCTGGGAGTGTGACGTTAGCGATCGCATGCGAGTCATCAGCATTGGTTGTGCGCGTGTCATCAGCATCAGTTGTGCGCAGGTCATCAACGTCGGCTGGGTGCCAGTTGGCGCGCGGCAAGGTCAACATGGCATTGGGCGATTTCTCGAGGGAATGAGATAGTAAGGAGGATAGAAAAACAGCGAAAAAAAACATCGACCAACACCGAAAAGAAAAACCATCAACTCACGCCACATACAGATCCGGCTCGTTGCCAATCTGAAGCGCGAGGAGCTTGTCGCCAAGGATCTGCGTCCCGTACTGGGCGATCTCGAGCCGCCAGTCGGTCTCATTGAAGGGGACGCCTGGGAGGGGTGATTAGAGTTGTTTCTCTTTCTCCTCTTTTGGGATTGTGAGGAGGAGGATAGTGGGGTCAAAGTAAGATGCAGCGGGGAAAGGGGAGAAAAAGGGAAAGTGAAAGTGAAAGGGGAAGGGGAAGGGGAAGGGGAAGGGGAAGTGAAAGTGAAAGGGGAAGGGGAAGGGGAAGGGGAAGTGAAAGTGAAAGGGAAAGCGGAACCGGAAGGGAGAGTGAAAAGGACACAGGAGAAGGAAGAAAACCCACCAAGAACCCAGCGGACATCGACCAAGGAAGACACGTTGGACATAAGATAGAAGAGGTCCATGGTGTATATTACGGCGGGTGTTTCTGTCTGAGAGCCGTAAGTAAACTGAGAACGGATTATGCCCCGGAAGGTGGCGAACTTCCTCGCCAAGAGATTGAATTCGGAAAAGTGCAGCCGAACACTCACCGGATTGTTCGACTCGGCCTTTTGCTTCGAGACTGCCTTGCCGTCACCCAAGTCGTCGACCATGAAAGCGAACTCCTGCGTGTTTCCGCCTAGGCGGATGCGCACTGGACCGCCGCGCTCGACAAGGGTCTGCATTAGGTTTAGGAACGGCGGCTGCAGATGCGTCGAGTTGCGGCCGACTGTGGGGAGAGGGTCAGTGTCTTCCTTTCCTTCCTTCTTCCTTCCAAGACGAAAGGAGACGACACGATACTCACTGACTTGATTGATCACGGACATTTCGATAGAAAAACCCCATAGGTTGCCATATGTTTGCGGGATACCGAGGCCGAACACGCCGTCACTAGAGGACTGCAGCTCGAGCGTGAAGTCATTGGTCGGCTCGTTTGGTGGCGCAGGCGCTGCCAGCGTGGAGGTGTTGTATGCCGCGTAGGTCGTCGCAGTCGCCGTACCAGTGACAGACGCGCCGTAGGGTTGCTGGTTGTATACTGTGACGGCGCCGACGCAGTCCAGTCCGAGGATGAGTAGCAGCAAGATCAGAATCCGGAAACGTAGAGCGAAGGTCGTCATCAGGGCCGAAGATGGGACGCAAACGAAGGACCGCATCCTAACGAGTCGGCCTCAGGGGAGGCTTAAGGACTCTGCAGCTCCTCGCAGATGGTGGGGGTATATGGAAGAAAGAAATCCGAGAGCGACGGAAGGAAAACGGAAGGCCAAGTTGAACTTTTGATCGGAGCAGCGGCGCGGCAGTTGCCAGGCGCGCGGGCCGCGGGCCGATGTTCATTGAGACTCGCGCTCTTCCACACTCCCCACGTGCGGGACGCATAGAGGCTCTCGCGCCCTCACATCGCATATATGCCTCCCCGCGCGGCAGCGAATGGGCGTGGCGTGTATGGTGCGCACTCGAGCTCGAACGGCGCGCGCGCCAGCTCGAGCACAAATGGTGCAGTGAACGCGAATGGCGCGACGAAGCCCCCCATGGACGCGGTCGAGCACGAGCTGCTCCGCCGGCTGCTTGCGTCGCCTGAGTGGGGCGCGATCCGCGCGGCGCTACATGCAAGGCTGAACGAGGCGGGATGGGTCGACGAGCTGTACATCAGGGGCACCGCGCGTACGGCGAACTCGCTCACGAGCGTGACGGTGCAGGATCTGCTGGACCATTTGGGGCCACATGCGCATGGTGAGTGTTAGTGGTCGCGAGGGGACGGCGAGGGGATGAGTAAAGGAGGAAACAGATGAGGAGGGGGACCGGGCAGGATGACAAGGCTAACGAGTTCTTGCAGCTGCTGTGCCGGCGCATGTGAAGCAGGAGATTATGGGCATGATCAGGGCCTTCCTCGATCGGCAAGTCGCTTCATAGGACGCCGCGGGCCGCCCCTCAGGACGACCCATACCACATCACTTGCTATACCCCGGCCCTCGCCACCATCCATCATACCCAACCTCTGCTCTACCCTCACGGAGCACGCGTACACTCAGGAAACAACTTGACGTCCTCTGCTATGAACACACCGTACAGCCGCTCAATCCAGCACCGTAGAGCCTCCTTTCTGAACACAACGTAAAAGGCTATCTGAACAGCATCTCTTGAAGTTCATGTACATGTTCTACGATCATCTCATCATCCTATCAATGCACGGGCTCCTACGTCATCTAGCACTTGCCCTTTCTGCTTGCACTTGCCCTTTGAGAACGCTGATGTCTCAGGCATGCATATATGCACAGTAAAAGTGCTAACCGGAATTACTACCTGTGGTACGCAGTCTGGTGGCGCGAGCTAGTCTCGTAAAGCGGCCTTCAGTCTCGTCAACCTGCCTTCAGAGAGCTTCGCGTGTCTGGCGGGCATGGTACTTGTGTGGACCGGACATCCATCGCTGACCAAAGGATTATAGTCCGAGACCAACTGCAGACTGGGTGCGTCCTGGCGCCTCGTTTGCGTCGGCCACCGGTACCGCGCAGTGGCAGGCAGCACGGCGGGAGGAGTGAGATAGGCCTCGGTCGGCTTGGGGCAGGATAAATCTCCACCTTTGTAGAGGCAGTCTCTGGTATGCTAGTATGCACATTGAGGATGCCGGTGCCACCGTACCTCCGTTTGCGCGCCCATGGCTGATGCTGTGTATGCTCGAGCCATACTTGAGCAATCTCTCTGCCACTCGACGTCGACAAAATTTGTAGCAACCCCCGCCTTAGTACCCACCGGCACCTACAGGGAGGACAAAGCAAGGACCCCTATTCTTCCGTCAAGTCAGCCTGTCGTCCGTCAAGTCAGCCTGTCGTCCGTCAAGTTAGCCTGTCGTCCGCCAAGTTAGCCTGTCTTCCGTCCAGTTAGCCTCTCGCCCGTTCCACGCAAGTCAAACAAAGCCAGTCGCCCGTTCACACATGGACCAAGCCAGAGACGAGAGAAAAGAGTTCATGTGGTATAAAGTACATTGTCCCCGGACCTAGTAACTCGAACAGAGCAGGACCTAACTGAGTAACTCGAACGGAGCAGCAAAGAAGAACAGCAGCAGAAAGCGGTATCCAAACCAAATTAGAAGGTATATAGGCTCGTCAAGTTAGAATACGCGCCCGTCAAGCGAGTACGCGCGCCCGTCAAGCGTGTACTCTTCGCCACCAACACAGTCACCCAATCATCGGCAAGCAGGGGGACACGCAAGCTGGCGAGAGCAGGTGTTAGCAGGCAAGACTGCGCAGATCACTCCGCCACCGGCGACGGCACGGGCGGGATCGCGCTCAGGCGGTTCGACCGCTGGCTCTGCGAGGGCCGGTTCAGCCGGTGCGCCTTCGACGCCTGCCGCTGCTGCTCCTGCTCGGCCTGCATGTGCATGATCTGCAGCTGCTGGGCGATGAAGTCGGAGGTGCCGGGTCTGCGGGTGGGGTCAGTGTGAGTCTTGGGCGGGGAGGGTGGTCCGGGAGGTCGCATGCGCAAGGATGGATCGCATGCGCAACGATAGATTGCATGAAGGTCGAACGCATCAAGGCGGGACGCAAGAAGGCGGAACGTCATGAGAGAAGAAAACACTCGAAGCGCAGAGAAAACACTTGAAACGAGGAGAAAACACGAAGGCAAACAACATACCGCATCCGCAATATTCGCATGATGACCTCCCCGTTGTTGATCTCCTTCTCCGACCGCTTCTCCTTCTTGCGCTCCTTAATCGTGCCGAGGTTACGCTGGTTGTACACGCTCTTGGCTTTCTTCTTCATCGTGCCCGACGAGCGCAGGCTCTGCGACATCATGCGCACGCACTCCTCCATGAGCGCGTCGCTGGATTAACGTCAGTACGTAGTTCAATTGTGCAAACACTCCACATACCTATGCCAGTCGTAGTACAGCCGGATCGACACGATGCTGTGGTACTTCTGGTTCTGCAGCTCTTCCAGTGGCACCGGACCCTCGCCGCCCGCGTAGAAGTAGTCACGCAAGAACTACACCTCATCAGCACCGCTATCGAAACAAATCTATACTCAAAAACCCACCTTCAACCATTTGAACACGATATCCACCTCCTTGTCGCTCAACGGCTTCATATCGCTCGTCGCATCCGACAGCGGCGGGATCAGCAGGCCCTCGATCACCGTCAGCACCTCCTTCCACACGCGCGTCATCACCATCTCCTTCGCCGTGTCGCTCAGGTACGTGTTCAGCGTCTGCAGGTTCGCATCGAAGTAGTCGAACAGCGGGAGGATCGCTTGCTCGATCTCGACGTCCGTGAGGTCCTCGGGCCGTATGCGCGGCTTCTCGGACTGAGGGAGGGGGATCTGCGGCTCGTTGGATGAAGAGCCGATGGCGGAGCGGTAGAGCGCGGTGACGTTGCCGAGGGCCTTGTTGTAGTCGAGGGTGGAGTTGCCCTTGATCAGTGTCCTGAGCACGTTCCGTGAGAGGCATTGGCGGATGAAGGGAGACATCTATGCGGGTGGTCAGTACGGGGACCAAGCCATCACGTCAATCGAGCATCACCTTGTCGATGAATATCCTCAACATGTCTGCCTCGGCACGCTTCAACGAACGGAAAGCACGGCCGAAGTAGAACTGGATATCGTCCTTCTCGCCTTCCATACTGACGCGGACGAGGATTCGGCCTTGCGAGTCGAGATCCATCCAGAGGTCGTGCGCGAGGAAGTCGCCGAACCGCCGAGGATCCAAGCAGAGGTATGCGCGGCCTATGGTGTCGTGCTTCCCAACGAGTGCCCGGTCGCGAACACTGACCATGAGCCACAGCGCTTTGTCGACCGAAATATCGAAAGTCTCGTCCCCTGTAACGAAGTCAGCATACTCCTCCAGAACCTGCAAGAAACACATACACCGCGGGTTCAAGCTCTCATAGATCGTCCTCGTCTTTGCCACCCGGTTGCCCGCCTCATCGCTCAACGTTACGAACGTGTCCAGCTTCGACGACGGGCTGCTATCCAGCGGCACCAGCCCCTCCGCAATCACCACCTTCACCGTGAACAGGAACCGCTCGCGCTCCGTCTTCTCCGGCACCGGCGGCGCAAGCTCGCGCAGCGTGTCCGCGACGTTGTCCGCCTGCATCTGGTCGTACATCTTGTCCAACAGCCGGCGCGCGGCCTCGATGTTGTTGAGCTTGACGCAGGACTGCGGCTGGAAGTTGTACGGCTCGACGCGCTTCTCGCCCTGGATGGCGAGCTGGCGCGCTTTTTCGAGCCAGGCGGAGGACTTTTGCGGTTGGAGGTAGTCGTTAGGGCGAGGGAACATTTCGGTGAGGAAGAGCGCTTCGACACTGCGGCAGTACTGTTCTACGGCCTTCGAAACGGTCTGGGAAGCTTGTGAGCACGGGCTGGAACCCAGCTTGATTGGCATGTACCTTGGACAATGCGGTGAAGAATCTCGCATTCTGGTACTCGTCTTCCCATTCGAGATCCTGCAAGAAGTCTATAGGACTGCGCAAGGAGTCGAAGAGATCCACGATTGAGGAGCTATGCCCTTCTGTGCTTTCGGACTCGAACTAAAGAGCGAAGTTAAAAACCTATGAGCAGCAGCTAACAACTATGCACTCGCCTTATCCTGAGCGATGGCAGCCTCCACCCATTGGCTCGTCTTCGCGTCCGTGTTCGCAAGCCATTGCCGAACATAGGGCTCGAAGAAGTTTGCCAAGTCAAAGCTGATTTGACCTCTGCGAATGGAAGTCAGACTAAAAGGGAACGTAACGGCAGACGAGTACTCACTGTGGTACGAAAGCCTTGTACATGCCCAACAACATCTTCGTTCTTCTGTAAAGCGCGAAGATGTCCTGGATAGGTACGTCCGGTGTTGGCCCGTTCATCGATGCCTCGAATAGGTACTTCTGGTTCTGCTGCAACTCGCCCACGAACATGGGTATCAGTTCGCCGACGACGAGCGACACAAGGTCGAGTTGCCTGAAGAAACCATGAGTGTCTAGTGTGCAAGACGAAAGACTATGCGCGAACCCTAATATTGGCTCTGGGAACCGCTTGTCCAGTAACTTCGCGTGCTTCTCGATATCGTCCGTCATCAGCAATAATGGCAGTGCGCGGTTGACACCAGGCTCTTTGTGGAACTCTGCCATCTTGTACGTGTAGTAATCCTGCGAGGCTTGTCGCACACGATCTCGGATGTCCTCCATCCGCGCATTCACGTCGACCTCGAAGCGTTCGAGGAGCCCGCTCTCCTGTAGCTGCTCGAGCACGGCGATGAAAGGGGCAATATCGGACTTCTTCAGGTCGGGAAGAGCGTCCATTGCGTGGTAGACGGACGACAGGAAGATGTTGAAAAGGCTTCCGTAGACGCTGGTGAGGTATTCCATCTGCGTGAATGATCAGACATGGAACAGGGAATATCCTGGACGGGCATACGTACGTCCTGCAATGGCCACTTCTCGAACTCGATCTCGTGCATTACTCGCTGTACGTTCTGCAGCGCCTCTGGTACACACTCCATGGGTATATCATTCCGCTCGTACAACTGCCGCACCAAGTCCAAAAAGCACGCCACCCGATACGGCTGCCCAATCCGCCACCGTAGCGCGCACTCGTTGATGAGCTCGATATGCGGCGCGGACAGAATCCCTAGCGACACCTCGTCATTATCGTCCACCTCCGGGCTCATCATGCGTTCAAGGTCCGCCATAAGGCATGTCTCGAGCAGCTTCTTGTAGTACTTCTTCGGATTGGGCGGGATGTATGTGAAGTTGTGCCCGACCTGGATATCATCGTCATCGTCGGCACCGAGGTCATCGTAAGATCCTTCTTGCTGCTCGAGCGCGTAGAGGGATCTTCGGCTGCCGACGGAGGCTTGGCGAGAATCTGTGTACACGGAGCCGGGTCGCGTTGTTTGGAGGACCTCGGAGGGGGTAGATTTCGCGAGTTCGGGGTTGAATTGGACCATGGCGACCATGAGTTGCTGGATGTGCGAGGTCTCGAGGGTTCGCCAGTGATGCCATGCCGCCTCGCTGGCGAAGTCCTCTTCGCGGCCTGGGAATGGAGCACCAGCATTGATGTTCTTCAAGCACGTCTGAATGTGGTGTTAGCGCGCTGTTAGATCCAAAATATTTCTTCGGCACTAACCTTCAGGTCGGTGAGAGCAGCCTTCTCCGTGCAGATACTTCGGAGCTTGTCGACCTCTTTCTGAACAGCAGATTCTGGCACCTTGAATACGGACGCTACTGTCTTCACAAGGTCCATATCGCCGACGCTTTGGCTGATGCCGGGCGCAACGTACGAATCGCGCTGCGACCCCGAGTCGTATCCAGAGTCCGTGGAGGGTACGGATGCAGCAGGGGCCAGTTTCGCCGTGTACATTTCTAGCCGGGAGAGTAGCTCAGGGGATACATGGTTTAGGTTCTTCAGGCAGCTATGGAGGAGATGCACAAATTGCGCAATCTGCTTGTTGAGTTCGATCTTCCAGCCGTCACCTGCGAGCGTCGGCTCCTTCTTGAGGACGCCTGTTGCGTGGGTCGCGAACATGAGGATAAGCTCTTCGATCTTGCGGTTCTCCTTCATTTGACGCTTGAAGCTGTCGACCATGAACTGGGTATAGAATTTGGCCATGGTGCGGCGCACGAGCTGGTCCGAGTATCTATGATGAGGGTTAGAACAAGTCGGCTGCGCACAGCATGCCACGCACGTCGGATCTTTGCCCATAGCGATGTTCTGCAGCTTGTTCTCCAGGACCTTGAGCATCTTCTCGGGAAACTTGACGCTCTTGGGCCCATCTCGCACGTCCTTGAACAGGTCGGAGATTGAGAAATTGGAGAGTGCGGATAGTCGAAGGGAGTGTTCCCTTTCACGCTCGCGGTCCTTGTCCTTGCCCTCTGGCGCAGTGACCTCGGGCTTGGGGAGCGTCAAGTACGCGAGGATGCTGTGGCGCGCGCAATATCAGATGGGTGTACATGGCGATCGACGGGGACCCTTACGCGACTCGCAGTACATATCTAGGCGGTAGGTCAGAGGAGTATTAAGGGCAGGCCACGTCCACGCACTCGAAGAGGTCATCCTCCGTGATGCGATGCTTCGAAATTCTCCTCTCGTGCGAAAGGCTGGAGTAGCTGCCTACGCTTGCTACGCTTCGCCTTGACATGAGCGACCGGTCCCTGAGTGTTGGATATGGTGGGGGGTATAGCGTCTGGTGAGTTCCGTGTCCGATGTGGGTTGCGAGCGCGTGCGTTCTTGCCAGACCGTCAGTGAGATAATCAGGCGCCGAAACGCTGCGCTCGCACCAGTGCACTCTCGAGAAGTAACTGCCTCTCGCCGGTATGTGGTATTTCCTTCCCCTCGCTGTTCGAGATGGCCTGACGAGAGCGATCTCAGGGATTGCGGCAGTTGCTGCCTCGGTGGACTTGAAGGAAGAGTCTGACGACGAGACTTGTACGTTTCCGGACCCGCTGCCGTCTTTGGACGGATCTTCGACTTCAGGTTCTCCGCCCTCACAGATTTAACTCTGCAAGTATACAAATCGAAGAAAGACAAGTCGGGAGGAGAAACAGTGCTTAGCTCGCCGCAGAGGCGAATGGGGAGCCAGGAGCAAGCGATGGTATGGGCGCAGATGGGTGCTGCGGTAATCGCCGGAGCACGTGAAATTGACCACGTGCTAATTGTTCGACTTCGCAAGTTAAAGTTCGTCGACCGGGAAGTGAGACATTCGGTACCCTTGACGCCGGCGCCCTAGTCATAACAAGGGACGAAGATATATCCAGTGACGAAGTTCTATTGGTCTAGGTATAACGAAGGTGAGATCCATTAGTAGTATATGTCGCGGGCAGCGACCACGTCCTTTCGAGAAGGAACCCATTAGTGATAAATACCCCAACCACGCTGCGCCGGCTCTGGCAGGCGCCGCAGACCCGATCAGATAAATAGAGTGAAGGCTCTCTAACGGCCCTCGGTAACTTTTTGAGCACGTAAAGCATCCAGTGGGATGGCGCGCTCAAGGCGACCAGCAGCCTGGGCCTGAGCCGTCTAAGTAGTTTGACCACATCTTGACAGCTGGAGACGCGGGAACACAGCGCTTAACGCGGGTGTCCTTGTGGAGGTCACTCTTCCGCCCGTCTATGTCCTCGACGGCATCGTACACGAGCACACGAAGGATTTCGAGGCGGGCGCAGGTTTCGATGGCCGTGCTGATCGCCTCCGGGTACGGCCCGTCCTGACCCCAGAACAGATTGACCTGTGGGAGGTGAGTGATGCGAAGCGACGGGGACGTGATGAATGTACCTGGGTGAGGGCTGGAAGCGCCGTGAGGTCGGCGAGCGCAGGCGGGGTATCCCAGTAGACGAGCTCGAGGTGTTTGAGGGTGGACGGCCACGAGCACGCGGAGACGGCCATTTGCCGATCGGTGGCCGGTGCTGAGGTGGGGGTGGACACGCTGTCGTCCCGTGCGCGGCAGAGGGGCGAGAGGACGGTGTTGAAGGTGCCAAGCTCGATGTTGAGGCTGCGGAGGGGCATGCGGTGGAGGAAGGGAACGATCGCCTCGCGGTCGTCGAACTTGACCCAGCACGCCAAGTGCTGCACGCCGGAGCAGATGGCGAGCACGCGCGTGGCGATCTCAGGGCCGACGGCGCAGGTGACGCAGAGGCTCTTGACCGTGCGCGCGAAGAACGCAGGCGGCTTCATGTCCAGCGTGCGCAGGAACTTTTGCACGCGCCCGAGGTTCACGACATGCCGCGCGGAGGAGTCGAGGACGACGGTGGAGTAAATGAGGGGATTGATGCTAGGGCGCGCGATGGGGTTCAGCTAGGTTGGCGAGATGCTACGTGGGCCACTCACACGTTGTGCACTCGTCGCGAGACGAGGGTGAGGGAAAGAGCGTCGCTGGGAACGATGATAGCCGCCCACGACAAAATTTCGTCCTCGAGCTCTGCAGGGAGCCAGACCGGAGCGAGCGTGTCAACTTCCATTGTCGGCGCTTCCTGGGGAATGTGGTCAAGAGCAAGAGGGAATGGCTATCAGAGAACCCCTCGCGGTCTCTTCGGAATCTTGCATATCGTGCGGCGGGGGGCCAATCAAAATGCATGGACCGGGCGACGGCGGGCCGGGGCAAACTATCCGCTCCGCCTCCGTTACGACCTCGATCATAGCCTGATTGCTTTCCCTGGCGTCCAGGCAGCCAAGGATCACTCTGAGAATGCCTCAGAAATTTGCATCAAGCGCCAATCTAGCTGAATTTGGTCAGTGATTTTTAGTGGAAAAAAGGGGGTAAGGGGACTTACATACAAGGATGTGTGGGCGTACATGCGACATGGAAGGTCCATATGCGGCCCATATCATCTGCATCAAAGCCGGTCGTAACAAGGGGCCTCGGGACGGACGAAAACCACCCCTCAAATGGTGCGATAACTCGCCAAGGGCCAACGCATCAGACGGCCTAAGTATACAAGCAGGGAGTTCGACATCTACTCAGCGGAGAGTCCTCTCCGAGGTCCAGCGCCTGTGTGTGTGTGTGTCGTTTTCCAGTATATTCACAACTTATGCGCGCGCAATATGGCGAGGAAGTAGCGTATGAAACGAAGAAAGAGGGGAACCGAAAACTTGAACAGCGATACACGTGACTGTGATCGCTGATCTCGGCAACAGCCGCGCTTTATGGCCGCCCTCGGGTACCCTCGGTTTTCGTTTCTCTTGCTAGCACCTCGAACATTTATTATACGTAGTTCATATCTGATCCATTTAGCCGCTCTGCGGGTGTTCACTCATAAGTCTGGAGCTCTGGTACCCGTCTACTGTGCCCCCTTCTTTTCCAAAAACGGCTTCAGGACCTTCTCCGTGAACTCATTCACCGTGCCCACTTCCGCACCCAGGGACAAGAGACGAGGATCAGGGCACGGCTTCCCCGCGTACCTGTCGTACTCGGCGTTGAAGTCGAACTATCGAGGGTGTCGTGAGCTCTGATTTATTCGTCGAGAATAGAAGCAAGATGGCTGAACATGGAAATAAGGGGACCTACCATTTCATCCAGCGCCGGGAAACCCATCTTCTCCACCTGCTTGATCGTAACGGGCTTCTCGAGGGCTAGATAGTGTGGTCAGTGAGAATGACAGCCACCGCCAGATAGGAATACACACCCTTCGAAATCTCCGCCACAATCTCCTCGAGCGTCGCGCGTCCATGACCCAGGATGTAGTTCTGGCCGTTGATGTCGTCGAGCTGCATAGGCTAGTCAGTATCTAGAGTAATGTCCAAACAGATCCTTGCGGGCTCGAAGGCCTCCTACCTTGTCCTTGTAGTTCCTCATCAGTGCTGCCACCGCGCTCCCCATCTCCTTGCCGATACAGCAGACGGTGTTTGTAGCGGTGAGCGAGGAGGGCGTGTCGACGTGGTAGCCAGTGGTGATGGGCCTGAGGGGCATGCTGGGAAAGAGAGAAGTTGAAAAAATAATGAGGCATGGGGGGTCAATCTCGAGCGGAGAAAGCAGGGCAAACCGCGGAAGGGACGGAAAGAGGAGGACAGGAATATTTACTCACGTCGTCAAGAAGTTCTCCAAGAAGAAGCCCGTCATGATGCTGGCGTTCGCCACGTCAGAGGCCTTCAGGTACTTCTCGACGGCCGCCTTGTCCTCGAAGTGCTGTACTTGGGTGTACTTCCCGCCAGAGATCTCTTTGATGCTGGGGAGGGAGCTACGTGGGGCGAGGGTGAGCGGTGTCTATTCATTGACGAAAGGGAATTAAGACGACGGACAGCGTGAAGGACGAAAGGGAGAGGAGCAGGCAAGAGGAATCTGCGTACCTCCACACGAAGAACTTAACGCCCGCCTCCTTGCTCGCGTCGACCATGTTCGTGCCCTGCTGCAGCTCGGGCACGGGGGTGAGGGGACGGTGACCTATGAGAATGGCATCGTTGGTTTCAGTGCATGAGCTTTGCAACAGGAAAACGCCGACCCCGAACACACACTCCGCGCCCTGGACGGCGCGCCTCACGGCTTCCTTGTCCGCCGCGTTCGCCTCGACAACCTCACAGCCGCGCGCTTCGAGGGCCTTCGCAGCGGCTGAGCTTGCGTCGCGCGTGACGGCGCGCGGGGTGAAGATATCGTCGGCGAGAAGGGCGTCGATTACTGAGCCGCCTGGAAATGGTGAATAAGTACGAGTACGTGCAGGGGACGAAGGAGGCAAAGCTGCAAGACAGTGAAGGGCAGGTGTAGTATAAGCAGAGAGAGCAACACACCTTGTTGGCCAGTAGCACCAAATATAGTAGCGATGCGACGAGGAGAAGACATGATTAAAGATTCACCCGAAGAGTAGTGGTAATGGGTCTGTCTGGTTCTGGTCCATAGGCAAAGGCGCTCAAGGTCTTTTATATATGAGAGTGAACCTATTCCCAAGGCTGAGAGGGCCACATATTCCTCGGGTGGCGGATGAAAAGGCGGCTCGAGCGGCTAAAGTATATCCGCTGCCACTTTAGAGGCGCTAGGGCATTGATTCCATAGGTATTCAATGGGCCCTCTATCGTGGAATTTGGTGAGCGGGAAAGCGGCACAGGGTGACGCAGGACTTCGGCAGACGGTCGTGATCAGTCCTCTGTGATCTCAGCTGAGCATGGATTGATATTTCAAGGCGTGGGTGATTCGGGGGCTTTGAGGCCACGCGAGGGTTAAAAGCGAGTTCAAGTTGAACTTTCCGGAACACTCGGAATTTGTGACACGTGTCATCAAATTACCAAATAAGGCAGGTTTTCTGACACTTCTTCGGTGCCTGTACCCGGGCCGGCACGTCCCGTTGCGCGCCACCACGTCGCTGCTCGCCTCTTGCGCTCACGGACGGTTCCCTTCCCCCTTCTTCACCTGTCCCACTCGAATGTCTGTCTCTGCTGCCTGTAATACTCTCAGAAAACCCACTCAAGACGTACCTTGGGACATCGTAGTAGAGATACTTCTGCACGCAGCATATGCGGACTTCCAGCATGCATTACAACTCGTCTACGTGTCGAAGGACGTTCAGAGACTGTCAGTCCATTGCGAACCTTGATACTGCTCGCTCACCCTCCCTAAAAACAGCATAGAACCCATCATATACAACAGCGTCGTGCTCGACCACCCCGTCCGCGATGCCCTCTACGCGCGCGTCAAGTCCTTCATGATCGCCCTCGACTCCAAGCCCGCCACCTTCTTCACCCGTGCGGTCAAGAACCTCTACATTCACTCTATTGTCCCGTCCGCCGACGCCGTCCGCATCCTCGCCGCCTGCACCGGCGTCGTCAACCTCGTCTGCTGGAAGGACTGGCGCATCCGCCTCGCGCCGCTCGTCCGCGCCATGCCCCTCCGCAGCCTCACGACGCACTTCGTCGGTTTCTCATCCTGTCTGCCGCAAGGCGCCGACCCTGCCTCCCGCCCCGCTTGGTGCGGCACGCTCGAGTACCTCGAGGTCGCGTACTGGGGCTCCGCGCCGCTCGACACGCTCCCCCTCCCCGACCTCGAGCCCCTGGGCGCGCTGCGCGAGCTGAACGTGCGCGGGTTCAGCCGCCCGTCGCCGCGCGTGATGGACGTGCTGCTGTCGCCGCCGCGGCTGCAGTGCCTGCGCGTGATGCTGCTGCAGCTGCCGGACATACACACCGCGGGGAAGGTGAAGTACTTGGCGAGCCGGGCGCACGAAGGGGCATCGCTGTGGAAGAATTACGTGGAGGGGGCGTATCCCCATTGCTGGAGCTTGTAATAGCGGTTGCAGCGGAGACGTGTTGCCTGCAGGCGTGATAGCGCCTCAGGTGTCGCGCTACCCGATGAGACTTTGGACTTGCCGCCCCTCGATGATGCATAGACTACGGATAGAGCTAGAAAGTGCCCCTATATGTATGCGTGACTAGACCTACATCGTTTAAATAATACCTTAGCTTGAGCTTGACGACCCTTGAGTGGCGAAGATGTAGAGAGCAGTGGTGCAAGTCAGTTCCATTGCACCGGCGACGGTAAGTCATATGCTACACAGATTCGTAGTCGTAAGTAGGTAATACAACAGGGAGCCCGCGCAGCGGGTTCCCCAGACGAGGCCCGCGTAGCAGGTCCATCCATATTATGTAGTCTCCCAGGCCAGGAGAGATGCCCGTGATAGCGTAGTCTTGTCCATAATACCCGTCAGAAATGCGTATACTCCGTTCCCTCTATGTGAGTGGCGAGTCCTCGGTGTGTGGCGTGTGTCTTCTTGTCTTCAGTGTTGATGGCGTGTGGTCGTTGTCGGTCGCGGACACTCCATATCGACGAAGGCGATATGTAGCGGAGGGGTGGCGTCTAGCGCGCCCCTCTACTTGCTCGCCGCGTTGAGCTTGGCCGCGTACCGCGGGAGCGTCTCCATCGGCTTCGTGATGAGGTAGCCCTTGAGGCCCGCCGCCTTCTCGCCCTGGCGGCCGAAGCCGAAGCCCGCCTTCGAGGCCGGGTCGGGCTGCTGGGTCGGCTTCTCGAAGGTGGTGTAGGTGTTCGGGCCCGCCCTGGTCTTCTCCCCGAGCGAGCTCGCGCCGTAGCCCTTCTCGCCACCGTACTTGCCCGTCTCGCCACCGAACTTGCCCGCCCACGCGTTGCTCTTCTCCGCCCACGCGTTCGCGACGAAGGACGGCGGCTTGATGTTCGAGACGTCGACGGGCCCGACGTGCGTGGGGAGCGAGGCCTTGGCGTGCTCGCGCCAGCAGAAGATGGAGCGCTTCGACTTGGCGCCCGCGCGGAAGATAAGGCCGGCGAGGATGTTGAGGATGCCGATGGAGAAGAGGAAGAAGGCGGAAACGAGCGTGAAGTCGTCGATGTGGTGCGAGAGGATGGAGGCGCCGAGGCTGGGGAGGAGAGGTTAGTATGGGGCGCTGAGTGGCGAGGTAGCACACAACAAGGGAGGGGGGGGGGGGACAGGGAGTGCGGGAGAAGGAAAAGAAGAGGGAAAAGAGATACGCACAGACACTGTATGACACCCAGCGCTCCGAGGCCGAAGTCGTCGCCCAGGATAGGGAAGAAGCGGTTGAAGAAGGCCATGGGCCAACCGAGCTCGGAGAGGAGGAGAACGATGACCTGGAAGAGGATGAAGAGCCGGTTGAGCACCGCCCAGAAGATGCCAGCAGCCTGGTTGGGAACGGTGCTCCCTCTACGAGCATCTCCGTCAGCGCCCGATCGCAAGTGCAAGACCAAGGCCCACGCACTCGATGTAGTCCCCGTTCAGATAGTCCGTCATTGTCGAGTTCATGGAGCTGCTGTCCGAGTCATCGGCGGCCTTGCCGGCGGCGGTGAAGCGGTTGACGGCCTCGATGTCATGGACGAGGGTCTCGATGTTGCTCGCAAAGACCAGCAGCAGCGCGATGATGCTGAGGGTCCGGACGATGTTCAGGCCAATGAAGAGGTCTGTGCCACGCGTCAGAGATTGCCGTGGCCACTGAGGGTGTACTCACATGCGCGAGGAGGCAACATCTTGCGTGAGGTTCGTGGAAGTGTGGATGGGTACGCTCGATCGTATAGGTTGGTTGACAAGAGCGTGAAAGGGCCGATACTACTCGAGTATCGCGCTATCGGGCGTCAAAGGAATGCGTGCGCAGCACGAGGGGGCGTAAGAGAGCGTGAACGTGAAGAAAGGCGCGTGGCCTGGTAGGAAAAGAGGAAGGAGAAGAAAGGCGCAGCGCGCGCGGCGGCGGGGTCGTGGTGGTGGTCGGGGACAAAGGACGGTCTGCGTTTTTATCGATTCTGCTCCTCATTTTGATGACACGACCATTTTCAGGGGTTGCCATGGGATTGGTGCATTGCCCGCCGGGACCGTGCATGATGCTCATTGTTGGACAAAAAGGGAACAATAAGCGCGTGTGCACCGCCACCGGGAAGGCCGGCCGACCTGTCACAAATGGTGACGTGTGACTGATCCCTCCGTTCCGTGGCTTGTCCGCGACGACGGTGTCGTTCCGCTGACGCCTAGCTGCTTGCGTTGCGCGGACCTCGGTCCTCTGAAGACTGAAGAACACTGCTTACCTCGGTGACAAGGTGAGTGAGCAATGGCCAATCCCTCCCGTGATGCAGAACTTCGTATCAACTTCATGCACAAGCCGAGCGAGGTGCGTTTATACGCGACCTTGCCTTGATCCCGAGTCTTTTACTCCATATCTTCTCTCTGATCCATCCCTACTATCTCGCCCATATATGCACCGTACTCACAAACCCAACAGATTGTAGAAAACCTGCAACATGCCAGCCGAAAGATAAGACTGTTATATTAGTCTTCATACCCAGTCCCTTACCCCAGTATCACCTCCTTCGCAATATTACTTCGATTCCACTCTCGACCATTATGGGAACCCATCATTGCGCCATCTGCCTCCTTGAATCGACCTCAGAACCTATGTGAATCCTGTTGACTCGAGTATGTAAAGACACGCTGTGATCACAATAACGACGCCAATCTGGGACCCTACCGGTCTGAAAAGCCATTCATAGTTGCCTTCAGCGCACTATCGGAAGGCTCTTCGACACGGCGGAACTCTTTTTGACCTGAGAACCGCGCAAGTGTTATTGTGCCCATTCTTGGGCATATTTACTGTTTGTCGAAGCTTGCTCCAAAGAGGTTCTGGCCGTACGCCCGCGAAATTCCTTCGAGGTGGCCCCTATCGCATACATGCACGACTTTCAAACCATCCATTCTATCATTTTTGGGATCGTACAATTATTAGACATGTTGTACAACGTTACATTCCTTTCTTCTTTTACTCTCCGGCCCAGTCTATGTAGAGGTAAAGTACAAGCGTCCAAAGGATCAGGCACTTAGAGCGCGCCGTCTTGCTTCGCCGCTTAGAGCGCGCCGTCCTGCTTCGCCGCGTAGACGAGCAGGTCGCAGACACGGCGGGAGTAGCCCCACTCGTTGTCGTACCAGGCAATGAGCTTCACGAAGCTCTTGCTGATCGCGATGCCGGCCTTGGAGTCGAAGATGGACGACTCGTTCGCGCCGGTGAAGTCGGTCGAGACGACGGACTCGTCGGTGAAGCCGAGGATGCCCTTGAGCGGGCCCTCGGACGCCTCCTTGACGGTCGCGACGATCTCGTCGTACGACGCCTCCTTCTCGAGGCGGACGACGAGGTCGACGACGGAGACGTCGAGGGTCGGGACACGGAAGGCGAGGCCGCTGTGGGGAAGAGATTAGGAGGCCGCTAAGGAGATCTGGACAGATCAGACGTACGTGAGGCGCCCGTTGAGCGAGGGGATGACCTTGCCGACGGCCTTAGCGGCACCAGTCGACGAGGGGATGATGTTGTTGTTGACCGAGCGGCCACCGCGCCAGTCCTTGTGCGACGGGCCGTCGACGGTCTTCTGGGTCGCGGTCGTGGCGTGCACGGTGGTCATGAGACCCTCCGCGATGCCGTACTTGTCGTGGATGACCTTCGCGAGCGGCGCCAGGCAGTTGGTCGTGCAGGACGCGTTCGAGATGACCTGGTACTTCGAGTCGTACTTGTCGAGGTTGACGCCGACGACGAACATCGGGGCGTCGGCGGAGGGCGCCGAGATGACGACCTTCTTCGCGCCGCCCTGCAAGTGCAGGGACGCCTTCTCGACGGTGGTGAAGACACCCTACGAGAGAGGTTAGGAAGTGCGGGAAATGGGAGCGCATATATGACGTACGGTGGACTCGACGATGTAGTCGGCGCCAGCAGAGCCCCACTTGATGTCGGCGGGGTTCTTCTCAGCGAAGACGGTGATGGCATGGCCGTCGACGACGAGCTTGCCGTCCTTCACCTCGACGGTGCCCTTGTAGCGGCCGTGGACGGTGTCGTACTTGAACATGTAGACCATGTAGTCAAGGGCGATGAACGGGCTAGATCGCGTCAGACTTGAAGATGGAAACTGAGCTCGCTGCACTCACTCGTTGATGGCGACGACCTCGATGTTGCCCAGCTGAAGGGCATTACGGAGAACGATACGGCCAATGCGACCTGCGGAGGGAGTCAGGGCGAGATCTGCGCCAATCTGGGCCGTACGCACCGAACCCGTTAATTCCAACCTTCACGGCCTATCGCGAGCAGATGTCAGCGTCCTGCGAGCTCGCCGTCGCGCGCGGTGCTCACCATTATTGTGTGATGGGATGCGATGGGAGAGGGAAGTGCTCTGGATGGGAGTGCTGGAGAAAGAGGGAGACGGCGGGCGGCGCGCCTTTTATACCCACGCCCGAAAGATCCGATCGATACTGACAAAACGGGATGAACACATCGGCGGCGGCCTGGACTGCGCGCCATCTGCAAATGCCCAGCCAGTCCCGTCGGGCGCCACCACCAGCCCTGGTCGAGTCCCCCTCGAGGGCGACGCTCTATTCTATCCATGCGCGCAATTGCAGGTGCGCGGTCGAAGAACAGTCCTTCGCAGTCCTTCTCGCACCTGGGCTGCGACCCTGTCTACCTCTCATCCTAACCCCTCCGCGGCTTCGCAGTACAGTTACTAATCTCACACCGAAGAGGCTCTCGCGCCACCCTCCGATCCCGAGCACGTTCCTTACATGCCACAGCGTCAGAATTGAACACAATGCACGTCAGCTGCGACCCCCAGAGCACTGGGCCGTCCGCGATGGTGTTCCCCTTTCTAACCAAACTCTTCCGAGTCGCCTCCCAGTTCCGTTCGTAGATACACACCCGCTCGCCCGACGGGGCGCGGCGGGGCCGCCTTATTTTGGGTCCCGACCCGCGCGGGATAGGCTGGGTGGCGCGCGCTCGGTCGTCGACCGCAACGGCCGCCCTGCGCGCGCCTGCCACCACAGACTCGCCTCCGGGGCCCAGGCCTGCGCGACCGCCCCTCGAACGTGGACTGCCGCAGCGCACACGGGCAACAGATCGACGGCCTTCGACGGCGCGCCGAGCCTGATGACGGTGCTTTGAATTGCGCGGACCCAAAATGGGAGCTCTGAAATGCATCTTTTCTGCGTATACTTTCCGAGAAGGGAACCTACTCGGTCATCGATGAGTTGCGATGAAGTCAACTATTTGTCGGGGTCCACCCGTCCTGACCCATCCCACTGCGAAGACGAGGACACGATCGGCGTCACAGGTTGCGGACAGGACGAGAATCGGTGTCATGAGTGCCTAGAGAATAAAGGAGAGCGTCTCTTCCTGGTTCGCGGGTTCTTCCAAGCAATCCTCGAGGTGCAGGAAGCCAACCTCGAGGGTCGCGAAGCTACATCCCAACGCTCACGGGGGCTATTGCTTTGTTGCTCGCGGTGCTGCCAAGGCTAGCTTGGATCAAACTTGGACGACGAAAGGTAGACCTAAGCGTGATGGCAGAGGGCTTCCTGCGACCCTGCGGAGGCGTAACTACGACGAGTCCCCTATAGTGCCGCTTCTTATCAACTGACCGCTATCCTCCGCACGGATCCCATACTGCCAACCTGTTCGTCGCCCGTCGTACGAGGTGACGGGGGACTGATAGATGTCTATCGCCACCACCGCTCTCGATAGCTACCACGCACGTATCTAAGCCCAAGATTGGCCTTCTTTACGCTTAATCAAAGCTTCCCAGGTTCTCCGGATGTTCTGGAAATTGCACGATGGGCTAGCGATGGGATATACATGCTCAAAAGCTTGTTATGGTCTGTGTGCCCCTATGGGCGTACACCACGTGATCTCAATATCACGCGATTCGGCTCCGGAAGTTCAACTTCCCGTTCGGGTCTCCGCATGTCCTTTCCTCCTTCCTACTCTGCCCGCCTCTCCTCTTCGTCCCGCGCCGCCCTCGTATCTGCTTCAAGGCTGCCCCTTTGCTCGGCCTGTCCTGGCTCATCGTTCTGCTCCTCGCCAAGAATTGCCTATCGTTCCGTCTTGTCCTCATCGACATCGCGAAATTGTCAGTGGCATAAAGCGTTGGATTGCATAAGGTCAGGACATAGATCGATCGACAGCCAATAACAGTACAGCGCATATGTAAAAGAATAAATATGGTACAGATATCGGGGAGATTTAGAGGATAGAGGTAAGGACATCGACAGGACCAGGAGAAAGGGGAACATCGAGGTAGCGACACTGATCGGGGAACGACAATGGCCAGGACACGGAAGCCTATCGACATAGAAATGAGGGTCATCGACATCCCAGTCCCAAGATACGTCTCCGACATCATGCAAGGGCGCATATCGCCCAAGTCACTACTCGTCAGTCAGTCCGCAAAGGAAGCGCAAAACAAGGTATATAGATTTCTGGTCTGAAAGTATTCTCATAGCAAGAGCAAGTGGACAAGTGGACAGCGAGGGCACAGCGAAGAGTCCGATGCGATGGTACGTGAGGCGGTCTTGTAGTCAATTGGCGACTGGCCTGTTGGCCAATGGGTGTCTGGCCTGGTGGCCAATACTTGATTGACTGGTAGGCCGATGCGATGCGGGTGTCGTGTCCGACGTTGTTGGTCGATTGGTGTCGTTAGACGTTGTTGAGATGCGTTTTCGACATTGGGAGAGTAATGGTGTCGTTTGGACGTTAGAGCAATGGTGGTATCGTGGTCGACATTGTGGACAATGGGGAGCCGTGAGGCGTCAAGAGGCGTGCGTATCTGCAATGAGTATCGTGCGCGTACACTGAGTACGCGCGAGGTATGGGGGGCTTGAGGTTGATAGGATCGTGCCGTCGAGTGGGTGTTAGCGAGGCGTCGAGTGAATGTTGGCGAGGCGTCGACGGGCCAAAGGAGCATGGCAGACACGGCCCTTACGCCGGCACCGGCGCCCTCCTCGGCGTAATCGTCTTATTCTCCTTCTCCTCCGCCTCAGACGATTCCGAGATCGAGCTCACGCTCGCGCTCAGCTTGCTCGCCAACGTCTTCGTCGGCCCCGTCGACGAGGGCGCCCTCCGATGAGCAGGCACCACCGACGGCGACGGCTTCCCCGCAGTCGAACGCGCCAGGGCAGATGTCCGCGGCGCGGGCGTCGGCGTGCTCGCGAACGACGCGCGCGGCTTGGCAGCGGGCGCACCCACTCGGGAAGTCGTCGCGTTTGTCGGCCGCGTCGTCTTGGAGAGGGCTGAGACGCTGCGCGGGCCGGTGCTGATGCTCTCCGTCGAGCCCTTGCGATCATGGGCGGAGGTTGCGGAGCTGGCGTCTGACATGGCGGAGGGCGGGCGCGAGATCGTAGGTGTGGTGAATATGGACGACTCGCGTCTGTGGGTACCAGTCTTGGCAGGTGTCGGGGCACCGACGGAGGTGCGCGAGCTTGCACGACGCTTAACCTGGCAAAAGTCAGTATCGCAAATCGACGACGCGACAGACCGGTGCTTACCATGTCCACCTCCTGCTGCTTCGCCTCGAGGGCAATATTGAGGCTCTTGATCTCCTCCTTATCATCCCCGTGCTGCTTCGCCATCTGCACGAGCTTCATCTCCTTGTCCGCGCTGTCGCGCTGCAAATCCTGCACGTGCCGGCGCAGCTTCTCCAGCTCATCCTGCAGCTTCGCCAACCGGTCCTTCGTCGAGCTGACCTCGATGTCCGCCTCGGCCTTCTGCCGCATCAGCGTCTCAAGCGTCCGCTTCGTCTCGTCCTCCTGACCGGCGGCCTCGGATAATGCGCGGCCCTGCTGCTCCAGCGCGCGCGCGTGCTCCCGACTGAGGGTGCTCATCTGCTCTTGCGCGTCCTCCGCGGCGCGCTTCTGCTCCGAGAGCTGTTGGCTGAGCTGCGTGATCTCAACATCACGCTTGCGGATGAGCTCCTCGACGCGAGAGACGCTCTCGTGCGCGAACTCGGCCTCGCGCTCCAGCTCGTGGATGCGGTCCTGCTGCTCAGAGAGCGCGTGCTCGAGCTCCTCGATGTGATTGCGTTCCTCGGATAGGTATTGCTCAAGCTACACGCGCGGTCAGCACACGAGAAGATGCCCGGAAGAAACATGCTTACCTCCTCCTTGTCCTTGGCAAGAGCCTCCTTCTCATCCCAGAGCTGCTGCGCCTCCGCCTCATACTCATTGCGCTTGTTCTCGCTCTGCGTCCACTCAACCTCCATGCCGTTCATCCTCCGCTCGAGATCCTCCACCACGGCCTTCAGCCCGTCACGCTCCTCCTCCGCGTGCTCGACCTTCCTCCTCATCTCCTCCGCCTCCTCGGTCATCTTCTCCGTGTGCTGCCACTGCGCCTCGAGCTCGGCGCGCAGCGTGTTGTACTCCTCGTCACGCGTGTGCAGCTGCGCGCACTTCGCGTCGTACTCCTCGCGCAGGCGGTCCTTCTCCTCCCGAAGCTGCTCGACCTCGACAGCGAGCCCCTCGGCGCGAGTGAGCAGCTCCGCGCGCCCCTCCCTCCACTGGAATTCGGCCGCGCGCTGCTGCTCCGCCGCGTGGTCGCGCGCCTCGTGCGGCGTGGCCAGCCGCCTCAGCTCGTCCTCGTCCACGCACACGCTCACATTCCCCATCTGCTCGATCTGCGCGTGCGCGGCCTGGATGCCGTCTTGCAGCGCCCGCGTGCTCTCGTCGCGCGTGCGCAGCGTCTCACGGAGTTCCTCCGCCTCGTCCGACCGCTCGCGCAACGCGCGCTGTAGCGACGCGACTTCGTCGTGCAGATTGTCCTCCCGCCGGCCCATCGCCTCCTTCTCGCGCTCGAGCTCGGCGATCTGGCGGTGGAGCGTGCGCAAGGCTTGGCCGCTCGCCTCGTCCATGATGCTGCGCTCCATGCTGACTTGCTGCGAGCTGTCGACTTCTTCCTGCAAGTAGCGGACGTGCTTCTCGAGCTCGAGAACCTTCTTGCGCATGGCGCGGAGGGTGGCACGGCGCTTGTTCTCTTCCTTCTCGGACTCGGCGATGCGGCGCTCGAGGATGTGCACGGTCTCGTCGCGCGCACGGAGGTCGGTCTCGTACTGGCCGACGAGCTCCGTCTGGAGAGCGAGCTGGGTCTGAAGCGAGCAGATGAGCGCGTCGTCCTTCGACATCTTCCTCGAGTGCATCGAGCTGCTGATGGACGACTTCGGAGGCGTAGTGGGGATCATCGTCTGAGGGCCGTAGTACGTGTTGGCGTGAGCGTTGAAGGGGTCAGGCTGAGGAGCCTGCTCCGGCTCGACAACAATGTCAGTAGAGGATTCGTCGTTGATGTCCAGCTCCGGCGGGGGCTTGCCACCCCCAGGGGAAGAACGCATCATAGAATAAAAGCGCGTATCGCTGAACGCCCGGCTGCGGCTCTTCGCGCTCACGGATGAGGCAGGAGAGTCCGTGAGCCTGGAGGACGGCGATATGCTCGACGGCTTCAACTCGCTCGACGTGTACGCCACCTCGGAAGAGGACGCAACGGAGGAACGCTTTGTAGAGCTCGACTTGTCAGACATCTTCGAGTCGCGCTTCGAGTTGCCCTGCCCCATGGAATGGTACAGAGTCTGACCGAAGCTGAAGGACTGGCTGCGGTCATGTCCCAGGAGCGACGGAAGACGCGGAGGCTTCTCCTGTGCGTGGAAGATGCTCTCGGCAGGCGGGCCAGGCTCGGGAATGACGGGGAGCTGAGGAAGACCTTTCGTCGACTCGGTCAGGTCAACGACAGGTGAGACCTCCTCCTTTTGCTTCCCCTTGCCCTTCGCCGCCGGGGTCGACGTCAAGCCATGGCCGCTCAGGTCTGCAGACATCTCCGGGAGCTGGTTCTGGATGTCGAGCGCGAGGCTCAGACCGGGTGGTGGCATGGGTGGGAGCTGAATCTCCTGCGAGATGTCGAAGGGGTTGCTGTTGTTCGCGGCGTCCTCCCCTTCACGAGGTGATGAGGTGGCAACGGGCCCATCTTCATCGTGCGGAGGAGAGAACAAGTTGCCGAGGCTGGGCCGCGATTTACCCTTCGGCGATAGAATGGCTGGCAACGTTTGGGTACCGGAGGCGCGTTGTAGCCGCTCCATGAAGTTCGCATCCTCGACGACGGGACCCAGATTAGACTCGTCGACGGAGGTATTAGGACTGATGGTCATATATGCGTTCCTCGAGAAGAATCGCACGTTCTGACCAGTACCCGGGGTATTCGGTTCGCGCATGATGGAACGGACGGACCCGTACTTGGTTTCGTCGCCCATAGCAAGGGGTTGAGGACGCATGGCAGATGGTGGTGCGGTGGGACTGCGTTGGTTTTGAGGCCGTCCATCAGGATGATCGGGTTCGTGAGAGTTCAGCGCGTCGAGTGATGGACGAGTGCGCAGTAAGTCGAGGGAAGGACTGCGGCGGAGCAGGTCGATGGATGCGCGGCGCATACTGCTGTTCTTCTTCGTGTCCTTCACCTTTTCGGGACGGCCAAGGCCGTCCAGATGAGGACGTTCTGTGTTACGACCGACGGAAGCTTGGGAGGCTGCACGATCATGAGCAGGAGTGGCAAAGCGCGACGACGATGCACTTACCGTTACCATTTTGAAAGTGCAGATGTGAAGAGACCTTACTTGTGAATGCTCCCGGCAGCTTGAAGGGAGATGGCGAGCGTATAGATTCCTGATCTAGGTCTTGCTGCTTCGGTGGTCGCTTGAAGACGCCGCGCAGGCCATGTTTCGACGGTGAGTCTGGCCGTGGGGGCTGCTCGGGCTGCTGGTGGAAGACCGAGAGGTTCGGGTGCTGATCCAGGACGCGGCCCATCACGTCGGGGTGCGGGTGCGTTGGCTCAGGCTCATCGTGTGCCTTGCCAGACTTGAAGGCGCCGGAGATTTTCGACCACATCGTTGTCGTCGTCGTCGGCGACGTCGTTGAGTGTCTTGAGGCGGGTCGTAGCCGATGGCAACCGCGTTCGGGGCGAACGGCGGCGACTGTTGAGACGAGGAGGGACCGTTGCGACGTCACGCTCTTGTTGACGCACGCACGCGGTAGAAAAACAAGCCATAACAACGCGAAAGTTCTCACGTCACATGCCCGTGTCTGGCACGTGTAGCATGTTCGACTTTTCTCCCCGTGATTTCAATCCTTTTCAGCGCTTATCAAACTACGTCTCTGCTGCGGTACACTGTTCCTTCCAAGAGACTCAAGAGCTTGATCACTGATTTTACAGATACAGGCAAAGTAACAAAACACTGATACTCAAGTACTGCCAGCCCAATCAAAAAGACAGTTCGAAAGCGTCGTGAAGGTCGTAAAGATATGCATACGCGTCAAAATCTGCGCGCAAACAGTTGGAGCAGCAGCGTGCACTCGTGTCATGATCTCTACAACACAATAAAGCGGCTGGATAAAAGCTCGGTGTCGTTAAAATCTCAAGCACGAGGGGCCTTGCCGCCCCGAACGTCCCGCGTATGTAGACGTCGTTCTACTCTCTCATGTCCTGCGCCTTTGCCCGCCTGAGCTCGTCCCAAGAACCAATGCCAAGCACAACTGGCAGGGCCTCCCATATGCTTTTGCATGCATTCCCGTAGAATCGTCGGACGACCACGTTCTGACACACCGCGCATAGGGAGCTGTGTGAGACGATCTCGCTCGCCAAGGTGTGCGCAGGGCTGTCTTCTGCCGGTGGGGAGTCCGAATCCGACCTCGTCCATACCGCCTCGATCTTCATGAAGCTGAAGGGCCTGGCGATCAACGGCTCGCGCAATTCGCCCCAGAAGATTTCCCGTAGGTTCCCTGCTTGTCTCATGCAGCACGTAGGGACCGCTGGGCAAGGTCCTTCTTCCATTGCCTTGGCAAGGTTGAGCATAGAAAAGTGAGCATCGCAGATCACCTCGATCAGCTCAAGGCGGGCCTTGTCCTGCTCCGACAATGGGACGCCCGGGCTATCCAACCACGTCTCCTCGGTCGAGGCGATGAAGTGGAGGTCGTAGAAAAGGGCGGGCAGGATCCAGAGGGCGCCGACCTCGCGCGCGATGGGGAGGAGCGCGCAGAGGAAGTCGCGGTCAAACATCTCATCCGTGATGATGGTCATTTCGCGCTCGTAGTCGTCGAAGTACCACGGCCACCGATTCTGGGTCCTGAGGCTCGTGCCGAACTTGCGGCCGAGGTGGAGGAGGCAGCGCTGGCGCAGGGTGTCCACAAGATATTTGTGACTGAGGCACAGGACAGCAAGGAGCTTGTCCTTGTGAATGCGCTGAGGGTAGCGCTCAAAATATCTGCATAGATTATCAGCCGATCACTTGCGATAAGTTCTCCTTGGAAGCGCACCCCGGAAGTAGCATCGCCTTCAGCCAATGCAGGACCTGGTCAGGCCTGTCCGGAAAGGTGAAAAGAGGCGGGCGACTCGGATCGTCACCCGGGGGTTGGGGAAAATCGAACATGTCCCGAAGGACAGGGGATGCTTCGGCGAGAGCGCTTCGGTGTACACAACAGACTTGGTCTCCGACGGCGATCCTGATGTCGCCGTCGTCAAACCATAGGTCCTCGATCCTCTGCTCCTCGGTCCTCTGCTCTTCCATACTCTGCTCCTCCATGACTTGAGGGAAGACGTTGAGAGCAGCAGCGATGAGGGAAAGAGCGAAGGAGGGCAATCGATAAGAGATCAAACGAAGGTGGGAATGCGAATTTAAAGGTGGGAAAGCGCAGAATTCGGGCATGTCGAACCACCGAAGGAGAGGGTGTCACGGTTCGACTTTCTGTGACGCGACGAAACCAAACGCTATCAAGCATGCATACGGTGACCGTGGTTGCACGACAAGTGTGTCGACGCGAAATGCACCCAGGTAGGTACAATATATGGCCTGCGCGAGATGCAGCTGAAAGCCACTAGGCTGGACGTCGGTCTTTCACGCGGGGCACCACGAAGATAGGTCCTGCGCACAACCACGATTCGGAACGACTAGTCTCGAGACCAGCCGCCTCCGAACGCTTGCTATTAGTCCCGACACCAGCTCCCTTCAAGCACCTGCCCATAGATCGTGTCAGCGTCATTATCATTCAGCATTAAATAACAACACATCAACTTGGTGTACGTAGCAATAAATAACATGGTCGTCTTCGCCTAGCAAGAGATCCTCGTCTGTGCATTGCAGACGGTAGGCAAGACGATGAAGCCCCGAAGACACTGTCAATGGTAGCGGGGCCTTGAGACCCTCTATGAACAAGGATGGGCTTGCGTGTAGAAGCAGGGTTCATTAGTACGTTCAAGAGGGTGAGGCGAACGTCGCGACGTCAATGGTCAGAAATTGGAACGGGGCAGGACACGCCAACGAGCCGGCGCAGTCAATCCCCATATCCCCTCACCCGATACCCCGCCCTATGCCTGCAAGTCCACCGACTTTTTGTTCTCCTCCCCGATCGCGTCCACGCCGTCGAGCGACCGCGACTGGTGCAGGTTGCTCTGCGGGCCCTTGTAGTGGCGGTGACCGCCGAGGATATACCAGAGGCTGGGGGAGGAGTAAGCAAAGGAGGTTTGTGTGGCGGTTGGCGAAGGGGGTTAGTGAGTGAGTGAGTGAGGAAGAGGGAAAAGGGGCCGAGGTAGGAGGGGGGGGGGTTGAAGGAAAAGAGGGGCGAGGGAGGAAGTGCGAGAGAGGAAGGTGGGAGGGAGGGGATGCAGGATCAAGAACGGATGAAGGGAAGCGATGGCAAGCACTCACGCAGACATGAACATCACCCCGACGGTGATGACCGACGCGTAGTTCATGTTCTCCGCCGTCACGGGGAGCACGGTCGGGAACGAAAAGATCACGATGATGAACAGCGTCCAGGTTATGCAGATCACTGGGCGACAGCGTCAGTATAACACGCCTTTCTCTCGCCTGTCGCTTTCTGTTGCTCCCTCGCCTCGTCCTCTCTCCTCTCTCCTCTTTCCCTCTTTTGCACCAGAAAATTCATCACTCACCATTCGCCGCCACCCCCACGAACCCGTCCCCCATATAAAACGGCCCCGGCTTGAACATCACATCCGGATGGTTCGCGAACACCCGCCGCAAAAAGATAGGAATAATGTACGACAGGTCGAGCGCCATCGCCGTCAGGGAGAAGATCGCGTTCGCGGCGATGGGCGAGGCGAGGTCGAGGAGGCCGGGGATGAAGGAGACGAGGGTGCAGATCCAGATCGCGTTGAAGGGGATGCCGTATTTGCTGTTGCGGCCGAAGAAGCCGGCGTCGGGGAGGCCTGGGGTGGGGGCAATGAGTGGGGGTTGGAAGAGGGTAAGGGGGGTGGGAAGGTGAGGGAAAGGGAAAGGGTGAGGATGAGGTGAGCGGTAAAGGACGTACCGTGATCCCGTGAGAACGCAAAGACGGTACGCGAGGTCGCCTGCAGTGCAGTCTGTACGACGAAGAAGGCCGTAAGGCAGACTGGGACCTGGAAGGGCGAATCAAGTGAATTTGGCCCGTTGCCACAAATTGTCAGCCCTTACCCATAACACCAACGCGCCGGCCTTGCCCATGCGAATGTTCATGATCTGGGGGAGAATGCGTCAAACCGTGTACACCGCTACATCGCACGAAGCTCACCTCAAGCACAGGATTGCTGGCCGCCACGATATCCTCCCTAGTCTATCGTCAGCACGGTTCTCCCTATCACTATCGCTGGAGCTGCGAGAGAAGGATATACACACATGGGCCCCGAGCAAAGAATCAACACAATATTGACTAGAAAAATCTGCGCGTAAGCATATTGCCTATCGAGTAGACACCAACCACTCACACAGCCATCCTATCAGTCCCGTGCCAATGACTGTATCGCCAAGATGAGAAGACCACTCCCACCGTGTCTCTGATAAGACGCACCAGCAATGAAGATAGCAGACGGGGCTGCGAACTCGCGGTCAGCCCAGGGTAAACCATCGCAGGCGTGCCAGACGACCTACCGGCGTACGCGGCCCTCCGCACCTCCTCCCTGTGCCTAGTGTCAGTGGGAGCCACTGCTGCGTGAGGTTGTATACACACGAGATATGTGCCGTCGCGTCATAATCGGTCATCTGCCGACAGAAGCATCAGCGTCTGTCAGATTGTATTCGGGAAGCACGGGGGCAAAGAAAAGAAGCAGGGGCGGGCGCCAAAGGTAAATAGACATTATGGCCATCGCTTACTCACCGTCCATTGCACGCTGAGGAGCCCGAGGAGAAACGCGATGCCGTCGTTCCAGCCGCCTGTGCCGTTCATGATGCCTGCGCTGCCAAAAACGTAGCTGGCGGGGTGCATCTCGGAGCGCGGGGTGGTCGCGAGGAGCACGATGATGATCACTATATGCTATCGCTCAGCCTGATGCACGTTGGTGGATGAGGGGGATCAGCAGACGTACGGAAGGTGGCGCCGATGTTCACGAATACGAAGCTAGTGGTGAAGCGCGCGAGATAGCGCGTTCCCACAGAGTTCTAAGTCAGGTAAGGTCAGCATGGGGGGACAACACAGGACTGTGGAGACGCACTAGTATGCCATGGAGTGCGAGCAGACCGGCGAAAAGGCCAACGACTTGCCCGGAGGACGCGGTGTAGTTTCCGCCCTGGAATGGGGTGTTAGCGAGATGAAGGGTATCGTTCGTCGGAGCACACCTTGCCAACGGACACCGCAGCCCAGATCATGTTGGACAGGCCGAACTCTGTTGAAGAGACTCCAGCAATCTGACCCAGGATATTGAGCCACCCCACCAGCCAGCCGATCTGCGCATCATCGTCAGCAAGCGGTACACGTATCGACCTCAGCCACGCACCTTCGCCCGATATTTCTTGGGCGCCAGGTTTGCGGACGCGGTGTATCTAGAGGAGGAGGGAGGGGGACTTAATGACCGGGCGATCGCGAGGGGGATGAGCCGGGGACGTACAAGCCTCCGCACGTCGGGTACGCGCTCACTATCTCGGCGATGCTCGAGCCCAGCGTGAAGCACATGGTCGCGCCGAGGATCCAGCACCAGACCACCGCCGCAGGCCCGCCCGTCGTCAGCGGGGTGACGAACGTCGTCGAGATCGACGAGCAGAGACCCTGGAAGGCGCGTCAGGATTTGTTCGGGTGCAGGATGGGGAGGAGCAGGGTGGGGAGGAGGGTGATGGCGAGGAGCGGGACGGTGGATAGCTCGTATGCGCACCATGATACTGAAGGCGAAGCTTATCTGTTGGGCGCGTCAGGGTACTTCTCGACGCGTCGAGAGGGGGCGCGCACCGTGGCCAGGTTGGTGAACTCGCGCTTGAACGAGGGCACGTAGCCGAGGTCGATAAGCTCCCTGTCATCGTCATCGACGCTGGACTGGCTGTCAGACACGGTCGCGTTCTTGTACGGGGGCGGGTTCTCGCTCATCGCGGCTGCCTGCGGGGGGAGACGGAGGGAGGAGGTGGGGAGGGGTCGAGGAGGAAGGGAGGAAGTGGGGGACACGCGGAATGCAGGAAGAGGAGATGGTGGTGGTCAGAGGCAAGAGGCACGCGCCAAGTCCGGCAAAGATACCTGCTCAAATCACCAAGCGGGCGAACGGTTCCGGGAGAAGCAGCCGCACGGTCGGCCCTGATCGCGGCGGCGTGGGCAGATCAGTTTCGGAGTCGGGGCTTCGCGCGATTGCAACAACGTGCGAAGATCCTTCCCGATTTCACATGTATTGACGCTCGAATAGGAAAGTTGCGGCAGGTCCCGAGGGAGATAGCCCTCAGCTTCCGTGCATGCTGCCCTGGCTACTATCAGGAGGGGTCGCTTAGATTCTCGCGCGAGACCAAGAATGATACATCCATGTGTTGGACAAAAGAGCAACAGATATCGAGAGCAAACAAACAGTATATTACGCGCCCCTCCTACGCCTCCGTGAGCACACCAACTTCCGTCAGACCGCGCAGCCTCGCAAGCATGATTCCGATATACATTTGGTTGGACTGCCATTCTGGAGGGAAGAGCTGTGATAGGGGTCAGCAAATGGTTCTGCAGGGGTGGCCAACGGGTTTGAGGCACCACAAGGGCTCGGTGCATCACACAAGCTCGAAGCACCACACAAGTCGAAACACGCGCGACGAGGCGGAAGCAAACACGACAAGGTGCAACCAGATCTGAAGAGGAAACGTACCGTATCCAACCCCTCCAGTCTCTGCAACGCCGGCGCCAGTTTTGCATACACATCCATCCGCATCTCGTCCGCAGGCGGTATCGACAGGAAGCGTATTGACTGTGCTAGTGATGACCGAAGCTGGCTCTGGCTCGCTGCCGGATGCTCGACGTAGTGGCTTGCGTGTCGCCACAACAGGAGGAGGAGCATCTCCGTCGTTGCTGGTGGGTCATTAATCCATGAACTTGCGAAGGAAGGGAGATCTCGAAGCGATGGAACTGCTCGCGAGAAATGACCACTCACTCAACACCAGCTTCGCATCATCCCGTAGCGAGTCCTGTATCCTCTCATATTCTCGGCAGATCAAGGCGCGCTTCCTGCCGATCTCAAGCCCCCGAAGGACCTTCGGATCAATGTCGCGGACGATCTGAAAGCGGTATGAGCACCCTTGAATCCCGTACATTGCAAGGACCTCGATGTCGCTCAACCGCTCACCTCCTCGACATTATCCACCCGCACCGTGTCCCTCGTCGCCAGCTCCGCCGCCACGTAACGCAACTGCGTGAACGCCTCCTGTACCTCGGTACACAGCTCGTTCAGGGCTTGTAGTGCATCGCCGAGTGTGGGCACGGCAGCTAGGAGCAGAGGTCAGTATCGGCATGCTGATATATGCGCGCAAGGGACGGTAGAAGGCGATCATGATGCACGAGAAACGTCCCCGATGCACAAGAAACGTCCCCGATGCACGAGAAGCACCCATGATGCACGAATAACGTCCGTAATGCACAAGTAACGCCCACCATGCACACAGGAGAACCACTCACCACTAAACTGCCCCCTCTGCTCCTCACTCCTCGGCAGCGCAGTCAGCGGCGAGAGCACTAGCGTCAGGTCCTCTTCCGTGAACCCGCTCGCGACGCCAAGATAGGAAATCAGCGCGTGTCGGAGTAGTCTTGACTTCCTCTGCACGGCGTCGTCGAATTTTGATCGTGGGGCGAGGCCTGTAAAACACAATTGAGCCATCATCATGTCGGACTCAGAGCCCTATACACACCCTCGCCATGCACACCTGCCCAAACACCCTCCGTCTCTGTCTGCGGCGTGACGAACTTGATCCAGCGGCTGTTGCAGATGCATCTCGAGGCAAGGTTGAGAACGGCGGCGTGGAGGGAGCCGAAGGCGGTGGTCGGCGAGGCCTGCGAAGTCGGTAGTGAGTATGAAGACAACTGCATATCCCTCGGCACTCACTAGCTGCTCCTTCTCCACATACGGCAAGACCCTCGTGCACAGCGAGACGATAAGGTGCAGCTCCTCGACCGTGGATAGCGACAAGGACTCTACGTCCGTCTTAATGAGGATGGCGATCGTAGCGTGGTGGGTGGTGATGAATTCGAGTATCTGGGAGAGCGGTGTAAGTGGAAGGTGGTACTAAGTTTGTTGAAGAGCACCCACCGCGTTCGCCGCCGTCGCATGCTTGTCGCCAAGCGTTACGATCATCGCGTTCAGGACTTGCAGCGCTGGCATGAAGAGCTGGTGATATCGGTGGATAGCGGATGGTAAGAAGGAGTCTTGGTCTGCAGCCCATGTGTTAGGTTTGTGGCTCTGTGGGTCACAATATGCTGCACTCACCCATGAACGCCTGATCCGCCTCTGGACGAGCGTCCAAGTAGTCACACTCCGTCAAGATGGCAATCAACCTTGACTCCAGCAGCCGCTCCGCTCCTTGTCTTGTCAACGCCATCTGCGTGAACAGCGACATCTTCGCCTCGTACACATATAACGGGTTCAAGTCGTCTGCAATCCCATTAGCATCTCTCCTCTTCACCCCAAGACCAAGCAAAACTCACCCGGCTCCGGCTTCAACACCCCTTGCAAGAACGCATCCGCCTCCTTCAAGCCCTGCACAAAGTTCGCCAGGATGCCATGCCGCGACAGCGCGCTCAGTATCGCCTGCTGCTTGTCCGCCTTCGACAGCCCCTGCAGCGCGTCGAGCAAGATGAACGCGACCGTCTTCCACACCTCCGTCCCGCTGATCGCGTCGCGCGACACAATCGCCGTCAGCCGGTCCACGATGGTCTTCACCAGCGCCACCGTGCCCAGCTCGACCTGGGAGGTGCTCCGCCCGTTCACGACGCTGCCGTTGGCGACTTCCCGTGTTGCGACGGATGATAGGAGGGAAAGGGCTAGAGGAGGTTCGGAGGGTGTGGGTGCGCCGCGCTGTGGTTGCGCGAGCTGCAGGTAATTGATGAGGGCGGCGTAAAGGTTTCCGCGCACAAGCTCGTTGTGCCCGCTGTTGACGATGCACCCGAGGATGCTTCGGCAGATGGCGAGCAATCGCTCTGGAGGTAGCGCGTCCATGTCGAACATCGCTTGGTTATGCCGGTTCTCACGAAGCTTGACGACGCAGGTCAGGATCGTCTCAGCCAATACGACTGCCGTCTCGGCCTGCACCTGCGCCGAGGCTGCGATTGGTGGGAGGACGTGGACGAGCTCAAACAGGGCGCTCTCCCGACGATCTGGTGATAGTCTTGAGAAGCAGCGGTGCAGCACAATGTTCAAAAGCCGCGCCCACGCCGCATACGCGTTCGCCATCGCATACCCAATCTCGCGTCTGTGGTTTTCGACTGCGCAGCTCTCCAAGATGTAGAACACCTCCTGCCCAAGCTTGACCGAGTCCTGGTTGTCCGCGATGGCGCCCTTGGCCCACAAAATCGCCTTGGCGCGCGTGAGGAGAGAGATCAGTGCAGCCCGGTCGACAATATCACACCCATGCGCGTCCTTGCGGAAGCACGAAGCGAGATCGAGCTCGGCGAGGAAAGTCAGCTTAAGCGGGTCGACCTGCAGGTGGTCGAACACCTCGAACGCGAGCGACTGCACAAACTCAACCACGCGGATGTTCGTCTGCCCGATGTCGTGGAAGGGATGGAGGCCCCAGATATCCTGCGCGACCTCGGTGTCGTTGCCGAAGAGGACCTCGAGCGTGGTCGTGGCTGCCGAGACGCGTCCCTTAGACACAACTTCGTGTACGTCAAGTGCGGCGAGGTCGAACACTATCGCCCGCAGGCGCAAGAACGCGCTCAGCTCGTGCACTGTCGTCTGGATCTGTGTCCCGTCTGGGTATTGTATCCCGACCGACGGCTCCAAAACGGTCTCGGGCACGTAGTTGCGCATCGCGGCGAGCTGCCGGGCGAAGAAATGGTCGTGCGAGCGGAGGTAGCGCATCGTCACCTCCGACGTCCGTGGGTGTTGGCAGAGGTTGAGGATCACTTGATAGCACTTCTCCGCCAAGCCGGGCAGTGCGAGGAAGAGCGGCGTCCCAGGGGCCGTCGCGCCCTCGATAGCAGGCGCCTTGCCCTTGTCACCGACCTTGGGCATAGCGTGGTTGACGAGCTCGAGGATGGCGTGGAAGCAGGTCGTCTTCGCACCAAGCGCATGTGCGTCCTCGATCCCCTTGCGCGTCGGCAACAACTGACTGAAGAGGAATAGATGCGCCACGTTCGGGAACTTCCGCTCCGTCTTCGTGTTCTCGACAAAGAGGTCCAGCGCGGCGAGGCGGATAGCTTGCTCTAGCGACGCAGAGTCCGTCAAGGGGTCAAGGGCACCGGCACCCGTCACCTGAGACGCGTAGTCCTCTGCCTCCTGCACGTCTTGCATCGAGTCGCTACGCAGGATCTGCACCAGGCCCGCGAGGATCTCCTCCGACTCCGAGGAGCGCTCGATCAGGGTGGCGAGGTTCGGCAGGTAGTGCGACGACGCCAGCGAGCTGATGATCTTCATCGCCAGCAGCACCAGCTCGCCATACTGCGGGGCGGCCATGCACCGTGCGAGCGACGGAACGTACGCGACGTTGAACGAGAGGGCCTGGTCGAAGCGTGTGTAGTACGAGCGCGGGTGCACATGCGCGGAGACCTTCGACACGTCGCCCGCGTCCGCGAGCAGGGGAACAAGCACGTCGAGAAACACGTCCTGGATCTCCAACACCCGCTGGATGATGCGCACCACCCGGATGAGCGACGAGCAGAAGAACGGCTCTTGCCCCAGCTCCGAGGCTAGCCCGTCGATCCCGTCCACCGTATACCGAAGAATCGTCGTCCTTAGCGGCGTGTCCGACAGCAAGCGCACCGCGAGCTCGTACCCCGGGTGCACGACGAGGTTTTCGACGATCGCGCGCAGCGCTGCCGCGTCCTCGCCCACCTCCGTCAGCCGCTCCGGCGCGAAGCTCGCGAGCTGGCGCTCGATGAAGCACAAACATAGATCGTTGATCTCCCACCGGTCCGATGGGTTCTTGTACTCCCTTGAATGCACGTTGGCGAACACGGTGTCGACGACGAAGCGCACGTAGGGCCCGATACCCGGGTGCCGGTACGGCTGGCCGAGCGTGGGCGGCACAGTGTTGAGCTTCTCGGCGTCGAGCGCGCGATCGCGGGCGGAGATTCGCTTTGGGGTGTGTGCGAGGGTTGTGAGCAGGCGCAGGAAGCCCATTGTTTCGGGAAAGACCTTGTTCGGGACCTCGATTTCTTCGAGCTCGACTTCGACGCCCTTTGTCGGGGGTACGGCGAGGGCGGAGGGACCGGTGGGCCCGCGGACGTCGATGACCTGCTCCTTCTCCATCGCCGTCCAGATCCCCATGCATATCTCCGTGCCCTCGCTGCCGCCACCGGGCTCCGCGAACGCGGCGAGGGTCTCGAAAAGCGACGCCTTCAGCTCGAGCGGAACCGCCAGCGTGATCAGTACGGCCATGTCCTGGATCGCATGCCGCCCATGGAACTGGACATGTCGCGCCATCATATCGCGCACGTTCAGCGAGTCCCGCACCACCGTCGCAGTGAACCTGAGGAACGCCTGCGCCAGCAAGACCTCACCCAGCGAGATTGATATAGGCTTTGGCGGCTGTTGCACCGGCTGCGGCTGGTACGCCGACGCCTGTCCCAAGAACGACGCACCCGGAATGAGCGACTGCGCCTGCGCCGTCCGCGGCGGCCCCAAATTGACCCAGTACTCCAGCGTGTTGAAGATCGCCGCCCACGACACGCCCTGCCCGCCAGACGATCCCGTGGCGAGCATGCCGCCCGCGACGACGTCGCCCGTCGCGCGCGCCATGAAGTTGTACGCGAGCTCGCTGCACTGCGGACCGTGCGCGAGCCCGCTGAGCATGTCGTACAGCGCGATCGCCATCGACGCGTCCGCGTGCGGCTGCCCGACGGGCGGGACGGGCGTCTGCCAGACGGCGAATTGGAGGAAGTTGGGGAGCTTGCCAGTCTCGACCTCCATCTGCTCGTGCAGGCTCTTCACGCCCGCGAGCGGCTCGGAGCCCCAGAAGGGCAGGGCACTGTCGGGTGGCAGGGCGGAGTATAGCTGGCCGATAAAGGCGAAGAGGGTCGGGATGTCGTTGCGTTGCTCCTCTGGCGCCTTTTGTCGGTCGCCGCGCGCGAGCCCGCGATCCTCTTGTTTCTGCTTGATCTTGCGGATGACAGGGGACGCATACGAGATGGTGCTGCGAACCAGGCTCTGGAAGGTAGCATACATCAAAGGCCTGAAAGCATCTGGAGGTGGTTCCCGCTGGTCGAGCTGCGCTTGAGAAAGGTCAAAGTCGCGCGTCGAAGGAGTTCGTTGCCGTTCCAGGTGCAGCATGACGCAAGTGAGGAATTGGAAGGCGCCGGCGTAGATAGCATTGTACGTCTGGGACTCAAGCTCGTCGGCCGTGAGACCGGGGCGCGCTTCGAGCTTCTCATCCAGATGTCGCGCGTCTGTCAGGAAGAGAGTCCACTTCAGCAAGATCGCGCCCTTCAGGCCGGTGTCCTTCCAGCGAGTGGTCGGGGCAAGCTTTTGAGACATGTGTGACACGAGCGACGCGTCGCGGGGTAGAGCTTGGCGGAAGGGCTCCTCTGACGGCTCGATCACGGTGAAGAGGGCGGTGAGCATGTAGTACGTCAGTGGGTCGTTTGGCCGTTCAGCTAGCCAGTCGACAATCGTCTTGATGTCGGACGGGCCGAAGAAGTCATTTGCGAGGACGGCGCAGAGCACGAGGGCTATTGTTCGCCTCTCGCTCCTGAGGGACTCGATGCGAGCAGTGAGGACATCAGCACCGAGCGCGAACGTTCCTGTGGGTCTGAGATCAGTGCGTGTAGGGCATGGCAGGGTGTCAGTACAGACCTGGCCCTGTGGCCATTGTGTTGCTGCGCGCGTTTCTTCTCGCCACCTCTGTTCGCGCGATCAAGTTCGTCAGGTTCTCCAGCTCCTTCATGAGGCGCGCGGGGAATGACACGGTAGATGGGCTGCCGATGAGTTCATTACGTGCCCACACTCTGAGGGACGACCGATCATCGCCTGAAAGCTTGACCAGGTCAAATAGTAGTTCGAGGCAATGTGCCAGGTCTCGCCGTCGTCGATGGAAGACCGCCACTGAGAGCTCGATCCAGCGCAAGGGGTCGTCGTTGTGGTACTCGTTCTGCACCTCCCACAGAATCTCGGTGACGTAAGCTTCTGAGCAGTCGAGCTCTTGCGCCAGGAAGAGCGCCTGTTGTACAAATTCGCGGTTCAGCGCACGCTGGCTGTCCTTGATGTGCATGCGACCTTCGAGATGTTCAGCATATTGACAACAGAGCACAATGGTCCCGCCACGCACCAGCCTCTAGCTCCTTCTTCTCTGCCGTATTCCGTGCCCCCACATCGAATATACGTATCAACTGGTCTTTCGACGCGTTCAGAGCGTTGAAGACATCTTGTTCAAGGTTCGGCGCGGTGGCGCCGTTTGCGATGGACAAGAGCAGGGATTTGAGTCGTGGAATCTGCTCCATCCTCTCCTCGATGTGATGATGGTCGGCGCCGAGGAACGTGGGGGCGCCCAGCAGTTGCTCAGAGTCGAGGACAAGGCGCGACGCGTAGAATACACAAACCACAACAACGCGTCGTGCTCTCTTCAAGTGCAAGCTTTGACTGCCTTTTTGCTCTCTCCGTATCCTGCCATGGAGTTCCAAAACCCCCGGGGCGATTATGCAGCTTTGCGCCTGAAGAGGGTCGAAGATCTCTGGTTCTCGGATGGGTCTATCGTGGTTCGTGTCGGAGAACAAGCGTGCCGCATTCACCAGAGCATTCTGGCCGCCAACTCGTCCGTCCTGGCCAACATCCTCTCCATTCCGCAGCCCAAAAACGGGGAGACGTTCGAAGGACTGCCCATGATGAGCTTCCCTGATCCGCCGGAAGACGTCCTTCACTGGCTAAAGTCCATGGTGCTGCCGGGGTACGTCGAACGGCAATCTTACTGCTTTTCGCGACTCGTGCTCAGACATCACTGACTTGAGGTAAAGGTACTTCGAGGTGTACCCCAGCCGCATCCAGCAGGACAAATTGCTCGCCACGCTCCGCCTCAGCCACAAGTACGGCGTGCAGACGTTGCGCCAGCGCGCGCTCTACCATCTCAGCGTCGCGTTTCCGTCGGTGTTTGGCGACGAGGACGAAGCCAAGTTGTTGCTCGACAAGGACCACTGGCGGAAGACCTCCATCGACGGTGACTTCAACGTGGACTTCTTCTGCAAGGTCTACGCCCTGGCCGTGGAGATCGGTGCTGACTGGCTTCTGCCGAGTCTCATATACACCATTCACTCCGCTACCTATTTCGACGACAATGCCAGAGCACGCCTGCCCGCGCTGCTGTCGTCGCAAGCCATGTTACAGCTGTTAAACGTCACGCGCGCAAGCCTCGCAGCATTCCAGCCCCATCGTCTCACGCCAATCTTGAGCAATGATTGCGAGGTCGGTGGCACCAAGTGCACGGACGGTGTTCGGGACATCCTCGACCGAGGCTTCGACCATCTCATCGCGCAGCCCCTTTCCTTCCTGCATATCAAGGCCAACACTTTCATGACCGACTGTGGTTACGCGACAGTGAAGGAAGCGATTGAAGTGGCGGCGTGCAATAAGTGCAAAGAGGTGTTCAGGTATCCTCGATACATCGTTGCGTGTGATTTGTTCAGGCAGGTGTTTGAGGAGGCTACAGTATACGAGGAACTGAGGGACGCCAGGGCGCTGGACACCGGAAGTCAGTGGATCAGCAGAAGACATTAGATCACGGTAGCGTCCGAATTATACGAAGCTCCCGTACATATATTGACAAGACCAAGCACACCAGTACTAGGTTGTGCTGAGCCAGATCGGTGTGGTCAGGCGGGGCGGGTCGATGCAATTTTTAGACTGTTCTTCATCCTCATCCGTACGTTCACGGTTATGAAGAGGGTTGTCCTCAGCGATACTGCGTAAGAGCTTTCGGGCCGTCATGTCACATAAAGTCGAACCGTGACTGTAACGTTCTCTTATTGGAATGCAAATCAAAGGCTTGCTTGAACAAACGTGGCGATACGTTGAATTGTATTCGCCGTAGAGCCTGTGGGAATAGAAGAGTACGTCTACCTGAATACTTTGAGGTGCGAAGTACGGGCCTCGAGGCCTGAGGAATGACATGCTCAGAAATTAACCCGTGAGACACCCTTAACGGCATTTGCCGCAAACAGTCCTTACATGAATCCGGCTTGTTGCAACCTACACCGAAGTCTTGTCGATCTTAGCATCGTCCTCATACGATGAGTCTCGAAACTATACCGGACCTCTGGTTCCCGGATGGGAACATCGTGATCCGCGTCGGAGAGCGCGTATGCCGCGTCCACCAGAGCATACTCGCGGCCAACTCGCCCGTCCTGGCTGACATGTTCTCCGTGCCCCAGCCGCGCGATGGGGAGATGTACGAGGGGCTGCCCATGATGAGCTTTCCAGATCCTCCTGAGGAGGTTCTGCACTGGCTGAAGTCCATGTTGCTGCTGGGGTATGTTGCACTACCGTGCTTCGCCGCGATGGGGCTTCGTGCTGACGGTCTCGAAGGTACTTCGAGGTCTACCCTAGCCGTATAGCTCAAGACAAGCTACTCGCTACGCTTCGCCTCAGCCACAAGTACGGCGTGCAGTCCCTTCGCCAGCGCGCGCTGTACCACCTTAGCATCGCGTTCCCGGATATGGGCTCTGACCGCGCTGCAGCCTCTAAGTCGACCCCAGCCGCTATAGATGGTGGCCGCACGGTGGACTTCTTCTGCAGAGTCTACGCTGTCGCCCTGGAGATTGGCGCTCGTTGGCTGCTCCCCTCTGTCATGTACAACATCCACTCCGCCACCTACCTCGATGCCGAAGCCAGAGCACGTCTGCCGGCGTTGATGACATCCCAGGCTATGTTGCGGTTACTGGAAGTCGGACGACTGGTTCTCGCGCACTTTATGCCCCATAAGCTCGCGCCGGTAATCCAGTGGGAGGAGGAGGGTGATGATGTCTGCGCTTTTGGTGGCGAGTGCGAGGACGCAGTCCGACGTATGGGCGGTATAGTGTGCAAAAACCTCAAACGAGGTATTTCAACACCTGCCGCCGCTGAGCCTCGAAATCGACGCATGACTTCGATGAACTTGCAAAAGCGACGCACGCGATCGAACGAGAGTGCGTGCTTACCTGTCGAGTAAGCTCTCGCTGCGCAGAACACCCGGCGGAAGGGGGACTTGGGCGTCGCGGTTGCGCTGAGCCTGGCGATTTCGGCTGTTGCCGAAGCTCGGCGGCGTACTCCCGCGCTCACGTGGATCAGTTACAGCGGTTTGCGTTACTTTGCGGAATCCGCGCGAATTCCGCGTGCGTGTCATGTTTGGCCGCAGCCTCACGGCACCTGCCGCACGTCGCCTGGCATGGACTTTCTGCCCATTATTTAGCTTAACTTCTCGACCAAGCGGCGCCTACTACAAAGCCACGTTCTCCCTAGGGACTTGGGTCACCAAGTACTGCATACAACGCTTTTTGGAGGTCAAGTCGCTGATGAGCCTATCGGCTATTTCGGACCTGAGTCCAGCGCGCGTGCTCTCGGAAAACGCCGGCCTGGCATGGAATAAATAAGCGCTTACCGTTGTTCGAGCATTTTGCTCTGGAATATCTCGGAAAGGGACCTCACAGCCATATATCAACATAGAGCTCCAGTTTCTCGGCAAGATCTATATGGTATCGAACGAGGGACGACTTTCTGAGGGCTATTCGGCAGGTGCCGCGAGGCCAAATATGACACGCACGCGGAATTCGCGCGGATTCCGCAAAGTAACGCAAACCGCTGTAATACTTGGACTTCGTTATGCTCGGCGGAACATTCATTCTCAGGCTATTAATTAGTCGTCTCGATGAGCCGGAGATATGTAGTATCGGTGGGCTGCGTGGGTGCGACTTAAGATACGTCATGACTGAAGAGCAAAGCAATGTCCAGAATTACCGAGTTTGTGCCAACGTTAGGTTGAGCGGCCTGCACCACGTCAGCCTTACCCCCGGCACCACGAGCGACAGAGGCGCGCGCATTGCACGGCTGCTATCCTCAGCGGGGTAGGCTGCATCGTGCCTGCTGAGCCTAGAGACCTCGCGTGGAAATGAGGACGAGCAGCTCAAGGCCCCGGCGGTTGACCTTGTCGAGGATAACCAAGCTCCCCGAGACAAGAAGGGCTTCAGAGGATCTGATGATAAATCATATGCATTGCTCAACATGGTATGTACAGAGGCAGGTGAGGCGTGATGGGCTGGAATGGACGAAGTCATCAGGCGGCGCGGCCTTATCCTCCATCTGTTAGCGAGCGCCTCACCCCGGGAGAAAGCGGCTGTAAATCCCCCGTAGGCCTTCAATTCAGCCAAAGAACGGATATTGGATCGCTTACAAGCCATTTACATACCCATATATTGGTCGGCTAGGTCACGAAAGAGCATGCCGGCTTTAGCGCCGGGCGCTTAACAGCTAGTCGGGGAACCCCGAGTTCGGGCCGTCCAAGCCACGCCACCCCTTCCCTCATTGCCCTTTCACTCCGACGTGGAACCGAGCACTGGGAGCTGCGATCACGGCATAGCTCGATCGCGTGCGTCGATTTCGAGGCTCAGCGGCGGCAGGTGTTGAAATACCTCGTTTGAGGTTTTTGCACACTATACCGCCCATACCGACGCATTCTTGAGAAAAACTTCGAACAGCTCGTCGCCCATCCGCTTTCCTTCATCGACCTGCATGATACATTCTTGACGGGCGTCCCTCCTGGCTCGCCGGTGAAGGACGTGATTGGTCGAGTGGCATGCAAGGCGTGCGATAGTAATTTCCGCTGGCGCTACGGCGGCGCGTGCTTACACTTCAAACACGCGCTGGAGGATGCTTGCGGGGCTACGCCCAAAGACATACATTTGGGTAGAGCATTGGACACGGGAGTGAGGACCGATGTCGACGGGTGGGATTAGTAGTGCTTGCCTGCTGGCTGTCTTCGGGTATCTATACTTCTTTTGGGTACGAGCTCGACAGCTCTTGTCACACAGAAGTCCAACTGTGACGTCACGGCCAATACTACGGTGAAATCTTTATCATGCTCATATCGACCAAGTATCACCTTGCTTGCAAGGTATCTACACCTGTCTTATTGACGACGCCACGAGTTTTTTTGCGGCATAAGTACAAACAAAAGATGTCACCCGTCACCTGCCTTCACTAGCGCAGTTTCTCGGCGCTTGAGGGGATCTAATATGGGACTCGCCGTCCTGACCAGTATAGATAATCGAGGAAGTGCATTCAACAAACATGAGAAGGCCTACAATGGACTTCCACAGCCCGTAAGCGCATAGCGCTTGGGACTGCAGAGGTATCGGAAGAGTGCGGCAAAGTCCGATGTCGGTACCGGCAGATCACCTGACCGGTTGAACTTCGCGGCACAATCTGCAGACTGCCAGCATGCCGAAGACAATCCATCCATACTTACGCAAGAGGAATATACTTTCCACAACTACTACAAGGTTATTGAGTCCCTTACGCTGTGTCTATACGCTTTGTTCCTCGATTTCTGTTTGGACTGGTTTTTTTGGACCTTTCCATCACATCGTCTCCACATACAATGCACCTGTCGTTCTGCTATCCGGAGACGCAAAAGGGAGAGTGAGGAGGAGCTCTATAAAGCGACGCTACTGCTCCGGAGGTCAGAAGGGAAGCGAGAGCAGTTTGTGGAATGCATTCTTGAATGGAAGGCCGCAGGGTAGATGATCCGGGGCTTGAGACGCTCCGTGGGTGGAAGCGCATCGTCTACTTTTCCTCTGAGATGAAAAAAGAGCCGAGGGAGGGGGTAGACTGTTTCCTCTTTGCAAATATACTGTCGGTGGTGATCCCTTTCCGTGAAAAGACGCTGTACGCGACAGCGTCGTGCATGGTCACTCCGTACGGGATATGAAGAGTCCGCCGGTGCGTTTACAGGAGCATAGACCGAAGGATCAGCGGGAATGGAGGCACAAGCTGTTTGCCCTTTGAGGGAGGGCAATGTGAATAGCATGGAGAAGGCGGTGACTGAGGGAGTATACTTTAAGGTTGGCCCCACCGACACGGATGAGATCAAGATGGTCACGGAGGACCTTCCTCTCACAGGTCGTCGGAGTCGACGCCGGCATCGTAGCTCAGCCGCCGGTGCTCAGCTAATGGTGTCGAGCACACACACACTCCGCAAGCAAGGTTGGGAGCCGGCGCCGCCGGAGCTTCTCTAGTACAGCAAGTAATGGTCATTGCACAGGGCGGTACGACAATAGGGCGGACCTTGCGGTTGCGAGGGCTAGTATGCGGATAGGCTATATCACTTGACAAACGCTCTCTGGGTAATAACATAGGAATAATCAACACCGGCTCTCATGAAGTATGCCACCCACAGGAGAGACTGACAAACATGGGAGTACATACGTCGCATGGGGTACACCACATTATGCCACACCCAACTGCCCCATGATGGCCTGCACCTGCTCGTGCACAAACGCGGGGACCTCGACCTCCTCCATGTCGTCGTCGTCATCCGAGTCGTCGTCCTCGTCGTCCTCGTCGTGGCCCATTTGAGTGTCGCCGTTCGGGTCTGGCTGAGGTTGGGTGTCTCCTTCGTGGTGCGGCTCTCCTTCATTGTGCGGTTGGGGTACTCCTCCTTGCGATTCCACTGCGTGTGTATGCTGAGGGCCTCCTCCGTGCTCCCCATCGCCGTGCTCCCCATGCCCCTCCTTCCCATGCTCGCCCATATCCTTCTCCATATCCCGCGACATCTCGTCCATCGCGGCCTCCATCTGCGCGTCCATATCCATCTCGTCCGCGGTCTCGGTGTCGGTCGTCGTGGGGTCCGCTTGTGAGGAGGGGTCGGTCGTCGTGGGGTCGGCGTGCGATTGGGTGGGGTGCGACTCGGAGGCGGGAGGGTGCTGCTCGTGCTGAGGGTCTGGGGGATGATTTTGTGGGTGTTGTTCGGGCTGGGTGGTGGCTTGAGCTTGCGGTTGGGCAGACGCGGGTTGAGGGGTCTGAGGGGTAGGCGTAGATGGTGATTGGGACGCGGTCGATTGTGAGGTAGGAGCGGATGCAAAGAGTGCGGGGTCGATGGGTATGGAGGGTTGGGCGAGCGGCTGTGTGGTGTACGATGCCGCCGCTTGCTGAGGTGCATACATTGTCGAAGCATACGAGGCCGGCGCTTGTTGAGCTGCGAACGACGTCGGGGTGAACTGACTCGACCATTGCGACGTGCTCGCGAACATCGGTTGCTGGGTCGCCGGTGCAGTAGTCGCCGTATTTGGCGCTGGTTGGATTGTATGAGGTTGATGCGACCCATGCGCTTGCTGCGTCGCCGCCGCCTCGTCCGCCGCTTCCACCTGCTCCGCGTACGCGATCTCCGTCAACTGCGCTGCCAGAAGCGCCAACTGCGCCTGCAGATGCGCGCGCGTATCCGCGTCCAGACCCTCCATGTCCACGTCCATCGCGTCCTGGCCTGTAGACGAAGATGCATTGTTCGCATGCCCATGGCCATTCACCGCAACCTGCGCGTGCTGCTGCTGCTGCTGCTGCTGGTGCGCATCCTGCGCATGCGTGTTCTCCGCCGCATACCGCTCCTGGATCGCCTTCAGCAGCGTCTGCGCCGCCTCGTACGCCGCCGCGTCCCCGCTGTTCGCGTCCGCCGGCGCGTGGTGCGCCTGCGCGCCCTTCTGCTCGAGGGCCTGCGTGAGCGTGAAGAGGGCGTCGAGGTTCTGCGAGTTGGAGTTGGTGAAGACGGGGGTGCTGTTGGCGGCGGAGCTCGGGGTGGTGATGTGCATGCCGCGGATGGTGCCGGGGGGTGGGGGAACAGAGGATTGGGGGCGGCGGTTGTTGCGGCGGGTCATCTGAGGGAGAGCGCGTTAGTAACGAACGCATATAGGCAGGCAAGCGCAAATAGGCAGACGAGCGAATATAGGCAGACAAGCGCATGATGGCTAGACAATGCGCATATACCCAGGTGAGGGAGCACTTACTGGTAGACTGCTCGCCCCGGCGTTGTGGTTGACCTTGTACTTCCCGCCTGCGCCCTTTTCGAGCCGCCCGCGTTTGTAGGCTTTTTGCAGGGCCTGTGATGCGGAGGGACGGAAGTTGGACTGCAACGAGTAGTGCGCTGCCATCCACGCATACACGTCCTTCGGCGCCAGCCCGTCTGGCCGCTGCCCGTTCTCGTCAGGCGGCGCGTTCTCCGCCTCGAGCAATGCTTCCACGATCATGTCTTCGTAGCTCGGCATCCCTGCGCTCGGGCCCACTGTTGGGCCATTGCCGTCCGACGATGCCGCCGGTAGAGGTTGCGGACCCTGCGAGACGCGCGAAGGACCGGCGGTGGGTGGACTGTTCGAGTACAGCGGATGCGAGGGGTGCGGGTAGGTCAAGGGAGGGGGTGGTGGTGGTGGAGGTGGTGCAGGGGCTGGCGCGGGGATGGGCGCGTCTGCAGGTGGATAACCAGGGGGTGGCGGATACGGGCCATAGGGATAGTATGGGAAGCCGTACGGGACAGGCGCTTGCGGTTGAGGTTGCGGCTGAGGCTGAGGCTGGGATTGGGGTTGGTGCTGTGGCTGAGGAGTTGAGGTCGAGGTTGAGGTCGAGGATACGTTGGCTTCCTGGGGTGCTGACTGCGCAGGTGGCTCTTGCGACTTGTCAGCGCCATTGCTCTCTGGCTCCTTAGCGCTCTCGCTGCCTCCTTCTGGTGGCGGATCGGTGCTTGGCGGATCGGTAGATGGTGCGCTTTGCTGCTGATCGCGTTCCCGCTGTTCCCTCTCGCGCTGCGCCGCCTCCTCCTGCTCGCGCTTCTCGCGCTCCTCCTTCTCCTTGACCGCCTTTATGGCATCGATCGTCCCCTGAAGATCAAGAGGCCACAGGGCGCCCTTGAAGTGCAACGGCACGTAGTAATCGAGCGTCAGGCATATCTCAATGATCTGTTCTGGCGGTAAAAGTGCGAGGTATGTCTTCTTGAGTTCGCGCGGATGGTCTGAAACGTCGTTCTAATTAGATCGCGTGGAAATCAGGCATAAATTCTACCTGGATATTGGTAGAATCCAGCGGGCGGATACCCTGGATAGGCGGCCATCGAGTGGCCCGTTGACGAGCTGTATAGCGTCCGGAGACAGCCGATGAAAATGTTACAGTTGCTCGTGCCCCCGTGATCGCGGACCTACAATGACAAACAGGGGCCGACCCCATCATTGCCGGATCTGGACTTCCACGACGACATTTACGTTCGAAGCTGTCCTAGCCAAGGACCGTGTTAGTCTGCTATCAAACGCGGCGGGGAAACCGGAATGAGGACAATTGATGGCACATGACTTTTCCCGCGGTAAAAGCTCCTCGGGGATATCTCGTTTAGGCAGGCTCCCTTCCAAATACGGTAGTAAATACAACTTGAACACATCACTGGGCTCCTCTGAGCGGCATATGAGTGTACCCGCCACGGAAATGCCCTTCAAGTTCGTCTCCGAAGAAGGTCGGGCCTTAATCAAGAAGATACTCCAGGACACTGTGGCGATTGAGCCCCATGACCACCAACTTGAAGCCCTCTCGTACGCGCTCGACCGCGTGAGTGTCCTGTCAGTCACGTACACCGGCAGCGGAAAATCGGGGTATATCTATATGCTTGCGATAATCCTCGGTGCGCTACGTGCCAATCCCGCGCTCTGTCCTCAGGCCGATGTGCCGCGAGACCCGGTTATTGTGGTCATATGTCCCACCATCGCGTTAGAGGAGGATCTGGTATTTCTGTCCTTCTATGCGTGCTGTGGGGTTCTCACGTTATCTGCACAGGAGAAGAAGCTGAAGAAGTACAACATCGATTGCTTTCCTTCTCAACAAGAGTCGGAAGGAGGAGTTCGCAGACAAAGGGCCGTGATATATTCACGGAGGCGGCCGATGTGTGCCA